TTTTTGGGGGGGGGGGGAACGTGGGATGAGTTGGACTGCATTGGGGGAAGTCGTACCTCAACCAGTATGTGCTCTGACCTCTGGAGATAAGAGAGGGGGGATTAAAGGTGCGTATGACTTGTCAAATTTTTTTCTTTGCTTTTTCTTGGTTCGCAAGGAGGATGGAGATGCTTGTTGAATTCCCTATTTGGGTTGTTGTTGTTCTGCGTAAAATCATAAGGATCTACGGGATTTTCATTCCGAGGAATGGTTCATGTCAGGGATCATTGTATGCAAGTATGTACCAGTATGTATTCATCGCCCCCTATCTGTAAACGAAATGTCTAAACTAAATCCCATTAATAACATTAGATATTATGGTGAAGGAATCTCCAAAAAGCCCATCCATAATCATCCTAAGCACATCATTTCAATCCAATTACAAGGGAATGGGAGTTGACAGAGAGAAAGTGACGGGGGAGCCTGCCAGCTTCACCCAGACAGTGAGCGGGTCACTGCCATACTGCTCGGTGCTGAAGCCCTTGGTGTCGGTGGGAGCGACAGGGAAGCTGACAGGGATGGGAGCATTGCAGGTGTTGCCGTTGGCAGTCAATGTGACGCCGGTAATCTGCTTGTTGGCAATCGCATACTGCAGAGAGTAGTTGCACTTGTCGCGGTTGTAGCGGTCGAGGAAGTTAGCAGACATCTGGATTGATCGGTTAGCATTGCGGGGATGTTTGAATCACCAAGGGGCCGGACGGTGCGTGACTGACCTGCTGGTGCGTGATGGTAACAATGGGCCAGTCCACCAGACGCACAAATTCCTGAACCTGAGTCTCCACCCAAGCTTGGAAGATCGAGAACTTGCCAACTTCACCGTTGACATTAATCGACTGAACGTCGGCATTGCGAAGGTTGGCCTGATGGAACATATAAGGGTCCCGATGGAGACCAAAAAGATGACGCATAGTGTCTGCTTTCTCCGTCTGAAGCAGGCTGTTGAAGTCGCCACTGCCGGCCGATGTGTCAATCCATTCCTGGACAGTGCAGTCAGGGGTATCGCAGTTGTAGTAGATGCGAGTAGCCCATCGGGGATTCACCTGTAGGCCGTCGAAACCATCCGAGGCAAAGGTGGTGAAGTAAGGCCACATCGCGTTCTGTTTGTTGAGAAGCGGCGCACGGGTGTTATCACCAACGCAGTTGGTGATGCCGTTCTCATACCAGGCACGCAAGGCATCGCCATTGTGCAGCCCAGTAATGGCGGGAGGAATAATACCGTTGGATGTGAAATACTTGGCTTCATAGAAGCCACTCTGCTTCAACCAAGCTTGGTTGTAGGAAATCTCCTTCCTGACATCGGAGTAAGTAGCATTGTTTTGTTCCTCGTGAGTGAAAGTGTGAGAGATGTGACCGTACTTGTCCCGGTTAACTGGGTTGGTCCACCAAATGAAAAGGTCGTCCAGCTTGGTGCAGTCAGTCGTCCAGTTGTACCCATTTGCGTCCGCAGGCCAGAGATCAGTACCGGTCCCCAAGGGCTTTTTGAACTCCATAGGTGTATCAGGAGGCGAGTCGTACTCAATGCCGCCTTCGTTGCAGACATCGCCATTAACTCCGGCAGCGGCTTCAATGTTACCGTTACCATTGTGTCCGACCTCAACGAAGTAATTACTGCCAGGATTCATCTTGCCGTTAATTTTTGGAAGCCAGTTAGAGATACCATTCATATCAGCGGTGGTAATACGGAAGGTAGTTCCATTGGGCTTGTAGATATCAGTCTCGAGGAACATGTCATCAATCTGGGTGTTCAGGTTCACGCGGCGGTGGCCAGCATAGAGGCCGCGAGTAAGCCAGTTGATCCATGCGTGCTGCAAGTAGTTGGAGGTTGCACTCCAGACGGTGTCGAAGGACAAGAAGAAAGCCATCTGCTGCCTGCCATTGAAGTTGTTGATGACTGCAGCCGTGGTTTCACTACCATAGTTCGCGTTGGCAGCGAAGCGAGCAATTTCCTTTGTCGTGGCCGTATCGTTGATCGTGGCCGGGTAATGCCAAAGACCTGCAGTGCTGACACCAGCACCGGTCTTCAGACCAGCCGTTTTGAAATCACTTACGTCCGAGAAAGAAACAAGCTGCTCGACACCGGTTTCACAGCATCCGCCACCTACAGCAGAGGCACCGTAGTTGGGTCCGGGGTACACATCGTACTGAACCATGCGCACACTATACTCAAGCTGGTACGCATACAATTGATTCCATTGGTCAGTAGTCAGAGCGCTCTGGAAGCCTTTCGTGCCACCATAGTCATAACTGACTCCACTTGCAACAACGATACCTCCAAAGTTTCCTCCGGCGGTACCGTTCAGCTCGGGCAGACTAACACCAGATTGCGGAACGAGCAAAGTGGTGAAAGGGATGCCATAGCCATTGAGGCCTGACGAGGCCACATTAGCAGCAGCGGTATCCTTGGCAATCACCAGGATGTTAGCCGCGATATTACCAGAGGTAATCGCCGTAGCGGAAGGCGTCGCGGAGGGAATAATGCTCGAAGAAGACAGAGACATCGTGCGGGACGCACTCACAGGAGTGCTGGAAGAGGAAACGAGTGTGGTAGAGAACGAGGGTAGAGAATTGGGAGTGGAAGTGGAAGAAGTAGAAATAGTAACGAAGGACGAAGACCCCGTGACGGTAGGGGAAGAAGTAAACGACAGTGCCGACGAAGTAATGTCGGGAGTGCTACTCGAGACTCCAGATGTGCGTGAGGGAGGCACAGGAGCGATCACACTTGGGATACCTTCAGGCCAAACACCTGGGGGAGTGTCGCAAGTTATAAGTCCGAAGTAACAGCCTACTCTGAGGAGCCACGGAAGAACCATTGGGAACTGGTCCTGGCTCCAGAAAGAGTACCTGATGGGGTTGTGGAAACAAACAGGATGGATGCAGAGACTGAGGGCGAATGATAACGAATGACAGTGTGGACCTGTTTTGGGTCCAATCCACGAGAGAGTGCCTGCTGATCGATAATCCTGTAGATGCGGGCACAATCACATTATATACATCGATTTCTGTCTTATAAGCAGGAAAGCTGGGAGCTTCGGAGCCTATCGCTCATTATACTCAGTGTTCAATGCCCACTCAGAAGAGAGAAAAGGCAGAAGAAAAAAAAAAAGGGAGATCCACTATAAGACCACTTGTTTACGGACTTCTATCGGCTGCGGAGTTTTTATTTTATTTTTTTTATTTGACTTCTATTTTTTACTCTCACATTAAGTGACGTACCTTTCTTCAAGCCCTAATAGGCTAAGTTTGCCGAAAAAGGACCTAGCATCTCTGCCAAGATTAACCCGGTTGGGGGATGACTTAGTCAAGACTCAATGGAGGCGATAGAGTAAAAGCCGATGGCTTGCATAGGTGGAAATTGCATTAAGACAAAAAAAGGCAGAGGAGTTAGGAAAATCCATAGCTCCCCTATTCCACATCGTGGATATTCCCTGCAACTAGGCCCATGGCAGCCAGGGAATTGGGAGGAGTGGTTCGCAAACATTCTGCGGTGGCACAGAAGAATGGGCTTAGGAAAGCTGAAGGGATTGCCAAGAGACATATAGGCGAGTTTCTGGTTCCATTTAGTAGGGGTCTCCGTGTCCAAATTTGGAGCCTCAGAAGTCTCAAGAGGCGATAAGATGGATGAAAGGGGCGAGTTGTGGGGTATCGACCGGAAGAGAAAAAGCCAATCGAAAACGGGTGGGATGGATCAAACAGACGGATAAACCTTGTCGGCTTCATGCAGACTGACTCGTATTATTCACAATTATTTTATTCTCGTACTAATAGTACCGACGGATATGGGGACTCGGAAGACAGAGAGAGAAAGAGAATCAAAAGGATCTTAGCTTGTGCTAGTGTATACTGTATGAATGTATGTATATATGTATGTATGTATGTACAGTACATACATCCGTGGTCAGTGTGTAAATTACCAGAATACCTGTTCAGTCAGAAATACCAGAAGTCCGTCTTTCGTAACATAAGGAAATTTGCAATACCACTCATACAGTACGATACCTCTTGAACTTCAACTTAACCCTGTTGGGCTATTTGCATCTCCGCCCCGCCATTTCGATACGTTTTTGTTCTCTGTTTTCTTTTCCTTTCTTTCTTTTTAAATTTTTTTTCCCCCTTGGTTCCCTCACATCCTCGTAGATTATTTATTTTTTTACTGCCAATATTGGTTTATTTATCGAATAATCAATTTTGATTTTTTCATAGTTTTTATTTCATTTAGTCCAAACTTCTAAGACACTCCCGCCTTGACCCAGACAGCGCTCTTAAAACCCACACTATATTGGAAACCGCCAATGGCCGTAAAGATCATTGATTCCGACAATTGTACTACCCAATGGTCAATGATTTGGGAAAATCTCTTCCTTCGGGTCCCAATGAGATCCGAGGCAAACTGTCCGCTATCCTGCATCACACACCTCTCTCACTGGTTCTCGTCGAGTGTTACCGTTCCATCTGACTTTGACTTTTATTTTATTTTTCGCTCTCGGTGCTGCCCGAGAAGTTTGTTGGATGCTCTCCATTAAACCATGACAATGTCATTTGTTGGTGGGCTGCCACGCTACATGTCTTTAAAGCCCCCCATCTACCCAAGATGCTACTATACCTATAATGGATCCTGGTTAAATCTTTCCATCTGGCAGTCTCCGACACCCTAACCAGTTTTAGTGTCAGACTAGTCGCTATTTTTGTCAGCCTCTTGAAGTCCTGCACTATCAAGAGCGCCACTCTAGTCAAGGGTGGTTCCATAATTAGAGGACGAAACCGAGAAAACTAGCCATATCGCCATCTGCAGGCTAAGTAAGGCTAAGTAAAAAAAATACGCTTGCTTTCTCAAAGACGTACAAGCGAAGGTCCAGAGGGCTAATGGATGAATGCATGGTTGGGTAACATCTTTTCCTTCACTCATCCTCAAAGCTTGCTGTGTCTTTCTTTTTCTCTTCTCTTCTTTTCTTTTTCTTCTTTACTTCTTTTGTTTATTTCGGATAACTTGCTTTCGGAATCATTGTTTCCCTCCATTCTCATTCGTTCATCTTCACTTTCCACGGTCTCAGATCTCATTGACTTTGGCCCCGTAAAGCGGCACGACATCGTTGTAATGAGCACTTAGAACATTGTCTGTTTCTCTTTTTAGCGACATACGCCCTCAAGGGCTTGATTCTCCAACCTCTTCACTTTCGTTTCTTTTCCAGTCTCTCGTTTTGATGGTCTTACCTGTGAGGTTGGCCTTCAATACCTAAACAAGATGGCCGAAATCCTCCCCGTCTCACCTCTGGGGTGGGATAAGATGAAAGAGCATTGGTGGCAGTTCGTAAGTGGTTTATTGCATATCTGTTTCAAATCTCACTGACCAATACTTTTCTAGGTGTTCATCGGCATTTTAATAGCTAGTGTTGCTGCAGGTTGCTTGTACCTTCTGTATTCCGGAACAAAGAGAGTTCGCAAGTACTATAAGGTAGGTCTTCGTCTGATTATCTGTTTGTATCTGATCTGTCACTTACCCCACTCAAACTATAGACAAGGCCACGCTCAGAGAAGGTGACGCCTGTTGTATCTCAACGGTTGGCCAGTCTTTCTAACAAATTACTCCATCTGCCAAATATACAAAGGCGCAAGCCGTCTTCTTTTGGCATCTATCTGGGTTCATTTAGTTCCCCACCGGACAGGGATCAACTTCGACTTCTCAACGAATGGGACCTGTTGATTGTTGACCCCTTCCAGTCCGGCACGGCTCAAGCCATTCGGTATACAGAGAGCAAGCAGCTAATAGGAAGAGTGGACCTTGACCATGTTCTCTCAAAGGAGGAGTCGACATTATCAGCACTTGAGAAGATCGAGAACCTTCTCACCGGGACATTTGATGGTGCAAACTTCAGCGGAATGGTACTCGCCAATTGGGAAGGGAAATTCCCTGCCCCCGTATTCACTAAGCTCGTCGAGGTGATCGATGAGTTGGGCTTGGCGGTCTACGTGGAGACGGCACCCCCCGACTTTCTAGAGGACCACAATTCCTTGCAGAGTCCTGCTATTTCCGGAATCGTAGTTCAAAATGCTAGCATACTGCCAGACGGCCAGAAACGTGACTACTTTCAAATCGTGAAGATGCAACCCACCATCAAGGCGTTTGTCTCCGAGGCGTGCGTGAGAGATTTCGTAGTGATGGCATGGGAGACGATCGACGACAACGCCTCACTATCGAATGCCGTTGTTCAAAGGTCTCTACAGTGGTGTAACTTCTACAGCACAATTCCGTGGATTGGCCGGAAATCCGCTCTTACAAACGCTGCCCTGAACGTCACGATTCCAGAGCCCCTTTCCGCTTTTGGATGGCTGAAAGATGTCGAAATAATCAAAGCTCACGATCGCTGGCGCTCGAACTTACACATCAAGAATAGTGGTGCATCTGACATGAATGCTTGGAACACCTTATTGCCATTTTTCCCTGCCCTGGAAGACTTGCTTACTTCATCTGAATATGGCCAGGCTGAGAGCAACGATTTAACGACAAAAATGCGTGACCCGCCGGAGTGGGTAGCGCAAGTCAAATCTCTAGGGTGTCCGCTGTCCATATCAATGGCTGGCATCGAATATAACTCGTTTGGTTGCTTCCCCCTTGGATCTGAGGCGACAGCGGTCGCATTTGCTGAAGTCCTCCAGTCTCAACAGCGCCTCAAATCACTTGGCTTGCTCCACCCGGTTCCTACCTCGAAAGTTCAGAGCCTCGGTCTGCTACTTAAAAAGTTTCACGAATCATATATGCTTCCCAACTCCACTAGCTCAGACCCTTATGTACTTCCCAACGCGACATCGGACCAATTAGCAGCCTCGATCAAGGAACTGTCCAACATGGCATCAAATGGCTCATTACAGGTCAGCCTCGGACTGGATTCAGGTCTTCGCAAGAGTGTTGATGTGCGATTTTGGGCAGTTTATCAGATGGACTCGGATGGCTTCGAGGTTTTCGCTTCAAAGAACGCTCAAGGTCTTGCAGGAACGGTGCTACATACATTCTTATCTGCCAAAGGTTACCCTCGTCATGTTTGCTTTGAAGTAGAAACTGCTTTGGCCAAATGGTCCCAAGATCTCGTCAGAGATACTGGACTTCCTCGCCGACTCGTCCAAGATATCGACATGCTGAGCCCAGAGGAGCGACTGCTTCAACTCCAGCACCTCTCTTTGACTGATTCCTATAGTGAGGTCTCTGACACCATCTGTGCATATATCCGGAGACTGCTCATCGATGCGCCTTCGCTCGCTCAGTTGAAGGAGCTTAACACGGTCTCGTACCTTGAGGGCTCTGCTTCTCCTGAAGTGTTGATCAATACTCGTGTTAAGTGGTACCAAGAACAGGGAAGCCAGCATCCTTCCCCTTCAAAATGTCTCGCATTGTTCTACCAGGCGGATGCGACTTTCACTCAGATCCTGAAGGAGCATCGCGAAGGGGACCTTGCCTTAATATCAAAGGGCTTCTGCCAGCTGCTGCAGAATGACCACGTTGATGCGTACATGGATATCATGGCATTGGCACTGTTCTGTGCTGCAAGGAAAGGAGCCATTGATGAGATTTATACTGAGGTGACAGATCGTAACCCGTTGTTTAACAACCAATCGGACCAAGCGGCTGCTTTCTCAGAGTCGTTTGCTCTCGGGTCACGCTGTGAGGCCTACTTTGATGTTCAGCCTAGCGCGTTTGGGAAACTGCTCTCTGATCGGTTCAGAAGGGAGTACAACGACGAAAAGCTCCCCAATTGGATAAATGGCGCGCCCGAGATGGCCACATCTTATGCCGGTGCCCAAATCGATGTCAATCCGGACCATAAGGTTAAACCGATGCCAGGCTATCAGCGATTTACATTCCTGAGTGTTTTTGCATTTCCGGCCTTGATTGACATTATTCTGCTCACAATCATCGGTCGTGGTCTCTACCTTTCGGCCTTTATGACCAATGACGAGTTACAGAGTGCCACTATCGCTTTGATGATCTCCCTTCTCCTATCCGGTGCAATCGGTACGATGATTGCTTGTGGAGGACCCTACTACCTCATTTCAATGGCGTTTGCGGCGTCAAACATGTTTGTCCTCATCAGACTAATTGCAGGCTTCGCGTTTACCATTGCGACTGGGTTGATTGGATTCGTTGTCATCTCTGGTGTAAAAAGCCCGCGGGCTGGCATTATCTTCTATCTTTATCTAGTCGGCTTGACGATCTACCTTACAGGATTCGCTACCCTCGCCAGCTTTAGTTACCCTGGAACCGCTTTTTTGTCTGGGCGCAAAGTGATCTTCTCCTGCATACCTATTCTTTTCATCTCGCCTATCATTACTACATGGAGTGGACATGATTCGGCTATCTATATTGCTGTGATGTATGTGTTCATCGGATTTTTGCTACTCGGATTACGGTCAGTTGCCTCAAAATGGGTGACCTGGTACCAGAACATTAGGAGGACGGACGATACGGAAATCCGAAAATGGTACATCGCCACGTACGGTAATGACGACGAGAAGGTCTTCGGAAACCTGAGTGATCCAGCTGTCCTGAAGCTGTCGAGAGATGCACTTCTTAAGGATGTTCTAGCTGAAAAGTCCCGGAGCTTCCTCTCCAAGCCTACAACCGATACGCTAGTCCGTGAGCTTGCGAGAGATTGGGATTCGACAAACTTTCTTCTCGACTGGTATTGTCGCTACGCGGATGTGCCCCGGCCAATCCCATTCAGCTCTTCTTGGAACATCCAGACTAAGGTTGGTCTTGACGTTCTTCGCAACTCACAGAAAGGAATCCGGTTGCATAACGCCTTTATCCATTGGCGCCAATCGAGCCAAGAGATAGGCTGCGGAATCCTGTACTTTATCATAGCCCTGCTGGATAAATGGGTTGATCTATTGAGTGGTGGACAACTCGGTGGTTTCTTACCCTCGTTTTCAGATCCAAATGCCCCTCGGATGGCCGTCGGCTTTGGGTTGGCGTACTATCTCATTGGTGCTGTTCTCATTGATACTAAAGCCCAAGAGCTCCATGAGCTTGTGGGTAAGCATTCAGCCGTAGCCGTGGACTCAGCCAAGGATATACGCCCTTCGCAGAAGCGCGATGTGAGATTCAAGAGACAGGTTTACTGGAAGACCTTTTTCAAGTTTCTTATGTGGCTTGTATGGAGTTTGGCTATCGCAACAGCATTGATCTGGACTTTCCAAGCACCACCAGAAGCGATGATCATGTTTTTTGCCTACGTGTTGTCCTATACTGGCCTGCTGTGGTACCAATATACAAAGATTTTCACCGGTCCGCACGCTTTCATACCACTTATGGCTGGTGTGGCCGTTGGATTACCTATTGGTATTGGACTCAGAGTATCCTTAGGTAATAACTTCTTGTACTCGCAGGTGATTGGGCTAGGAGCTGCCACATGGACAGTTGCTATCCTTTCCCTTTTCACCGCCAAGATGGGCATGCCCAAAAAGGTCGATTCGCCGGTGGAACTTGGAAAGACATTTCACGCTTATACCGCTCCGTGGGCGGATCCCGAGTGGTCGCAGCAAGAGCTGCAGACATTCTATGAAGGAATATCATTTGTCTCTGCCGATGCGCGGTTGAAACTCGTTCCGGGTGCCCATCCTGGTATTGAAGTTAAGAACATTCTGCTTTCGCGGAGGATAGAGCCGAGAATTGAGGAGGCTTTCCCAGATGCGAAGAAACTCATCAGTACGGCTCTGGGCGCATGGGAAACGGGTGGAATATCCATTGAACTTGTTCCGTTGGGCTCACTTGGTCCAAACATCCAAGCTTTGAGCTGTAGTATGGCTGGTCACCTGCAAATTGCCATTTGCGTTGGCCGAGGACTGGATGAGCGGATTGATGTCAGTGCTAACTGCCAGGTCATCGCCGAGACTCTACTTCACGCGGTCGCCGAATCGATGATGCGAATGCCACATGAATACGCGGTGCTTTCTGAGTCTCTCGTTACCGCAGGTGTTACCGAAACCACCGCTCGACAACTCCGGGAGGAACCCGATACCCCGGTCGTCGTTCGCTGGGCAAAGAAGGAGCTTCTGCGACAGCTATGTCTCGGGTTCGAGTGTGATTCTCACTGGGAGAAGCTGCCTCAGAACATCAGGAATACGTTGTTGGATCGTTGCCTTGGTAGACCGTGTCTATTGTCTGATGTTAGTGTGAAGTGGCTCCAAGACAGCCTTTGTCGGTTTGACACGGATGATTTGAACGTGCACGTTGCTCGCTGCAACCTGGGAGCTGCAACTGCTGTTAGTATTCTCGACTATGCAAACTATGGAACCGGTGAAGCAGGAGCTATAAAAGATCCGGAAATCCCTATATATATTCCAGCTATCCCGAAGAAGCTTCCTATGGTCATGTCTCTCGTCCAGAAGCCGTGGAGCTATGCGTATCACGCTATTGGCACTGGGATCAAGTTCTTTATTGCCGCTTTACTTGCAGATCCCGAATTCCAGAGAGAGTTTGATCATGTCATGAGTGAACGCCACAAGTTAATTCGGACACCGCTTACGTTTCTGCTAAACATGGTCTGGCTATACGCTAAAGTGGTGCAAGATATTGGATTATCATTTTTCTTGTTCCATGGTCGGCCCAATGTGAAACGGCTTTGGAACGAAACCAAGGGTATTACCGTCAGTGTCAAGAAAAGTCGCTTCATTGTTCAGAGTTTGGAGGGTACCTTCACTGCTTTCAGACACAATGAACCTGATGGCGGTTTTAAGGTGTACTATTACTCTGGAGAGCACAAGACAGAACCAGAGGGTACAAAGCTTCTCAAATACGTCAGCACATACTCGAAGGACATGCTTTTACTTATCCGGCAGGAGTTCAAGGATGGCAAGGTGCTCAACGAGTATCACTATGACTACCGTGCTCCGACAAAGAAAAGCTTCACCCTATCCAAGGCTTCGGCAACTCGAATCCCCATGGGCCGGCGTTGTGTACGCGGACAAAATAACCTGCAAAGCGTTCAGTACAACCGTAAAGGTCTTATTGAAGCCGGCTCCTACATGAAGGATGGGAACCTTATTCGCTTCAAGTACCATTATCGCAAGAACCCTCGTTTCGGAGATGAGTTATTGCGCGCTGAGTTTTCGTTGACACATATCACATGCACAGTTTCCTGGTGTGCACCTCCTCTTCGCCATCCAGAAAAGGTCGAGCGGTGGATTCCTCATTCTAAGGTGACTGAAGCGACATTTGTCCAGGGAGCTGATGTCTATGAGGCTCGTTGGTTGTACGATCATAAGTTCCATCCCACGATTTTCACGACACTCAATGGACAAAAGGTGCAGACACCTCAGATGATCGAACACGACTTCTTAGGAGTCCTCGCCAAACCCAAACAAACAAGCTTCGTGAATGATAATCCGCTCGTATATTGCGACAGTCTCAATTCGAATGTTCTTACTCGTTTCCTTGGGCTGACAACTAAGCGCTTCCCTGTGTCCACTTCTCGTGCCCGTTCATTGCTATGGAAAGCCTGGAAAGACCGTGTGGACTTTGACGCGATTATGGTCCGTTGGATGGATGAGCGACTCCTGCGGAGAGATAAGACACTGGCTCCTTACTGGCGCGCTCGTAATCGTGGTGATCTGGCTACGGCGAAAAAGTATCTGGAGCTCCGCGCTGATTCCGTCACCGCCAGCGCTGATCTGGATGATAACATCTCCAGTTGGACCCCTCTTGCGGTGAAAATAAGTGATCTTTTCAACTTCGGACCAGGAGGTGATGCAGTAGTCCACACTAGGTCTAAGGACTTCGGCTCCGACACCGAGAAATCGTTGCATGTCATGGCTGCTGATACTGGTACTTGGCCGAACGAAGGAGGTGGTGTATCCGCCTGTCGACGTGATATGATTAACTCGTTAAGGACAATTAAGTGGCATATGATTTGCGAAGCCGCAAATGATTTTGGTATTCCCAAGCATCAGACGGAGCAAAATATTCTGTCATTGAAAGTGGTTCCACTTTGGGGCTTGGACTTCCTGAACCCGACACATGGTCTCTTCAGGAACAAACTCGATTCCGAAGTAGAAAATGTCACCTCTGCCAGTGATATGGACATCAAGCTCAACTTCATCCCAATCCTGACCGCTCTAGTGAAGGGAGCCCGTGCGACTCACCTTTCAAAGGCTGATATCCACCAGGCAACTCGGGCTTTGGTCAACTTGAACACATACTTCCAGGATTCGCGGCATTGGACCCAGATTTGGAACAGCGACATTGTCAAAGAAAGCTGGAGAGATCTTTGGCTTACCCAAGAGATGCCTAATACCGTTCCATCGTCCGAGTGGTTCCGCACTGAGCTTCCAACCCTAGCGTCACTTGATACTGCTCTGGAGCTCTGGTATCGCTATCTCTTCATTTTCTCGATTCCAATTCCTGAGAAGATCCCAAGCATCTTCCAAGCATCCCATCACAGTGTCAGTGCATCTTATGGAGTTGTGTGCAAAATGAAGAGAAACTGCACTTTGCAGATCTGGGATCATGCCATTAGCTGGCGTGAAACGAACCTTTGTTTGTCCTCAGCCCTTTGCAAGCTTTCTCCGTTCGTTCGAAATGCTCTTCTGGGATTGATGCGGATCACGTCAGCTCTTACATTGCATCACGCCGACATTATCCTCCCTTGTGCGGATTTCTTTAACCCGGGCTGGGAAGTTGAAATTGGTACCTGCCAAGGGACCATTGAACATCGCAACGTTTTCCGTAGAAAAGTCGATCCCGTTGTCAATGGTATTACCGACATGCAGAAATTCGCCCCCGTGAAGGAGATCAAGTCTCAGCGCCCTACAGTCACTATGTTGTCGCATGTGTGGTATGCCAAGGATATCAAGACAGCTCTTCTTGCTGCCGACATCATTATCAACCAGTGGAAATTCGATGATTATCACCTGGACATCTATGGAGCTATCGACAAGGCACCAACATATTCTACCGAATGCCAGGAGATCATCGCCTCCAAGGGTCTCCGAGGCAAGGTTACTCTCCGTGGTACCGCAGATCCGATGAAAGTGCTCGAAAACACCTGGCTGTTCCTTAACTCCTCATTGTCTGAAGGTCTGCCCTTGGCTTTGGGAGAAGCTGCCCTGACTGGTGCCCCCGTGGTATGTACCGATGTTGGTGCATCTCTTCGTGTTCTGAGTGACCCAGACGACTTCTCTCGCTACAGTGCCGTCGTTGCACCCAATGATGCCCATGCTCTCGCAAAAGCGCAGATCACCATGCTCGGCCTTCTGGGAGAATGGAGCCAGTATACCGATGACACTGAGCCGGCACCTGTACTTACCTCCTCCCCAACACCAGAAGATGTTGCCAAGATCACTCGTCGCATGTACGAGAAGAGCGAATATCGCCGCAAACTCGGTATGAAGACCCGCGATATCGTCCAAAAATCATTCAGTGGCGACCGGTATCTCCGCGAACACGAGCAGATGCTCTGGATTGGCAAGTCCGCCAAGATTATGGCCAACAGGGTTGGAGGAGCCATCACCGAGCCCACAGACATAGCGACTGCCATGCGCCAGACTCTTCCGATCGAAGAGGAAGTTATCACCATCCCACGCAGCGCCGTGCACTCGTGGCGCTCTTCTACCGCGTCGGGCGTGTCAGGCGTCTCGACCGTGTACAGCGGTGTGTCAAATTTCCCAATGCTGAACGGCTACCACCGCCCGTCCTCTATTCGCTCTGGTATAACCAATACTTCGACGGATACAGAATCTTTCCTCCCTCTCCCAAGTAGCTCCTCTCTCCCTGTCTTCGCTCCTCGTCAGACCCTAGCATATCCCAGTACTCCAGATGGTCGCCTCTCACCTTCTGGACGACTCTCGCCGCTGCCCAACCCTAGAAGCAGTGGTCGTCGATCCATGTCGACCGCAGGCCGCGAGCAGCTCCGCGGTCTCGGACGCGAAGAACTAAACCCCTACCGCAATTCAGACGTCAGTACGATCATGAGAGATGAATTCCTCCAATCAAGCATCTACAGGAACATCGAGGGCAACAACAGCAACAGCAACATGATCTGAAAAACAGAAGAATCTTTTTCGTTATCTTCTCCATTTATTTTCCCTTTGCATTGATCCCTTCAATTTCCTTGAATATCCTATGACCGTGATTTATTTGGGCTATACCCCCGGCAGACAGTAATTGCTAATCTGTCATTGTCTATACCAACCATATACCCCCTAGATGATGAAGAGCTCGTTGTAAATAATTGCATCTTGCATATACTTTCCTTTATCATGCATCGACTTCATCATTGTCACATTCATTCTTTTTTGTCCATTTTGGCCTGCGTTGGCGGCATTATGTGTCTTCATATTTCCCAAATTGCATTTTTCTTTCAATTAATACGGGATAGATGGTTGCATTTACAAGCGTGAATTTGATTAATATTTTGCGACACTTCAAGATTTATACTTCATGAAACGTAAAAATCTGTTTGCATTGTTGCAAGAGGAACATTTACAAGAAAACTACGAGCTTTAATATCGTCTGTCGGGTTTATATGATGGTCTCGCGAGAAATTGGAAAATTAATGCGCGAAAAACGGTAAAGACCGTTTGGCTTTATTCCACATTGAATCTTCGGGGACAGGATGCGCGATCTGGTGCCATTCCCCGTTGAATGCGTTAATAAGCCAGTTTGAGAGACCTGTGGATCCTCGTTAGTCTGTTTTCAGTAGACATGGAGAGCTGCGGTGAAGACGTACGCTGGTATATCATGAAATGCGCGTTATGGAAGTAGATGGAGTGATCGGAGTCGGGGTAGAAATGCATGTCATAGTTCTGTACATTGGACAAGTCCAGCTTGTCGAGGAATGTTAGGGTGTTTTGGATATGTACGTTGTCGTCTGAGGCGCCGTGGATAAGCAAAAAGCGCACAGCATTTGAAAGTGCAGCCATGTCGGTGATGGTCGAGTTGTCGTAACCGTAGGGGTTGTGTTCTGGTGTATGCATATATCGCTCTGTGTATATTGAATCTGAGGGTATTGGTGTTAAGGGCTTATTTCTGTGAAAGTGAAGACAGGTTAAAGGGACTCACCGTAGAATCTCCAGTTAGTGACGGGAGCAACAGCCATCCCATATTGGAATGTTTCCCCTGCATCTTGCTCGAGAATCTTCAGTGTCATGAATCCACCGTAACTCCAGCCCCAGATTGCCATTCGCGTCTCATCAACATATGGCTTCGCAGCCCACATTTTCGCGGTGGCGATCTGATCATGCGCTTCGTAATGTCCCATATTCCCGCGGATTGCGCACCTCACTTTTCGTCCGCTGTATCCTGTACCCCTCGCGTCAAGAGTCACGACAATATAACCTAGGTTTGAAGCAATATAAGATTGAAAGTCAATCGTGAACTTGCGATCCACCCTCTGCGAGGCTGGACCATTATATAGCTGGAAGACAACGGGGTACCTCTTAGCTGGATTGAAGTGCGGTGGGCGACGCTCAACGAGCTGAAGGGTGAAGCCATCAATAGTCACATTTTGGTAGACTTCGGTCGGAAGAGCATATGTTTGCACCATGTTAGTTAATCCGGGGTTCTCCTCAATGGTTTTCTCAAATGTAATACCATCGCCTTCAGTGTTGATGATAGCCTGCCATGGGACCGACGGCCCATCGTAGCTAAGCAAAGCATACCCGGCACCGCTAGAGAAGGACACGGAATAAAAGCTTGGTTTTGAAGTGTCTGTCAAGGGCAGAAAATTTGATCCATCAAGCTGAACGCGGTACACGTGGCGTTGTGTCGGAGACTCCTTTGCCGCCACAAAATAAACGATGCCTCTGCGCAAGTCCACAGCGGATGGTGCGTCCACAACCTCCCACTCACCTGTGGTGAGCATGATGGGATTAGGATTGTCCAGAGGCGTAAAGTAAGCTAGATGATTGTATCCATCATGAATAACAGTGTCGATATAACCATCATGTGGTCGTCCGTTGCTGGGGTCCGCTGGGATAAACTTGGTATAATGCGAAGGTTCGACCCAGCCACCATCAAGACCGGCGATATCTTCGAGTCTAACCATCTTGCCTGTTCTTGAATTTGTATCAATCAGGAAGATCTTTACCACGTCACTCTCTCGGTTTGTGGCACGAACGATGACCTTTCCCTCAGAAGCCCACAGCACCTCTATGATGATACGGTCATCATCGGGGAAATCCTCAGGTACGTCGACAGGGAACACCTCGTCTTTCTCGACGTCGTAAAACTGTAAATTGACTACAGGGTTCGGAGACCCAGCTTTAGGGTATTTGATCTGTCTAACCTCAGGATAGTTCTCAAGTCCTGGAGGGGGTTTTTTCCCCGATGGCCTTGACACGAAGTACTGGACCGGGAATTCAGGAACGGCTGACTCGTTAGTTCGAAGGAAAGCAATGAATTTCCCATCGTTCGACCACCATGTCACACTATTCCGCGTGATAACCTCTTCTTCGTATACCCAATCGGGTACTCCGTAGAAAAGGTCCTTGCCGCCGTCTTTGGTAATGGGCACAACACTTTCTGAAGACAGCTTTCGCAAGTACATGTTATTGTCTCTGACGAACACTACAGCATCCGAGTTCGGGGACCAAAGTGCAAGTTGCAGTCTTCCGTCTGGGACACTGGGATCCACTGGCTGAGCCGTTTGAGTATCCACATCGAAGATCCAATAGTTCCCGGTGTATGAGTATCTCCAGTTCGTCTCGTGGTCTGACATGAGCAACACCTTTTTCAGGTCCGGACTAGGCCACGTATAGACAGGAATCACGGCATTCCCGTTGACTCGTACAATAGGATTCTTCATTAAGACTTTACTTTTCTGGCCGTCAACATCAGCGCCTTCTTGATCCCGAATATCATCGACCAGTAGATAGCCTTCTTTATTAGCCTCTCCTTTCTGCACTAACAACCCATCTTCCCCATTCGAGCCTGCAATCCACGAGATGGCGTGATGCCGAGGATTCCATGCTCCTGTAAGGACTTGTTCCAGCGTCACAGGCTTTCCGGCGCTGGTGCTCCCCGAATCCGATTCAGGCTGCTTCAAAGTATCGGACGCTGTTTGATAGCTCGTGCGACCTTGAGTCAAAAACAGTACCAACGCCAGCACCCAGCCTCCCAGGCACAGTAGTATCAAAGCCCAGAATATCTGACGCGTGCGGCTTCCCGATGTGGCCTTCTTAGACGAGGTATGGAGGAACGGCTCATCGACATCAGGATCCCCATCCTCCACATCGCGGTATCCGGTATCGTCAGCCGCTTCCGAGGCGCCATTCGCGAAGGCGTTCGGTTTGTTCTCCTCAAGGTAGGTCGTATCGACGGACAAGCCTGAATCGGTGGAAGTGCGGGAAGATGCGCCGGACGTGGACCTTCGGCGGGTCATGGGAAAGAACTCCGCATTTTCAAGGTCTTCGGACCTCCCCTTCATTATTGGCTCGTGTGGGGGGCAATTCGAAGGGATCGCATGCAGCGAGAAGGTAGGTGATAAGATAGCGGCGAACGTGCAGTAGGTGGGCGAACGGATAAGGCCAGATGGCTATCGCGGAGTTGGGGTTGAGCTGTGCTTATGTTAACGACACGAGGTCTTTTCATACCCCCATGGAACTGGATAAGGAAAGGGTTACCTCCAAGAACAGACCATCTCGATTGGTTCGAGAGGATGAGTTGTTGAAGGTCCAGGTTGTTGCCTGGATACGAGGAGTGGTCAATGGCAAAAGAAGTCTTGGCACAATAGGTGTAATTCGATTGTGTTATTGAAGCCCATTTCCAGTTTGACTACGGTTATTTGTGGACCGTCCTTGGGTGGATACTACAAGGTAACCAACCCATTTTTTGGAACAAAGCAACCTAACTGTTCGCTGGTGAATCTATAAGAATGGAATAAATAGGTCAATCGCCGTCAAAACAAGTTCCCAACATTAAAATAAATAAAGCCATTACAGTACTTAGAGTACAAGCAAGGGGTATTAAACTGCAACTCCAGCGAATCCATGATAAACCCACCCAAACACCTTGCAATGCTCATCTAAAACCCCTACTAATACCAGAGGCGCTTTCGTCCTTGTCCTTGGCCTGATCTTCTCCAAGTCCATTTATTTTTCAATTTTCCTGGAATCATATAGGGAGGATGTGCGAAGCGCTAGACGGTAGGCTCCTGAACTCACGAGCCACCAGGCATCCTCGTCAAATACTGGCTTTGTTTTGAGCGTTTCAATCAGCCGACACACGCTGCCGTACAGTCGCTTCATCTGAAGATAGGCCTTTCTGGATAAAACATTCGCCCTTTCTTCATCGGTGGTGATTCCGTCGCCGCTTGGTACAACCGATTGAGTGTCCATGTCCACGTACGTTTGAACCAGAGACCGATAGAACAACCCGCCCTGTTCTAGGATGCAGTTGCAAAGTGGATGCAAGAAGACCCGGTAGTCGGCTGCATCCGAACATATTTCGCAGAAACTGAGCTTCTCCAGTAAGTCTATGATCTGCGTCAGGTATTCTAAATCGAACTCCTTGGTCTCTATCGAGGAGCAATTCGGCGCATTGTAAACAAGATTCCGTGCTTCCACTGCCATATAGTCGCAGCCGCACTGTGATAGGAGGCCGGAACCTCCATGAACGACGGCAGTATTGGGCTTCGGCCGCTCTGGGGTGGGCTCATCTTTCACCTCTTTCGCAATGCCCTTTCCCTTTCTGAACTTGCCTCTCAACATTCCTAGGAAGAGGCCCATCTTGCTTGGCTAATGTATGGAGGGGATGCCAGTGATTCTTGAAGTTCTACGAACGTGTGAAGCAAGTGCTTTGGTGGCAGAAAAGCTCGCTAAGCTGGGCAACTCTTCATAAGCGGCCACTTCACCGAACCATGGACTATAGACTTGAATGACTGCAGATGATGTGAGGTTGACGAGTAAGCACAATTTGGCCATGGTGCTATTCTTCGTCGCTTAACATGTCTGGTGTACAGAGAGCCATGGATGCCAAAGGCTTTTATTATGATGTCGTAGCCTCATCATCGATCGCCTGGTTTACACATCGAGGGTTCGAAAGAAGCCAGCGATGAGGGAGCTGTTAGCTGAGCATAATGGGGACATGTACATACATAATCCATGCGTATCATAGGACAAAACCTCCCCTGAGAAAGTTTTCGGTAAGGCGATCACATTAAGTGTGTAAAGTTAAACGATATGCCCGCGAATTGCCTGTAACATAAATTGTATGTGGCACATGCTGCTGTGTCTGTAAACATAGTAGAAGCCTTTTGGTTTCTTCTCGTATTTTGTCTCTCCTGTCTCTTCTCTTTTCTTTTTACTTTCTCTCTTTACCTTTGTTAAATCTTTTTGGCTTGTCGATTTCATAGCTGAATGTAACCCTGGGAAACAAACGAACAAAAGACAAAAAAGAAAACAATCAGTTGGTTGCCTATTATGAAAAGGATTGGATCTCGCACTGAACAAGACAAGAATAGTAATTAATCATTGTTTGCAGATCCAGGCCCGGCGGGGCCACAGGGCTGAGCCATTCAAGTGGACGACGCGTCAGTGGCAGTGTTATTATTGGCGAACGAGAAGGAATAGGGGAGAGTGGGTGAGGAGGGGAAAAAAATTTACTAGAAAAAATGGAGGGGGTGGGAAAATCGAGTGACGAAGTTGTCACAGCTAAAATAACTTAACTTATTATTATGTGTACGCGGTAACAGATAGGTTTATCTCTCTCCCTTCTCTCCCTCCCTCTCAATCGTCTAACCCAACGATTCTTCTTTTTCTGCCCCCTCCGCCATTCATCAATCTCTGTATATACCTAGAGACGTGCGATAGACTAAAGCAGAAGTTCCACAAGAAAATACCAAGGAAACCAAGACGCTTCTTGGCATTGACCCGAAGAACGTCATTGTCCTGCCTCACTCACATTCATACCCTGTTAGGCAGACGGATTTTTGATCTCGCCCAGCTTTTTTTTTTTTAAGTTCTTTTGTCTTAACTAGAAAAGCCCTATAAGGCTGATGGTCCTCCGATCTGGGGTTCAGTCTTCCAAGAATCACACCTAACTAATCGCTCATCATGCATGCGGAGAATCCTCTACACGGTCCCGCCGAAGTCAACTCGGTCGGCCAGCAGTCGGAATCCCAGAATGTCGCCCCACCTGGGCAAATCCTGACAGGAAAGCAAGAACACTGTCAGTTAACTCCTTTCTAGGTAGAGTAGATGCTAAGGGGTAGCTAACTTATAACTGGTACAGACCTCAAGCGCGAGCTCATCGCCCGCCAAGTTCAAAGTGAAATCGCCGAGTTGAACTCTCCGACAGCGCTTCAGCGTTTTGGCGCCCCTTTCAGGTCGGAGTACGGAGAAGTTGCCCCAGTCGACTCGGAACTTCCCATCCTTCGATATATCTTCGTTCACCATGTACGCAATTTTCCGTTCCTCGATAAGGCCCGCGAGAAAGAGTTTTGGCAGGATAAATTACAGGTGGTACGTGTGGATCCTTTCGCTGGAAACCAAGCATATTGGAGACTCACAATACACACCTAGTTCCTGGAATCCTTCGCAAAGAAGCATGTGTCGTCGTCCGAAGATCGATTAGAGGAGACAAAGCGCAGAAAGTTGGCTAGGAAGTGTGAGAAGCTCGTTGAACTCATGATGGTATCAGGAATCCCAACGGCATCGGGGTACGAGGAGCGAATCCAGTTCTCGGAAATGGAGGTTGTCGAACGCGGCGCGAACGATAATGGTCTATTGGTTAATATGCCAGAAGGGAATGCCATTCATGGCTGGGATGTCAATGTGGCTGCCGTACGGATCACTTCCGTCAGGCGGACAGTGCGATATCATCAACATGCGGTAAGCCGATATAGTCATGGCTTGATCCAAAACGAAAGTTTTAGCTAATGGCCGAGTCAGGAATTCATTCTTCGTGTGCGTCGAGAAGGAAAATCGGACATCTTTGTGGCCCGACGGTACGGAGACTTCGCGAAGCTTCATAAGAGACTACGCACCGAATTTCCCGGGAAATCACTGCCAGTTCTTCCGCGCAAGAACAAGTCGTCAACGACATCGAGCTTCTTCTCTTCAAATGATGATGACGCCTCTTCAGTCTCCTCCTTGTCTAGCCAGAGTGGAAGCATGCCGGATGAAGGACAAGGCTCTCGGAATAGCTTGGCTCCCGGAAACCCTCTGCATCGCTCTGCATCGCGGTCATCTATGCGCTCTGCTTTAGGGAAATCCCCTAAATCACCTAGAGCCTCAGCAGAGACCTCTCGAGAGACAGTGCTCTATAGAGAAGAGCAACGTGTTTCGCTTCGAGCGTTTCTTCGCACACTATTACAGAACAAACGGGCGGCTGAGTCAAAAGCTTTGGAGGAGTTCCTAACTGCAGAACCCGTCACTTTGAATGAGGAGGAATTAATTGACATGCAACGCAGAAAGGAAGCAGATGCTATCAGGATAGAAGAGCAGAAAAGGTTCTATGAGATCGCTAGACAGCGCGCAGCCGAGCTGGATGTATACATGGAGAACTTCCGTCGGGAAATTGTGGAGAGCAGTAAGTGTCAGATCTTTAGATCTATAGCATTCCACTGATTGTCATGTTTCTTTCCTAGATGGGTTGACGAAGTTATTCGCGGAAATTCGAGAGAAGCCCACGGTAGAGGATCTCAGTCCTCAATATCAGAAGTTTGCGGAATGGCTTCGAATTGAGTACGTGATTATTCAGCATCACGCTCACTATTTGAATAGCTACTAATGAAACCTAGGGTTGCGGCAACATTGTACCATCTGTTCTTGGCTGAAGACAATTCCCCGGAGCTATTCGCACAGTTTAAGAGGATACATTCTCTTGTCCCGTACACACTGATGAAGAATGTTATCCGTATTGCCAACCCTGCAGCCGTTATGTCCGGAGTTTTGGATCTTTTCCTTGCTCAGCCCTTTGGCTCACGATCACTTCTACAGCGAATCTTTTCCATGACTCTAAATGATGGAATCAAACAATTCCAAAAAGCTATTGACGCGCTTGTTTCCAAGGTTGATGATCCGTCTCTCTGTCAAAAACTGAAGGCATTCACGGACGCCGATGAAGACACCAAAAATACGATTCGTGCTGAGGCCGAGAAGGAAGATATAGATATCCTAGTGGCAATTCTTCGGTCAAACCTCTTCTCACCCGAGCTCACTGAGGAGCAATATACCAACGTCTTTAATGGATATGTGGCCTGGAATATGGTGGTGGATAGTGTCGAAGCAGAGATGCGTGATGGTGCACAATGGTTTGCAAACATGAAGCAGTTGCTCAAACTCTACACGCGCCAGCGCGATAAGGCCATGATGCTCAGTATTGTCGAAGAACCCGTCACCTTGCAACTCTTTCGTGACCTGTTCACTATATTCTACGAGCCACTCGTGCGAGTGTATAAGTCCGCAAATGTTTATAACAGTATTACTGATTTCGCTCAATTCGCTGACGACGCCATTGCCGTGATTGAAAAGTGTCAGCGACAAGACGTATCTGCTGATCCGAACCAAACCGTCCAGGCCTTTATCGACCTCTGCGAACGTCACCAAGCGAGCTTCTATAAGTTCGTTCATGAAGTCCACCTCCATGATAATGGACTCTTTGGCTCTCTGATGGGGTGGATTGAAGATATCCTCGACTTTCTGCGGCACGGACCTGTTGGCGGCAGGCTTGACATGAACGCCTTGCTCCATGGAGCCAAAGATATGGGACAGGTTGATAAAAACAAGATTCTCGAGGAGATCAACGCACTTATCAAGTGGCATGAAGACCGCAAACGGTGGCACCTAAACAAAACAAGACAGAAGATGGCGGCTGAAGGAACCGGGAATGATCCCTTCCCCACCTTTAAGGGAAGCGACTTCGGCTTAGACGAGGTACGTTATAGCTAACCTAGTAACCAATGATCAAATGTATCCTAACCACTTCATTAGGGTGACCTCGAAGATCTTGCCATCTCAGACGCAGAGTCTGATCCTGCTGATGAGGAAGATGAGGAAGATGACCTTGACCCGATTTCTGCCGAACGACGACGCCGGGTCAAGCAACAAGATCAACTCCGTCGCACGGCTGGCGAGCCTGTTAAACCCGAGATCCACGAGATCCCCAAGCTAACCGAATCATTTGGAGTAATGTTACGGATGGTACTTGCTGAATAGGTTGGCTCCTTTGTTGTGATACCCTAGATATATCCCTTTCGACTATTTCGAGTTCGTTGGTCGATTGCATTTCCGGCTTTCGTAGACAAAGAGAGCATTCCCGCATGTCAGATTTGTTGATCGTACAATCTTTTAATGCTGCTGCCCTCATAGCATAATAGAAAAGAGCTTTGATTTCCATAATCAGTTTTTATCTTATGGGGATGATCCACTTATTATCCCAACTTGAAACAAGGTTGTAGAACAAACTACTGCACTTGGGATTAGCGGCCCGTGGTTGGCAGCGGGCGCTAAACCCTTTCGCTCCACCTTTATCGCCTTCCGACATCGGTTTCCATAGCGACACCTACATACTTGCCCATACTATCATGATGGTGTCTCTCCCCTTATCTTTAACCTAGACTCCGTCACTCGCACAAAACCACCAACCATATTGTTATCGAAACAATGATATCTCCCCAAAGGCATAGTAACAGTGCCGCATCCCCTCGCATCTCTGCCCCCTTGCGGGGTCTCTTCCTCGACGGCATTTGGCGCTGCAACTGTATAGAACGCCCTCCGGCAGTGAAACTACTAACCAAAAACCATGGCATAAACCATGGAAGATGGTGTAAGGCTCCACCCTGTCCCAGCCCCAACCTCAAACCAAACCTCAATCGCAAAGCTAACCCCAGACCCAGTCTACACCTGCCAACGACCCCAAAAAGACCGCTGCAACTTCTTCCTTTGGGCCAGCGACGCCGAAGCCCGCGAGAAGCTCACCATTCTATCCAATTCAAAAACAGAGGCCCAAACCCCCACCAAAACCCCCCATCATGATTCAACCGGCCTCCTCACCCCGCAAACCGACCGTCCACTCCGAAATGCACACTCCTCAGCACCGAGATCCTTCCACAGCCCCCCGAAGAGCGCGAGAGCGCGCATGATGGCCGAGGACACAGATGACTTCGGATGGGACGTTAGCATATCGGGCGAAGTGACACCGATATTGGATAGGCCACGCCAGCCGGACTTTGGACGGCCGGTCGACTCGCAGGACGGGCCAAGGAAGACACTACGGAGTGATTTGTTCCCGTCTCCTGGGAAGCGGAAGCTGGCTGAGGTGGAAAGCGTGCCGAGTCCTACGCCTACGTCGGTATTTTCGCCGAGGTCGAGTATGAGAGGTCGGGTTCCCCCGGCGTCTGCGGAGATTTCGAAGACGCCTACGCCGAGCAAGTATAGGGATGTGGTGGGTGGGGATACTGGGGGTGAGATGTCGGAGCTGTCGGAGCTGTCGCTTCAGGCGTTGAAGATCTTAGAGGGTCATGGTGCTGTTGTGCCGAGGAAGGCGCAGGATGCGCTTGCGGAGTTGTTGAATAGGTATGATTTGAAGACGAAGGGGATTATTCGGGGGCGGGATATTTTGCGCATTGTGATTAAGAAGAAGGATGTGCAGATTATGGAGCTTAATGAGAGGGTTGCATTATTGGAGTCGGAGAGGGGATTGAGAAGGAGTATGAATGATGAGTTGAGGGGACAGTGATGCTTGTTTTGATGGAGTTGAGGATACCCCCGTGGCCTTTTTTTTCTGTTTGCTTTTAATGCGATTTTCATTCACTTCTCGTCTCGGTTTTGTGCAGTGTCTTTGTCAATGCTTAGAAGCGATCGTAGCCTTCGTTTCTGTTCTGGTGCCTATAGTGGATAGATTGTATGTATGTTTGCTTTATTACTAGGCCATATGGCAAAAGTATGCTATCCTTTGTTCCCATGCCATTGATAATATATCAAACTTAATTTACACCCGATACTCTCTAGCATTCCATGTGATCGAAGTAGATCTTATCAAGATCGAGATATGTCACGTGCTGATAAATAAAATCGCGAACCCAAAACCCCAAAATCAGTGGACCAAAAAACCCCATTTCCGCGAAATAGAATCCACAGTCCAAGCAAACGATGCCCTATCGCCCGTTCTCCTAACGACCCTTACAAAGAATCCTGAATTTCTCGATTACGAGAGAAAATTATCGTCCATGGACTCCACAGCCGGCCGCGACGCCTCCAAGACGCTCAACAGCGACCTCCCCACCATGTTCCGACCCCCCGTGAACCGCGCAATGCGGGTTTTGGATCGCTCGTTCTTCCAGAAGACGGTGCCGTTATCCGCCGCAACGATTTTCAAGACCTCCGATATCTCAAGGGTGCGCGGTCAACTGCACAAGAGTCGGGACTTGCTAGGTCTTCCGAGAATGAGTTCGGTTCGGGAGGTGACGGTTAATGATGAGGTGAAGAAGTGCTTGCTTTTGAGGGAGGGAATAAAATATGATGGTTAGTTTTGTTGGCTGTGCCGTCGGGGTTTTTGATGCTGATGTGTGGCAGATGTTACAACTTGGTCGCCGACCATTAATGAACTTGTGGAGAATGGTGCTGTTGGGGTTAGACGGTATGACTTAGATCTGGACTATGATTATTGGACATATGGTGAGTAACAGTTACTCTGGTGCTATTCCTTCTTCTGGGAGTTTATGAAGCTAATGTTGTATGCTATAGCCGAGATCATGAACGCAATTATGCCGGAGGATATGCTCGAAGAGCTCCCTCAGGGGTTTACCCAGGTGGGGCATGTTTGTAAGTCTGCTCTTACTACGTAATCGTTTTCCCCGGTCTAACAAACTATAGCGCATCTGAACCTTCGCGAACAATATACCCCCTACAAACACCTCATTGCTCAGGTCTTGAAAGACAAGAACCCGACAATTCGGACCGTGATTCGAAAGACCGAGGATGTGGGCGCCCACAGCGAATTCCGCACGTTTCCATTCGAGTTCTTGGCCGGTGACGAGGATATGAACGTCATCCAACATGAGCAGGACTGTGAATTCCGCTTCGACTACTCTCGTGTGTACTGGAACAGTCGTTTGGAGACCGAGCACCGTCGGCTGGTAAACAAGTTCCAGCCGGGCGAAATGGTTTGCGATGTGATGGCTGGTGTTGGTCCCTTCGCTGTTCCAGCGGGCAGGAAGAAGATCTTTGTTTGGGCAAATGACCTTAACCCGCACGGGTTTGAAGTAATGGAGGATGCTGTTCGCAGGAACAAGGTGGATAAATTCGTGACACCATTTAACCGGGATGGAAGGGCATTTATCCGCTGGTCTGCCAATGAGCTTCTTCAAGCGGAACCGGTGACTGTAGCTATCGAAGGAAAATCGAGGAAACAGAGGAGGAGCGCTCAAAAACAAGAGCTATCTCCTGCTCCCCCAGCTGAGGTCTATCATCGGCCCAATGTGTTTGGTCACTACGTGATGAACCTTCCAGCGAACGCTCTTGAGTTCCTCGATGCATTCCCTGGAGTTTATGCTGGCAAAGAATCCCTATTCGCACCGCACACATCGACGCCTCTTCCAATGGTCCATGTATATTGTTTCTCTGGTCACTCGGAAAATGAAGTGGACGACCACATCGACATTTGCAATCGCATCTCAGAACGAATTGGATACACTATTACGCCGGAAGATCGAGTTGGGGGTAGTGGAAACGCGGAGGTAGAGCTGGCCATTCACAATGTGAGATTGGTCAGCCCCAACAAGCAAATGTTCTGTGCTAGCTTCCGCCTACCTAAAGAGGTCGCTTTCCGACAGGTATAATGCGGGAGTGTGGCAATAAGATCATCGCATTGCAGGGGGCGTTCGGGCCATGAATAGATTATTGATAGATCAGAAAATAGTCAATCTCAAGCTGATACCCTTTTCGCTCGACCGTTGAGAACATTATCTCGATGAATTAGCCTGTGGTCTTTTATTCACTTTTGATTAGGTTGTCTCACTGTACACAGGTATTAAAGGCGGTAAGTCCACGACCGCCTTTTGCTGCCCACATCAAACTCCGCCCGCCAGAGTTCTCCCGATCCCGCATGAGAGTCAACGCCTACCTCCAGATCCAAACATCCGGACAATTATAGCGTCAATCTTCGCTAGCTATTGAAACAGAGAATTTGTCGTGACCAATACACTACGATACAACAGACACCAACCCACAATGAGCGTTCAGTTGCCACCCCCAACGCATCGCAAGCGCGCCTTGCCCCAAGGTGAACTCGAAGCCGCCTCAACTCTCAGGTTAGGTGCAGATCAAAACACACATACCTTGTCGCTTTCTGAAGCGAGACTTGTCATCAATAAAGTGCTAGAGAACAAGCGCAGGGGGGGAAAGAAATACGAGGAGCCGGAGTAAGTGCTAGGACACGGCTAGTGTCTTAACAATGCTGAAGGCCGCAAGCATGCTCACATGTTTCTTGCAACTTAGGAACTTGACCAAGACTTTGGACTATTTGGAAGTGTTTGCTCGGTTTAAGGATGAAGAAAATATCAAGGCAGTCGAGCGACTGCTCAATTCGCACACAGAGTTGGAGATGTTCGAGAGGTCACAATTGGGTTAGTCCTTCTCCTTTGCTTTTTCTTCCCCCCTCTTGGCTTGTGACTTTTCGGCCGTCTCTATTTTAGATCTTTTTAGCCGGGCCGCTTTTTACCCCAATATGCATGTAACCCGTTAGTCTAACCAGAAGATAGGAAGTTTGTGCTGCGACAATGCCGAGGAGGCCAAGTCCCTCATTCCCAGCTTACAACACAAAATCTCCGATGGCGATCTGCAGGAGCTTTTGGATGAGTTGACCAAGCTGCGTAACTTCACAGAATAGTGGATCGGCATAAATCCTTCTATGTGACGGGCCTATATTATACCTTTCTTTCTTGTTTTCTTACACCTTTTGGCTGGGTTTTTGTGCGTGAGTATAGCATGGAGTTTAGGAGTTGAAGATAACCAAAGAAAAACAAACAGATGATGTAAGTAAAACTGCATCTTCGGAAAGATGATCTAATAGATATTGGATCGGAGTTCAGGGGGTGAATTTGCGGGTCGATAAGACCTGGGGTTGCTCGGCCTTGTGGGATAGTAAGGTGACATTGCATACTTCCAGAGTAATAACCAGTTGTCCAGAGTTATAGATAACCCATTGGAACCGGGAAGAGATTTGATAATGATAAACTGTAGCCGGGAAGTCATTGGTTCCAGGCGACGAAAAGATGAAAGTTTGCCGTGCAGGAAGGCGCATGCGATTCCTCATTATCATTCATAATTATTAAGTAATGAAATCTTAGCTCCTGCAAATGACATGCAATATTTACATGTAAACTTAATAGAGTGTGCTTTAAAGGAAGCGATAAGGTAAAAAGGCGTTCCCGAGAGTAGTTTCTCTACCTCCTCGCATTAGGATTGTACCGAATCACTCGTGCCCTCGAGGAGCTGACGAATCATGATTTCATCAAACTACTACCACCACTACTACTCCTAAAGTACTATCTGTCTGCTTATTTATGACTTAATCTTGATGGATTTGTGAAAAAGAAATCAAAGGTTTAAAAGAAAAAGAAAGAAAGAAAAAATTCCAAAGATTAGATCTCTCTAAGGACATTTAACTAGTACTAGTACAAGATGATTGGGATTATTAATAGCGTCCCATAGCTACGTTACGGAGTCTGTCCATTTCTCCGTGCCAATGTCGGTACTCTTACAGTCTTGTATCTCAACCGCAGTGGTGCCCAATCAACCGCCTGGACCAATGGCCAAGTTAAGAATTTGCTGACGAACACAACCTTTCCTCCCCGTGCAGCAAGCGGCTAACCCACATGGGGCTTAAGAAAAGCTGTGGGGAAAAAGCCGCAGAGCTGCAGGGCCGATCCCCGTTGCCGGTTTCGCACTAATCCCATTCTGCCAGAATAGATCAGCTGTGATTGGCGGGGAATGGCGTTATCGCGTGGCAATGATTCGTGGGTATGGCTTAGTCATGACGGTCCGGACAATCTTTTTTTTCCTTTTCTTTTTCTTCTATTTTTTGAATCGGGAATCAGAAATAGAAATGGGACCATCAATCGGGTCAAGGGGGAGGGGGGGAAAGGTAAAATTTCGCATCCAGATCCTTGTTGGCCTCGGTCGATATTAATATCTGCAGTATGACTGGGTCGGATAAGTATTAGGTCACATTTCCCGAGGCAAAATTGAAATTCCCAAATTGAAGAAAAAGATTGAAGTTCCTTCAATCAATGCTCTCAACCCTTCTTTGGGGCGCGATCTCCACCCAGGATTTCAGTACGTAATATAAAAAGACGAGGTCAGCAAGAAGCATGATCGCGACCCAATCAGCTGGGCCAGGCTTATCTGTGCCAATGAAGTTCATTTCACAGTCAAGCAGGAACCAAAGCTGCGGTTGAACATGACGTCCAACAACAGTCTATTCTGTTACGTGTGGGAAATCCTTCGTATGGAGAGATCCGGAATGGGCGTCGCTGATCCAAACCCATCATTGATTCATCTATTATTCAGTCCTCTTATTGATCCTGATGACTGACCACCCGAAGCACGGCAGATGCTCGTCGCAGATGGATATACGTACGATTCTATTACTTGATGATATTTCGCCATCGTTCTACTTCTACAAACATCTTCCTTCTTTCCGTTCCTTTTCCTCTCTCTCTCTTTTCTCCTCACTCTCTTTGTATCCATCGCATACTCCATCATCTCTTGTTCGAGACCGAGAGAGAGTTGAATTCCCGAGACTTGATTGGACTGATCGGATTGATCAGTGATACCTCTTAGATTTTGTTGATCGCGGACGGTCCACTTTCTGATATCGCATGCGATACCAATTTCTCATTCGATTATACTATTTATCTATTATCATTTTGACATTTATCAGTGATTCCTTGGGATTTCTATTTTTGTTTAATTTTTTTTATTTCTTTTGTTCACTTTTTCCCTCCCTCAACCCAAATCCCCCCAAAGATTATCTTGGAAGGACTGCAGGTGTGCTCCGGTTCCGCTCCGTCTGTACTTCCCGACGTATCACCACTGCCCATTGCAAACCACGACAACTGAAAGCCCCTTCTTTTTCTTCTCTCTCTCTGATAAGCTTCTCCGCTACGGTTCGCACGTCCACTTACCCCCCCTGTCCAAATTCAATTTAGTCTCCGACCATTGGTGGGCTTGTGGTTGGTTGATCGTCAGCCGGCCCTCACGGACGTGACCTAGACACCTAGATTCCTACGTCCTCCAGACCCCAGATACCCAGTATCTCGGGGATCCTGGTCTGTGTTTCAAGTATTGCGGAGCTCCTTGGCGGTAACCCGGTTCCTTTACGTGACCGATTTCCGTTTGGGAACCCTATCACGACTATTATTCGTGACAGATTATCTCCTATCTCTCAATTTGATCCTTCCATTATCTATCTCCTTTCGGTCCCCTGTTGGCACCCCCCTTGCTGAATGGCTGCCGTTATCACTTTGCAGTCGTCCTCGACGGCTGCACCAGCGGCTTCTGCTGCTTCTTTCCAACCGTCTGACCAGTTGTTGCGCTCCCGTGTACAAAACCAAGCCCCCCAGCAAGCCACTTCAACCTCCACTCCCCATTCACCTTCCACATCCGTTACTGCCTTACCGCGGGTGCCTGTACCAGGACGGGATGGACACAGTTGTGACGCCTGTCTGCGCAGAAAGAGTCGGTGTGCCATGAACGAAATGGTTAATAAATGTTATTCATGTGATTTTCATCGTCAAGATTGCACCTTTACCCTATCAGTGACAAGTCGCCCTGGCACCGCGGATGTACAGTCCAAAAAGCGGAAGTTGGATGATATTGTCCTGGATGATGTAGAATCGCCCAAGAGGTATGGATTGCCCCAGCCTTAAGTGGGCATCTCTAAGGCCGATTTCGGACGTCATATAGATAAACCTGGAGACACTAATCTTTTCCCCGCTGGCAGACCTTTGACCAACCCTCCAGCTTCCAAAACTAACCTTTCCCGTTCGCCATTGAATGCTCACGCCCGGATCACACCAGGGTATTGGCATCAGCGAACCCAGCATATCGGCCTGACGACCGACCTGGAACCCGCCCTCCTCGAATTTCTCCCCTTGGACCAGAACCACGAAGGCTCTATTGCATCGTCTCGCGTACGAAAGTTTAGTGACGACGGCACCTTTATGCGGATGGTTAACACCCTGTCCCATGCGGACTCCCCGCAATCTCCCTCACTAGATGCTATTGAGAGCCTAGTTGCCCCCTATGGCTCCACTTTGATCGATAAATTTTTCGAACACATTCACCCAACGTTCCCCATTCTCATGGAGGATTCATTTCGTCAGTCTTACCGGGCTCGACAGGGCCTGTCTCCTCTCTTACTGTCCGCTGTCTACGTGCTAGCCTTGAAATTTGTGAATATGGGACCGGCTTCCCAGTCTGTACGACGACCCGATGCTTCCCGGCTCGAGAGCACGGCCCTGAAGCTACTCAACGAATCTCTGCCCTATGCATCCATCTCAACCATCCAAGCAGGTGTGCTCCTGATGGAGAAATCCACTATTGCCACCCACGCATTGAATGCGCAATTGGTTACCGCAGGCTTCGAGCTAGGGCTCCATCAGAATTGTTCCGAGTGGAGGATGGAGACGTGGGAGAAGGGTCTCCGGAAACGTCTTGCGTGGGCATTGTATATGCAGGACAAATGGTCGGCGCTGGTGCACGGCCGTCCGTCCCATATCGTATCCTCAAACTGGACCGTTCAGGATTTGGTAGAGCAAGATTTCGCCGAGGCATTCCCATCGAGTGACTCCCAGGACGATGATCCGGTAGGCCACGGCCCCCTCTATTTCTGTCATATGGTCGCATTGACGACAATCCTCTCCGACATCTTGGATCGATTCTACACCCTGCGGGCGATCGAAGAGTTCAAAGCTGCCGGCGGCAACCGGACACGAATGATCCTAGAACGCGCCAAACCAACCCAGATCAGGTTGAAGGAGTGGTTCAGTCGCTTACCCGCAGAGCTCAAAATGGAGTCGGGTGGAGATCTCTTCGAAATCATCAACGAGGACAATGCTCGCAACGGTGCCTTGCATCTATCCTACTTCGCCACAGAAATTACTCTGCACCGTTGTATTGTACGATCACTCACGCCGAACACTGCGGACGCCTACCTATCGCATATCTGCCGCTCGGCTGCCAAAACCCGATTGATCTCAGCCATGGATTTCGTCAATCGGCTTCGTCCGCCGCACCTGAGGTCGTTCTGGCCGGCCGCATCGCGGACAAACTTCGCGCTGATTGGGTCCTTCGGAGTGCTCCTGCGCATCTCAGCCCCAACCAAAGAGGAAGCCGAGTTCTATCGTCTCAGGCTTTGCGAATACCGCTGGACGCTGAGCGTCAGCAAGAAGAACGCCGAGTTCATGGAGTTCGCTCTGGACAGCCTGGACACTGCCAACGCTGTCGATCAGCATGTCCCCGATAAACCAGGCATCGACGAGCTGATGACTAGCGCGGCCAAACCGACCGTGAACCGTCCCCGTCCGGGCACGGCCACACAGTTGGAAAACACGATCTTAGGGCTCGAAGGAAATGACAGCGGGCGCGGGGGCACTTCGTCTGTTATATCCGGTCTGGCATCTCCAGCGACATCGATTAGCGAGGACAGTCTGCACGATGCTGCGATTCCCCCTTTATAGTCCCCTTTTTTACTTCACTTCCCCTTCCCACATAATTACCTGACTTCAACACCACCTACCCCACGAATATCTCCCGTTGATGCATTGATGACCTCCTCTGTTCTGTTATTAGATGTTGGGCGTACTGCGATGACGGTTATCAATTGATACCTCTTGGTTTTTTTTCTTTTTTTTTCCTTTGACGATCACTGTTTGATTATGATCACATTTCCATGGATAGGTGAATAGCTATTTCGGCAAGGCTTGTACATATGGGATCAGGTTATGATTATGGATATAGACTGGATGGCGATCGGATAGATAGCATGAATTATGAGCATATTAATAGCATGAGCCCAACAGGATTGGTAGAAACAAGAATAGTAAACGGTAAACTACCATCTCCTTTTTGCCTTTGGGGCCAGGGGCAGGTCTTACGAACTATATTGGATAATCCATGTAAGCAGTTTCGCGAGAGCACGCCATTAGCTCCTAGTTTAACGACACGGAAGGCCTCCCTTACCTCAGGTTCCTCTAATGAAATCCCAAGAATATTGTGTGACGACCAACCTCTTATTGCCAAGCGATCACACCATACACTCAGAGAAAGAAAAAGAGAAGAGCAAAAATACAGAAGACTCACATCCCAATGCCACCACTTCACCGGCCCCTAACGCAATCATGGCCTCACGACCCCAAAAAGTACGAAAAATCACACCCCCCCATTCCCGAACGCAAAATCCTCCAATATGACCAGATCAGCCAAGTTCGCCAGCATCCCTGCGCGCGTATACGTCTGCGGATCTTGATTAAAAAGCGAGAAGAAGAAATCCCCATCCGCGCCTTGCGGCCCCAACGGGGCTAGCTACATCCGTCCGGTCATGGCTCGTCTGGTCCGGATTTGTCTCCCGGACGGTGGTGGTAAAGCGAGGATAGCTGATAATTCTCGACGCTTTGCGATGCAGGCGCGGGCTACACCGAGGACCTGACCTCGAGGATCATTTCAGAGCAGCGGCGGGCGACGATGCATCACGTTGGTGATTGAGTCGAAGATGAGGCCTTTTTCGACGTCCTTGAGGACATCTTCTTCGGATATAGCTTATATTTAGGAATCTAGAGAGGATTAGGTAGAGGAGTCATAGATGGCTCCGTAGAGAGCGTAGGTTGTGTTGTACCACCGTAGTTTAACTTCGTTAGGGTTTAAGTTGGCGGAGGAGGGGGGGAGGTTAATGGGAGTGTCCTTACCAGATGCGGATGAAGATTCAGTGGAGGAAGGGTTCGTATTGCAATTGGGTGCTGGTTCTTGTTGCTATTAGGCAGATTGGTCAATGTTAGAGGAGACTGGGGTGTTGGTTGTATGTTGATGCTGCGAGGAAGGGGCGGTGGAGGAGAGTTCTGGCGTTGTAGAATCCTGAAGTAGATCGTGAGTCGGTGTGTTGTTTCTATATGATTGTTATATGTAGGAACTCACTCAGACGTAAGACGAGTTTCCGTTTGAAGGCCCATTCTGGGTCGTTGACGGTTGCGGCGTCAACGTTCAGGAAGAGGGAGTAGTTAGTTTCCCACTGCTCTAATTCGTTGTCCAGGGGCATGGCAAACTGCGACGTTTCATCCATAGGGTTTTTCAACGAATGGTAGAGTAGATGAGATGCTTTGAACATGATCTGAGTTAAGTCTACCATGACTGGAATCGTAGCCACGTCGTCGTCCTCCACCTCGCGGTCATGGTTATTGACGTAGTCCGCCTATCGATCGATATAAAACTAGGCCTTAATTCTGAAAGTGGTGTTAGTTAGGTCCTATACCTTCAATGGAGCCAGGGAGATCTGGTAAGGATCAAGCTGCTTCATCAGAGAGCTCATCAATGGCTGGGGTGACTGCATCGCCATGATCTATCTCAGGTTTAAGGGGGGTTTTCTTAGTCCTTAGGTTGTAGAGACTGTCTGTTCCCGTCAATCTCAGGCCTCTCGTTGACTCGAGGTGGAGAAGTACTAGGATAACCAGGGTTGTAAAGGAGCTTAATTATAGATAGCGGGGCCTTCTTCGTTGCAGAGTTTGTACTATCAGACTCTTTATCCATTTTCGATGGGAGTACTCGTTGTAATGAGCTTTTCACAAACAAAGAATAGTCAAGTGAAGACCTTCGTTTGACATATTTTCGGGTACGTTCGAAGCTTTGCTTTCAACCTGGTTGCGAGCTCGCGCATGTCAATTTCCAAGGAATGCGATATTCGTAGAGTTGCCGTAAAATTCTGCACCACTAGTGTGTATATTGACTCCGCTCAAACCATCTCCTGGTGCACGTACACCTCGGGAGTGGCTACTATGGTTGTTCTACTCTTAGTATAAATTTGCCTTCAAGATTTCATGGTCTCCTTCTTCCTGGCTAAGATATCATTCCCCTGCTTGTATCTAAATCCTCTGGGGAGGCAACATAGAGCTTGACATTCGCAAGAATAACATGAAGTGCTTCACCAGCGGGAGGATCTAGAGAAGAACTGTACGGCGAGCTCACTAGGTTTAAGTCATTCATATTCGGCCATGGAGACGGCCAAATATGATTTCTAAATACCCAGTCATCATCAACCGTATGACCATAAAGGTCAGACTGGTACGGGAAAAGGAAACTCTGGCTGGAATGTGTCATTTCTATTGTTGAACTTTCATTATGTTCAGAGGCTCTATAAACATAGTCAAGTGAAAGTTCTATAATTCGTGTTAGCGGATTATTTATCCTAGGCTCTTAGTCAACAAGGACATTGTACAGGCGCAATAAGAGCATGACTGCGCTTAGTCACACTATGAAGACAACAATCAGTGCAATTACCTATGGCTGGCAAAGATAGGATGCAATATGTCCGCCTTGCGCAGGCACAGGAAGCACATGGTATTGTTGACGTGAAGTGCACAATTTTGCTGTAACAGCTTCACTTCTGTTCATAATGGCTGCACGAGATTTTCGTTCAGTGATAAACGCTTGGGGTTCTTGATTGGGCTCCATATTCCTATCAGATTCAATCAACTACACCTAGCCGACCCAATCGCCATCATACCTCTTCACACTCGGCTGCCTGGTGTTCGATTTATGGGTCCCGAACGGAGGCTCCCAAAGTAGTGGAATCTCTAACTTTGCTGGCCTTAGCAAGAGGACTCGTGCCAAATGGACAGAATCTTTGGAAGTCGGCATATATTGCAGACATCGTAAAGAAACCCAGTGGAAAGAATGCAGCAAATCCTAGTCGTTCGTTACATTCTTGCCATGATAGTTAATACTATTAGAGATCAAAGGGGAAAAGCCGGATATAGATACACATATCTTTATATGGAAGCTATTCCCATACCTGATAAGATATCTAATCTCTACTTATTTATCAAGATCAGGCAAGTTATCCCGACACATTCTCGTTTCCCACATTTCCCCCTCTTCTCAGTTCGAATTTTGGAATGAACTTGGTAAGACAGTGTAGTTTGGATCTTGCATATTACCTAACAGTTTGTCAAAACTCCGAGGTAAGCGTTGACAATAGTCGCCGGAAGATATCCGAATTCCGACGGATAAAGGCGGGAAAAAAGCATAACGATTGCTGATGGACGCCGTTGACATGATATCGAATTACTTTTCTCTAGGTTATCAGTAGTGTGGGGTACTATGGGTATTTATAAGGCCTCTATATCTAGTAATACATAGCTATTCGTTTACATTGTCTTTCCTCAACTCCGATATATTTCCCTGCTTCATTCGTCTATATGAACTCTAGCTACGTTATCATATCCAACTTCTAGCATGGAATAGGACCAAGACGCCCTCAGGACTCAATTCTGCCATGTACTCTCAGAAATGTACAAGAGCGAGGTCCCCCTCTACAGGGACCTAGTCGATTTCGTCTGGAAAGCAGACGCCGAAGCCATCAATGCCAGTCAAAAACAAGGTTCACCAACCATTGATCCGAATGATATCTTGCCGTCACGAAACCGAGTTGAAAGGCACGGGGCCATCCGACTGGGAACCGCATACGAGCTCTCTACAATCCGCCGTATGTTTGCAATTATGGGCATGTTCCCAGTGGGGTATTACGACTTGAGAGCTGTCGGGTTCCCAATGCATGCTACTACATTTCGGCCCGGGACGAAGGAGGCGTTATCCAAGAATCCGTTCCGCGTGTTCACGACAGTATTACGTATGGAATTGTTAACGGAGAAGGCCCGGGACCTAGCGCAAAGAGCTCTACGACAGAGAAATATCTTCACGAATCGGCTGATCGCTCTCATTGAACTGGCTGAGAAGCAGGATGGACTGAGCTCGGCCGAGTGTAAAGAGTTTATCGTGGAAGGGCTGGAGACTTTCCGGTGGCATTCCAAGGCAACTGTTACAGTGGAGGAATATCAGATCCTGAAGGCAGAGCACCCGTTAATTGCTGATGTTGTTTCGTTCCCTAGTTGTCATATCAATCTTCTCGCGCCGCAGACGATAGATATTGATCTAGTGCAGAAGATGATGCAAGATAATGGGATGCCGGCCAAAGAGCGAATTGAAGGTCCTACACGACGGCAATTTCCTATTCTGCTACGTCAGACTAGCTTCAAAGCGTTGGAGGAAACGGTTTATTTCCGCGATGCCCATGACGCTTATGTGAAAAGGGTCGCATACAGCCCGGTTTGGCGAGGTCGAACAGCGCGGATATGCCTTGACACGAAAAGGTCGCCAGCTTTACGATAAAAGCTTGTCACGGGGCAATAATGAAGCCATGGGAGAAAGCCCCATAGCTTCTGAATATGAGACTTTGCTGGCGAAATATTTTTAGGACTTCCCAGATGATATAGCTGAGTTACGGTCACAGCAGCTGGCATATTTTTGCCACCGATTGACATCGCACGACCAACGATCTCTAGACTCGAAAGACGAGTTAGAAGGGAGAAGTATGACCTTGGCCCAGCTACTAGAGACCAACATCATTGAGTATGATTCCATTATATACGAGGACTATCTCCCCTTGTCAGCCGGAGGTATCTTCAATTCCAATTTAGGGAGCACATCCCAATCAGAACAGCTAGTTATGGAAGCTGATGAGGTTTTGGATGGGTTCCAACGCAAGTTGGGAACATCGATAATAGACGAATTTCATTTATACACACATATGCAACAGGATAGCTTGGAAAACTGCCGAAAACAGTTAGGATTGGAAGTGATTCTACACTGAGACTGTATGTATATAGAGATGTGACCACGAGATCTTGTCAAATATTACCAAGGGATGGGGGTTGGAATGCTGGCCTGTTGTTTCTGAGGCTTGCAACAAGTATATCTCAACATGCAATGCTGTCAGTAGGATATTGATGGATGTCTTTGTCACTTATATTAAGCTATATCTACAGAGAGCCGCTTCTCGTATGAAACTCCCAGGCCATATGTAGCCCAGCTACGTGGGGTAACTACCAAATAGTCCATCGATGTTGGTCTATACTTGCTTGCCGACATTAGTCTAGCGATCAGCAAAAAGGTCTGGAATGAGCATTAGCCCTCGCATAAACACACCATTTTAAGGGATAACCAATTCTCCGATTGTAACCTGACAATGGGTCTGAGCTATAAAATCAGCCCAATGGCTTCACTTGACCCTGTTCCCCTGTTCACTCTTTCCTCCGTCAAGAGTTGGTGCGTAATGAAGACAAAGGACGAATGTTTTACCAACGTCTAACAGAGTTCAACACTAATATAGATAAATGTAATGATGCATCCTCCGTAGTCTAGACACGCTCGGAACTATTCTACATTCCTGTAGCGGAGCGGAAAGAATCAGCTTCCGTTATTTATTTTATGTATCCATTCACCCTCTCACCGCAATTGCGGTTGTAACGTAGCCCTAAATTCTTCCCGTATTTGAGATTGATCTCCAACCCCAGCAAAGAATTCGCTTCCCTTGCCACCGTTGAGCATATCAGTCATTCGTCCTGCATAAACTATCGAGTTTTTGTTCTCAATAAACGCATCCTGTGTGCTAGGCGGTCTGGTCTTTACACTCGTTCACTGCCTCATCGTTTTCTTTGAATGTTAAATTGGCCTGACAAAGGGCTGTGTCCTGGTACAAGGATATGTTACCAAGTTATACGAACCTATATATAAACTGTCAGCATGACTGCATGGCGGTGATATCTACCGCTTGCCAGTTAAGATAATCTTTGTGCTGATTCAGTTGGACCGTAAGAACGGCGCGTTGCATTGCACTTTCCTCTCAGACTATATGGGTTCAAATTATATACAGATATATATATAGAATATTGCACATTCGGACCTTAGACTAGGGAAATTGGGGTTTATTCGGGGCTTTTTGTTTATAAAAGCTAAAGGATATTCTGTGGCGCATTTATCCCTCATGTCATTTAGGTATTTTCAGTCATTTGGAGAGTCTGATATATTTTGGAGCGAAACCCACATTCTCGAGCTACCGCCATGCATTTGTCTCTTGTAGGCTTTATAGCCACAGTATCTGCACATTTTGACCCTCAAGTCAACTTGTTCAGCTATGGTCAACGGGGGCCGCTCGTAGGGACCTCCTTCGGCATCCCTGGAGCCAACGCGACCTTCGACTATGTGGTCGTGGGAGGCGGAACAGCCGGGTTGACGATTGCCAGCCGGCTGGCCGAGAGGGGATCTAACTTGAGTGTTGCCGTCGTAGAGGCCGGTGGATTCTACGAAGTCGACAATGGAAATCTATCTGTCGTCCCGGGATATTCAACCTACTTCACGGGGTGGTCCCCCGATGACTACCAGTCCCTTGTCGACTGGGGCCTCACTACCAAGCCACAACCCGGGGCAGGCAATCGCGCCCATCATTATCCGCGTGGGAAGACCCTTGGAGGCAGTTCGGCCCGAAATTTCCTCCTCTATCAGCGGCCTACACTAGGCAGCATGCAGAAATGGGCGGACGAGGTAGGTGACCAGAGCTATACGTTTGCCAACATGCTTCCCTTCTTCAAGAAGACTGGTCACTATACCCCTCCCAACCAAGGCGCCTATACCCACAGGTCCAACACCCAGGCGGTAGATGCTTTCAGCCCTTCTGGGGGACCTCTTGAAATCTCATTCAGCAATGAAGTCGATCAATTTGGCACGTATGCGCGCAAGGCATATATCGCTCTCGGTATGGACCAAATTGATGGGTTCAATAGTGGCGAGCTATTGGGTTCTGCGTATGCAACTTCAACGATAGACCCTAAGAATGCGCACCGTTCATCATCTGAGTCTAGCTTTCTGCAAGCGGCCTTCAATAATGGCGCAGATTTAGTGGTGTACAAGAACACCTTAGGACAAAAGATTATCTTTGATACGGACAAGGTCGCTACAGGCGTTCAAGTTTCTACAGGTGGAATATTTGGCACTAGGCCGGTTAGTTTCACCCTGTCTGCTCGCAAAGAGGTGATCGTATCTACAGGGGCGCTTCAATCTCCCCAGCTATTGATGGTCTCTGGAGTTGGTCCATGCGATGAGCTCTCCGCGTTTAGCATCCCTTGCGTTAGCAACTTGCCAGGCGTCGGCAAAAACATGCAAGACCACATGATGTTTGGGTCTTCACACCGGGTGAATGTTCAAACAGCCTCGGCATCAATCAGCAATACCACGCTCATGGCGCAATTTACGCAGCAATATATCCAGGATGCATCAGGTCCATTATCCATCTTCTCATCTAGTTACTACGGTTGGGAGAAGCTCCCGGAGCCGTACCGTTCCCAGTTATCGAATCAGTCTATTCAAGCCCTATCTGCTGTTCCAAATGACTGGCCGGAACTTGAATGGCTTACCGTCGCTGCATACCTGGGCGATGGCTTCAACAGACAGACCGCTGATCCTGCGGATGGCTTTAACTATGCCACTATCAGCACGGCTCTCGTCGCACCGCAATCCCGCGGCACAGTCTCCCTTGCAGGGCCGGACATGTACACCCAGCCCACCATTGATCCCCAATGGTTTGTTGATCCAACAGATATGGAGCTCGCTGTTCAGGGATTCAAGCGCGGCCGCCAGGTGTGGGAGAAGCTCGCTGATCTAGGCGTTGCAGATCCGGTAGAGTACTTCCCTGGGCCCAATGTCATGACAGACGAGCAGATCCGCGACTTCATCAGTCACACTTCAACGAGTGTCTATCATGCCTCAAGCACCTGTAAGATGGGCCAGAAGAAGGACCCCATGGCGGTTCTGGATAGTAGTGCACGGGTCTATGGTGTACAAAGACTGCGCGTCGTTGATGCTAGCAGTTTTCCCTTTCTACCGCCAGGACACCCGCAGTCGGTGGTCTATGCTCTCTCAGAGAAGATTGCAGACGAGATTTTGAGCTCTCAGTAGCAACATGGCCTTTCATTTTTGTGCTGCGCGTATGGCGTTGGGAATGTATATCCCTTATACATTGTCATCTGACCTGATCATGATTAATTGATTACATTCTTGCGTTCATGATTGTCAAGTATCAAAAATCGTATGATAGTCTACTTACTGTTCATCAACCTCAATCGAAACAGGGCAGCCTGACTCAAAGTTAAACATTCAAATTGCAATATAGAATACAATACAATGCACCCATTCAATGTGCAGTAAAAATCTATCTGTACAAGCCGCCTCAATGCCCAAGAAACAGATATAGAACAAGACCAAAAGACCATCATGATCCATCTAGCCGTAGCCCGCAAGGGACAGCCCAAACACGGCACTTTTCCGCTGATTCACTCCATACCCCGTTATTCATATCGAGTATCCTTTGAGGTAGAGAATCCATTCATGCCTTGACTTCCACCTCAGACGCACCCTCCTCAGCCTCCACAATAACAGCGCCCTCCTGCAGCAACTCTTCCGCAGACTTCACCTTGACATCTATAACCCTCAACAGTGTGTACCGGTGCTTACTTTGCACCTTTTGCACATGTCGCCGTCTCCGCTTCGTCTTCTCCTTCACCCTCAACGGCTCCGCATCAACTCCCATAACACGCACCCGGCACTCAAACAGCCGTTCATCGACATACGGTGCTCCCTTGAGCGTAAACTCACGAGATCCCAGAACACTCGCCCGGTTAAACCGGATAACATCGCCGGGCTTCACCTTGGGCATCAAGAAAGGGAGACGGAGGTGATCGCCTTCGGTGAGGAGGTAAGGTTTGTCGTGGAGGTGAGCAGTAATATAGTGCGGCTTTTGGGTTGTCAGGTATGGCAGCTTCTCGAGAAGAGATTTGGTCACTTTTAACGGGGAGGTGAAGGTCGGAGGCACGGGGAGTTTGCTGGTTGGGATGGTATTCGATGGTGTGGAGATGGGGGGTTGTTGGCTGGGTGTGCTGGTTTGAGCGCGGGGGGTTGCGCTTAGTGGTTCTGAGGTTTGCTCGGGGTGTGATTGCGAGCTCGTGGTCGTTGTTGATGCTTGACGCAGACAGGCCCCGAAGGAGGTGGTGAGAGGCCGGGCGGACTGCCCATATGGCAGCGCGAAGGCTCTTGCGAGCGCTGTTCGGGAGAACATGTTTGTGGTTGTTGCAAATTTAGGTTCTCCTTTTAATCCTATACTTGCTTTTCCGGGCTGGAAAAGGCAAGATTTATGTCGCAATGGACGGGGTGGACGGTTTCTTCTATTCGGTCCAAACTTGAGGCCGCGAGAAATTCCCAGTGGATCCCGATCTGGTTTGGCACGTGATGTGGCTGGTGTCGATGTTGTTTATGGGGACTGGACACTGCGGTGAAAAAGGCTCTAAAACTCTGGCTAGGTAATAGATCAAGATTTTTACTGGATGATAGGCTCTGGATTGAAGAAAAGATGTGTTCGACTCGGTCAGTGGCTCTATGGGCTCGTTTGAAGAGGGAGAATTTAGATGTTTTATGAGGTTGAGTCACGTGAATTATCAATACCAAGCCACTCCATCCGTGCATCGAAACTTTTTCTACATCTCCGCCAACAGAGTTGAACTCCGACAGATTGTCCCAACCCCTCGGTATCTGTTTATCATGGTACGTCTACCACCCGCCAGATGTAGTCGGAATGCTCGTTCGTTCCTTGCAATGCTTTTTGAGTCGCTCGGGCTATATGGCGTCCTTTGGAAGGCTTTGATAATGCGTACCAGTAACTAACAATTTTATTCAACTACAGCCTCAGAACGAGTTCGTCCTCCACCTCAGTCAACTAATCTCCATCACCCCACCATAACGTACTGACCACCTCCAATAGGTATATCGAGCGCTGGCAGAAGCAGCACGGTAAACGTCTGGACCACGATGAGCGAACTCGCAAGCGCCAAGCCCGTGAAGTCCATCAGCAGTCCAAGGATGCCCAGAACTTGCGTGGTCTGAGGGCCAAGCTCTACCAGCAGAAGCGCCATGCCGAGAAGATTCAGATGAGGAAGCGCATTAAGGCCCAGGAGGAGAAGAATGTCAAATCTTCTGCGCCCGACGAGCCATCCAAGACGCCTTTGCCACAATATCTACTGGACCGTTCCCAGGCTACCAATGCTAAGGCACTTTCTAGCGCTATCAAAGATAAGCGGAAGGAGCAGGCCGCTAAGTTCGCCGTGCCTTTGCCGAAGGTTAAGGGTATCAGTGAGGAGGAGATGTTCAAGGTTGTCAACACCGGAAAGAAGACACACAAGAAGTCTTGGAAGAGAATGATCACGAAGCCTACTTTCGTCGGAAATGACTTCACTCGAGTTAACCCCAAGCGCGAACGTTTCATCCGCCCTATGGGTTTGCGTTATAAGAAGGCCAACGTCACACAGTATGTTCTTCCTACTACGTCTGGGCTGTGGGCAAGGATACAGTTACTAATGGTATTTTTTCTCTAGCCCCGAGCTGGGAGTCACTGTTCAATTACCGATTATCGGAGTCAAGAAGAACCCTCAGAACCCTCTCTACACCTCTCTGGGTGTCTTGACCAAGGGAACGGTATGTCTCTTCTCCTGTTGCTCTTCCCTAGGCAATTGACTCACTTTTCTCAAACACAGATCCTCGAAGTGAATGTTTCAGAACTTGGTTTGGTAACAACCACTGGTAAGGTGGTATGGGGAAGATATGCCCAGATCACCAACGTAAGCAACCCTTCAATCGATTCAAAAAGAGAACTTGGCATGCTGACTGATTGATTTTAGGCCCCTGAAAATGACGGATGCGTCAATGCGTACGTTCTTACCTCCAAACCCGTCTGCTTTTGTGCGTACACGTATAGCTAACTCGTTCTTTAGTGTTCTCCTCGTTTAATCATTCTACGGCCGACGTTCATGAATCAGCTCCATCACCCCATTCTTCATCTTCGATACCATTTTGATGTCATAGAAATTTCGTCTTTGCCTTCCTTCCTTTCTATTTATTTTTCCTTATTCGTTCGGTCTATTCGCCAGCGGCGTTCAAGGCGTGCAATATGTCTTTATCAAAAGTATCGCTCTGATATGTAGATTCAGTTGCACTCGTATTGGAAATTTGTCTGCATATGTGTAGTCTTTAGGTTCAAGTACATACGGCCAACTTTCTTAGTGTGGCACGCGCATTCATCTAGGACTTCCACCCGGCCAGTCACCAGGTCGGAAGGCCTGAGGAAAGATTGGTGGTAGGCTTTTCATTTATTGAGAACTATAGAATATCAGTATAACAAGCGGGGGGAAGAACTAGTCTGATGCCCCGATAGTATATTCATACCGTACCGGTGAAATCGATATACATATATATATATATATATTCTTCACAGCTAATAGTAAGACTACATCTCATGTAAATAGGTTAATTTCTTGTTAGATTTGCTGCTTCTTGTAGGGATCAAACAATTTCTCCCTGAGCAAAACACCAACATTCACTACTAGCTCTATACAAGACACGTTTAAACACACCAATGGAAGTGGCATGTATATATGAAAGTACCAGCTGCGCCAAACAGCAATCTGTTATGAAAGATACTCACCATTGACAGTGCTAACATGTCAAGAGAGGTAAAACATAAAAATAGTTATCGATTGAATAGTATTATATTCCAAGTATGCTCAAACTCCAAGCCCGCGCTGATTTCACAGCTTCCAATGCAACCCTGAGAGAGAGAAGAACCATATACAACGCTCGAACGCGTCCTCAAAACACCAAACCTGTTTACCCAAAAGGTAAGATTATAGATCCAAGAAGTGTAAGACAAAGGAAATACGCCGTACTGGGCAGTGCCAGATTCATAGGCAGACATGAACGCCGGGTCGTTTGATCATTCGGGATATCAAACAAGAATATTCAAAGGCCAACGAAAACAAAGGAAATCACCGTCGAGTCTAGTGTCATCATGAGTTCTCTTCCAATGCCGCTTTGATCTTTGCAAAAAATCCAGCAGGCCAAGCCGCGAGCTCTTCTTCTTTTGGTATGCCGCGCACCTTACAGTGGTTCACGACGTTTACCAGGATCCTATTGAGCATTTCCTGGGTAACGGGGACGGCTCCTTCGAGTTGTGCTTCGGGATATAAAAACGGGTCCCTTTGGGCGAGGAGCTCGTCCACAGTCGGCCGTAATGTCTGATCACGCTGCAAGCACCCCTTCAACGTTCGGATTAATCCTGGTGGGATAGACATACCCCCAACACCAAAAGCGGGGAAGTCTATCTTCACATTTGGGTTCGGAATAGCCAAGATGCGTTCATAATACTTGGCAATTTTTGCAAAAGGAGGCTGACCGTACACCATCTTGTAGAGGATACAGCCTAAGCTCCAAACATCACTGGGTTTACCAAGCTTCATCACTTTTCCGACGCTTGCCGGCAGCCCCAGTGATGCGTTAGAATCGATTAAAGCTTCTGGTGACATATAATTTGGCGTACCAACTTGCTGTTCACGGTGCACATTGACTGTATTGTCCTGGATGGCATTTGCAATTCCGAAATCAATCAATTTCAATCTCCCTTGTACAAGGAGAAAGTTTGCGGGCTTCAAGTCCGAGTGAACGATGTTGTAGTTATGGACTGCTTGAACGCACTCAAGCATCTCCTTCCAGTAATATCGAGTAAAGTTAATATCGAAAACGGCATCCTCGGCATTCAGCCGGTACGTGAGAATCTTCTCTAGGTCAGACTCCCCTATCTCCATGAGGACACTGAGGTTGTGCTTGTCCGAGTTCAACTCCCAGTCAAACAAACGCACAACACGGTCCAGATTTTCTAGCTTTTTGAGCAAATCTATCTCTCCTTTGTAGCCTGCTAATGTTGTCGGGTCGACGTCTTCTAAATTCACTCGCTTCAAAGCAAATATTTTGTAGTTTTCGGCCATAACTCGGTACACGCGTGAACTTCCGCCTCGACCAATGCAATCCAGCCGTGTGAACGGTTTGTGATTGACAGATACTTGATTGCGCTTTCTGCGGGATGAAGACGCCGTTGCTGCGCCTCCTGTCGCTGTAGCTGTCTCAAGTACAGACATCTTTGGAGGAGGCGGGGCCGGCCTATGCGGCGTATTGTTACTTCGTGTTGACAAAATCTTTCTGGGCGAGTTTCCAGCTGGCGTTTCCATATTCTCTTTTTTTTCGTCGCCATAAACTACTGCGAGCTTCTCTGGCTTGTCAAGCAGGTTGAACCCTTGTTGTTTTACCCGCTTGAACGTCGGCGGGGGCTCGTTCTCCTGATCTCGAGATGCGGGTAGTGTGGGTGGAGGAGGGACTTTGAAGACAGGCTGATCCTTCGCACTTGAAGGCTTAGATGACGCCTCTGATGATGAGCCAGGTGTCGATTTAGAGTGCGACCCATAAGATTTTGGAGAAGACGATCTAGAGAAGGGCCCTAGCCCTTCGTTCGCTGAAGGACCAGCAGCTTCCAAAGACCGATATCCTTCGGGCTTATGTGCCGGGTCGGGGTCAGCCCATGATACTTTCGGTGAAGACGGTTTCGCCGTAGACTTATAATGATAGTCGTCGTTGTCGTAGTTCCCATCAGGATTCGTGTCTTTGTAATTTTCTAGATCATTGTTTTCCTCACTTTGCCGCCGGAGCACACCCCTTCTTGCGGGTCCATTCAAGAATGTACCAGTTAGTCTTCCCACTCGTTTCACACGTAGCGAGCTATGCATGCCCAAGTCCTCTCCATTACGACTCCGAAGTACCGATGCGGTGCCAAGACGCGGGCCGTAATCATCATCATATTTTACCCTCCTCCCATCTTCAAGGCGACTGGCGCTATCATGCTCTTCCACGAGACTCCTGTCGGCTGATCGCCTCTGAGAAGGTGACATCGAGACGGGGGATCGCGTGTTACTACGTGACCCGGTAATGCGAACACTGCGATGTCTCGGAGCTGGGGTGACAAAATCATGCGAGTTTCCCCTCGCTTCAGAGTTGACATCCTCACTACCTGAGAGATGCGATCCTTCTCTTCTAAACCTTGCGCTGCCCGTCAAATCCGGTCCTATGCGAACCACTCGAGGCGCCGGGCTTCCGGTCGACTGGTCGTTGGGTGACGTTGTCTGGGAGCGCCTTTCCTGGCCTGTTGACACCGAAGCTACGCGATCACTCTGTTTATGATCCCTTTGGCCTTTTGGATGAAGACGGGGGGATATGTCCAACCCATCTTCGTCGAGTAAGGCTTTGACAGAAGCACTGAATTTGGGTTCTGGGACCTCATCATCTGAGCTGTCGCCGGCAGAATAACGCTTAGGTATTAATCGGTCATTGCTTCGATATGAGGCTGAATCCTGTATTTCTGGTGACGTGCGCCTGGAACCGGAGCGAGAGGTCGAGGCGCGGGACATTTGTCGGGATGACGGCTGTCGACGGAGACCACTCGTATATGCTGCGGAGAGTGAATTGGTAGAGGCCATCATAGAGATGCAAAGCGAGGCAACATGGACGCGTCCGCCAATGCGTCGGTCCCACTGCCCAAGAGTTACGGGTAGGCGCTCGCCGCCGGGTTGTCGATTTCTGCTTGTTGTGTATATACCGTTCGCATCGTACTGGACGAAGAAACAACGTTCCGGGGAGGCTGGGGAGCGGGTACCGGTCACGTGGAGATTTGGTTGCCAAGGCAATGATGGGATGACAACAAAGCATGGGATTTTTGGCTACATAAATGCAGACCACATGGTCAATGTGCCTTGCATTGTACTACGGCTCAACTAACTTGAGGCACTACAGGGTCGAATATAGAGTTGTGCATATAGGACATGTACCATAATCTATCGCGCCAAGCTGACCTTTTTCTCGAGTGAAGTACTTTTTGCCGCTATATATATATATATATATATAGTGGACTTTTTGTGTCAGGTTCTGTTTATGTTCAGCAATACTCCGTACCCTCTCTTAAGTTTCGGAGGTCAGATGTCAAACAACCTAACTTAAGTTACATTTCACCTGAAACGCACGCTAAGGCTTCGGACATATTCTTAAACTGAGGTGTAATATCAGCGCTGCGAACCGGAGGCCTGAGGACATACCTCTAGCACATTTTTATGATATATGGGGCTACCACGACAAGGATGTAGCAGTAGTGCTGCTTGCCCAGCACTTTTAGGTGCAAGCCTATTACCTAACGACCATAGGCCTTACTGCATAAGGACTCTGTACAACTGTAGCTAAGATAACCCTGGTTGATGGATTGGATTATTAAAGATCATACGACACGTCCTTGTTCGTAAGTATATCTAGTAGTTAGGTAGGTGAACGGATATACGGTCAGCCTCGGTTGCTAACCGAAAATAAGAGAAGTGATAGATCCGATGGATAGGTAGCCTTTTTTTTTTTTTTTTTTTTTTTTTAAAAAAAGCCTGGACCGATGTAGGGGCCTGGAGGAGATACTAATGGGTCACTGGAGATTTCACCGAGTAGTGGCTTGAGGTTTCTATCGCTACAAATTAGGTCATAGTATTCCGACAACAACCTGATGTCGGCATTCTTATGACTCGGAGAATGCCCGAGTTCGTTGCTGATGCATGCATGGATGTGTATAGTACTCTGTTCTGTATATACTACTACCGTAACTTGTCGTGCCTGCCCCACGGACTCTATAGGGTTTACCTTACCTACTGACAAAAGATCACCTGAGCGTAGTCACCTGTTCCCCTAAAGGTTTCTTATGACTACCTGAGTATAGTACTAGTTCCTCCCCGACAAACTCTTCCATTGGCATCCAAGGTTTTCTTCCCGTCACGGCAAGTTTTTGGCTGATAAGGTTACAAGAACTCCTCCGTCAAGCATAAGCGAGGTAAGGTTGTGTGCCGATACGGATCTCGCGGAGTTTTTTTTCCCTTTCATTTAGAGTTTTCAGGAAGAGAGAGGGATCCAGACCAGCTGCAGGTGATGAAACTGCGAACCCATCGCAAGTCCTCCACTTCTGTTACAGAGTCGAACAAACTCTTGACTTAAGACTTCCCGATTTGATATGAATCACGCGGAAATTCATCACTAAGAGCGATCTGAACCGGTTCCATCGGTTAAGGCGGCCAGACGGGGCAGCTCAGGCCACTCAGGGTGGAGTGGAGCCTTAGAAACCAAGGCCACAAGGGTACATGGACGCATCGATCCAGGAACGGACTTGTTTTGGTAATGATCTCCAAAGGAGGCTATCGAGAGTATTATAGTTCAACTATTGAGGACTATAACGAACACAATGGCCTGGACCGCTGTTGATTCCATACCATTGCCAGTTTATATCCCTTACTGTCTATGCGCTTCGATTCCCAACACGAGTGCGGAGAATTCCTGTTTTTGAGGTTTTCGACGGTTGACCAATACTTCGTGGTGAAGCAAGCCAAGACTCTTAGGCTACTGCACCGCCGTCTTTGGTCCCTGACTAGTGCCGAGACTAGTAAGTCTATTCCACAATTTTCAGGCGCACCCATGCCCCTAGGAGATGGTGGTTCCTTTCTTACTACAAGACTCTACAGGAGATGCTGGCCAAAAGGAACCGACCTACGTTTCATGGCACCCACCGAACCCCAGTCTTTCTATGAGGGTGTTCGTCCCTTCCATGGAGAAAGACCACTGCTGCTATTATTGGCATTATGACCTTTACTGACCCTGATACTGACTTGGTAGGTATTTGACAAAATCATACCTGCTCCCCGCTACCTCCCTGTTATTGGGATTTTACACTTTGTACTACAACTGTTAACGGAGATTTTCTTCCGAATCTCCATAATTTAACAGCTAGAAGTCTAAAATTTGTGCAACACATCAAAAATATTCCAAGCACTCAATGCTGGATTGACCACAACGATGATCTGGCTCCGTGACCCTCCTTGTAATCCATCGTCTAACAAGGTCTTTTCAGCTATCGCAAACCTGACGTTACAGTCTGCAAAAGCTTAGTCTAGTAGAGCAACAACCCGAGGGCAAAACACCGGCCTTGATGATCATCCATGGGTCGATTCGGGGATGGACCGGTTCGACGATTATCGTTTTTCGTTGCCCAAAGGAGAGTGGGTGATCGTTCGTCATTGGTCAAAATCTAACAATATTTTGTTGACAATACTACCCCTGGAGCAAGTTTCTACTACGGCGCTTGGAGATTTGTTACTTTTGATTTTTTGCCCTACCCCCCTAGTGCATAAACTCCACCGAAATCCACCGTCGTTTCCCGTTTCCCGTTTTCCTTTTACTCTTTCCTCTGACTTCCACCGATTCTTAGTGCGTACCCCTCTGCTTTTTGAACACTAAAATGTTATGAATCAATGGCTTCCTTGTACTAGTCCCTTTATGGAAGAGACTGGGCTGATAAATTGATTAAAGGGACCCTTGGTCTGTGATTAGAACGACTCTACTACTATCCCACAGATTGCCGGACTCTGGAGAATGCTGGGCAAGTTGCCGAAGTATAGCCTGTGATCAAGACGGGCGACCCGCAGAAGCCGGATTTCATACCCTCCTAGTTAGTGAACCCCGTTGCCTGAAATAGCATTCTTGCCCTGCTTGGTGTGTTTCGAAGGTTTCCACATTTAACGTTAGCTCAATGGCATTTGCTTTCCCACTGGCAGTTAGGGATCCACCCGGCTAACTCGACCTTGAAGATCTGGCTCGATCACAGATGGCTCTGCCTACTCCAGTGACTTCCAGGGGCCGCGTGCTAAGTCCCAATCAGAGGAATCCAGACTCAGGGTGCGGTCTCCATCGCATTAGGTAGTAGTAACCATGGAAGCAGACGTCTCAGGGGTATATAAACCCAAGTGAAGATCACCTCTCTCTTAACATCAAGCCTCCGTCAATCGCTTCACTTGGTCTCTTCTCAGTCGAGACCTTCCTTTCATTTTTGTTTGATATTGTTTTTTTCTTTTCATTTACCTGTCTATCGTTAACCGACTTTGGCTGCTAACAGCCAGTCATTTTCTTTCACTTCTATTTCTTTTCTTTCGAGAAGTTCATCCACTGACTTCCTGAACCTATACCGCACATTCGTTGCTATTTTCGCATCATGCGTGCTAACAACCTACTTATGCTCGCCGGCCTGGCGGGCTCCGTTGCTGCTTACCCCGCTGATCTCGAGAGCCGTACTCTCGGTCCCCTCTTGGAGGGCATTGGCCAAGGAATTGCCCATATTGGTGAGGGTGTTGGAGGAGAAATTATCGATGTCTCTAAGGGCTTGTCCGATTTGATTAGCCTCCTGTTTGGCGGAACCAGCGGCCACACAACAGTGTCCATCCTTGGGGGAATCAGCGCTCAGGCAGCCGCGGCCCTCCAAGGTGGTGCGTTGGGATGTACAGCTGGTACTATTCATGCCGACGCACGTGCAGAACTGGCTAAATGGCTCAAGGTCCACGCCGAGTTCGACCCCTCGTTGAAGGCTGCCCTCGTGGCCTGGGCAGAGGGTGAAGCCTCGGCCACCTTGTCTGTGGATGTTTGTGCTGGACTGTCGTTGTTCATCCCCACTTGTGCCGACATTGCCGCTAAGGGTGAATTGTATGTGACCCTTGACGGTATCTTCTCCGCAGCCGATCTTGCCGCCGAAGTTGTTCTCAGCGCCTCGGCCCAGTCTTCCCTGTCTGCCTTCCTCTCCGGATCCCTTGGTGCTAGTCTCGATGTCGACGTCAGGGCTGGTCTTGGCCTGTGTGCTGGCGGCGGTCTTGTTGCCGATTTGGCTGCAGACGTTAAGGCTGCACTGAAGGCTTGGCTCTCTAGCAAGGAGTGCTCTTTGAGCGCTTCGTTGAAGGTCTCTGTTCTGGCCTGGTTGGAGGGTAAGATCGAAGCCGGTGTCGTCTCGATTGGCTCTGTTCCTTCCGGTGGTTTGGCGACCATCTCCGCTGGTGCTGCTGTCAGCAGCCTTGTGGAGAAGTCTGGAATCCTGGTTGCCAGTGCTCAGGCCTCCCTCTCTGCCTTCCTTGAGGCTGACATTGCTGCTGACCTCGAGGCCGAGATCATCACTGCCCTCAAGGCTTGTGCTAAGGGCGGCATCGCCGCTGATCTTAGTGTTGAAGTCCGTACCGCTTTGGCTATCTGGATCTCTGGCTCCAACTGCCGCCTTGGTGCCGAACTTAAGTCTGTTGTTCTGTTCTGGCTTACCTTTGCCGTTTCTGCCGACGTCTCGGTTGATGTGAGCGGGGGTCTTCTCACTGATCTTACCTCCTTCCTCACTGGAACTGTTGACACCCTTATTGGCACCAACTTGCGTGGTGTGATCTCTATCCTCCTTTCTGGCGAGAGCCTGGTCTCCATCTCCCTCGACGCCCGTGCTCAGCTTGCTGCCATCTGTGGTGGTTCTACTGGTATTGAGATCGATACTAAGATTTTGCTCATCATCATCCAGTGGCTCTCTGGCTGCGACACTGGCTCTGGCGCTCACAACACCACTCCTCCCTCTGGCTCTGTTGTCCCTAGCATTCCTGCTTCTACTCCTGCAGCCTCTACTCCTGCTGTGTCGACTCCCGTTCCCACTAGTGCTGGCGCCACTGGCAGTGAAGTTCCCTCCGTTCCCGCTGGCTCTGCCACCACTGGTATCACCTCTGGTATCAACTCCGGCTCCGTCAGTGTGCCTGCTGTCCCTACTCCTAGCGGCCCTGTTCCTAGCGAAACTGTCACTGGTGGTGAGACTGAGTCCACTCCCTGTGATACCATCACCTCCGAGACTGTTATTGGCAGCGCCACCACTGACTACCCCGTCCCCACTGATGTCAGTCCTTCTGGCTCCGGCTCTGTGAGCGTTCCTGCTGTCCCCACCCCTAGCGGCCCTGCTCCTAGCGAAACCGCCACTGGTGGTGAGAGTGAGACTCCCTGTGACACCATCACCTCTGAGACTGTGATTGCCAGTGCTACTACTGATGTTGTCCCCACTGGCCCCGCTGTTACTGGTGTCACCTCTGGCGTCAACTCTGGCTCTGTGAGCGTTCCTGCTGTCCCCACCCCTAGCGGCCCTGCTCCTAGCGAAACTGCCACTGGTGGTGAGAGTGAGACTCCCTGTGACACCATCACCTCTGAGACTGTGATTGCCAGTGCTACTACTGATGTGGTTCCCACTGGCCCTGCCGTCACTGGTGTCACCTCCGGTGTTGCTTCTGGTTCTGACAGCGTCCCTGTCCCTACCCCCAGTGTTCCTGGAGGTGAGACTGAGACTCCTTGTGATACCATCACTTCCGAGACTGTGATCGCTAGTGCTACCACCGATGTGGTCCCGCCAGCGCCCACTGACGTTAGCCCAACTGGCTCGGAATCCCCCAGCGTCCCTGCTGTCCCTACTCCCAGTGTCCCTGGTGGTGAGACTGAGACTCCTTGTGATACCATCACTTCCGAGACTGTGATCGCTAGTGCTACCACCGATGTGGTCCCGCCAGCGCCCACTGACGTTAGCCCAACTGGCTCGGAATCCCCCAGCGTCCCTGCTGTCCCTACTCCTAGCGTTCCTGGAGGTGAGACTGAGACTCCCTGTGATACCATCACTTCCGAGACTGTCTACCCCATCGCCACCGAGTCCGCCAGCACTACCGTTGGTGTCCCTCCCGCCATCACCCCTGCCCCCGCTGTCAGCTCTACCGCCGGTCCTAAGGTGGTCACCATCACCACCACCGTGAGCGTCAATGTATGCGAGTACTGAACAGACAAGCGATACGGGCTGAAGATTACGAGACGACCGCAATGGCAGAAACGCACAATACGCCTCGTGTAAATACCTAATTTTAATTCTAATTCGCCTGGTTTTACCCCGATATTGCGTCTATGCTCTTTGCGGGGGACTTGGGATCTGGGGAACGTGTTTCACTGATTGATAAGGAAGACTTTACGTTCTGGTTTTGTTTTATTTTCTTGTGGCTTCCCTTCAATGGAGTACTTTCTTTCACATATACCTAGATAGGACCTTGAGTCCTATTACCTGTATAGTACTTGACGAATCTTAGTAATATCACGAGTATCCTGTTCTCAATCTTGCCTCAATCGCATTCAACGATTCTAGTCCCCGCATGCACAAAGGCAGAAAGAAAGTAAAGGAGAGCCTAATCTCCACCACGAAGTAAAACAATGAGAGTAATAGCGACCTACCAAAATCCACAGAGCTCATTCATTCTCAGCTCCCAGTATCTGATCCGATCTGCTGACAATCGATATGACAGAAAACAGCTCACAAAGTACCCACACAATGAAGAACACCTACCGGGCCACAATTATCCAATAATGCACACACACCCACGATTAGCTGATGCGTCTTAGCCGATCCTAATAGGAAGAGAAGAGCTGGCCTCGTGATAGATGGGAGAACAGCCTAACCTACTAAACTATCAATTGCTTACTTTCTAAAAATGGTTGGATAAAAGGAGAACGGGACCCTTGGAATTCGTACTCTAGTGGGCGACTGGTTCGAAAATTGGGTACCTCTCTTTCTGGACCTGACGATCATCCCATGTTTCCACGGTACAGCCTCAGCTTCTTATCCGGACTTTCCGCTCAGGAGAAATCCTTTGATATCTAGAATGGCGGTGTCGTGGGTACAGCTCCGAATTGGGCAGAGCTTGCAGGATTTGAAATCAACAATCTTGGCCGAGGGTGGGCTGCATTTTTTTGTCCTCACTTTTCTTTTAAATTTTTTTATTTTATTTTTATTTTTTATTTTTTTTTCCCGATATGGGTCACAATTATTCCAATAATAAGTCATAAATTATGTAAATTTTGTAGATCACATTATGGGGGAAGTAGAAGGGCGATATTCGCGTACCTCCCTCACCTCTCATTTTCTTTATTCTCTTTTTTTGCGGGGGAGTTCGCTACTACTTTTTTTTCTTTTTGAAGCGCGTGTAGATGGTCATTCATTTCATGAATTCCAAGTTCCCTCCTATCCTTTAACTCACTTCAGGTGTCACGAATGGTTACCTACCTTGTCGCTAAAGGCAGTCCGACGCATTGCAACGATCTTTTCACGTAGAAGTTTCTCGCGTAATTCGGTCTTGGATATATGTGCACGAGGTCTGACGGAGCGGATTGTCTGCTTTTTATTGCGTCAGTCCCAGCGCGTTAACCGGTAGAATGATAATATATACAGGGGCCTGTAGATGCCAAGAAAGATATCAAGGTCATGATGGTTCAGCGAGTGAAGGGAATACCTTTCAATCATTGACCCACCTCTTCAGGATCCTTCATCTCGTGATCTGATGAATTAGGCTTCTCAGGTGGTGGTGACGACCGCTTTGCGGCGTTGTCTTCCTGATCAGTCATTCTCTGGCGCTTCTCACTACGGACGGATACAGAAGAGGTGTTACGCCGTCTTCGGGCGGCAGGAGCATATCTTTGGATAGAGCGGCGTCTCTTCTTTTCCCTGTTGTGGCTACGACTGCGACTGCGGGAATCGTGGCGTCTCGGACTGGCACTGGAGCTGCGAGAATGGCCTCGGCCTCGGCTGCGACTACGGCTGCGACTGATACTCCTTGAGTACCTACGTCTGCGGTCATGATCGCGATCTCTGCTGCGACTCAAGCGGTGATCGTCGCGGTTCTTGCGGGCCTTTGCAAAATCAGCGGTTGATTCTTTCTTATCAGCTCGTGAAGTGTAAGGCGAAGATCTTCTCCGTCTGGCGCTCCTTTCGTCAGGCCCACGCGACCTAGAACGAGATCTTGAATAAGAATCTTTTCTGCGCCGGTCCCTGGGAGCAGGTGAACGGGATGAACTGCGGGAAGAAACGGATCTCCGTCTCCGTCGGTCTCTTCTGGGAGTACGTGAGCGCGATGAATCATTGCGGGAAATGGATCTAGCTCGATCACCGTAATCAGGACTACGTCTCCTCGGCTTCCTGTCCCTGTCTGGAGATACAGAGCTGCTAGGCGATCGGCGACGCCTGTTTCTGTCCCTGCTTGGCTGGCGTTCGCGACGCGGGGGTGGTGACCGAGACGCGGAGGGAGAACGAGAGCGGTTTGGTGATCTAGAGGGACGACGATTCCTGCGTGGACCCGAAGGAACATAGGAGTCAAACTCTCGTCGTGCAGGCCGGTCCTGGAAACGTTCACGGCTACGACGTCTGTCAAAGTCCCCTCGACCTCCGCGGCCACCACCACGCCTTCCACCTCTGCCTCGCTCAGATCGTTCCCTCCGCCTGAGTTCTTCCAGTTCTCGTTCTCGGACCCGTTCTTGTTCCTTCTGTCGACGAGCTTCCTCAGCTGCTTTTTCGGCTTCGATCTAAGAGATAGTCAATAGCCGAAGAATATGACCAAATATACAGTAACCTACCTTCTCCTGTATAAGTTCGAGTTTCTTAGCCTCTAGAAGCTCCTTCGGGACGCCCTGAGGATTTTCCTGGGCACTAAGGCATAGTGACCAAAGCTCCTTGCAAAATTTCGCAGTATCCTTATCCAAGAACCCCGTAAGTTGAATCTGCAAGGACTTGACATCGGGCTAAGCCAAAACAAAACGTTTAGTATTATCCCCAAGCCGAACGAAGGCACAAGAATTGATAACATACAAATCGAGACCCTTCAAGAAGGTTGAAACAAAGCTCGATCACGACATCATCTTCATTTCCCAGGATCTCCGATATCTTTCCGGCAATCCATCTGCAACCAAATCACATTTCAAAGTTAGTATTGAGCCGGCTCTCGGAACGCTCAGCTGCACGTACTTCTTCATAACCTCAATATTGACCTTAGTCATGTCCACCTTCCGACTGAATTCGGGAGGGAACTTCGTCTGCCTTAGGAGCTTGGCATCCACGCTGGCCGCCATTTTTGCAAGCTAGGTGGTCTGAGTAGCACGTAGGAGAAAGAACGCGTGAAACTTATGTTATCGAGCAATGAGATTGCGCCATTGGCTGCACCTACCAGCCGTACCTCAGTGAAGGCCGGTGAATAGTCGGGCCGAAGAGTATCCAATGTTACCATATTTGGAAGTGTTAGATATATTCAAAACTCAATACTTAGGCACAATGATATTGCCTGAAGAATGTCATTATAGGAGTAGACTTACTAAAAAATCTGCCAGTGTATTGGTTATAGGCAGTTTATAGTTCCGAATGACTTGACTTGTGTTAATCTCCACCACATTGCAGTGATATCAGTGGAATACGTTCCTAAGCTTTAAATACTTCTTCATGGCCATGTTCTTGGTTTATATCTAAGCTTAATGTAGTTAAATCACACTAAGCCTTGGTCCATACAAGAAATAAAACACATACATTATATCATATCATACATAAATAAGCACCTACCCATCAAGGGCCAAGCTCTTTTAAGACACGATTCACGTCCTCTCGTGCATGAGCCAGCTCCTCATCAACAGTACCACCGGCATGACGCGCTTTGATCTCATAATGCAAGTCGACGAGTTCCTTTGCGCGTCGGAGATTGTCATTGACCTTTTCACTCTGTTGGCTTTCGATAGTAGAGCTCCCATCTAATTGGGAGGGCTCGACAGGTATTCGCTCGTGGACGGTGACGAGAGCGAGAGCTTCATTGTGGTCCTGAAACTCTGTTAGTAGTGCAACTTGTACGCTGTTTTTAATGTGATGTACGACAGGAACTTTGACTCAAGGGGTTGTTCTTATTGACTTGGCTGATCCGTGATAGCGAGGGATGAGAAGGTAACGTACACAGACACGTAACGAGGTCAAATCGGACAGGATCTCCGCCACTTGCATGATTGGTGAAGGGGAACTATAATCCAGGCGATCTGTTGTGTAGGTTAAGAGTTAATGATTCGCGATGAACTATAACATTAAAGCCGTGTCCTGTAATATGCGGAGCAGTGAGACGAAAGGAAACACGCGTGCTCTCGCTATGTGAGATGCATCTTGTGACGTAAGGTGTAGAACTCGGACACCGAAAGAGAGGAGATATACAAGACATTTCCAGTCATTCCACAGAATCATTCCCCAAAATAAAACCAATGAGTCAATACTAGATTTCCCTATCAATTAGTCTAAGCGGATAACCACTTTAATATACAACAAGCGCCGAGTCTCGGAGAATCCGAAGCTCTCCGCAGAACAACTTCGGGCCCCAGTTCCGGCGCATCGGCTCTTCTCCGGCGGAAATCACCTATATTAACATTGCGACAGGTCCGTCCTGCCTCCCACATCTGCCCCTCACTTTCCCTTAATTACTAAAAATCCTAATCGCAATGGCATCATCTATTAGGGCCAATTGCCGAAAGGTGATTTGCATTGGCAGGAATTATGCGTATGTTCCCCTCAAGGAGCGGTTAAATACACGACTAATACGAAACCGCAAAGCGACCATATTACGGAGCTCAATAACACCAAGCCCAAGCAACCGTTTTTCTTCCTGAAGCCTGCGTCGGCCATTCTGTGTCCTGGTGAGGGTCCGGTTCTGCGTCCTAAGGGCACAAAGCTACACTATGAGGTGGAATTGGCCTTGGTAATGGGCAAAACACTTCGGGATCATGACCCGAACGATGAAAAGGGCGCTTTGGACGCCATTCACAGTCAGTTTCATATAATCCAACTTTCTCTCCTTTTAATGGAAGTAGCCCGTGGATAGTGATTGATGGCTAATGATTCATTGTTCTCAACAGGCTACCTTCTCGGCATTGACATGACTGCCCGCAACGTACAAGACGAAGCTAAGAAGAAGGGTCTCCCATGGTCCATCGCTAAGGGCTTCGATACCTTCCTACCTATATCCCAAGAGATTGCCAAGTCGCAAATTCCTAACCCCCACGAGGCCTTCCTTCGTCTGAGCGTCGGCTCGCAGATGCGCCAGGCTGATTCCACCGGCCTGATGCTTTACCGGATCCCAAGACTGCTGGCGGAGATCTCGCGTGTGATGACTTTGGAGAAGGGCGATCTGGTCTTGACTGGTACACCGAAGGGAGTCGGAGAGGTGAAGTCTGGAGATGTGATGAGAGCCTCTATTGAAGTCGGCGGGAAGGAGATTGAGGCAGGCCGGATTGAGGTCGAGGTTAAGGATCGGGAGGGCCGTTATGAGTACGCTGAGACCTAAACTGTCGATAAATAAGTTATAGTATGAATACCCGAGTCCCAATATATACATACCTCAACGCAACATTTCATCGTTGTGTGACCTTGCTACGTGATACAAGAGACTTGAATCGGTCAATGCAATCCCATCTCAAGAAGATCATCTTCATCAGCCGGTACAATGGGTATCGCCCTGCGCTTCCTCTTCTTCTTCTTGTGTTTAATCGGAGCGTTGACTTTCGAAATATCGATGGTTTCCCTCCCTGGATCCGCCTTCACTCGAAGGGGCAATGTCCCTGCCTGAGCTTTTCTATCCTCGTCGAGCTTTTGACGCATGATATCGGCCAGAACTTCCCACGACCATCCGGCAACATCCAAATGTCCCTCAACTAGACGTCTGATAACGTCATCGTCAAGCCCATGTACAAAAGCCTTCGCAATCTCGCTGCTTTTGACCCACAAGGGCAACTGAATCCGTGCATCCAAGGCGTACGACCAATACTCACCTAGCGATCTCATATTCTGCTTGAAAAGATCATATAAACCCTCCTGTCCCTTCGTAGCTATCTCACCGGGCAGACAAATATTAGCGGTACACGTTTTAGCAATCGAACTACTCTGAGACGGCCCCCACGTAGTCTCAGACAACGCCCGCAAAGAATCTCCCCGGTCATGCATCAAAGCAATACCATTATTCTTAGGCAATGAGTCAGGAACAAGTACCTCTGACCTTCCTCGTACCAAATCAGACGCAATGATATCTACTTTCGATCAGTGAACCTAACCAACAAGTTCCCCATACAAAGTGCCAAAAGATCCGACACAACTCTACAAATAGCAAAAGCAAAGCCCAAAGTATGAGGGATCACAAAAGAAATACTCACTACCATTATGACGAGACCACCCAAGTGACTCACTGAACCGCCTCTCGCTTGCCATACTCCCCGACTTCATAGAGTCCAGTGTACGGGCTAATTCGTTCAAACGCGCAGTATATTCTCTCCTGACGTTCTCAAAATCTCTCTTCAGTTCCCCGTTCTCGATTTCTAGAACCTCGATACGTTCAACTAGAGGTACAAGTCTCGTTTCGAACTTGACTTCAATAGTCTTAAATTGTTCACTGCCATCAGTGTCCGCTTGCCTCACTTGTTGGCTTAATTCACTGAAGTTCTGTCTTAGATCTTTAACAGCGCCCACAGTCGAGGCGAGGTCAGCTTTGGTCCTGTGTAGTTCATCTGCCAGGTGAATGTTTTCTCGCCGGATTTCGTGGGCCCATAGAAGTGAAGAGGGGGAAAAATTCCATTGTTGCTCGGAGGGTTCCATTTGGGATTGTTGAGTAGAAGGTTGGGTTGGTGAGATATTGCATGTTCAGACGGGGATGATGGTGATGAGAGGAAATTGACTGTACGACGGAAGAATGAATGTGGAATATCATCCAACCTAATAACACAAGAATTCCAGATCTACAGTTGCAATTTTTTAGAAACATAAATCATGGATGGCATTACCTCTTGTCTATTGTATTCAAGTAGGTACACGACCACCCCAAAGTCATGATCATCTATTTGTCCACCCAAGCTGCCTGAATGAACAAATCACAATTTTTGGCTCGACCCTTCGATTAAGTATGTGCAGCATCCTTAACCAACCAGAGCGAGCTAGGTACAAAAGGGGGAAAAAGTTGGAAAAAGGCGGAAGAGAAACCATGAATTACAGCAATAATTCGCACAAACATGTCGCATCTCCATAAGCAAGAAAACATAGGAAACAGAAACAGTAACTAGCAGAGGTGTCCCTCTAACCGGCCACCGCGAATAAGAATAAATGCTGGAGACACAAGAAGCCACTTTTGAAGGATTCTCCTTTGCCAAGAGAAGCACGACGATGTCATAACGCCTTTTCCACCGCAGCTTACCCTTGGACTGCTATTGGCAACTGCAGTCGTATTCCGCATCGTGAGGTATAAAGGTGGGGGAGTTTAGATGAGGTCTGATGAAAAGTTAGCATATATCCACGTGCGAAACTGTTCCTCATAAGAGAGTACTTACCAGCAACGTTCATGGGCATCTCCTCGATCTGGGTGCTGTAGAACTGCTCGATCTCACGCATCATGCGAACATCGTCAGCAGTGACGAAGTTGATGGCAACACCCTTACGACCGAAACGACCACCACGACCGATACGGTGAATGTAGTTCTCACGGTTGGCAGGCAGGTCATAGTTGATGACCAGGGAGACCTGCTGGACATCAATACCACGAGCCAAAAGGTCAGTGGCGATCAGGACACGGGAAGAACCAGAGCGGAATTCCTTCATGATAACATCACGCTGAGCCTGCTCCATATCACCGTGCATGGCGGAGACTGTGAAGTCACGAGCAGTGAGCTTGTCAGTGAGCCAGTCGACCTTGCGGCGGGTGTTGCAGAAGATGACGGCCTGGGTGATGGTGACAGTCTCGTAGAGATCAGAGAGAGTGTCGAGCTTCCACTCCTCCTTCTCGACGGCAATGTAGAATTGCTTGATACCTTCAAGGGTAAGTTCCTGCTTCTTGACCAGGATACGGACGGGGTCGCGCATGAACTTGGTGGTGACCTCAAGGACATCCTGGGGCATGGTGGCAGAGAGCAGAGTGACCTGGGTAGACTGAGGGAGAAGCTGGAAGATGTCGTAGATCTGCTCGGTGAAACCACGCTGTTTGTTTCGTTAATATCGGTGTTCGATGGCAGTTCCCAGACAAGTGATGCAACTTACAGACAACATCTCATCAGCCTCATCAAGGATGAAGAGCTTCATCTGGTCGGTGCGGAGAACACGGCGCTGGATCATATCGTGGATACGACCGGGGGTACCGACAACGACCTGAGGGCCCTCACGGAGAGCGTTCATGTCATCGCGGACAGCGGTACCACCAATGCAAGCATGGCAGTTGATGTTCATGAAGTCACCGATGGCAACGACGACCTTCTGGATCTGCTGAGCCAACTCACGGGTAGGGGCGACAATGAGAGCCTGGCAGGACTTCAGGTTGGTGTCGATCTTCTGGAGAGCGGAGATGGAGAAAGTGGCAGTCTTTCCAGTACCAGACTGGGCCTGAGCAATGACATCGTTACCTACACATCGTCAGTTCTAACCTTTCAACCCTAACATGACCAGAAAACCTACCCTTGATGATGGGCATGATGGCACGCTGCTGAATAGCAGAGGGACGCTCGAAACCATAGGCGTAGACACCTTAACATCCCTATTAGCATCTCATTTTAGAGACATTCTTCTGAAGTATCACATACCGCGAAGCAGCTCGGGCTTCAGGTCCATGGAGTCGAAGGAGTCGGTGACCTCATCGTAGTTAGACTCGATCAGTCCTATTGATTGAAGAAGCCTGGTTAGTCTGGATTTTTGACTAGAGATATTTGATGCTTGTTCTGAGCGTCGTGGTGCTTTTTCACTTTTTTTTCTCCTACCGCTGGATGGAAGAAAAAAAAGTCAAGCGCCACAAAAGCACCAAAAAGAAAATCAAAGACAAACCGAAAAGAGGAAAGAAGACAGGAAAAAGATAAGAACATACCCTCGGGGACTTCTTCCAATCCTTTATCGTTAGACATGATTGCGACTGTTGTAGAGAAAAAAGATCACGGCGAAGAGCTGTGATCGGAAGACAGTGGGGTTTTGGGTGTGAACTGAGTGAGGGTTTCTTAGCGACAAACGATTCCAGTGGGGTTGGCCGCAATCGCAGAAAATCAAAAGCCGGAAGAACTTACGGAAAGGAGAAACTAGACCTAGGACTCTCGAGAAAAGAGAGTCTTCACAGAATCTAGTATGTGGGAGTTGAATAAATGGGTTATTTCACCGATAGTGTGGAATGGAGAAAAGAAGAGAAGGAGAAAAAAAAATGAAAAGAAACGCGAGCTTTTTTTTTTCCTGCTTTCTCTGAAGCCGTGAAATTTTTGATTTTTTTTTTACCCAGCTAGCGCCAATCAATTCTGCCCAACCGACACCCACCGCCTTCCTGACAAAGGAATCCAACCCACGTTTTTTTTTATTTTTTATTTTGAATTGTGCATTATTTTGCCTTCGGGTTTTGATTCGAGGCCTGTCATATATTTTATTGTGGTTACTATCGGTAGTAGAAATTTTGCCATCATTGTCATTTGACCTGGCCGGTTAATAGTTCATTTCCCCTTTAATTTACCCAGAGGTTTCTCCTATTGACTGCCCTATTGTCTTTTGGTCATTTTGCTTTTTCTATTCTTTAGAGCCATTGTGTTTGGCGGCAGTATCAAACCCCACCCAAAGGGAAGACCCAAAGCTTGAACAAAAAAAAAATGCCGGATGTCGCTTCACTGGACAGCTCTGATTTAGTCGGGCATGTTGCAATTCCCGGCCATCCTTTAGGAGTGAAGCCCAGTGGCAATGCTTTACTTGCGCAGGAGAATCTTCGTGCTGCGATTGGCACCTTCAATTTGTTACCCGATGAACTGATCTTAATACTACTAGAATACCTTGATGGACGGAGTTTACTGCGTATCGGGCAGACATGTAAAGCGTTCTATGCATTTACTAGAGCGGAGGATTTCTGGAAGTCTCTTTTCATTGGGTAAGGTTACCATGGATGGGTTGTTTTTATATTTTTCTTTCCGTATATCAGGCCTTGAGCCGGGTAACTTAATATAGTGCCGGTGAAAGTGCCCAGTGCTCTGTGCAGCGCCGTATAGTGTTATCGAGTTACTAGGTAGTAGCTAGACGTGTACTAAAGGTTCTTAGATCCCCCCCTACCTCATTTACATGGAATGGAACATGGCGATCCACTTATCTCAACATTCCTTCGTCTAAAGCGGCCATCCTTGACTGTTCCACTTTGTATTCAGATGCTCTGCACCGCCCTTTCTACTGCGCTCATATCTCTTTGGATCCCTACGTTACCAACATTCCTTCCAGAAATCAAATCGCTCGCCTTCCGAACCTTTCTCCCGAAGAATTTCAAGAGAAGTGGTCCGACACTCCGTTTATCCTGACCGAACCTGTCAAGGCGTGGAGGGCCTATAAAAACTGGACTGTTGAATCGTTGTTGTCTGAATATGCGGAGACGGTATTTCGTGCGGAGGCGGTGGACTGGCCCTTCAAGACATATCTGGAGTACATGAATAACAACTCCGACGAAAGCCCTCTGTATCTCTTCGACCGGGCGTTCGTATCTAAAATGGGCCTGAAGGTCGGTCAGCCGGATGAGGAACCCGAAGCCACATATTGGCCGCCACCATGTTTTGGAGAAGACTTCTTCTCCGTCTTAGGCAATGACCGCCCTGATAGGCAGTGGTTGATCATTGGCCCCAAGCGGTCAGGAAGTACTTTCCATAAGGATCCTAATGCCACTAGCGCCTGGAATGCAGTAGTCCGCGGCTCCAAGTACTGGATTATGTTCCCATCGTCGTCAAAGGTTCCTCCACCTCCCGGGGTTTATGTCTCCGAGGACCAGAGTGAAGTAACGTCCCCCCTGAGCATCGCAGAATGGCTTCTCGGCTTCCATGCCGAAGCCCGGCTCACACCGGGCTGCATCGAAGGTATCTGCCAGGAAGGAGAGATTCTCCATGTCCCCTCTGGTTGGTGGCATTTGGTGGTCAACATCGAGCCAGCCATTGCGATCACGCAGAACTTTATTCCGCGTGCACACTTGAGCGCAGCTTTGCATTTCCTAAGTAATAAGGCCGATCAGATCTCTGGGTTCAGAAAGGACGTCCACAACCCCTATGAACGGTTTGTGAACAAGATGCGCGAGGCGCATCCAGTCTTGCTTGAACAAGCATTTGACGAGCTAAAAAAGAAAAACGAAGGCAAGAAGCGCAAGTGGGATGAAATTGTCCATGGGAAGCCAGAGCAAGAAGGTGCTGGAAGTTCCTCTGAAGCAGGTGGATTCAGTTTTGGATTTGGAGATGATGGGAGTGACGTGGAAGTTCCCTGAGTCATTGATATGCATTATGACTGATGAACAAGACCAACTCCCGGTCATAAATGCAAAAATAATATTGTGCGATATGCAGCATATGCTATCAAGCAGTCCACCGCTAAGCTTTGCCAAGCTCAAAGCTTCCCACCAATTCTGGAACCCAACAACTATCTGAAAGGGAATGAATGATCAATGGCAAGCAACAGTCTTTGAAGCTGACAAGTTCTCCCCAAACGCAAGATATCCTACGAATGCCCCGACAGCAACTGCAAGCATGACTAACCCGTTGTACGTCATGAACAGCAACCTGGCGGATTAGTACTTAGATAAAAAAACTCTCTTCAGAAGGGAATGAAGCTCACATGATAAAGAAGCTATAGAAGACCTGCACAGCATATAATGCGGCCATGATGAGCTTTCCCCGCTGTTCCACAACCCTCCTGTTGTCCCTACCTACAAGTAGCGGTGAGCTTTCGTCGTAGGAATGGGGAGCATGGCTTGGGTGGACGTTGGTCGGGGGGGCTTCGCCGATGGTTTCATTGTCTTCGAGGCAAGGTGTCAATGGAATCTGACTCAACCAGGCCCGTGAAACTGGAAATGCCCAAATATTTCCCACCAAATCATTGTATATATCGTATAGTAAAAGAATAGATAAGATATAAAGCTTACATACCTCCTAATGACGGCGTATTGAATGCATTCAACCGTTGTGCTTGCGCTGTCTCATACCGTCGGGTCAATTGCCGAACACCTTCGTAACCAGCCGTCAAAAGTACGATAACAACCAAGGAAACAATAAGAGAAAAGGGACCGTTGACACGCCACCGGCGGAATATGATGCAGAGGTCTTTAGAGGACCATGTGAAGAGCATCTAAATGGTTGCTAGTTAGATGCATTGTAGGCTATTCTAGGGTAATCCTGATGTAAATCAATGATAAGCTCACATTCATATTACACTGCCCCCCCATATCCATATCCCCATGATGACCATGGTCCATATCCATCCCCGCGTGGTGCATAAAGTGGTCCAGATTCAATATTGTACCGTTACCCTGATGATTCGAGATACCAATAAGTAATGTCTTTTTTTTCGCAGCAGGAGAAGAGGTATTTGAGGGATTAGAGCACCGAAGATAGCGATAATAATTTAGATATGAAAGCAGCACAGAGTTGCTGACGCTATCAACAACTCCTCCCCTGGATAGGCCTCAACTTAGCCGTCCAGCAATTCAAATATGCAAACCAAGCAAACAACCACTGATAAGATCTGCGGCCAAATCCAGACCTTACTCTACCTCTCATTCTTCCCCTCCGTTTCTAGATCAATCAATCCGACCAATTACCAAAGAAGATCACAAAAATTTTGTTCGAACACGCGCAAATTTAGATGTCAATCTATCACGCTTAATCCTAAACGTAGTGCGGATAGCGAGGATACAAAAATGACGGAATCCGCCCCTCCGCCCTCCGTCCCCAATACGACCGCAACGCCGGCAGGCCCAACAGCAACCACAAACCAATCCATAACCTCCAACAATAACGGCAATGGAACGGCGTCATCCCAAAGCGGAGCCAATCGCGGCATTCCTTACTACGAGAAACTCCGGCGTGAGCTCCGCGATACATTACAAAAGAAGCGATTAATGGACAAGAGCATGGTATGTCTGTCACCTGTTGGATTTTCTTCCATACTATCTAATAGTATCTGGATGATATAACGACGCGTTTTCTGTGCCTGTGACCCGTTAACATGAATGGATACAGGCTCAACTCGAAGACCAGATCTTCCGTTTCGAACAATCCTACCTCGAAGAAACAACCGCCGGAAACATTATTAAAGGGTTTGATAACTACATCAAGGGTTCCTCGAGCGGGCCTGGCGGAGCTGCGTCTTTGGCACTTTCTGGAGGCGTGGGGGGTACGAGGAGAAAGGCACAGGTGACGGATTCCGATCGCGTTTTCTCAAGAAGTTCGGCGAGCTTTATGCGGGTATGTTTTGTTGTGTCTGCAGACTTTGGTAGATATATAAAGGGTTTCAATGGCTAATAGGTGGAAGGATTCGACACCGTCATCTGTACAGACTACTCCGTCGCACGCCCCGACACCGACATCTGCCAATGGGTCGTCAGGGAAACCGAATGGCGATTCTTCTGCGCCTGGAAGTGTGAAAGGAGGATCATCTTCGTCGAAGAATAAAAAGAAGTCAAGTTCTAATAAGGAGAAGAATGAGGATGACGATGAGGCGGGGGATAAACCGCCCGCGAAGAGGTTGAAAATTAGCTACGGAAGGGATTAATCATTTAGTTCTGATGGGAGTTTTTGAGTTGATTATTCGGCTTTATCCTATTAAGAATGTGGGATTCGGGATCGGTTAGGTGATGGAGCTATAAGGCGCTGGGGCTTTTACTTTTTCTTTCAAATCAACGAGCATCTACATGGTTTTTGATCATGATATCCTTTGTATTATCAAGCGCATCAGCTTATCCAATTCATTTTCAAAGATGACTATACCTCATACATGAAACAATGGTTTCTAAGTATTATCAGAACCCTATAACTACAGTTGCAACCGGTAAGTAGCAACTTCATACGCCCTTAGCTCGATGTTAACATCCACAGTCTCTTCACCCTTGGTAATCGCAAGAGCCGTCTCATTATCTTCAAGCACATTGCACTTCCAAACTTCTTTGACAGGCAACTTAGAGTGAATTTTGCCCCGGACTTTGCCACCAAGTGACTCGTAGATGCGTAGGATAACACTCTTGCCTGCCCGACGGGGTAGATTATCTCGGGAGACATCTTCGTCATCCTCTCCGCGCTTAACTGCGTCCAAGATGAGCGAAGGGGAGCCGCTGATAGAGATAGAGTTAAACACATGGTTGACTATAGAGCCAGAGGATGGCTCAAGGACAAGTGGGTGGTTGAAATTGTATCCCGCTCGAATGGTGCGCGAGTCAAGAGGCCCAGCGTGAGGTAGGATCGCATATCGTATGTGATGACGACCCATGTCTGCGTGGGCATCTGGCGCTTTGGGTGCTCGGAGTAGGGACAGACGCATCAGGTTACCACAAGTTGCAAACCCGTATTTCGAGTCATTAAGGATCGACACGCCATATCCATACTCCGATAAATCAGCCCATTTATGGCAGCATACTTCGAACTTGGCCATATCCCAACTAGAAAAATTAGAAACAATTTAGCTTCCAGGGTGGACGGCAATTAGCTTACCTCGTGTTGTAGTGTGTTGGGCGTCTGACGATCCCGTACTGGGTCTCGTAGGATGCCTCTGTGTTTGTGATATCCACAGGGAATTCTACCTTGAGGAATTTCATGGTCTCTTGCCACTCAACCTCACTTTCAAATTCTACATATGAGGGCTCATCTCCAGCAACAGCAGACAGACTGATCGTTGTCTTGACCCAACTGTTCTCACTGATCTTGGTTTCAGTGACGACACTGGCGCGGTATGAATCATTTTCAGCAATGGTAGTTTTACTGTAATGCAATTCTTTCCTTGATTCGAGATGGAAAACCTCAACATCCCAAGCTTGCCAGTAAAGCGGTTTGTCGTCAAAGATGACCAATTGCCCAGCCTTGCCGGCCTTTGCAATCACTTCACGGTTTGCCTCAACATCGAATAGAGATGTGATTACACCATTGTGGATGCTAACTCTCAACTTTGAGTTCTGAAGTCGGAACACCCCAGGCTGGATTTCTGACACAGTCACTCGGGCAGAAAAGAGAGGTTTGGCCTGATACTCAATGAGACCAGTCTTCCCGCTAACCACTGTATACTTCGGGTAGTCTGCTTCTTCGAAACCTGCAGGAAGCTTAACAACTTCCGACCGATGCCAAGGCAAAGTATTGATCGACACAAGGCCCTTGGTAGGTTTCTTCTGACCGAATCCAAGAGCCTCAAGGGCTTGCCTCCTAACTTTCTGCCCAGTTTCAAAAATCTGGGCATAAAGCTTGTCAGTGTCATCGTAGCACATCTCGATGCAACTGCCTGGAAGGCAATCATGGAATTGACACAGGAGGGTGCTCTCCCACATGTCATCAATTTCCTTCTTAGGATATTGATAGTCGTTGTTCGCTTGCGTCGATGCAAGCGTGGCCAGATACTCAATCTCTCGAAGCAAGAACTCAGACTTGCGATTATTCCGCTTAGTGTTTGCTTGCGTAGTATATGTTCCTCGGTGTAGCTCGAAATAGAGCTCCCCATACCATGTAGCGAACTGAGTACCCTCCGCGGCCTTCTTCTCAAGCCTGGCGAAGAAATCATCCACTGACCCACCCATATTCACGCGCGGAAGCAGCCCTGTCTTATCACTCAGTCCACGGCAACGGCGCAGCTTCTCCAAGTGCTCAAATGTCGGTCCACCGCCACCATCTCCCTTTCCGAAGACGAGAAGTGATGTGTTATCGTTGTCCATAGACTTGTTCTGCGAAACACTGCGTTTCACATCACCAAAGTGAGCCTCCGCAGCATACGTCTCAGATGCCGGCATATGGCAAATGACCTGGCTACCATCGAGCGCAACCCACTTAAAGGTAGTGTGTGGAAAGTTATTAATGTTATTCCAACTGAGCTTTTGAGTAAAAAAGCGGCTCATGCCAGCCAGACGGCATATCTGGGGAATCTGTGTTGAGTAGCCAAAGGTATCTGGTAACCAGAATGTTGTACAACGCTCGCCAAAGTGGCTTTCGAAGAAACGCTGACCGTAGAGAAACTGTCGCACCAAAGACTCTCCACTGGGCATGTTGGTGTCATGCTCAACCCAACTGCCACCAATTGGCTGGAAATGGCCTTTTTTGACCCATCCCTTCACGCGATCGAAGACTGAGGGATAGTATTCTTTCAACCATTTAAACTGCTGCGCCTGTGAGCAAGTAAAACGGTGCTCCGGGTACCTCTCCATCAAGTCACACTGATTCGACCACGACCGGGCTATTTTACGCTTAGTCTCTGCCCAGGGCCACAGCCAGCATGTATCAATATGACAGTGCCCGATACCGTAGACTATCGGCTGCGTATCCGTATCATACACCTCTGATGAGTCGACTCTATCACCCAGATATCTCCTGGCAATCTTGCGTCCTTCCTTGATCGATTCTTGACTCCCATTGCCAGCAATGAAAGCGTCAATGATAGCATTAGCTACCATGTTGGCTTCATGCGACTCCCAGGAGTCACCAGGGAACTCTCGGGCCGCATCTACATGACGTCAGTGACATCTTGCGACAAAAAAGATAACTGTAACAATTACAAAACCCTGCGAGGAAAAAGAGGGGGGAGAGTGGGGATTGGAGGAAGCAAAGAAAAGAGGGAAATCAATCAAAAAGAACACATAATGCAGGCACCATACCTCCAATAATCCAGAAATCATAGTACAAAGCCCGCGCGTCGAGATTGACAGCAGTAATCTGTGCCTTGCTCAAAGTAAAATATCTATCAGGAGATGGCGGCTGAATTATATCCCCGCCAGCGGGATTGCCAAACATCCCATTACAAGCCATCTCGATATAGAAGGTATGTTCTTTCCCATCACGCCAGGTGTCAGGGATGATCCATTCGATGCGCTCTCCGCCGCCAGTGAGGCCTTGTAGCGGATGGCCATCTTCAGTCCAGACTAAGCCCTCGTTATTGGCATCCCAATGGAACTCCAGGCGTTCTTTTTGGCGCAGGTCCTCCGGAACTGTCAGATGGATGCGGAACCAATGAGTAGACCAGCTGGGGCCAAATGAAGCACCGATATGCGTGGGTGTGAAAACATGCGAGGTTGCCTCTTCAAAGGTAGGACGCTCCAAGTTTGGAACGGAGTATACAGAAAGCTTAACGTGGTCTTTGTTGGAGTCCACACCTTCGTAGAATTTACTGCTTGACGTCAAAACCATGGAGCAACGATGTTATTAGCAAATTCAATTACATACGATAAGAGGCCCTGTTCCTTATACTGGCCATTGTCCGTGAACTGTCTCAAACGATCTGTGTAGATGCCCCCGATGCGTTGGCCGACAGGACCGTTTGGGGCCCTGGGAAGAGAGCTGGAAGCTTGTCGGGGAACGTCTCCACCCATGGTAACGGTTCCAATCAATTGTGGATACTGGGTAACTTTATCAGAATGAGAGAATGCGGTGATGTCTGCATCAAAGCAGGATAGAGATGAATGGAAGAGGAGGTCGATTGAGAGAAGCAGCAAGAAGGAGAGTGGTGAAGAGGGAGAGAGAGGAAGATCCAGGAACAGGTGACGACGCTGTTTTGCATACCAGTGAGAGAGACTACTACGTAAATGCGGAGAAACCCTGTGACCCGGTTGGATGGCGGGGAAACCGCTGTCCGGATGGCATGGAATGTGCCCATTGGAGCCAAGACCCAGCCCTGCGCCTACTAGTAGTAGTACTGCCTGAGACAAGTATGGACCCTTGAAGCCCTACCTTTGGAATAACTAAGGGTGAGAAACATCGTCAGACATATACCTAGCTCTATTTAGACCCAGCTATACTATTTATGGAAGTCAATGGGGAAAATCTTGTTTTTTGATTTTACTCGGAATAGCAAGGCAGTGAGTGGCCTCCGAGATTCGATGGTTGATATGCCGCACCGAATGCCCCATGTTTTCGGCGAGATGAAAGGAAATCACCGGTGCTCATGCAGATTTACCGTTAGTTAAATGACAATACAAAAGAAGTAGAAGATATCATGCACATGAACAATGAATCAAGTAACCAATACCTCCCCCATAACGCCCGCCGTGACTATCTCGGGATATCGAAGAATATAAGAAGAGTACAAAGGAAAGAAGAGAAAAAAAGTGAGCGGGTTACTAGATGGAGGCAACTAGAAGGCAAAATAGGCGGGGAAGCCATAGAACGACCTAGATAAGCCGATGCAAGATGCCAGCCCAAAAGACTAGTTTACCAATCCAACAGGATAGGTACGGTCATATCCAGGGGTCAACCCGCCCATAGGTCGTATATGGGTTAACCGGGCCTATGAGTCGGATCTTAGATTTCAGATTTCTTCGTCTTCGATCGACTCTAGCTTGGATGATCTTCTGCCTTGCTCCGTCCAGCGCTACCAGGACATAACTCGTTCCATCTTGCAACACCCTTGCACAAAAACGTGTGCTTTGCTGTAGCGGAGAATACGCTGGCGGGGTGTCTCTTGAAGGTGAATCAGGTCGGCGGCATGTGGTCTTTTTTCGGTATCTGGGAAATCTCACGTTGCCCCTTTGCCGGTAACTGATCCTCTTCTCACGCATGGATCTTTCCCACATGGCTGACCCGTGCTTTTGGTAGGCAGAGATTGGTAGAACTGGATGTTTCTTTTGATTGGACGTTACCATGTGTGTTGATTTATCGTACTCGTCCAGGCTCGAAAGGGTGGACACCGACAGCCGCTTAAGCTCATCGGAGAGATCAAGAAAGTTCTCCTGTAGCCCTGTGCTTCCGCGATCAGAATAGTTGGAGTAGTTGCTAGAAGAAGTTTTATGGGCAGATCTGTATTCTTCCGGCAACTCAGAGGGAGCTGTCGATGGTCGTGGTCGTCGCTTAGGCTTGGTCTTATCAGCCGAGTGCTTGGACAACCTTCGTTGTACGTAAGAGCGGATAGAGTTTCGCACGTCATGAGCAAGTGCTCGTTTATCCGGTGCAGTCCATCGGGGGCTTTTCTTCGTAAAGTCGAACGCTGCTAGGTTCAACCGGCTGTTGTTGCGCCTCCGAGGTGTAGTCGGAAACTTAGGATATCCATGTGGTAGCTCTGATGGTGTAGCGAGCTCAGGAAAGAAATCCCACTTTTTTTCTCTAAAATAATGATTAGGGGCTGTTCGATTCCCTGTTAGAAAAGGCCGATGTTCGAGTTGATCATCGGAGGATGTAGTGAGTGCTAAAGGTGATGGTCCTGGTTTACTATAAGGCTTCGCTTGAGGCGAGCGATCTATACTAGGAACAGGAGAATGCTCGACAAATTCGGCCAGGTCATCCGAAGGCGAACGTACAAAAACCGTGTAGCTATCCGTTGACGCATCAGACGTGCGACGAGTCTCGATGCTGACATCTGTGCTACTATCGTCGCTCCATGCCGTTGAGCCCTCTGTTGAGGGTGTTGAGGGTAGTGGTTTCGCAGGTAGCTCGGGGAGAGGCTTATCCAACCGTAGTGCAGAGTGAGCAGGATGTTGAGAAGTATGTGGAGGAACAACTTTCTCCAGTCCCTCGAGCGACCGAGACGGTCTCACCGGCGGAGCCTGTCTTGGGACAGCGAAAGAAGTTGGTGAAAGCATGACTGAGATTTATGTTCCAATGGCGTTTGTGACTGAAAATAATGTCTTATCTATCTCTTCCCCAAGAAGGGGATCAGACAAGACCGAGGGGTGAGAAACTGGCGTTGACCATAAGCAAGTGATTTAGAAGCAAATAGCCACTTTTATGTCACTTCGAAGTCGAATGGGGTCTAAGCTATTTCTGACAGCGGCGACGAGGGCTTAGAAGTTGCTAAGCGCTCAGTATTGTTTATTCTTCTTATCTGCGTCCAAGATGACGGTCACAAGACCTCGTCCCCGCAAATTCAGCTTGTGGCTTGAGCCCTAATCCTGGCCTGCAGAAGAATTCCCAACAGCGGAACACGCGGGAGCATTTTTCATAGGAGTGAGAAAATAATAAGATAAATAACAGGGGCCCGAGGATGAGAGAAGAAGAAGTAAAGAAGCAAATAATCGACAAAGAAACAAGAGGTAATGTAATATAAAGGGGTGGAAGGTGCAGCTAAACGAGGCATAGAACTGGGGAACCATAATAACACTTCAGTATTATTACCCACATCCCTGGATAGAAATGTCCGGAAAGGGTAGTCCAAGAAATAAAAAAGACCCATCCAAAGTGTTGTGGTCTAGTCGTGGGTCTCCTGCAGGATCGCCATGGTCGTGGCCATCATGGGCAACAATAACCTCATGGGCCACGCAGGGTGACACACCCATGCAAGGGATACTCCGTTTTTGCACTGCCTGCACCGATATCAGCAGCCCAATGGACTATCGTAATTAATCAATGACGGAAGAGTTCATTTGAGAAGCATAATTTCTGGAACACGGCAAATAAACTCGTCACTAGACTGTAGGAAGTTATGTGGCATCTAGAAAGGGTTGAACAATAGCGCTGAAATATATCCGGAAAGGTAGACTCGGAAGGTAATGCCCGCAGTAAGGGCAATCATCCTTGGGAGGGGATAATGCCGCACTGAGCAAGTGGATCCGGTACCTACCGTGTGCCCAGTATCCACTGTATCTTAGGGATCATCGTCGTTGACACCGCAATTCCCTGAGGCCGATCGAAATGAAGTGGAGTGTCAGTGTCAGTAACAAATATGGACTGGAACGAAATCGAAGGCCAGTAATCTTTGGACCAGCTCTGGATCGCGTTAGACTATCCATGTGTTCGTCCTTCGAAACAAAGAAAACATTCTTTGCCATGAGCCGCCACATCTCTAGCGGCTTTTCGCACGGTGTTAGTGACGAATGCGAAGACGGACCAGAATCGAATCCGCGTAATTTCCTTTCCTTTGCTTTTTTTCCCTTTATATTCTAATAGCTATGCGTTTGAGTCGTGTTGGCCTATTCAATCCTAGTTTCTTCGTTTGACGAATTTTCGCGACATACATACTCATGCGTAAAGTTATGGATCTATCACATTTAGCTTCTTGCGGTGAATACCGCGTAAATATGGGCTTCCTCTCTTCAAATTATACTTCCATCGACAGTGTCATAGTGCAGGAACCTTATACAATTCCGAATCGGCGTAAAACAAGAAAGAATAAACTCTCTTCCTTTTTTACTTACTGTGTACCTCAAAAACTTTCTTCGTAAATCCAAGGACTTGGAACTGGGCCCGGTTATCGTACAAAGCTAATTCGGATAACCCTAACTGTCACCTCTAGTGCCCTGGGTCAGCAAACCCAAGTTCTATAATTGAATAGCTCGCCTCATTTCTCTTTGTTTTCCGAAAGGAGCGTGGCACGGACAATTTTTGCTTTACCTCTCATGATGGCATAACAATCATCCATCTTTATGGAGTAGGAACACTCTTATAGCCGAACTTGGTGATAGTTTTTCGTCGCAACAGTAGTATACTAGGCACAATTGCATGCCTCGCCTCTCAATGGTTACTGCTTATCTGGGAGCGAACAGTCTAGTCACGTTATTTCTAGGCCTGCTTATTGATGAAAATGTTGAAAATATATACTACGATGGTTGGCCTAGAGCTTGGGCCAGATCTTACAATGATTTGATTTCCAGATAAATTAGAGTACTGGAAAACATAGTAAGCAGAGTGTTACGGATCTGAATCGTTGGGCAGTTACTCCTGAAGCCCTTTTCAATTATTTAAATTTTGATCTCAATTTTGAGAGGTGGGAGGGTTGACACCTGGGGGATAGTGAGAAGGATGTCTCATGAACAGATAACACTAAAGAGGAAAGATAAGAGGGAGAGACTCAATGAGGAATGCAAGACACGGAACGCCACCCTGCAAGCTGACTTTTTCATGCACACGCTAGCAGTGATGGTACCGGATACCTCACCCATAGCAACCCTAAGACATAACAGATTTCCCCTTGGTTGGGGACAAACCGCCTTCTAGCCTTTACCCGATATGTTCACATTGTACGAAACTTGAGGTATATCCATGCGGGTTAAACAAGAAATAAACTCACCTTCACGGCTAGACCGAACACTAGTACGGCAGTTTCAAGGATCTCCCTGGAGCCGTTCCTTTATCCCTGCACCGGATACGCTGTCATGGTAGTACTAGTAGCCATCATTCCCCCATACGGAGTGGGTGATTTTCGGCCTTCTAGCCATTCGTTCAAGGATCGATCGCGTAATCGTCGCTGTCCTACTCATAATTCCTCAACGATAATCCCAGTCTCTTGGGTATTCCATCGATAAGAGCAGAGCCCGTCAAGCACACCAAGTTGCCTGAAGTGGCTGAAAGAGCTCCAGTGTACTCAGTTGTCTACCAAGAACTGCTCCGTACCCTGGTCCAGGGGTGACTCGGATATGTCTCGGGTTAGGACTTGATCAATTGTTGGCAAGTCGAACCCTCGGCCGAAAGAGCATTGGCGCAGGACCCCGAGTGTATCTCAAATCATTAACTACAGATGATTATCCCGTAAAATCGCCAGTGAGCAAAGCCAAAGGCATCAGGGAAATGTGCTAGATCCGGGAAATCAAATAGAACTAGTATAAAGAAAGCTCCCGTTACAAGTGACAAGAATATCAACGGGTTAAGAGCTACTTACTATACCCAATATGACTACAGCTAGCACGAGTTCATTGTACATATCTTGTTACAGAAGTTACAAGCTCAAGTGTCATGAACCGACTAGGTTAGGGAGCCACTTTGCTACTCGTAGTAATTCTCACTCAGCATAGTAAGTCTCTATGATTACTGGATAATCGCATCGAAGAATCTCAACTGTTCAGCTTCTTTGTTGTCTCATCTCAGCCAATGCTAAGCAAACTATGGAATAACGAGATGAGAATCATAGAAATTACTACGATCTTGAGAGATAAACACTGGATACAGTCAGGAGAATATGAGTCCCTGAACCTCCATCAACGGTAATACAGTGAGTATAAGCACAAGCCACTTTTACAAGGTTAGGTAAACGAGAGCACTTACTCTAAGCCGGGAATCTGTCGCAGGTTAACAAAGCGACCCAAAACGTGGCAATAAAGTTTGATCTAGTACATCATCCCCGCGTATAGTATGGCGTCCTCGCATGCATCCTTCCGGAATGCATTTCACTGAAGATATAATTAGCAACATGGTCATCCTGTTCTCCCCAAAATTTTCCAATTGATACTTCGGATTGTGAATCAGAATTGCTGTCCTACTTGCTTGGCTAAGACCACAATATTCTCTGTAATTGGCTGTAAAGCTATAGTTAAGAATATTGTCACCTGAAACGGAGAGAGACACGATGCTAAAAGAAAGGAGAAACGAAAGATGGGGCGGCGAAGTACTCTAGTGCCATTGCGAAAAATGCATGCTGAAGGTCATGGCTTTTGTGTACTTGTGTATTCTCGTAGACGCTAGATCACACTCCAATCGCCATTCATGGATATAATAGAAGGTTTACTGGTGGTCAGAGCGTGGCCCAAAAAAGCACTACTTTACCCGATGCTCTCAGGTCCGGATTGTCATGTCTGTTGGGCTTACCCAACCTAGGGTTACCCGAATCCCCATTTAGAAAAGGCAATTGACCTTTCCAGGCCGGCCCAACTCGTACCAATTGTAGTAAGTGGAGTGGTTGGTGGGATAAGTAGTAGTTTACGCCTGAATCCGAAAGAATTATTTTACGGGGGCAAGATCCAGGACCGCATGATACAATCTCGTGTGGCGTAAGTGTCAGGCGTCTTTATCACTTTTCCTCGAAACTAATAGAGAGAATAAGTATAATTAGATAATGACTATAACCATGGTATTCATAACAAGATGAACAATGGATAGTGCATCTAGAGGTTGTCTCACTCTCATGATAAGGATTGCTACATACAGCCGTAGGTTTTCTAGAGCGAGGTTATTACATAAAGTACTGCCGAACTGCTTTGTTCTCTTTAGCGTAGTCACGCTACGCTACAAATCTCTTTGTAGTGTGAGGCTGGCGAGAAAACGCGTTTATGGATATTAGGACACTCTGAAAACCATTTCATCTCCCACCAAAGGCTGACCAAAGAACAACCGTCTCTGTGGATTACAGGGGTAAAAACGATGAGTGCGCTCCCTGTATAGATGCAACAGGTGACCAGCCTTGTTATACATGGTAAAACAAAGCGTGCATATGCTCTTTGGGGTACGACATAATGTAAGTTACATGCATAAGGCGCAGTGCAACATAGGATGCCAAACATAACCTGACATGGCTGCTAGCATATTTAAATATAGAGGCAATTCTTTTTTTTTGACCACTTAATTAAAAGTTCTATTGAGAGCATAAGGACCTGGTCAGCACTGGTTGATCATTGCTGTCACTGTATATGAAGGAAGGTAACCGTAAATGCAGGATGATGAGAGGCTGCCTTCTCATGTCGAGACGTAGTAAATTCTGACAACAAAGTACTTTGCTTCTCGATGTGTGTTTTGGCAATTCAAACATTTATCATATTTACAGGCTGTTTTCCTGGACATCTAGTGTGTCAACCAACCATATTGAAGCAATAGACGTGGCATGAAGGCTGATTGCCCTGAAAGTTCTTCATGGCGTCCAGCTTAACACTTCTAATATACCTCTCGTGGCGAATGTATGTACCAGCATCTTCAGATACAGGAGACTTAATATACAAAACGGTACGTGGCATGTGATATTTAGCTTTCCATGGTATAATATAGGGGGTGAGTCTGAATAAGTAGCGCTCTGGGTCTCGCGGAAGTAAAATCTACCTGGTGCAGATTGATATATTCCAGGATATTCGCGAAGCTAGTTTCTCATTACCATTTGGGTTATTAATGTTGCGAGTTATGCCATTTTCTAATAACTACAGCCTATGTGCCGTTATGTGATAGACAAACCATCTTACAGTGCTTCCAACTAAAGAAGAATTAGATCTCCATCCACCTCCTCGATTGGTGTTCTTGTTACTTTTCAGCGTACTCTTGGTCTGCATGGTATCGCAGTTTTTGTCCAAGTAAATTGTTGCAGCATGTACATACAGATAAGACCCGGAGTACTATGTACTTAAAAAACCAGTACATTTGACAAACCCATTCTTGCCTAGACCGCCTCAGGTCTGAGACCTGCGGGATCATGCACCTTAGTACCAAGCTCCCATTGGCTCCTAGCTCCCATTGGCTCCTCCGGGGAGGTCCCCCCATCGTGAGTTGCAGCTCCAGCGCTGGAGAAACCAAGGAAACACGGCAACGGAGCACTGGCCAACCATAGGTGACAACGCGTGCACACCCAGAACCTCAACTTCCAACTTGTCCTTAACATCTTCCCTCTGCCCGATTTTCACCCCACACTCGGTGGTTTTGATCACTCGACTAACTCTACTGGGGGTCATGCGCTTTGAATGTTGAAGGAGACTGGAGGGCTTCGATCGTTCGAGTGTGACTCGAAAGTTTGGGACCGATCTACTACGCTCCTCCGAGTAAGTACTTATTGAAAACGGTCTTTCATAGATTGATACAGTACCCACTATTCCTTAATGTCGATATTCCTCACCAGTCTCCGGGGATATCGGATTAACTGCTTGTGATATATCATCGAGATAACCAGAACTGGCGGATCACGCTTCTGCGGTAAATCATGGGGATGCTAACATTCGGGCGTTTTCTTACTAGACCCTATCCTCACTATCGTGATCGTGACGGCCCTACGATTTTTTCTTTTCAACAGAAACTCGTTATGGAGGATGGTGCTTCCTACTCGGCCGGCAACTCGCCCGTCCTTCAGGTGGTTCAAGGCGATGAAATCTCAGACTTGGACGAAATTGCAGGATCCTCCGATGGCTTTTATTCGCCGCCTGGTACACCTAGACGCCCTTCTTTCTCTTACCAAGATGACTGGGAGACTTTTCCTCCATTGGATAAGTTGACGGTATTCGACCTGCTGGACAACTTCTCCCTATCCCAAAGGCTCGAAAAGCTACAGCGTACCATCAATGCGCAGAAAGAAAAGATGAAGAAACAGCGGGAGAAGCTGAAGTACACCTCTGCAACTGCAAAGGACCGTGTCATGGGTGAGTGGAAAAGACGCGTCCCAACGGCTGACGAGCAGCTTGACAAGTATCGCCGCCGTATGAAGGCCAGCGTTGAGCGTCTGGGGAAGCAATGGAACGCAACAGCGACCGTTACATTACGCGAGAAGATTTCATTCATCGCCGGTGTCCTCAATATCTTCTTTAGTGGCTACCTCATTGGAGCCCATCCAGAGTCTTTCTATATTTGGTTCACTATACAGCTAGCCTACTTCATGCCGATTCGATACTACAGGTATCACGAGCGGGGCTACCATTACTTTCTGGCTGACCTCTGCTATTTTGTCAATGTACTATGTATGCTGAGTATTTGGGTGTTCCCAAGCTCCAAGAGACTCTTCATAAGCAGTTACTGTTTGACTTTCGGGAACAACGCTGTTGCAATTGCTATGTGGCGAAACTCGCTTGTATTCCACAGTATGGACAAGGTTGTTAGGTAAGGGTCATATATGTCACACTTCCAGGATTATCGTTATAACTGACCTATGTCGCAGTCTGTTCATTCATATTATGCCGCCAGCGACCTGGCATTGCCTTGTTCATTTGACTTCTGCGGAGAGGCTGAAGGGCAGGTTCCCAGCTATTTACGACATCAAATTCAGTGAGCCTGGCTCGCCGGACCACTTTTCACTCTTATCCATGATGATCTGGGCAACGGTACCCTATACAATCTGGCAGTTATCCTATCATTGCTTTATCACCGTGCGGCGTGCCGAGAAAATTGCTGCAGGACGACCGACCAGCTTCACGTGGCTCCGCAAGTCGTATGCGAAAAGCTGGATTGGTAAAATAGTTTTAGGCCTGCCCGAATCACTACAGTCTCCCGCCTTCATGCTGATCCAATATTTCTATGCGATTTTGACAATGATCCCATGCCCACTTTGGCTATGGTCCCGCTGGGCTAGCGGAATATTTCTGACTGCGCTTTTTATCCTGAGTGTGCACAACGGCGCGACCTACTACATTGACATATTTGGCAAGCGGTTCCAAAAGGAACTGGAAGAGCTGAAAAGAGATGTCGCGCGGTGGCAGTCCTCTCCAGAAGGAACCGCTAGTCCAACCATTCTGACGTCAGACCGCGCTGTTGCCACTGGGGCCCACATCTTGGATGATTCTAGAGTCACAGCAAATGATGGAGAGCTCGACAAGGCAAGCATCGATCAAATTCCTCTGCTCGATTCCAACGCGACTTCGCGTGATATACAAGATGCAGCCTCTAATTCCCAGGTGGTGCGAGAAAGGAAATAGCATTTACTTCCCAATGCTCATATTGATGTTAGTTCTGGCGTTTTTCCCTCTTGGTTTCCAGCTTGCCGGTTCTGCCACACTTGCGATTTTGGATCAATGATACCCAACTTACTAATCAGTCGTTCTTTGCTATACATGTTTCACAAGATATACGTGTTCATATATAGAACATACTTTGGTTGACAGCATGCAGACTTTTAATTATTGCTCTATATTTGATCAATCAGAATATGACATCAGAGATGATCTGGATCTTTTGATTTCCTTGTAGAATTCCTTGAAACCCATCAAACTTTCCTCTTCTGTAAATCTTTTCTTCTCTCTCTTTTTCTTGGGTGTGTGGAGAGCCTTTGTAAAGCTGCCATACCCGGAACAGCCCGATCGCGGATAGTTTGTTGCCGCCGAGAGAATCGGCAAAGCTTAAATGCGGCCCCGAGCGATAAAGTCCGGCGGCAACAAATAGTAAACCCCGAAATCTTGCATCACGTGAGCTTCCACCTCTCCTCCAGAACTTGGGAAGAAGGACGACACATTACCACTCCTTGATATTCTTGCCAAACCCATTTGTGTAATCTACCTTGTGGGATCATATAGCTTGCTGTGCTAGTTTTGCCGAAATTGTTGTTCCTATTTTTGACCCTTGCTCGCTCTCTGGAGCACCACCTCCTTTCCAACGCCTTCCGCCATGTCTGTCAGCATTAGATCGGCTAGACTTGTGCGCAACAATGCTGCATTGCGCCCCTGTTTGATCGGTACGCTTGCGTCGCTACTACTTGTTTTTGCTACTGTGCCTTGTTTTGCGAGAAACGATATCATATTATGGCTAACATTAATCCTTAATCAGCCCGACCACGCTTTACTGGTGCACTGGGCGCAAGCTCGGCCGCCAATTTCCGGATCAATGGCCGGGGTCTTCCATCCGACATACAAGCCCTCGCAGTTCTGGTCCCTCACCGTGGATATGCCACGGAACAATCCACTTCTACCTCATCTTCCTCGAATTTCCCTCCGCCCGTCTTCAATGCCGAGCAAGCGAAAAAGCCCATCGTACCAGAAACCTCGCAGCCTGCCAAGCTGTGTCAACAAGTTATTCCTAAATCAGAATTACCAGTTACCCCGACGAGCAATGTCCCGAGCAAAGATAAGTTAAGCGATGCAGGAGCAGCGAAGGAGGCTACTGAGGAGAAGAAGGAGCAAAAGAAATTGACCCTTGGGCAAAAGATTAAGAAGGAAGCCCAGCATTATTGGGATGGTACCAAGCTTTTGGCCACGGAAGTCAAGATTAGTTCAAGACTAGCATTGAAGATGGCAGCGGGCTATGAGCTGAGCAGAAGGGAACACCGACAGGTTCGCTCCACATCCCCCTTTCACGTCATGCATTGCGATCCTAATTGCTCGATGCATCTAGCTTCAACGAACAGTCAAGGATCTTGGTCGCCTGGTCCCCTTTTCTATGTTTGTTATCATTCCTTTCGCAGAGTTGCTACTCCCTGTGGCTCTTAAGTTGTTCCCTAATATGCTGCCAAGCACATACGAGGGACAGAAAGCACGCGAGAAGAAAGCATTGAGCTTGAGCTCCACACGGAAAGAGGTCTCTGGATTCTTGAAAGACACTCTTAAAGAGAGTGGCCTTCCTGTGACCGCTGCTACCGTCAAGAATGACGAGTTCGCAGAGTTCTTCAAGAAAATTAGGACAACCGGAGAAGCACCCTCTACCGAGGATGTCATCAAAGTTTGCAAGGTCTTCAAAGATGATCTGACCCTGGACAACCTTTCTCGCCCTCAACTGGTTGGTATTTGCAAGTATATGAACCTGAACTCATTCGGCACTGATGCCATGCTCCGGTACAACATCAGACATCGCATGCGGCAGATCAAGCGCGACGATCGCGCTATCTTCTACGAGGGTGTTGAATCGCTTTCCGTTCCAGAATTGCAGATGGCATGCGCCTCACGTGGTATCCGCACTCACGGCGTATCTCCTGCTCGTTTGCGCGACGATATGTCGACATGGCTGGATCTGCGTCTCAAGCAAGGCGTTCCGTCTACCCTTCTTGTTCTGAGCAATGCATATGTTTACGCACAGGGTGGCAAGGAGACAGAAATGTCCTCTCAGATCGAAGCTCTCCAGTCGGTTCTGTCAAGTATCCCTGAGGAGTTGTTCCATGAAATTGAGTTGGAGGTTCATAACGCCGAAGGTGCTGCTACAAACAAGCAGCGTCTGGAGGTCATTAAGGAGCAGCAAGAGCTCATTGAGGAGGAGAACGAGCAGAACAGCGAGAACGAGGAGAAGGGCGTCGTTGCACCCAAGGATCATGAAGATATTGATGATAAAGACGATGTGAATATTGAGGCTAAGTACCAGTCGCAATCCGGGGAGGCAGCTGAGGCTGTGGCTGAGGGCGACAAGGTAGAGGAGGCGCAGTTGAAAGGCTCATCCGCCCAGGCAAAGGAAGTGAAAAAGGAGACAACTTCTGCCTAGGAAACCTCCGGATTTGCACTGCATGACACATAGACTTTCCCTTCATTCCCGCTCTTCATCTTTCTTGGTTGTGTTATTGTTGATACGATAGACTATTTCCTTGTTTAATCTCCTTGAACTTGACCACAAACCTCTGTGGTTAGCTACCATCCGTCTCTCTGTTATATTATATGTATCATCTTCTTATTCAGTGATATCTGGCTAAATGGACATAGAAAATTATGTGGAATATATCCGACTTTACGTCCTTGTCCTCCCAATGACCTTCCTGTTCTTTGCAAAAGAGTGTATAGCCTCAGCATGGTGACAATAAAATGTATTGCTGGAATACATAGTATGATCAGCTTCTAGCCTCCTCTCCCGATAGCTAGTTAGGTACGTTTATGTTGCAATTCCACAAATAAACGAATCCAGTTACATTAGTCCTTAACTATCGTCCTTGAGGCGTTCCACATACATGACAAACGAACGTGTATATCACATTGATATCTGTTCATCCCAGTGAGGAGTGTTTCTAATGCAAATCATTGTCTATACTATTCAATGGCGGCATCAATTAAAGCTAAATTTCTATGGATTATTTATTGTATTGGTCTCCGATGTGACAGTAAAGATGACTTGGCAGACTTAACAGTGATACATCAACACAGTTAAAAAGTTCGTTAACCAATCTATTTCGCCAAACCAGTATATTCGTTCGATTTAGGAAAGGTATGCACATTTTGGTAGCTTACCATTTTACAACTCTGAGACGCAAAAATGAATGTGAAAAGGTCTCAGTGGGTCAAGAACCCACCCGGAGGCGCGTGGGGCGAGGATACAGTGTGTCGAATCCCGGGTGTTTGGAGCTTTGAACATCCAACTTCGGGCGACTCCTAATCTATCCACAGGGCTGGCTGCTTGGTTCTATAGTAAGCAGGCCCCTTCTACCAAACAAGCTCACCCAAGCATGGGCGAAAGCTTACTACATCTTAAATTCTAGAGTGTGTTTACTTCTATGTATAGTATGGAAGTGCAATTTACCTGGGCAGACAACGAGCCATAATGACTTCGTACACTCTACCATGGTTCGGAGTTCAATACTTTGACAACGATATTGCTTCGAGGGATTAGTAGAATATGCAATGCCCTACCTTTTGTCATTCAAAATCATATAGCGGCGCCATTTTGCTGGAACCTATGGGGAGTTTTCCGAATCACTATCGCAGGACACTTCGAGCTAGGATGTACTTGTATACATGGCCACTGTATTGACTTAAACTAGTACTAATATATGTGACATTTGATATACATCGGATGCCTTAACAATGATGGGGGCTGAAGTATGGGTCCCACACCCCACTGTTTCCCTGGAAAGCGCCGCATCGCCTGATATTGAATCATTCTTGAACAATTCTCAAGACGATATCCCCCCAGCCCCCTCTACTGTTGAGTAGACCAGTCAATATATAAATAGAGCCAACGTCTGTGTGCAAAATACTCTAGAAAGATCCCTACCACATCAATCGTCCTTACTCGTTATGGCGATAACCGCGTGTCTGCTATACTTTTTCTCAAGATTCGGCTCATACACTGAACTCTTATACACAAGTTATTTGATCAGTACTAAATATCGTACAATGTATATATTTCTTTTATAATAAAATACAGTTATAGTTATTTTTATGTCTTGAAATAAGTTAGTTTCATTACTAAGCAACCCTTGCATCAGACATAAATCCAAATACCGAGGTACAGTTCCTAGCTTAATACCGATCGATCTTCTGCCCGATGATCCATAAATCTAGTTCAAAAAAGAAGTAATTTGATACTTCAAGACTGGTCGGTTTGCCATGCGAAATCGGGGAATCACTCGAATCATTTTGAGGACTCGCAGTTTTAGCACTCAACGCCCGATCAACCTACGGAAAATGCCACGCCTGAATGCAGTCTCACAGGTATGGCAAAACTTCCAAGAATTCATTGCTTCATCTGATGCAGGGTACTTGAATTCATCTCAATAATCCTTGCTATTGTATCATAACTGCAGTTCCTGGCTAGATATGCCCCCCGAAACCTGTTATTCCCTCCACCCTTGTTTTCCCGCATTTAGACTAAATGAATGGATTTCTGGAGTAGTGGGGCTAACATCGCCTTTGGATGCCAACAGAGTGCAATTGATCGGTTAAGATTGTATAAGCCGCCACCAACCAACTACGATTTGGTTCCATTATCACGACGAGCGGCAGTTCTGCTACTTCTCTATGCGGATCTTAAGGGGGATCTCAGGGTGGTTCTTACTATCCGGGCAAAGACTTTAAGTTCGTGTAAGTCAAAGAGACACGCTTCGCTTGAATCCTTATAAGAAATAGGATGAACTGCATCGAAACTTTGCGAAGCTAATCTAAGAGTACACAGATGCTGGTCAAGCGGCCTTACCCGGAGGTAAGTAGGTTGAACAGGGACATGTAAGACCAAAACAACTCACGTCTCATAAGGTAGGGCCGACTCACTTGAGGAAACCCCATTCCAAACAGCACGACGCGAGGCACTCGAAGAGATTGGTTTACCAGATATCCACCAATCATTCCCTCAGCCTTTTACTGTGGAGCATCTCTGTGAATTGCCCGCCAATCTTGCAAGAACGGAGTTGGTGGTACGCCCGTGCGTGGCACTCTTACATTCATATGATGAGAGGACCGGCCAAAATGCGGATCCTGAAGTGTCATTAATTCCGAAGTTGGATGCGAGGGAAGTTGCGGCGGTGTTCACAGCGCCGTTTCATAATTTCTTACGCATGAGCGACGAGGATCAGTGGGGCGGGAATCCAGCGGATTGGTATCAAGGTGCATGGACTGAGTGGCATCAGTCCAACTGGAGGAGTGAGTTCACCTCGAACTACCGTCCCTGACTCTGCCTGTACACCATTGTTGACCAAGCAGTGCACCAATTTTTCGTCCCCGTCCAACATCAATCGGTGGTCAAACCTCGCACCATCAATCAGCAACAGAAAGAGGCAGTCAGCGCCCTGGAAGAGGGGGAGAAGCCTGGAGTGGTGACTCGTTACCGAGTTTTCGGAATGACAGCTCGAATGCTGGTGGATGTTGCGCGAGTTGCATACGCAGAAGAGCCGGAATTCGAACATAACAGCCATTTTGGCGATGAACATCTTATTGCCCAGTTGCGAAAAATGGGGCGGCTGAGTCCTTTGCGTAAATCTGGGGATATCCTTACGCGAGAGGACATGGAGAAGGCTGCGAAGCTCAGCTGACATAATTGATATATATCCGCGTGTTCTGTACATACATTACCAAGGATATAGCTAGGTAGGCTTGTGGTACCCAAGTTAATTCAGAAAGAAAGTTCGCACGTTGAGGGGGCATTTATATATTGAAATCAATGCTATTGTTGCTCCTTTCAGAAGGAGTGTCGGGCTCCTCCCCTGCAAAAGCCCTACTATCTTCGGCCACAGATGTTCTATGTTCAGTTACAAAGCGAACATGGCTCCCCTGTTATCCTTTGCCTCCTATACATTTTATCCTGCTGCTATATCACTTATGTTTAGATAGCTATTCACTTGCTTTACACATCAGTTCTACCTGAATAACAATCTGGATGCGACCGCCACCGCCCATAACCATCCGCAGCCTCCCATGGCAACTTCGCTATTGGATCTATATCCGCGCCATGATACCTGATGTTACCCACTGGCTAGACCATCCCTTAGTCTGTTTAAACTACCATCCTCAGAAGAAGGTCGTCTGGAAGAACTTCGACCCAACGTTTTTCAACCTACAACTCTGATAAACTAACGGCCTGGGAATCAATGCGATGTTTTTACGAGTTCTTTACCTTTATATTCATAAATGATCGTCCCGTGGTGGTGCCCCGTATCCTTGAAGCAATCATAAAGCACCTCGCCTACCTCCCGAAGCCGACCGAAACCGTTTTCAACCACTACGATGATATGATGTTCATACATCAGCGCATGTGGAACATTCGCGATGTCTGTCTTATAGCCCCGAAGGAGATGGACAGAGAAAAGCTCGGGATTCCGCATAATGTTCCGGGTTACACGTATGGTGTCAGTTCGTTCCTCCGGACATGGGGGATTACAGCTGGCGGTCATGCGGAGACAGACGGGCCCTTAGATATTCAGACCGAAAATAATTTGAATCTAAAGGCGCTTGAACTGAACGCGAAAATATTGTATCGAACCCTTCTTTTGTTCTATCCCCCTTATGGCCAGCTTACACAGAATGTAAGGGCTTGATTTTGCTGTTATAGATGAGATTATGGGGAGGAGGTTTGGTGAGGAGTAGGAGATGGTTGATGGTCTTGGATATGTATAGCAGAGATCACTAAATAGGACCTATGGTTTGTTAAATAACTTTTCTTTAGTATTTACCATTAAGGTTGTGTTTTATCAGGGCCTTGTAGTGCTGGGTGCTATTATCACTTACTTATCTTGAAGTGGATTTTATTAAAGGTGGTTGGGCTGCTAAACGCTCAATTGGACTAAAATCATAGTGTATAGTGATAGAAAAATAGGGGTACCATCAGTACTGTGATATTAAAAGGTCAGCAAATTAGGAAGAAGGAAAATGGAAAACCGAGAGGAAACAGAACGAGCTGATTCTTGTTTAAGATCTTATTCGTGCCATTTTCACCCTCGAGACGCATTAAGTGTACATTGGTATATATTCTCGAAACCCAGTAGAGACCCCACATGGGCTCCATTCAAAATCTCTTCAATTTTGGATCAAATAGTCCCTTTTAGCTTATCAATATCCTTGAAACGCAAGCGATTGATGCCCTTGAGGGACAGTATTCCAGAACCCAGTTTGAGTGTTTTGTCCAGTAGGCTGAGTGGAGATTTGCTGGGCAAAATAACCTGGAATGCACGGCCTGGGTGCATTGACAACTTTTGATGCATATACCCGATTGGTCTCGCTAGAGGATAGCATAGACGAAGTCAGGTCAGACGAGTATGTCGTGAGACTGCTCTCCAGCGAACTTTTTCGACTAATGGAGGGAGTGGAAAGCGGGGATACAGGGGCGCAGGGACCATGGCCCAGTGACTGCCTTGCTGGCTGGCTATGTTCAGTGGAATGAATGTCACCATCATATCTTTGTTTATAATTCTCGGACATGCTGGAAATATCTCGCTTAGACTTGACAACTGGGTTAAGTAGATGATGATTGGAGCCGCCGTCGCTGTTTGATTGTTCGTGCAGTTCGACGTCAGTACTGGCCTCAGCCAGATGAACATGGGAGACATGGATTATGGTATCTCCGCCTGTTCCAGGATTATTAGCATTTACAAATGTTTCATACATATGTGGAGCATGTCAATGGAGCCATACTGATCTTGCCATCTAGATATAACTCTTCCATCTCTCGAACGTAGTAAATCTCGTCCAATACACGCAACCGCTCGGACGGCATGATCTGTCGCCGCACATCTTGTCCGGCATCCTTGAGTTTGTCTGCCGTAATCCCATGGCTCTCCTTCAATTCGCACAGAATATGAACAAGAAGTCTAATTCTTTCTGCAAAGATGGGTTGAGGATTAGCATAGTGTTTCCATGAGAGCATCCGGAACAGACATATCCTACCAGCTTTAAGAAGATGATCGGGCTCTCTGTGTGTAACGCCCGTAGGCCACCATTTTGGCTTGGTCAGTTCTGGATCTACTCGCTGAGACGATCCTGCGGTAGTCTTTCGTCCATTATATGGATGATTGACTTGCTTGCGGGGCTCGACTAACTTGACGAACGCCTTAGCAATTGCCCTGCAGTTCAGTTGCTGGAAGTTTTCGAAAGCTTTCTCGTAGTATGTCCGTAAAAGCTCTTTTTGTCCAAGTCGAAGTGCAGTCCACCTGATCGTCGAGCCGGGAGAATTCGAATCTGAATCACGACCAACTTCAGAACTCACACGTCGGAGGTTTCGCCTGTGACGTTTGTTCTGCAGCGACTGCCATTCGCAAGGAATTAGCTCAGGTTTATACCAGCCTGTCTGATTGTGATGCGATTGTTGTAAACCAAAGGGAGTGTTGGACAAAAAGTGTTTGACATCGCCGTCCATGTGACCCACGGTATCTGCCGCAGAAAATCATTCTGGTTATTGCTATTCTCTCTTATCTATCACCGCTTCGACTTACTGGCGTGATAACTTTGCAAATCAGGCTGCCATCCGGCCGTGGCCGATTTCAGAAACCTTTCCCTAACATCGTGCGTGAAGATGGCCTTCTCATAACTCACAATGGAAGAGGAAGCCTCCACACTGAGCTCCCCATTGCGGTTGATGTATAATAAAGCAAAGTGAGGGTATGGGAAGTTGAATGTTGTGGCCGACTGTGAGCATTCCTGTCCGTGATACCACATCAGACTGTGATGCGTCCGATTTAATGGGGGGACTCTTGCTCATACCGGTGCCCTCGACCGAGTCATATCGTGATATGGTGGCATCTGTTGTTGCTCTTCTTCTTTCGCAGTCATAGGCTGACATATCGTATCCATGCCGTATTCTGCACTCGTCATACTCATGATACGAGACGATTATTTCGCCAGAGCTCTTTATGTTTAATCGCTGATGTAGTGTGAAAGAAGAGCAAATGCTCGGATGACAACAGGAATTATCTAGGAGGTCGCAAATAGGCTCGCTTGCCGCAACTGATAAGTGATGAGGTGTTTGCGGCAGTATCAAATTTCAGGGGTGGTTATAAGAACCAATATCTATTATACGGCGAGAGCGAACAATGGCTTTATTGGAGTACGCGGCCAAAACTCGAGAGTGAAAAAAGTACGTTTGTAACCAGAATGTCAACACGATTGTGGCTCAAACTAATGCAAGGAAAACAAATACCTTCAGAAGATCGAAGCCACTCACTACGGAGCATACACCTAAATTTTATTATTCTATTAATGGGGCCTAGTCTCCATCCTTGTGCATGAATATGGACATTACTCTCCCAAAAAGTGAATGAACGAAGGATGAGAGCGTACATGATGCTGAAGGCTACCCAGACACACAGGACCCATAATAGATTGTGTCTCGTCTAGAGATTGAATGACATGCTGGTATGTCCAAGGGCTGACACAGCTTGGTGGTGGCTTGGAATATATTCCCTACTTAGGTCATGATCAAATGAACTCGCCCTCTAGCTACACGCACCGACGCTAGCGGATATGCCATAAAATGCTACCAAAAGCAACAACGGCCTGGACCGATGTGGGCTACTAGTGTGTTTTGTTTCGCCGATAAACGAAGACCAAGCATGTCCTATGAGCCAATCCCGGTAGCAGAAAGGTTGAGCCCAACTCTATCCAGACCATCTTTGGTCAATAAAGTGATGATCTTCGATCTCGGATCCTTAAAAGTGGTGGCACCTATATGTCTTTGAGATTATGCATGGATATCCTCGAGTGGCCCAAGTTTGCTAGTCTTACATTCAACATTAGGGCTTATAAACTAGAAGGATATTGGCTCGTCATCTTTCCCACCAATGATGCGGCAAGTAATTCGTCTGGAACAGACTGTCGAACACGATAGTGCCCCAGGATTTGACTTTCCCAAACGATGTGTTCAAGCTTTTGCAGCACTGATGCCCTATTCCAAGTTCGTGTCACATGGCTCAGGAGAGATCTGAACGTCAGCTCGAACGGCAACAGACTAACGCGGCTTGTTTCTAGCTTCTCCACAACACGCGCTCCATTGCTCTGTAGTGCACTAGAAAATCCTTCCAGCCAGTGACTTAACATCTTTGTCGGGACGTTATGAAAGTCGAACTGCTTGATATGACGCTGTGTTCTGGAATTTCTACCCGCCAGTGGGATCGATCCCACCTGGCACCGAATCAACATTAGTTCGCTTCGAGGCGTTCCTTTCCATCAATACGCCGTACGGAGATTGGAGCTCAAAATCCCAAGTTGACCGCTGATCGGTGTATACCTTTCAATAAAGTTTACCTAAATCGATAGCAGCTTGAAAATGTTGCAGGAAACTCTGGATGTGTGGTACTTTAGCAGCTCGCAACGAATGGCCCGAGCGTAGCCGAGTACACTTGAACAACACAACTGCAGCAAGTGTTATTTTGTTAATGAGAGTCATACCAATTGTCCCTCATCTCTCGGAGAAGACATCCGACCATCATCATTGGCACGCCCATCTCCGACAGGCCCCGACTGCGGGAACTAAAGCAAATATGAAATTTCCTGCATCATGGGTAGCTAAAGGGCTAGGAGGTGAGGGAAAGCAAGCCGGGGCCCGGAACAGGAGACACCAATGGAGCGACAATTGCCCAGGGTAGGTCTGTCGATACGGTGGTCAGTAGTGCCACCCAGAAGATTCATGCAGCTGGCGACCAAGGGGCAAAGCGAATGGAAAAGCAAACAAGAAAAAAATCAGTTGGGAGTTATTTCCTCTCGCTTCTATGCGGGGAAAGTGGACTATGTTTGCTTCCATTTCACTTGCGTCTACCGTTTCTTACTCGATTTGATTGAAGGATGAGTGGCAAGTCCGAATTACTACGACGATATTATGACAGGGGATATATGGCCAGCAAGACAGCCACGTATGTAAGCGCTGAGCACTATACAGTGATTTACTAGGGTTGTGAAACCCTGCAGGATGCCTGCAGATTGGACACCTGAGCGAAAACTTCACAAGCTGACAGTCAAACCACGACACCTGCAAAGATTGGGCACGTATGGTACCTTCCCCGAGTTGTTGGGCTCATAGTGTATCAAAACGCCATAGTTATCAAGAGGCTTCGTGCACTGACAGAAATCGACTGGTCCATCGGGCCTTGATACCTGTATTCTACCCGTCAAGTCCGCGCCGACCTATTGGTCCGTGGAGTTATGAGATATCGAAAAACACTAACGCAGATCGTCGTCCCTCCACACCGACCATTCGATGAATAAACTCCTAGCTTAACGATGAGTCCCTTCCTTATCGACAATATTGCCACTTGTACAGATGTCACTCAATACTTGATTTATCTCACAGTATACTATTGCCATCGCACGGCTGATATTGATGTAAATCCCCGCGCTCTGGCCCCTTACAGACTAGTTCATGATGACAGCGCCATCGTTACCAATCCGCGTAGGCTTTACTGATGTCTATAAGCCCCTGTCTCTGAAGTGGCTCTTTACATTGCTTGGAGTGTGCTTTGAACCATAGCATACGGAGGCATGAAATCCGCCGTCAAAACCTGGGTTTCCTGGGTTTTCAGTCTAAAACTCTATCTCCGCCGATCAACTTCGCACTGTTCTAACTGATCTGCGTTCATTGAACTGGTATCTGGGGGAGTCGATCTTTTGCCTTGGAAATGGGCGGCTCACCATGTGAAACCATACCAAGACTCTAGAGATTCCATGGGGACTCCCCATAAAGAGATTCTTGCTCTGACAATGGCTTCCTAGGCTCTCCTCATTCGTTCGGCCTCTCCATGTTCTGTACCTAGGTTACATTAGAGTGAGACTCATAATCATAGGAGGTAGGTTATATCCGGATTTGCGATGCATACTTGTCAAGTACGCTCCACTCGGTACGTACAGAAGTGCGAATTCAGTGTACCCCTATTGAATTGAAGATGTCACAGCCACTCGGATGACGAACCTTTGTGCTCCACTATCTCATCTCTCACAGAAGTGGGCCTCCTCTCCATACATAGCAACAACCTACCGGCACAACCGATGTGGCTTGCCTTTACCTTGATCACGGATTCTACAGTGCCCACCGATCAATGATTTTGTCCACCACTGATCGGACGCCGATCTGACTTGACATCGAAAATAGGCAACTACATAATCTATTCATTTTCGTCCCGGACTGTCGGGTCTTCCCACTCTACATCCGCGAAGAACTTTACCTCGCCTTCGAAAAGTACCCATATGCAACGCTCGCGTCTTCGCCCCCAAATCGCCAATTCCAAATGTGGGAGTCGCAGTGACGTTGCCAAAAACGGATAGTGTTGGTTTCCGTGTCTTTCCGTGTGTACTAGCTATATACCGACACTTTGTGCCCGGGCGGGTATGCATGCATCCTGGGAAACTTTTATAAAAGTTGTCTACCACAGCTAAGCCTACATAAAAGGGGCCTGAACTTGAATCTCCCGTACACGCGCTGCGCAAACGAGTCCCGAGCTGTCATGAAGTAAGGACACTGCAATGGGTCTCGTCTCGTATGTAACTGTATATGTCCGTCGTGAGAATATAACCTGGGCAACCATCGTAAAAAAGCCGAAACAATTAGTTTTATATTCCGAAGAGCCTGTCCCATTCTCATGTCAAATTATTAACTATGTACGCAGCTTGCCGATAAATGTCTCAATGTCAACGTAGGCGGAGAGTACCGGGCTAGAAAAGGGGGAACATGCGGTCTTTGATATGGGGTATGAAAAGGGACGAGCAAGTTGTTTCCCTTACGATGCACTGCCATCACTATACAAAGAAAGCAACTCAATTGCCTACAGCGAACCATTATTCTGTTGCAAGAAAGAGCCAGTAAATCGTCCTACCCATCAAGCTATGGATCGCGAAGGAACAAGAACAATCACTATTCTACATATCATCAAAAAAGAGAATGACGGTTTCTCTGGAGACGAATATACCAGTCCTGGCCGTCTAATTATATTTCCGGAGCTGTGAAAGAGATCAAAGTCAGCTGTATGGCTCACCTCGATTGAGTGAGAGAAACATACGTCAAGAGTCAAGGATTTACTGCTGTTCTCAGTCTGATCTCGGTAAATTCCAACCAGAGCCTCGCTGTTCTGGAATAGGCCGGTCTTCAAACTAATGACGATGAACTGCATACCCGGGGCAGCATGATCATGGATGTAGTTGGCAATCCGAGCGACATTAGTATTGTCAAGAGCAGCATCGACTTCGTCCAGCACGAAGAATGGCGATGGCTGGTACGAATGGATGGCAAACAAAAGAGCCAAAGCAGCCATTGTCTTCTCACCACCAGACAGGTGCTCCATGTCTCGGAAACGTTTAAGCGGTGGCATGGCATGGTATTTGATACCATCAAGGTAGGGTTCATCTGAGTCTTCGATGTCCAAGTAGCTGTAATGTGGTTATATCTCGTCAGCACGTGCGCCGATAAATTACCATAGATTAGAAAGCAACACGAAGAACTTACGCTTGTCCACCTAATGGATAGTTACTACTCTTTGTCAAGTCGCGGTAGATGGGTTGGATTTGCTCCGAAATGTGAGTGAACGCCTTGTTGAAAAGCTCTGATCGTTGCCGCATCGTTTCTTCGAAGTCTTCTTTGGTTTTTCGAGCACGTTTCCGTGCTTCTTCAAAGTCCTTTTCTGTGCTTCGGAGTTTGTTCTCCACGCTCTCCAGGCGTTCCATTGCGCGGGTATTCGGAGCCATCTTGTCAAGCTCACTGTTCAAAGACCGAACTTTATCTAGTAATTCCTCTTCAAGCTTTTCGTCGGACTCCTAATATAAGGTTAGTATGTATCGTAAGAGAGGCTTAGGCAGAACTGCTTACCTCCTTAAGTGTTTCTCCAAGAGAGTCAAAATCAACCTCGATGCCATAGTCCTGAACCGCACCAACGCTCACATCTTCATCAACGTCCATGGCGTCAGGATCGGCTGCCTGAACAAGCTCATCAATGGGGAGCTGATCTAGCGAATTCGAGCTCTCGGTCAATGGGACGTCAATATCCTCGAGTTTGCAGCGCCGAAGGAGAGCATATCGGCTGGATGAATTACGCTGGACCTCTGCCTCTAGTGCGTTCACATTCTTCAAGGTAGCTTCCACATCTCTGCTGCGCTTCTGAAGCTCCCTACGATGTTGTGCGAGGTTCTCGGCAGATTGTGCGTAGGCTTCCTTCTGTTGTTTGAGGCGCTCACGAAGAACATCAAGCTCTGCATTATACTCGTCCAATTGATTACGGATGCGCTCTTGTTCCTCTTGGAGCTCTTCAATCATGTCCTGATCTCGTTGGTGTTGAGCCTGTAGGCTGGCAATTCGATCAAGGGTGACCTGAAGGCGCTGCTTTTCGAAACTGAGTTGATTCTCAATCCTGCTCTTCTGCGTTGTGAACTCAAGCTTCTTATGAGCAGCCTCTTCATGCAGAGAGCCCTGCTGGACCTCATATTCACGAATATTGCTGTATCCAAGGCGCTTGCAGAATTTATGATAGACTTCATCTTCAACATTGCTGACTGTTTCCTGCGATGCGGCGATGGTCTGCTCAAGTTCCGCTATTTGCTCCTGCTTCTCCACATATTTGGGCCTCACTTCTTCGAGTTGGCGCTTAACGAAGTCCAATTCACTGTGTTTGCTTTGAAGGTTCCTCTCAAGTGCCTTGAGCTCCTCTCGGGCATAGGCCAGGCGTTGCTCAAGACCAACCAACTCTCCCTGCAGTGTTTCTTCCTCGGTACCTCTGCGGTGGCCCTTGGGAAGATTGGTAAGATCGGCCATCAACTTGTCTTTGAGCTTGAAAAGATTTTCCACCTCAGAATCTTCCCAGCGCTTCGAGTTTTGCTGAGGGCCTCGACCACCAGTCATCAAACCACCCTTATGGATGACTGTACCATCTAGAGTAACGGCCTTCGCATCTACGTGCTTATCGTAGCAGAGGTACTTGGCCGTCGCTAAGTCATCACACACAATAGCGTTACCACAGGCGTAGCTGATAGCTCTGGCCACAGAATCATCATAGTCCACCGTTTCGATCGCCGGACGCATTCCTCTGTGCATACCCTTTAGATTAGAATTGAATGCCTTTACTTGAATAGTCTCGAGAGGAATGAAGGTTGCCTGGCCGGCTCTCTGATCGCGAAGATGCTGGATACACTCCTTGGCAGTTTTCTCGTTGTCAACGATAATGGCATCAAAATGCCGACCGAGGACAGTGCCGACAGCTTCAGCGTATTTTTTCTGCTTTGGCTTGCACAAGTCACTGACTCGGCCTTTCACGCCAGGGAAGATACGCTTCAGAGTTGAAATAAGTTCTTTTGTCCTAAGCTCTTTCTCGGTCTGCTTCTTGCCATCATCCGCCTCAAGAAGCTTCTTCAATACAACTTGTAGTTTTTCCTCCAGCTCAGTCCTCATCTGAGAAACGCGTAGCCGTTCGGAAGTAAGAGCGTTCAACTCTTTCTTCTTGCGCTCGATGTCTTTAGAAGTAGTTTTTATGGTGTCATTGATAGAGGATTTGCGCTCAGTCAAGGATTGCGTATCCGACTCTAAGGTGTTTAGCTGCCACTCAGTGCTCTCAAACTTGCTTTTGAGGCTGTTATAGGCTTCGGCTTCAGTCTTCATTTGGCGTCGCAAGTTGTCAAGGTTTAACTGTTCCGCAGATGATCGCTTGTTGACGTCCTCTTTGAGTTTGTTGTACTCTTGTTGATCGGCCTCGCTGAGTTGAACACCTTGCTTGGTCATTGACTTTTGCCATTCTGCTTCCCACAGAGTCTGGGCCTTCTCAATAACTTTGAGATCGTTCTCGAGGCGTTTAGCGTTGGCCGACTGGGAGTCCCGCTCTTTGCCGATCTCTGCAATCCGAGAAGCGAACCGCTCTACCTTCTTCATAGTAATGTCGACTTTCTCGTCAATCGGGACCAATTCATTAGCGGCCAACTCAATATCCTTCTCTTTCCTCGTAATATTCTTCTCGGCCTTTGCTACTTCCCGGCCAACTGCCGCGTGCGCCTTCTTTGCATCTTCGACATTGTTTTCGTACTTCTCGACGCCCCGGCGATATTCCTTGAGTTCATCCTGGTATTTCAAAATCTCCGCGCTCGAATCGTCGATCATACGTTGAAAGTGGAAGAGTTTCCATAGGATATGAGTGATGATAGCTTGGTCGCGCTCCTCCGCTTTGCGGGCGTAATTTTCGGCTTCCCGCTTTTGCTCTTGATATTGTTTGATCTCAGAGTTAATGGCTCGCCGACGGTTGAGCTGAACTGTCTGTTGTTCCGCAGCCTCTTCCGCCTCCGCCTTGAGACGTTCGTACTCGGCCTTGTACTCCAGACTGCCGGAAATCTGCTCAATTAACCGAGTAAGATCCTTTGGTGACTGCGACGCAATTGCCTCTACGTCACCCTGGAAGACTAAGAAATTACGCGCTTTAATTAGGATGTTCTCCGTCTCAAGAGCCTCGTTATATTGCTGTGCGGTCACGATGCGATTGTTGATACGATATTCGCTGACTCCCTGGCTCGTAATCGACCGGCGCCATTGCTGTTCCTCACCAGCATCATCTTCATAGACTGCCATAACCCAAGCTGTTTTCGGGTCATTCACTCCATTGGGGTCTTGTGATTGTTCCCCATCGATTCCGTCTTCTGCGTGGTCTTGCCCGTTCGGTTCTTCGTCAATGACATTACCATCGGCATCAAGTTTCGATGTGCGCAGGACACGGCCGCGGTACACAAGATCGCGAAGGTTCGTAGATCGCAAGTGGGATGATTTGATTCCTAGCACGAAAGAAATAGCATCCATCCTGGTACGGTCAGCGCAAACACGTTTCGAGTCAGATATAAGGGGAAAGCGCACGAGTTAGACTTTCCGGACCCGTTAGGTCCAATAATAGACGTGAAATAAGCATCGCCGAAGAGAAGGGTATGGTGCCCCTTATATGACTTGAAGTCTGTAGGCTAGTCAGCACTTTGTCTCACGGGCATGGAAGCGCTACACACTAAAGAGCTCGAGCCGAATGAGCTTCCCCATCTTGCGACAAGGCAGTCGCTTTCCGGCGACCGCGGTTGTAGGTCTGGAAGGATAAAGTGAAGGGTTGGAAACCCGTATCAGGCGATCCAGAACCTCTGGGGTAAATAGCAACTGACGGTTAGGTGTTTGGAGGGGCCCGCGCGATAGTGATCTGGAAGGTCGCGTCACTGACAATTAGGAGGACGCGCCGGAATGGTCACGTGCCCCACCCAGAGTATACAACAATGATATGATGGTTTCTACTGGTCTGAAGTTCTCTAATGCAATGACTCGTGAACGCTATATTGTGTAAAAGGGTTGTTTTTTAATTATACATGGGAATCCGTTGCGGATGCGGACAAGGACAGATCTAGACGTTGCATGAGTTCAAGATGCACAAAGTCCCAGCCAATAGAGCCTAGAACAATAACGTAATCAGACATGTTCAGAATGAATAGTATATGCAGAAAGTTGATAGACAACCAAGCGACCAGTCAATCACCTAACGCTGGACGCTGACGGGATTGCCGATTACTAGAAAGTCCTGTGATACGTATCCCGCGGAATCCATCCTGAAAACACCCTTTTGGCCATCCACCTCCAAGAGGATGAAGTCTTCTTGAGTGAACAATTGCCGGACAGACCGGAATAGTTTCCACAGAAGCATACTCAGCTTCTTCGAAGGTGCCCTGAAGAAGTTCACGTTCCCATTCTGAGACGCCTCTGCCTGCTGCATGCGAGCTACGGAGTCATGTGTAACAACCAGCCGGCGAGAGAACGCTATTTGGTTAGGCAAAGCATTGAACTCAAATGGTTTCCTGAAAGGAAGCATGCTCCGAACAGTGAAGCGGAGATACGTTTGCCCATTAGATTGAACGGCAGTGACCGTTTTGATCAACCGGCCCGTTTTGTAAAGAAAAACAGTGCCCATGGCGCTCATCATGATACAAATACCGCCAAAGAGAGCCTGCTGCCACATTGGGAGTGGGACGATCGGGTCTCGGAAGACAGCATTAGAGTTGTACACGGAGTAAGCGAAGCAGAATGCTGTAATGCCGTAGGCACCTAAAACATAACTGCGATGCGATGGCGCTTGGAAAAGTAAGATCTGGCCTTCCTTTGCAACTTTCCGTTCTAGTTTTCCGAATCCCTCTGCCCGTCGTCCGGCAAATTTGAGACTCTGTTCGGCTTGCGGAGACGTTCTGGCCTGCGGAGGGCTATATTGCGGCTTGACCTTGACTGCAGCCTTTTTTCGAGCAGCGCTTGAGGTGAAGAATCTCCATGTTGGGCTTGACGCAGGCAGTCCGGTAGCCAAAGAGCCCCTGGGACTTTGCGACGAGATTGTCCGGAAAGCAAAGGATCTTGCAAACATTATGACACCTATTTCAAGGCATACAGTCCATCAGCATCGAAATACCCAGAGCAATCAAATACGAGGTGAAAAATGGCTGCATGCTGCGTGGGCATAAGTCCGTGACATTCCATACAATCGAGTGCTAGCCAGTTGGAACAAGTAATGAGAAAAGTCAGCTTACCAATAGTTCAATGAGAAGCCCCAAATACTATCTCACTAACTGCGACGGACCTGGAATCCGGTCCTCTCCGCGGCAGAAAAATATTCCCGTCCGGGCGGCCGGTGAAGCTCCCAACAACCTCAACATCTCTAAAAAGGTCCGTCTCATCCTTTGCAGCTAGATCCAGCGTAAATGTCATCTTACAATTAGGTTCAGATCGCAATATCGCCTCAAGTCACCCGACTCATCTGGGATTCCGTGCGGCCCCATCGACGTGGTGGGTTTCCTGATCGTTCCTGTCCCTAGCCTGCCGAATCAAATTGCAGCGCCGCGGGAGTATTATCGACCGGAGAAAGCACACGTCCCAGATTTCAAGGAAAGGAAATCCTACTATATTCTGAAATGGCTTCCAGCTTCCCTGTGCGCCAAATTCCGGCCTTGTTCGCCAGGCGGCAAGCACGCGTACTAGGTACCACCAGACGTAAGTTGCCCGCGGAATCCTAAAATGGGAGAGGGAGATTCTTTCGTAATGGGCGTTGCGAAAAGATACACATTCTACGATACGTCTTGCTAACGTCGCTTCTGATCTCACTATCTAGGCCTGGCATCTTCCTCTGCCACCCAGACCCAGAACCCCGCCTACCCGCTGTACCCATCCGTTATCCAGCTCCTCCACGAGAAGGGCATCCCAGAATCGGAAGTCTCGAAGATCCCGGCATCTGGCCCCAAGGGCCGTCTTCTCAAGGGCGATGTCCTTGCCTACCTCGGCACCATCCCAGCTGATTATCCCGCCTCCCAAGCAGCACGGTTTGATAAGCTTGCCCACCTCGATCTGAGCAACATCAAGATCGCTGCGCTCCCCAAGCCTAAGCCCACTGAGCCAGCACCAGTGGCCGAGGAGCCAGTCGTTAGACCCCCACCAACTACCTCGGTAGCCGTCTCGATCTCCCTCGCTACTGTGCTATCCGTCCAGAAGAAGATCCAAGAGACCCTGGGTGTCAACGTGCCTCTTTCGACATTCCTCGCCCGCGCTACAGATCTGGCAAATGATGACCTTCCCCGTTCGTCGCGCGAGAAGCGGTCAGCAAACGAGCTGTTCGAGGAGGTTCTTGGTGCAAAGCCCATTCAGACATCCCGAGGCGATTATATCCCTGAGTTAAACACAGTTGAAGCGCCCTCCGTCCAAACGGCCCAGCCCATAAAGGAAGATATCATTGATATTCTCAGCGGCAAGGTTTCTAAAGCTATGACTCAGCCATCAGTGGCGGAGACTTCGGCTGGTGGCGCCGCAAATGTCTTCAGTGTGACTGTTCCTCTTGAAGAAGAGAAGAGGGCTAAGGTTTTCTTGGACCGTATTAAGACTCTCTTGACCGTTGAGCCAGGCCGGCTGGTCCTATAAATCTCCAATCCATATTGTGAGTTGAAATTTTATGCCTAGAAACATGCCATGGAATGAATGGGGCTAATGTGCTCTAACCAGAGTAGCATCAGTAATGAAAATGACCTCAATTGGAATTTGGGGCGTATATCCAGCTTAGAGACCATCAAGGGTTGTGCTTTTATATTATATATGTACGCAAGCGTTATATCACTACTTCGAAATCATATTCGCAGATTTCATTCTCATTATTGTTAAAACAATGCGCAGCACTGCTTCAATTTGCAAGCGTCTCTGGAGTAGATGCGGGTCTCTGGAATATAGCGAACTGGACAAAGCCCTGATTTAATAATCATCTCATCATCAGTTCTGGCAAAAAAAAAAAAAAAATTGTGCGAAGAAATTGGGCACAGTAGTGAAGGCGCGAGCGAATAAGGCCAAAGGTACATGACAAAGATGTGATCAAATGCTGGGAAACAAGCGAGTAAACAAGCGCCTGTTAAATGCCGTAAACACACAAAATGCGAGAGATGCCAATTAAACCTTGAGGACCCTCCCCCGGACCGACCAAGGATATACCCAGGATCGAAACAACGCCAAATCCCTTGAACGCCGAGTCTAATGCATATCGAAAACCCTCTAAGGGGAAGTGAAGGATGCCGTAGCACCAAGGTCATCAAATAAATCCATCATAACGTTACCGGATGGTGCCCCATTCCGCTAACTTGCTGCCTTCACGGCCCTGCTCTCTCCCGGACCTCTTGTTAAATATCTTCCAGAATCTCAAAGTCTCGTCGCCAGCACCAGTGACGACAGTTTGGCCATCAGGGCTCATTGCCAAATACAGGACACGGAAAGTATGCCCAGTCAATGATACAATCTGTTCCATGCGCGGATATTTCCAGACTACAATCTGGTTCTGACTGTAACCGTGCGTGCTGATAATTTCGTCCGAATTCTTCGACCAGGCCAAGTTGCAGACTTGGCTCCCTGTGTCAACTTCCTTGATTAGTGATCCAGTTGAGGTATTCCAGAATTTGATAGTCCGATCGGCCGTTCCTCCACCTGAAGCGAGTAGATGGTGCTGATGGGGCGACCAAGTAATTGCTTTGACAGCCGCAGTGTGGTCTGAAAACCGATAGAGAGGTGTCTCATTCAGCTTATCCCACACCAAAAGCTTGTTATCATTCCCACCCGACGCTAACTGACCATCTTCTGTATTCCATCGAAGACCACAAACCTCCTGCTTATGTCCAGAAAGTCGCCGAAGGTACTGATCTGGAGAGCGAACGTCTCGATGGTAGATGAGACGATCTCGCGAGCCGGATGTAAGAATATGATCATTCCAAGCTAGAGCGCCTACACGATTGGTATGTCCAATCATGGTTCGTAGACGCCGACAGCGCTCCGCGTCCCAGATTTGCACCAAGCCTTTCCCGGTACCGATAGCAAGATGTGTACCCTTTTCGTATCCCAGTCAGTTTCCATGCATAGACGATGATACAGACTTGCAACATACCCTTTGAATCCAGTTGACGCTTGTGACAGTATCATCTCTTAGCTCACACAACTTGGTTACCATGCCGCTTTGCGAATTCCACATATAAACCGAGTTTCCAAGGCCAACGCCTAATACATTACTACTTCCCCAGTCCACCAAATTTAAATAGAAATCATCTTGTAAGTCAGGTGCGTCTAGTACTTTATATGGTACTTTGTTGACATAACGTGGTTGCTTGCGAGGGGTTTCGAGAATGCGCTGACTATCATACCGGATTGGCGATAAACTGTAGAGTTCCGATCGAACATTGAGGTTTGGGCCATGTTGACTTCGAGGGGTTTTTGAAGGGGTAGGATGGGCAGATCCGCGTGGAGAGGCGTAATTGAAAAGGTTCTTGTGGGGTGTCGATGGCGTTATGCTTGCCGGGGGGAGAGTTGGTACCACATGTGATGGTGGGGTATGGGCGCGAGTCTTCTCAATGATTCCATTCCCGAGACCTAGCAACGGATCCGGTGATAATGAGTCTAGGTCAGCCTGCGGAATAGTATTCCCGAACAGCTCGCTTCGCAAGACACGGGAGTACATTCTGTTGGCTTCTTCCGCTGTGAAGCTCGTTAGCCGAAAGTTGGTAACACAAACGTCAATATATTGTGGACTAACTTTTTTGAAAATGAAGCTCCGAATGCGGCGCACGCTTCTTCGATTTCGAAGGCGTAGAAGGACAACCATCCTCATGGAGCAAACTGTAAGTTGCTTGGAGGTCCTGTCCCTCTCGATTCGGTATGAATCTGTACGGCAGGTTAACAAAAGATCAACAATAAATGTCCAAGCTTAGGCATATGATCGCTGTAGGGTCGGAGTGGCTATTATGAGGGGGTATGCGATAACTAACCTGTCACCGTATACCCGCTGCCTTTTCCGACTAGGACTGGTTCCAGGTGTTCTCTCGCGGGGGCGCCCGGCGTCCTCATAATCCTTCAAAGCCTTGGCAAGCGCATCGGGATCAATAGGTTCAGAGCCATTTCGGCTTTGCTGTTGCCTCCCTAGTGATTCTGGGTAGAAAATTGTCTTTTTGGATGGCATGCTGGGCGGCGTCCTTGAGCCGGGTGGGGATGCGAGGTTCAATGCATTGGCGGCAGTTCCAGATGGTTTCGCACGTGAAGCACTTCTTGTTGCGCTGCGGGTGTCAACCGTATCTAAGTTTGGGATGTTGTCGCCCATGCTTCTGGAGGGGTGGTTGATATCGCCTGGCTCAAATGGCGGTCGAAGGAGGGATGAACGTTGGCCGGACTAGTTTATGCGACAGTCGCCAATGTCGGATCGCAAGCGTAGTAGTATATAAACCGTCCAAATCCTCGGTAAAAGATATAGTAGAAGAATATTTTGTGTTGCCCGTCAATCGGATCGCTTCACAGCGGTCTTATGGTGAATGAATCGGTAGACAGCCAAACCCTTCTCCGCTCCGAGCAATAATCCAAATAAACTAGAGGCGAGGCGGCTTGGGTGAGCGACGATAAGTGAATAGACAGTACCTCTCACCAGACCCAGCGCTGATTGAGGATATTCAAGCAACTTGTGGAGGTCATTTGAGAGCGACCCGACCACTGTCTGGTGAGGAATGGGAAGTCGAAGCAGTACTGAAGGTTGATCCAAGGGCTGGCGATGGACTTGTCTTGGGGTGACGGAGTTTCGAAGGGGAATCCCTCCTAGTCACGCGTCGGGTGCGCTAAGCCTATCTGGGCCACAGGAGGTTGGACCTTTTGGAACGCTTTGGATTCCGTTTTTGTCTCCCAATCCTCTTATAAATCAGTGTTCTTTTTAGTACACTTTCTGAAACCGGTGCACATGTCACTTTCTTCGTTATCTTACCCTCCCCTCCATTTAATCTGATACATCGTGGTGCGCAACCAAGGTTGATCAGATAGATCATCCCGCGCAACATAGTGCATTGTTACCTGTGCTACGGAGAACATGTTCTTGTTTACCCCACGACAACTCGACTGCCTGCACGTCGTCCAGAACAATCAATCCTAATAATATCTTTGATTGTTTCTTTTTTATCCTTTCGATCTGATGATCCTCATCATGTCCGATTGTTTTGATGTCTCAAAAAACGCGCGACGCGAATGATCTAAAGAATTGATTGGGTTATGGATAACTGATTAATTCCACTTTGGGTCTTCCTCGCGACCGCCCTCATTCCACGCGCCCTGGAGAACGCGCGAGGAAAAGCTTGGACCACAGCATGAAGGAGAGTTTCTAGCCAAACACCCTTCCGCGTCGATCCCAGTGGACACCCCCTAGTATAACGGCTTTCGTTGTCCCCCATGCTTTCAATTCTGGCTTTGATTTTCTCAAACAGGACCCTGGCCTTCTTATTTTATCCACACACTACTGAGCGTCCACAAATTGCTCCTCAGCAATTTCTGGTCGATCTTCCCCATTCTCTCGATATCCCTACCTACAGCGGCTACTTACCCAATGTGCTCCACACGTGGGCAGTAACAGGGAGATACCAGTTGATGGGAAACAACTGGTGATGCTCGAACTATCTATCTCACTGATCAGATGTACATGACGTTGTTATCAGGATTGAATCTATGGCTAGGGATCGAAAAGAGTATCCGCTTAACCTGTCATACTGCCGCCATAACCTAAGAAGGCACCACATTACAGTGCATTAGTTCATGCTTCATATGTGCATGTTGTAACTTGCTAGCTGTGTGCTGCGTATACTAGACAGTATTATGCGTAGACGGTACTTTAGTTGTAATCGGAATTAGGTTGTAAGATCTTTGGGAATGATGGGTAAAACGCCCCCATAAAATACCGAAGCTTAGTGCCTGACCGCCAAGACCAACCAATCCGCAATGATCTCATGTAATAACCGTCGGCTCTCCGCATTCTTGAACAAAACAACCACCTGGATTCAGCTCGCGGGGTACTCAAAAATGACTTCGAAACTCGCCCAAAACTTGAAGCAGCCGGCTCTGGACTTCTTGTCCTTTGTCAATGCCTCCCCAACCCGTAATTAGACCATTCCTGCATTGAGATGCTTACGCCATGTGTCTAACATCTGTCAATTTCAGCCTTCCACGCTGTCCAATCGGCGAAGGAACTTCTCTCCAAAGCCGGCTTCCAGGAGATCAAGGTATGTGTGGTACTACACAAGACTTGCTCAGAATACTAACTACGTCTTTAGGAGAAAGATTCTTGGTCTTCTACTTGCCGCCCCGGTGGAAAATATTACTTGACCCGCAATAGCTCAACTATTGTGGCTTTTGCCATTGGCAATAAATGGAAGGTATATATACTCAGCACTTGATCGGTTTCTTCTGGCTCTATGGAATTGAATGGCTGATACTCATGAATGGGAAATAGCCAGGAAACTCGATCTCCATGATCGGTGCCCACACTGACTCTCCTGTATTGAGGATTAAGCCTGTCAGCAACAAGCGCGGTGAGGGCTTTGTCCAGGTGGGCGTAGAGACTTACGGAGGCGGCATTTGGCACACATGTAACCAAGTCATCCATCAAATTCCTATGTGCCAAACTAACGATATTTAGGGTTCGACCGTGACTTGGGTGTCGCAGGCCGGGCTATGGTACGCACCGGCGACGGCTCCATTGTGCAGAAGTTGGTCAAGATTGACCGGCCGAGTATGAAATCCAAGTAATTTCGAGTTGGAGGACTTGTCGCTGATATTCTTTGCAGTCCTCCGGATCCCAACTTTGGCTATCCACCTTGATCGCCAGGAGACCTTTGCCTTCAATAAGGAGACCCAATTATTCCCTATCGCCGGTCTTGTTGCTGCTGAGCTCAATCGCACTGGCGAATCTACTGCTACAGGCGACAAGACTGCTATGAATGGCGAAGCGGAGAAAGCAGAGTTCGCCCCATTGAAGCCAATGACTGAGCGTCACCATCCCTACCTGGTGGAACTCATTGCGGCCGAAGCGGGAGTTAAGCCGGTCGACATCTTGGACTTTGAAATGATTTTATTCGACACTCAGAAGTCATGCCTTGGTGGCCTGCTGGAGGAATTCATCTTCTCGCCCCGTCTGGATAACCTGAACAGCTCTTTCTGTGCCACCATCGGTCTGATCGACTCCGTCGCTGATGCGTCGGCACTAGACGATGAACCATCTATTCGTCTCATCGCATTGTTCGACCACGAAGAGATCGGCAGCCGTACTGCACAGGGAGCTGATTCGAATGTGCTCCCTGCGATTATCCGGCGCCTGTCCGTTCTGCCTTCCTCCACGTCTGGCAATGATGATCTGACCACCGCCTATGAAGAGACTTTGTCGACTTCATTCCTCCTCTCTGCGGACATGGCTCATGCCGTTCATCCTAATTACTCTGCCAAGTATGAGAATGATCACCGCCCGGAGATCAACAAAGGCCCTGTGATCAAGATCAATGCCAACGCTCGCTACGCAACAAACTCTCCTGGTATTGCCCTACTTCAGGAAGTTGCACGCAAGGCGTCTGAAGACGGTGAAGAAGGTGTCCCTCTCCAGCTTTTCGTCGTTCGCAACGACTCCAGCTGTGGAAGCACTATTGGCCCAATGCTGTCCGCTGCTCTTGGTGCTCGCACACTGGACTTGGGTAACCCGCAGCTAAGCATGCACAGTATCCGGGAAACTGGTGGTACATATGATGTTGGATATTCTATTCGGCTGTTCACGAGCTTCTTCAAGCATTATGCCAACACATCAAAGACCATCTTTGTTGACTGAAGTGTCGGTCGCTCATGTAGATAGATATATACCAACAATCGTATTATCTATAGACTATACGGTCTACAGAAGTAACTTGATCTTTCTGCTGACCTGAGGTCATTTATCAGGTCACATAATGTCACAGATATTGCTCAGAGTATTCCACATTTCATAATAGAAGAAGCCCCAAGTTCAAAGAATGCCATACAAACCATAATCCATCAACAACCACCCAACATTACAAAAAGATAGTATGCGACATAAACACAATTTCAATTTGATATTACTGTAGATAAATATCACAGGGACGTGTGCGTAATAACGAATCTGTACCATTTAGTCCGCCGTACGCATCTCCACCTGTCCGGGTCTGCTCAGAGACACTTTCCCTTACCTATCATTCAATATCGACTCAATGAAATGACCACTAGGCTCCGAGTGACGTCAGCGTGAAGCCTTGAAACAATCCAAGTGCGTTCGTACGCTAACAGAGAGCAACTATCCATACCCCCTATACATAACCTTCTTGCCGGTCGGTACCAAACAAAAACATTGCACACCAGCTTATTCATAGGGTATACAATCCAGTGATCGCTGTTGACTTACCTCCGGATGCTAGCAATGTGTTCGACAAGGGACTCAGTATGCCATTGACAATGGCAAGATCCTCGCGTATGGTTTCAAGAATGTTACCACAGCCGTAGCGCGAGACTTGCGACAAAGCGACCGAAAATTACGCCAGAGAGGTCTTGCGCTGGCCCAATGGGTGACTCGCAAAGCTGGACATTTTCAGTCCAGTTGATGCAGGCTCATTTGGGAATCTGGATGATTGCGCGAAGCACTTCGTCACACACCTCGGACACCTCTTCAAGTCATCGCCACCGAAGCAGCTACTCACTCATCCTAATGCATTCCTCACAGTTTCCAAGGAGGAGATGCCGAGCCAGGCAACCCTTGTCCTCACATACAAGTCCAGTTGTAGGTGGCAATTGGAACATCGATCTGTCCCGGTCCATGTTGAATTAGGCCGGTCGATGGAAACCTCGAGATTTGGCGACGAGACAGAGGAAGACGTGTTAGGCCGGTACGCTCGCAACAGTCCAACAGAGATGGTCGAACAAGACTATGGCATGTCTGGCTCCCCATCGGCTGAGAAATGAGGCTTCGCTGTTTCAGCATAGATTTGCATCCGCCCTGCCCTTGTCAGCTTTACTTGATCCCTCAACGGGCGGAGGTCTAGCCAGTAGAAGCGATCCTGGATCTTATTGGGATCCTGAGAAACGGGCTGATTCAAATGTCGAGAGAGGGAATGAAGGGTTGCGGAGTGCTAGGAAGGCTGCAACTGTTCACGACACGAGAGTAGAAATTTAAGGAGGCTTTAGTCAAGCTGAGATACTAGTTTGGGCTTGTAGTATTTTGAAAAATATCGTATGTATCTAGGACATATAATCCTTCCTATTACTTTGGCCCTGTTTCTGCTAGGTACTGAATGAGCTACTAACGGTTCGTTTTTCGAAGTTGACGTAGTATCTGACGCGTAGTGTCAAGTTTAGGATTGATCTCGAATTCATTAACCAATTCTATAGTCACATAAGACGCATAGCGTAATCCACAAGCGAGCGGCCGCCATATTGGAAATGATACCAATCAACATAACATCAATTTGCATTATATAGAAAAATGAGTGTTTCTATGGGTTCGGACAGTGTGTAGTTTTATGGTCCTGTATATTGAGCCAGAGCACTTTTGGGGGGCGTGTTTAGGAGCTGGTTCAGCAGATAAGGCCCCATCTGCTTGCTTCATCTGGTTGATTTCTGCTTTCTATAAGTGCCCTAGCTTCTTGTACCGATATGCCTGATTCTAACTATTTGAAGCTGCTTAATAAAGCGTTCCTGCTTTTTAACCTGTTTTTAATGCGCAGCCTGATATTGCTCATTTTAATACTTTAAAATTATCACGTCATTTAAGGCTCGTTCAGCGCCTTTAACTAGCTGACTTAAGCTATTTTTGATAGGGCGAATCAGGACTTTGGGGTCGATTTTCAAGTAACATTTTCAGTGCAGATTCTGACGTATTCAACTTTTTAATTGTATAAAGCGTTCTAGGTACTGACTGCCTTGACTGCTTGGTCTACTACTGGAGGGGTAGGTGTATTCAGTTGATTTGACAGCTGAGCAAGAACCTGCCTAGAATTGAAAGGAGCTAGTCCAGTTGCTTGAAAAGCGCTACAGATATAGCTGCGAGTAAAGGCCTGCGTACGGGTCTTGGGATAGGCTGATAGAAGATCATTTTTATCAATATGATTAAATCCAAAGCGTATTTTAGATTCAACCGATTTCCCGTGCGCTTTTTTTTGAGAGGTGAAAAGCAGGTAACAGCAAGCGGTTGAAGCTTATGGGAAGCATGAGCAAGCATATTGGTATAATATCATTCTCTGGGCAGACCGGAGTGATCAAACTTAGGTGCCAGATGACTATTATAGCTGTATAGCATAAGCAGGCGATTATCCCCCACAGATCGGCCGGTAGTCGCAGGTATAAAATAATACTGCAGCTAGCATAGGCCGATTTCATTGCTCGTCTAACCATTACGTCTTATTTCGATCCTTCAATCAGATAAGATCTTTTAATTCTTGTACCAGGCCTCCATATGCACCTTGCCTTTAAAAATGATACAGGGAGGTAGAGCCTATCCATTAGAACTAATACATTCTATAGATATGACCGGTTCCCGGTTCCCTGGCTATATAAAAAATGGCTTGCCTTGCATATCAGACCTAGTAACAACCTTGGCAGTAGCTACTAGGCCCATTGCAGATCCCTTTTCATCAAAATTGCAGATATCACTTGAGGCAATGCCATACTGTTGAATAATCTCATTTTGCTGAAACTAGGCACGTAGAATCTTAGAATCTTCAGCTTTAGCACGCTAATAATTATATCAGCATATAAAACGTGTTTTCAGCTCAGCTGCTTAATCGAGCTATAGACCCAGCTCTGGCCTACAAGGCCGGAATCACGCTTAGCAAGCAGAATATTAGCTATTTCTTTCATATATGCTGGCCGAGAAGCAACTCCACGTTAATCTAGTTATAGAATCCGCGTACAAGCGCTTCCTCTTCAGAAATAGTTAATTTATAACTATTTGCGCGTGTATCAGCTCGAAAAGTATTGCCATTTAATCGTTTGCCTAGTGTAGAACGAGGTAGTTGAAAAGCGCATGCGGCAGCGGAAATTGTTACTAGAACTCTGCCTTCCTGTTCCACCTTCGATTTTGATAATCTAGCCATTTTTGGTGGTATGGCTGGTAGTTGAATCGCTTCAAAAAACGAGGCGCATAGAAAACGCGTTGTGGTGGCCGCTCGCTCGTGGATCACACTTGATAGTTATTATAAGTTATGTTAGTAAGTTGATAATATGGGATGGATGTGGAGAGTGTACATTCATTAGTGGACTGAATTATGGAGTAATAATTGGGGCTTCGGGCCGAGAAAGGTCCGCCCACACGACCCCATTATCGCTTCCCCGGCCATCGCTGACTATAGTGGCACCTCAACACTATCTCCAGGTCTGCAGTGGCGGCCTCTACTTGTTCTTTTATATAACCAATTCATGTAGATTCCATTCATGCCCTCATGACCCCCTATGACAACTCCGGATGTCTTTCGAGATGCGGAATACATCGCTGACGTATCCGGCATCCCGTATGAAGGCGTCGCGGACCTCGCCGGTCGACGGTCTGCGACTGATGGCCGCTTCAAGAAAGTGCAATCGGCAGCCAAGGTCGCGTTCATCGATCGGTTACTTCGCGACCTTGATGTCCTGATATACTGCCAGCTTTCCGCACTGTATTACATGGAGTGAGTCCCGCCAACTTGTTCGAACGGTGGATGTCGTATCGAGAAAGCCCGCCAGGGGGAATCTGTACTGACCAGATTTTGCCTCGGTAGTTGTTCGATCGTACTTTTTGCAATCCGTGCTATTGTGCAGTTGATATTCTTCACTCCCAAGGCGCCTCCCTTTGACCCGACGCGGAACCAACCATTCATCGGGGCTATCTTCATCAGTAATGCATTCTGTATGATTCATCACAAGTTCTTCGGTCAAGCAGAGGCCGGAGAAGCAACGAGGGGGTATTTACATGGGGGATTATTGATAGACTTTATTGGGCAAAAGGCTCCCGTTTCAGTAACCCGGCTTCTATTGTCTGACCTGCTTGTGCTGGTCCTCGACCTGGTGATGTTGGGTCTGGTTGTTGAACGTGTTAAGACGACAGAAGCGAGTGCCCCCGTGTCGACTATATCCGGTGTAATAGAGACACCGAACGAGCAAGATCATGATTCCGAGGAGCGCGGCGTTCTTAACAATACCTCGAATCGGCCTACCAGTGATGGAATAGAGCTTGACGAGTTACGTCCGCGGGTCGAATGTACGGACATTACCCCGGACGAGCAATTGGAGCACACAGAGCTATTAGCGGATCCTTCGGAAAGCGGACACGTATCTAGCGCTAGGAATAGCCACGCCTTGGATACGTTTTCCTCCGGTGAAGCAGTGATCATGGACCTTGGGTTCTTTGGTATCATTCGGGATCAATGGCGTTATAGCCCAGCTGTGGCGAGGCGAACATCTCCTTATGTACCCTCCGACCAAACGTCTACTTTCCTTCGCCAACGGTTTGGGTTGCAAGTCAACTCCGAGGGGCGCCTCGAAAGGGTAGCGACCTGATCCTTTGTACCCCTTCTGCTTGTATTCATCAGGCTTGGGTCTGGGCTGTTCTCCGATGTAAATATAATATCAATACATAATCAGTGCTGAAGATCAACGCTCCGAATACCGCACTGCATATCCCATTCGCAAGAGTGCTTTTTGCGAGGACCAAACAATCCTAACAAATCGAAAAGCATCCAACACAATCACATATAGTCGATCATAGCGTTTAGATCCAAACAGAATACATAATGAGTCATGATAATATTACATAGCAACAAGGGTATGTCATTTCATCGCCCACATAAAGAAGCCTACGAACTTGACTTCTCTTCGCCCTCCACTTCCGACTTGACCCTACGATCCAAAATCTCGTCAATGATACCCATCTCTAACGCCTCCTGCGCCCCCATAAAGTAATCCCTCTCCATAAGCTTCTCAATCTCATCCAGCGACAACTCCTTCCCCGTCAAATGACGCTTATAAATCTTATTCAGCTGCTCCCGAACCCGGAGAATCTCCTTCGCATGAATAGCAATATCAGTCGCCTGCCCAAAGTACCCTCCCGAAGGCTGGTGTATCATGATCGACGAATGTGGAAGACAATAACGCTTGCCAGCCTCACCACCGCAAAGAAGAAGGGACCCCATCGATGCCGCCTGGCCGACGCAGATAGTGCTGACGGGGGAAGCGATATATGTCATCGTATCGTAGATCGCAAGACCTGTTCCACCGTTAGATGGCTTTCGTATTCTATGGGCACCACAACTAATCTATAGTATGGTTCAGGGGATGAGATCACGAACCAGCCGTGACTGAGCCTCCGGGCGAGTTGATATAGAGGTGGATTGTTTTCTGGGGGTTATCGGCTTCTAGGAAGAGGAGTTGCGCCACGATAGACGCCGACATGGTTTCGTCTACTTCGCCGTTGAGACATATTATGCGTTCCTGGGGAGAAGGGTCAGTGTGAGGTCGGTTTGGTGGGGATTGTTCGCGCTTTAAGCTCATACCTTTAACAAACGGGAGAAGATATCGTCTGGTCGATGTGGTTAATATTGTTTGCGGGGTTGGGTTGTTAAGAGTCAACGTACATGTGTGCCAGCCACCTCCCTGGATATTCGTCAATAGGGTATTCTTGCGAAATGAGTGGTGAAGCCAATGGGACTTACTACTGTTTCTGTTATGAATGGTGTTGGAGTCCAGCCCCGCGGCGGACTGGCCTTTGATAATGACGGGATAGAGCTGCTGAAGCTCCGCGACAGGACCGGAAGCACAGAAGAACGAGGAACGAAGCGACTTAGTCGCCATAATGTCCGACTGGGATTCATTTTGGAAGAATGATAAGTTGACAGACTGCGATAAGTCGGTATCAACAAAGCAATTGAGATGACGATGAATGTACTTCGAAGCCATCAGAGAGGTCCGCCGCCAAACTTCGGAGGTGAGCAGTATGGAAGCGGTTTAGCGCGCGGGATGCGGAGTTTAGTTAAGTCTTCTTCTAGCATCTCCCACTTTATCAGATCTTCCCATTACACCCTTCCCATTACACCTCTTTCTTGTGAAGGAATAATGGAGTGTCTCCACGGCCGTGTATCCTATGCCTCATGGCGTCTACGAGTCTTCCGACGGCTTTTCCTCCCATCTCTAGAAATCAGTGGACAGCGAACCATCTCAAGACGTACAATCACGAGCTCAACTAGCCAGAACGAATCGTATCCAAAATCCCAATCCCAACCGAATCACGACGCAAATGCAAAGCCTGCAACCGATGATGGCACGAAGCCCCTCCGACTCTCCCAAACCCTCCCCCAATCTCCCTTCATGACCAGCGTCCACCCCCAACTCTTGAAGCAACATAAAAAGCGCACTCCAACACACGAAGACCTGGAAGACCTCCGCCGGAACCCCTGGGCAATGGCCCTCGCCTCGCCTCCCCGGATGTGCTCAGTAACAGCGGTACGGGTTCCTCGTACACTCATGAGCGACTGGGGGATGGTCCAACACCCCGACACCAAAGAACTATGGTTCCTGCCTGTGGGACTCCTAAAAGATGAATTGAGTTCTGCCGCGAGAAATGAGCCGCAGACGGGCTCCGACTCCGCGTCCAAGCCGACGCCTGAGGGACAGAATATACGGCATCTCAGGTTACGAATTGTCGATCGGCTTCCGGTGTTGCGGAAAATGACACGGGCGTTGAGGTCGTCGCGGTCGAAGTCGGCTGTTCCGCGTCTGATACCTTTTCGGTGGAAGCATCCTCATGGACCTCTTACTAGTAGAGAGGAAAAGCAGATTGTTTGGCGGGAGGATATGCCTGGGTTTGTGCTTTCCAAGATGAGGGCGGATGCTCTGAAGCAGCTTAAACATGCCTGTCGCAGGTATAAGCATCCTGATGCTGCGGATGGTGTCTGGACGACTTTCAGTCTTGAAGAATACACCGAGGCGGCTGTTGTTGAGGGGCTGAGGGGCCTGGGGCTCATTGAGCGTATGGAATGTGGTGCGGTCTTGGTTATGGGGATTTTGGATGATAATAGTACTGCGACGACTGAGCGGGAATCGGACGACGAAACAATGCCTCATGTTTTGGGGACACTCCCTGAATTTGTTACGCTTCCGCAGGTGCAGTCTAAGGTACCTGTGTTTGAACTTGCGCAACTCTTCTCCGAGGACGAGCTAGAGGAAATCTGGGGGTTTGACTCGCGCTTCCAAAGCCCCGCTCTGGTTTTCAGGCCCAATGACAAGATTACAGTTAATGCGATGCTGGCTTTGTGGAAGCTGAAGGGTTTCGTTCGACATGACCCGATATGCGAAACTCTAGCTAGCAGCAATTGATCGCGATTACATGTTCATCTGAAGACAACTTCCTTGAAAAATGAGCGTCTACTGATTTCTATGTATCTAACGGCGCCTTAGCTATTTATTCTACCGACAATATATCCCTCACTCGCTTTCTAGTATTCTAACCCTCATCTATGATCAGCTCGATCCCAGAAGATCCGATAGTTTATCTAAATACGCCCGAGGCCTAGTAGGCCCTGTTTCGAAGTCCTCCTTACTACTGACACCGGTAAGTACCCCGAGAGTACCTCCGAGCTTGCCTTCCAGACCAAAGCGAATATCGGTGTTTGCCCGATCACCGACCATGCACGTACGGCTCCGGTCAAACTTGAACTTGCCCTCGATGGCATCCATCATCGCCTGATTGGGCTTACCCAATGAGACCGGCTCACGGCCCAAAGCCATAATCAGCGGCGCGCTCACCGAACCAGCCCCAGGGAAAAACGTCCCGGAACTTGGCAGGGTTGAATCAATATTTGTTGCAAGGAAGACAGCTCCACGACGAACGTAGTGAAACGCCAACGACAATTTGAGGTAATTGATATGGAAGTCCAGTCCTACCAGGACCACCCCGACTTCGGGATCAAGCAAGGTTTCATCCCCGGCAGCAATGCGCTTGTAGTCCTCGGGCGTGATGTCACGACGATAGGCGGGGTCCGTGCCACCGATGAAGGGAACGTTCTCCGAGCGCAGTTCCTGCTCAATGCCCGTTTCCCCTAGCACGAAGACCTTGCGCTTGTTCTCTGGGAGTTTCAGGATACGTGAGATATATATCGAGGCGCTGTATGAGGAGGAGAAGATCTCTTCCTGAGGTCGTTATCAGCATCATCTGGTTTGGGGTGAATTCCGTGTGGTTGACGTACGATTGTACTCGGGATCCCGAGGGACTTGAGCTTCTTCTTATAGTCGGCGCGCGACTTGGTGCTATTATTCGTGACGAACACAACCTGCTTTCCTGGATGCGATAACCTTGAGATCAGTCTTTGCGCTCCACCACGTCTCACTGATTCCGAGCGGGGAGCGCATACCTCTGCTTCTCAACAGCTCTAGTGTTTCGTTCGTTCCGGGGAAGAGATGGTCACCGGACCAGAGGACGCCTGCAGCAAAGGTTAGATTTCACTATTTCTATCCACAATATCACACCTGGTTGGTTATCAAGCCGCTGCGCGGGGGGGGGGGGGGGGGACAAGAGAATATGAAACGGAGGGCACGGGTTACCAACCATCGCAGTCAAATAGGAAAACCTGAAGCCATTAATTAGCGAAATTTGCACTCACGGACTGCACATGTTATGAAATAAATGTAGATAAGTAACACTCACATCGAATTGGTCTATGAAGTCCCGGATACCATCACCGTCTCCGGTCAAATAGCGGGGTTTTTCTGTCATGGCGGAGTATGTCTGATATGGTCTTGAGGTGAATCGAAAGTTCTACTCTAACAAGCCTTGTTCTCCACGAAGGATGGTATATTTACAAGACTGAGAATATAAAGAATAGTTTATAAGGGTTGACAAAAGAGTCATTCAAAAAGTGTTGAATGGTGACACTTCGGAGAGAACGGCGAGCGGGGCCGCACGTGGCTGGACTCAGGCACAGCTTTTGTCTCATACGTAATCATCAGAGCGATTAGTTAGATGCCCGTACTATGTTATTGCTATGTTATTTGACTTGACCCAGCTACCAACTGACATCCCTGACCCAATTCATAAAATTTCATACAGTCATGACGCTTCGGATTTTGCCCCAGACGACAAAACTCACGCCCAGGGACGAAAACCTGTCCGGCTAAACATCAGGACGAGCCATGGTCTGGTGCGCCCTTATGCTGGTGGCTTCCAACTCTGATCCACCATTGTCTCTGAGCCTCAAGCTCAAATGAGTCCGACAGAGGTCCACTGTCGGACTGCGTGATTAGGGTAGATCTGGGATATCCTCGCACATGCACAGATGAATAACCCTGAAAATTATGCTTCGTTGGCAAACCTGGGCCACTAGGCACCGCCCAAAATACCCGAGATCTTCACAGCCACGTCCAAAATCGACAGATGCTCATCTGCACCGTCCACTAAGCGTTTATCCATCTCGGAAAAGACCATGACAATCTTGTTCTTTTGAATATCGGGAATGGCATCATTGTAAATAATTCGTCGGTAAAGCTTATACACGGTCAGCGCTATAATATCAAAGAAATGAGGTAAAAAATCATACCTGAGCAAGAAGCTGCGTAGCGCTCCACCCATCCGCAACAATATCCGTAGTAACCTTGGATACAGCCTCGTAGGATGAACCGACTTTTTTAGGCTGCATAGCCTGGATCAACTGGTCCAGAACACTTTCTGGGATCACCCCAGCAATCTCCTCCACCATCCTCACAGTAATCACCTGTGAGCTAGCATCCGTCATCTGAGCATCTTCGTTTCCATCCTGTTTATCGCTGTTTGCATTAGCTCCTACCAGCCTGGCTCCACTTTGCATGTATGTAATCGCGCGTCGCAAATCACCATCGCTGCATTGAATCAATTTATCAATGACTCCGTTCTCCAATTGCAAGTTCTCCAATTCCGCAATATGTGCAAGTCTTTCACCCGCAGCCGAGTTATCCAGTGGTTTGAAACGAAACTTGCTGCATCGACTGGCCAGTGGTTCAATAATTCGGGTGACGTAGTTGCAAACGAGACAGAAACGAGTGATTTTACTATATTGTTCCATTGTGCGACGAAGAGCAGACTGAGCATCCTGAGTCATGCTATCTGCTTCATCGAGGATGATGATCTTGAACGGCGGGCATGGGTATTGCTCGAAGTACGATTTGTCCACGCCTGTAGGCTGACTGAGCTGTACTTTGGCAAATCCTTTAACCTTTTCACGTACGATGCCAATACCGCGCTCATCGGAAGCGTTCAACTCGAGGATACGGGAACGGTATAGAGCAGGGCCGAATAGGGACTTTGCAAGGGCAAGGATTGTTGATGTTTTTCCGGTACCTGGAGGACCGTAGAAGAGCATGTGCGGGAGCTGTTCCCATATTCGATCATGTCAACGATCTATATTTGCTAGTAGTAAGTAGGGGTTTAACGCACGTTGGAGGCTTGTAACGTCCGTTGGAGAACTTTTGTTGTATGGTCCTGTGCTGCGACATCATCTAGAGACTTCGGACGACTGACGATAGTTGTAAGCCAGATGATTCTGGTAGCCCTCATCTAGGGCAGTACATACTATTTTTCAACCCATGGTTGCTGCCGCGCATTTTCCTCCTTTCCATCTGTCGGCTTCTGTTTCGAATTGATTGATGTTATTGCAGCCGCAGCACGGGCTTTGTTATTGAAGAAGTTCGCAGCCATTATAAGCGACAAAGAAGCGAACACCAAGTTTGACAGGTGAAGGGCCCAATCTGCCAAATCAATTATTGCCAATTGCTCCTAGAAAAGCTTCCTGGGCATGACGGTAGATGAGCGTGTCGGAACGCGTTACCACGTGATACGCGATTTATTGATGCCAAGACCTTTTATTAGTCTGGCTAGGAGATAAAATAGAGACTACCATCTCTATAGAGATTCGGATATTCTCAGCTAGAACTAAGGTGACTTAGATTGTCGTCAGTTATGCGTGCTATTTAAGTTGTTTTGTAATTATTGGTGCGTTTTATCTCTATTTTTCACCAATCTACTTATAGCTCATCCTTCCTATTCTCGATTACTTCTGTAGCCTCATACATCCTCTTCTTTGGGTTCCGAGGAAGCTCCGCTTGCCTTTGTCGCTCTTCGGGTGATATGTCGTCAATGTTGGTTTCTTCGATTGCTTCCTCCTTTTCTTGTTGTTGTTCATCCATTCCCGTTAATTCTTCTTTGACTTCCTCCCCACTGTCTTCCACCATCCTACCAATATGATCGATCAGGCGGTCTTGTTCTGTGTCAACAACCGAGGGTTGGTCCCATATAGCTTGGCCATCGGCCCATTGGACGTTCGCTTTGGTCTTGAGACTTGGGATTGGCGTCTTCTCGACCAGTGTGTCACTAGGAACGGCCGACGGAGAGAGTTGAACAGTTTTGCCGGATAGGCCAATAGCGCCTAGGATGGTGAACATGAACTTCGCTGTTAGCCTGACTGGCAACCATACAAGCCACCACATAGGTCCATATAATATCCGGCGAAACACAAGCCATACAATGGTGCCAATGAGGATATAAAATGCGGTTTCAAGATACCAGGTGTCAGATTTTTGTGAGCGCAGCAGCGAACCAATAAGGTTGCGCGACGACGATAGAAGTGTATCAAGGTCCGTATATGATTCTGATAGTGATGAAAGCGCAGCAGTCGATTGCTCTGTAATACAATTAGTCCAACCCACGAGTATCAGTACAGAAGAAAGCCAACCTAAGGTCTCTTGTGCAAATTGGCTTCGTGACAGTTCCGACTGCATGAGATGATGTGTTCTCCGCAATGCTGCAGTAACATCACTCGACGTATTGAGCAGAACGTCATCCTGTGTTAACTTCTCAGCCGACTGTTGTTTCCTTTCGGCACTTTGCGACCTCGAGAATAACAACTCTCTCTCTTTGCGCTTGGCGATTTCCGCATTTCGTTTCGCTTGTAACTGCGCGTTTCGAAATTCCCCTCTCATTCTGCCATAAGCCTATTAGCGTCACGAAGCATAGGAGATGAGCTGTACATGTCACAGCGCAAGCCATCCGAAACAGACCACTCACTTCTTCAAATCCTCCGCCAACCTCCCCGCCGTCGCAACAACCCGCTCCCGCTCTAGCTCCTTCTCATTGTCTTGTCCCTTCCGTCTGCCTTCCGGAGCAGTTTCCAATGCTTCAACCTCAACTTTCAATAGCTCCAATTGTGCCTCTGCCTCTTTCAGCAGACTATGAATCTCCGTCCCTAATTCTAACCGGGCTTCATCGCCTTGTCCAACAGCTGTAGTGAAGTTGCGTAACCGGGACACAAGAGGGTGAATCTGAGCTAAAAATGTCGATAGCTCTTTTAAGCGGCCTTGTAGGACAGCAATGGTGGACATATTCATGGTAGCCTGGACAGCTGCGTCGGGATATGTTCGTCTCGGGGATCGGGATGATATAATTCAACGAGTCAGATCCGCATATAGCTTGTTATTATTCAACGCAGCTTTCTATAGGTACGCCTTCAGTTTCGGTATATGAATTAAGAATTAGATAGATAAAAGTTGTGCCCACAGTGGAAAAAACAATTCCTCCCATACGATCAATCTGGCCCGCCAGCGTCATCGGTGCCAGGAACAGTTCACTATGCCTAGATGGGAAAGGCGGAGCTCAAACAGGAAGGCGGTCTCTTTAATCCCGCTACCCAGACCTTGCCAACCCCGACCGTGGAAGGCACCTTTTTATCAGTATGTTGTAGTAATCATACCTCTACGGATAACGAAGTTTTTGATTTAAAAATTGCACATATGCAAAGGCTACATCAACATAGTGGTAAAATGATTTTGGTATATTCGAAATTATTTCAATATTATTAGTATGTGACGCCCGAAATCCGTGCCTTACCAAGGATGCACGATTCAACAAGACAGCCGATACAGTATTCAAATGATTCTGCCCGATAATTCCACCCTCACCACAACGGCCGACCGCTTGATCGGGAGGAAGCCGTAAAGAAATGTTTGCATCTCCAGCAAACACTTAAGCAACCCTCCGCCCTCCTGGTGCCCGGAGAAAGTCGAGGTAATTTTCTCGGCCCCGATATACAACCGCAGATACGCCATTATCTCGCTTCATTGACATCCAAGAACCACCCAAATCCACAAAATCGGGGCCCTACATTATCAATCCATAAACTCGGGAGCCTCAACTAAGCGCAAAAGTCAGATCCCTAACCAATCAATTCAAAAGCACCAAATTGACCACATCCAACAGACCTCAAATCCTTCCAACTCGACCTGACATCCGGCCCAAGCATCCAAGATGACCATCCCCGTTCAGACCATCACCACCCTTCGCACAAGCTTCAACCCATTCTCTCAGGCCTCCCGCCCCTGCAGACTCCTACTATCCATCCTTCGCAATCCCAACACTACCCCAGCATCGAGCCCTACGCACATCGATATCAAGGTCAAGCAGCTCCCGCGTGTCTCGACAGAGCAGCCCGAGGTAACAGTGGGCTTCAAGGGTGGCAAGGAGCTCAAGATCGAAGTCGGGAAGCGCGGGATGAAGATCGGCGATGTCATTGAGGAAATTGCGCGAGTGGGTAGGGCCATTGAGCGAGAGGAGAGCTTGAAGGGTTGATTCGATCTCTTGTACGCATATTTGCTGTTATATTTGTGCTCGGTTTTACGGTCCGCCTATGGCGCTTGGGAATTAGGACTTTTTGTGCTTCTATGTTGCGGATGCGAAGCGGTTGAGCTGTTGGGGAAAGCTCATTGAAACAATTATGATACCGTCTCTTTGTGTATATACTACCTAGCCTTCGAGGAATACTGCAATTTTGAGGATTCTTTCTTTGGGCTCTTCTGTGTAGTCATATTGTAGAATGCGAGGGGTTGGAATTGAATCTACAGACTGTTGAGCAACTTTCATACATAGGTTTCCACATAAGTTACTAGATGTTGTAAATCAATGCGGACCGGGCAAGCTACAGGAACAATAGAAGAGATCAAAGTAAAATTACGTGGACTCGTCCATGGCAAGAGTCCCAAATCGGTGTGCTTTTATTTATTTTATATGGTATCAATTTACACAGCAGCGCCGGAGATGAAGAACCACTTGTCAACGCTACCGTCGATAGGAGCAGGGGGAAGGTTCTGGCCTTGAGGAATGTTGGCGAGCTCGCCGGATCCAACACGATCAGCGGAGCCTTCAACAGCGGAGTTGGCACTACAAGTATGGTCAGCGTGTCTAGACCTTTTTTATCAAGGGGAAGTACACTTACAGGCTAATTTCGCCACGGTTCGACTTGCCGGACATGAGCTTCTCCCAGGCATCAGCGCACTCACGGATAACGTCGAAAGCGTACCTGAATACGGCTGTTAGTTTATCATGCACATCCAAACGCGCGTAGGCGATCAACATACTTCTTGTTCTTGCATTCGCCGGAGAAAGCGAACTGGTTCTCAGGCTTGCCATCGGGGATCTTGTAGATACGGAACCACTCGTTGGTAGCGCGGAGAAGGCCAGGGAGGTGGCGCTCAACATCCTCCACGTCGTTAAGCTTAGGAGCAAGAGGGTCGTTGACGTCGATGACAATGACCTTCCAGTCGGTCTCCTCCTCATCAAGAAGGGCCATCACACCAAGAACCTTGACTTGCTTGACCTGACCAGGGTAGCCGACAAGCTCACCAATTTCGCAAACGTCGAGAGGGTCGTTGTCACCCTTAGCCTTGGTCTCGGGGTGGACAGTGTTAGGGTCCTCCCAGGTCTAGAATAGAGGGGTTAACAAGCGCGTCTGAGAATTGATTATACAGCACTTTCAAACCGACATACCTGGGGGAAGGCACCGTAGTTCCAGAGGTAACCCTTGTGAGGGAAGCAGTTACGAACGTAACGGAGCTTGCCCTTCTTGACATCCTGCTTGATGGGGTTCAGGAACTCCTCCTTGGAGATCTTTATAGCTAATCAGCGCCTGTACTTATAGGATGTTGAGTAATTGTATTTCCACCCCCATACCTCCTGCTTGGCGTTGGTCCACCGGGGAATCTCAACGACCATGTTAAGGATAGTCTGCTCCTCGTTGGCGTAGAGAGGAATGTCATGGAAGGGTGAGACGAGCTGGCCATCCTTCTCGATGTAGACACGGTGCTCCAGGGTGTTAGCCTGGCCGATTTTGCGAACGGTGTAGGACATGGCGGGCGACTGCGGCGGGGTATTGGAAGAAAAGTGACGAGAAATTAAAGCAGCACGAGTTGTGGCGGACGAAATCGAATGAACAACTCGGGGGGAAGCAGAAGAAGGTAAGGGGGACAAAACGGGGGAGAGAGAAGGAGAGGAAGAGGAGAGGAGAGAGGGAGGGAGAGAGGAAGGAGGGGTGGCTTGTTTAGTGGGGGGAGCCAACGTTGCGGATGTGCGTGAGACGCGGGCGACAATCGGAGAAGCGGTGGACAGTCGGTTTAATGGAGCGGCGCGCAGTCTTGGAATGAGACTGGTGGAGGACGACCCCAAGAACATTGAGCGTCAAGAACCCGTCGCTGGTCGGTTCAATTGGGAAGTTTAAATACCGGTGGTCTTGATGCGCAATTGGCAATCTATTCTCGGCTTGTCTTGTGAAGATTTAAAGGAGTGGAAATTTGTCGGGAAGAAAATCGGTGCCGGGAAGCCATTCCGAGGTTCGTTGCTATGCTTATCCTTCTCTGCCTGCCAAGAGAGTATGATTATTCTAGTATTTATCTGTCACTATCTACGGTGCCCCCTATCCTTGGATTTCTTTGATGTTGGGGGGTTCATGGTTTTCCTGTTAATCTCTCTGTTCTGGTAATACCCAGTCCTCGATCATAAAATCTTCCTGTGGCAAAAGAGAGGAAATCTAGTCAATTCCATTGTCAATGGGCCCGGTGAATCAATTAATCGTATGGAAACGCTCCACCACCTCCAAGTTCCGTTCCACACTTTTTGGTTGCTGGGTTGCTTCTCATTTTGTCCGACCAATTCAGCCTCACTTGCTCCGGAACATCCAACCACACTCAGTAATCAACCTTCACTCTCACACAGAGTGGGACCTTCAGAAATTTAAGCAACAAAGAAATCAGAGTTTAGGGTTTGTTGGTGCCTGAACGCCTGAAATGGCGCCATTTAGGAAGGGCTCGATCACGTGCATAGGTTCCTTTCATTTTCTTCCTGAGGACAATATTGATCGTGCGTCAATGCTTTGTCTAAATAGATCTCTCAAGAGGACGATTAAGATCTACAAAGAATAACTTGAGGAGATAGATGCTCGGATAGGAAATCAAGGGGTAGACTGATCCTTTCTATGTTCGTTTTACAGTGATTTGGCAGGTACTGTCCTGCAATACCCGTCACAATACCCGGCTATTTCACCTAGAAAAACTTAAAAATCCAAACGAAAATAAAAAAGTTAACTTATCACTTATCTTCACGTGATATAGACTTTTTCTCTCCGCCTTCCAAGGATAATGAACTATTCCATGACTAACTATATGTATACGAAAGTCTAAGAAGAACTATCAGAAAACTATCGATATCTCGATCGTCTGAGTTCATCATTGTCAGACAAAATCTCTCAACTAGAAGTTCCCCGTCTTCGAAGAATGCTATGCTTAGATTTCTCCGCGCCGCAATGACTTCGCTCACTACACCACCTCGCGTTCCCATCCCCGCCAACGGCGTAGACTACCGTGGCAAAGTAGTCCTTGCGCCGATGGTCCGGTCGGGAGAACTGCCCTCTCGCCTTACGGCTCTTAAGTATGGTGCCGATCTAGTCTGGGGCCCCGAAACGATTGATCGCTCGCTCATCGGCGCCTCTCGCCGCGTGAACCCCCGCAACGGGACCATTGAATATACTAGGCTCCCCTCGAACGGTGGTCGCACCGAAGCAGCACAACAGGAATCGATCATTTATCGCCTTGACCCGGTGCGAGAGAAGGGAAAACTCATCTTCCAACTAGGTACTGCCTCGCCCGAGCTCGCTGTGCAAGCCGCCAAAATGGTCGCTGGTGATGTTGCGGGTATCGATGTGAACTCGGGTTGTCCAAAACCGTTCAGTACAAGCGGTGGAATGGGCGCAGCCTTGCTGCGGACGCCTGATAAGTTGGTGTCAATCCTGGAGGCACTTGTACAGGAGGTTGGGAACCCCTTTCAAATTGGTATCTCGGTGAAGATTCGCATCCTTGAGACACCGGAGATTACGGGAGCTCTGGTCTCGAGGCTTGTCAAGACGGGCATAACAGGCTTGACAGTCCATTGTCGAACACCACCTATGCGTCCCCGCGAACGGGCACTTCGCGAGCAGGTGCGCATGATCGCCTCCATCTGTCACGACGCTGGTGTTGCGTGCGTTATAAACGGTGATGTGACTTCGCGTGATCAGGCCCTGGCTCTCATGGAAGAATTCGGCGTAGATGGAGCGATGATTGCAACAGCTGCTGAATCTAATCCATCCTGTTTCCGGAGTCAAGCGGATGGGGGTTTGCTTCCATTCAGAGATGTCGTTCACTCTTACATGAAATTCTGCATCGAATCCGAGAATCGCGCTGGCAACACTAAGTATCTACTAAACAATATGATTCCGGGCAAGAATAAAGAGTTCAAAGATGCAAAGATTTCTAAAAGCTATGCCGATTTCTGCCACGTCTTGAGGTTTGACGACCTCTTACCAGGTGCGCACCAACTCGATGAGATCCTGAAACTCACGGCAAAATCAGTCTTCAAGGACGAAATACACAGCAAAGCTATCCGAACTGCCATTGAGAACAACGAAACCGCTCGGGCAGCTAGCGGCGCTCCAAGGCCTAAATCAACTTCTCCCACTACCAGCGGAGTAGGACCTATTCGTACCAGCTCAATCCCAAGTCCGTCAAAATCAAAGCCTGCGGAGACTGAAGCCAATGTTGATATCTCTGCATCAGCTTCCCAGCCAGCTCAGAAGCAGGAAGTCGCCGCATGACCTCGATAATCAATATTCTACCAACTGCACTTTCTGACTCTTGAGTGTCCCCGTCAATGTTCTTTCTCTTACTACTTGCGCCTCCGACCCTTTTTTATTTGTTAATCTTGTTGCATCATATGGTGTTGAATTTTTCACGGATTTTTTCCTTCTTTTTTGTTTTGGTATTCATCATAATTATAGATTCCCACGGTGTGATAGAAGCTAGCTGATAGAGAACTGCTGAAGCTCCAACGGTACATACACGAACATATCGAACTCATGCACCTCATATTAATCCAATTTGTTAAGACTTTCCCGCCGTCATTTCTAGTAATATCGCATTATACACGTTGGAAATCAAATAACTTGGTTCATAATGAAGTAGAATCAACAAGACCATTCTCTTTGATCTATTAGTTCTCATGATATGCTAATCTCTAATAACCAGTTCCTACTCCGTGTCTATAAGCAAAAAGTATCGATGATGGTAACAAGAAAAAAAAAGGAAAAATAGACAACGCAGCCCTCAAGAAGTTGCTAACTCAATGATGACACGATGAAAATGTCCAAGCAAGATAAGGTGCAACCAAGATATTAAGTGCGAACCGCGCTAAGCACAAGTTATCATGGTCATATTCGCTTAAAAAGCGGAATGATGTATCTCTTGACAACGTGTTAGACAATATCGCTAATACAAACGGCGATGCAATCATAAATTCAGTGAGGAAAAGTACAATCGACCTCAGAAATATGGAATCAAAAGAAAAAACAAAGTGTAAAAAGTGCGGACCCTGCCCTGAGTCTCTGGAAAGGGTTGTTGTGCGAGTCAAAGCGTGCTCGGATACGTTTGAGGTTTTTGTAAAAAGATTGATGTTCAAGTCTATAGACCTTTAAATACTTGGTGTCATGAGGAATTCTTTTTCTCTTCACTTGAACCGGCTATGAGCATGTCTTCTACCGCTTTCATGCCCGCTTCTTCGCTCTTCTTTGATTCGGCCGCATCTTCTCCTGCTACAGCTTGGTCGAGGGCTAGCTTCGTCTGTCCCAGTGCGTAGATCTGCTCTTCAATGGTGTCCTTGGTAACAAGTCTGATGACTTCCACATCACGCGTTTGACCCACACGATGGGCGCGATTCTCAGCTTGCACGTCTTCTTGGGGGTTGAAGCTGGAGTCGAAGATGACAACTTTGTTGGCACAAGCCAAGTTGATACCAGCGCCTCCAGCCTTTGTGGACAGGAGGAATACCGGAATCTCTGTTCTTTCATAGAAAGCATCGAGAATGGACTGGCGATCCTCGACGTTCGTTCGCCCGTCAAGTCTAACGAAACCAATGTGCTGGTTTTCAAGTACATGTTCAAGGATATCCATTACCATAGTGAACTGGGAGAAGATCAGGGTGCGGTCACCGTTCTCCTTGAATCGCTTCAGCAGGTCACAAAGTTTATCAACCTTGCCCGAGTCCATCCATTCATTGTTCTTCAATGCAAATTTCCCAAGTGATTTGGGATTGTTCACACACATAGTGTGGCATTCGAAGTCATTATATGCTTGCAGCTCTTCGAAGATGATGTCCGGATTTGACAGAGACCATTGCTCCTCTTTGAGGCAAGCCTTGGCCATACGGCTCAAAGTAGTGTCATTGTAGTGGCGTCTGTATAACAATGGATGGATCGCTGCTTGACGTAGTTTCATCAGGATATTGGCAGACTTATTGCCTGTCTTCTTTCCAGCTGCTCGGTCGGCTAAGAGCTTACGAACCTCTTCTTGCTCGTGTTCGTAAATACCCCTCTGGGACTCATTCAATTCGCAATACTCAACTTTAGAGATCTTGGCGGGTAAATCAATGACCTGGTGTTTCTTTCGTCGTAATACAAAAGGTTTAAGCATTGATTTCGCTCTTTCGATGCGCTGCGCAGAAAGTAACGCGGAATGAGATTCGTCGACGGTCTTTGCCTTGTTTGAGAAAATATTCTGAAGTTCCTCCTTGCGCTCCTGGAAAACCTTTGGAAGGATAAAGCCCAGTAGAGAGGCGAGCTCTTGCAGATTATTTTGTAGTGGTGTGCCGGTCAGAAGAAGCCTAAAACGAGCGGGGATTCTGATCAATTTCTCGTAAAGAACAGACGTAGAACTCTTGAGCATATGACCTTCGTCGTAGACACAAACAGTGAAGTCCATGTTGCGCAGGAAGTGTGCGTCCACCTTGGCTTTCGCAATCGTATATGTGGTAACAATAACATTGATGCTGTCCCTGTTGTCCTCAATAGTTTCTCGAATCACTGCTCGTTCAGCTTGACCAGCGTAGTACGGCATGACGGAAAGTGTTGGACAGAATTTTTGGAACTCTCTGAGCCAGTTCTCGATCGTAGATGAAGGCACGACGATAAGGTGTGGTCCCTTGATACCTTTCTCAAACAAATGAGCCAAAAAAGCGATGACTTGACAAGTCTTCCCAAGACCCATGTCGTCCGCCAGAATACAGCTCAACTCTTTTTCGAAGAGCAATGACAGCCAGTTGATTCCGACAATTTGGTAGTCTTTCATCTTTAAGTCTTCGCGCATGATACCAGGCTGAGATATGAATCGATTTTTGCGGGCACCAATTGCAGGGCCATCGCTATCATCCTCTGAACGTTGGCTGGAAGGAGTTCCAATGCCAGAATCGTGCGATGCTCCAGGGTCAATCGAAGTTAGCTCCAATTCCCCATCACGCTTGCCAAAGATGTCGACACCCCATTTCTTCATTTCCGATGCAATTGGCTTTCCGAGTGCCTCGCATTTCGCGACCAACGAATCAACGGCTTCGTATCCAACCCACATATCCATGGATTTATCCACGATTTTATCGCCAATTGGCTTGGGGGTTTTACGACCCCGGCTACCCTTTGGCTTCGCAGTTTGTTCTGTCGTAGGAGCAGTGACAGCGCGCACTTCATCCAATGATGCGAAAGGCCGATTAGAGATTATAATCCTCGCAACATCTTCGGTGGTTGCGGCAATGTCTGCAAGATCAAGGACATCGCAAGTATTGAAGAACCTGAGAAGCTTTGTTTCCAATGCGCCATCACCTTCTGGAACAGCTTCTACACCGGAGTCGGAGTCATCGGACATGGATGCCTCGGGTTCTGAAGGTTCGGGTGACGGTTGTTTACGCCCATGGATCAATCGGCTGGGCTTCTTTTTCGGAGGAGTCTCGGAGCGATCTGGGCTCGGAGAGGACACACGAGACTTTGGCCCTCTGATTAAACGTCTTCTTGGTTTGGAATCTTCGTCAGGCAGTTGCGCATGTGCCTTCGGAACGATTCGGTTTTCCGGGCGCATCGCAGCCCATTTATCCTGAATTTTTCCTCGAGCTTTGATCTGCTGTTTTGCCGGCGCAACGGGAGAGGTTCTTTTGTTCAAAGCCAACTCATCGTCCGAAAGGTCGACTCTTCCATTTGGGTCGTATTCTTCGGTATTGGCCAAATGATCTAAAGCATCATCGTAATTTCCGCGATTCATTAGGAGCGCTTGCATGCAAGCTTTAATGGATCTCTGCGGCATCACTCTTCGCATCCTCTCCACCTTGATCCTAAGTTGGTAGTCGTCGATATCCTGTAAAGACGAGATATTCAGCTCTACAGGCTGCGCGCGGGAGGGGCCATCCTGCCGAAGTTTCTTGACCGCAGTCCCTTTCGGCACAGGATCCATTTGTGCTGCAGGGCGTTTTGCACTCGAAGGGTTGTAGATAGCAGATGCGGTGATCGCTCTAAATCGGTCGAAAGAACTGTTTGCGCTTACCGGAGAGTCCAGGACTTTGTCTGGGCTCCGCGCAGATTTGGCAAACAAGGACGGCTGAATATCCGTGCTGCTTATCATGGTAACGTCCTCGTCAGACGATCCTCCACGGTATGTTGGACCATCATCTTCAAGATCGATCACCGGCGCACGCTTCGCAGGGCCTACCGCTGGGGGGCGGAACTGGGTACCGCTGGGGGCCATTGCGCTAGCAAGACGACCGCCGAGGAAGGCAGGGCGAGAAGGAGACGATGTCGGGCCGGGAGGGGAAGACGCAGCGACTTGTATGACCGAATTGCCTTTCACAGAATACGGCTGTTCTAAGATCTGAGTCGGCTGTGTTAGACGCTGGGTCGCCGGGGTCAGCGACAGGGTTGCAGGTGGCTGAAAGTTCGGCAGCGGAACAGTGGCGACGGTCTCATATCCTTCCTCTTCTTTCCCGGGGGGAGTATTGTGAATGACCTTTTTGTCACTGACGGGGGTATCAGGCACTGAGTCGTCCATTGTCAGTAAGACTTTGTCAGATGGGTTATATGAGTTCACGCCCGGTCACCGCGGCAGAAAGAGGAGCTTCGCTCAGACGACCGGGAAGAAAGGCGTCTCCTTCTCCCCAACCTGCAAATTGACTTCCACTTTTTCTCCGCAAAAAACGCGCTCAGACGCGCCCGCGATCACGTGCATTAGACCTTCAATTAAAGCACCAACCAGGTAATCCTGCGAAATTTTCCCTAGGATGCACAACCTACGGGGGGGGGGGTGAGAGTTCTCACTTGCCATACACTGTAGCTTCTATCCCAGAAATGAAAAGTAGATAGTCTGTTAAATAGCTCAATGTTGTAAGAATGTTGGAGCTTTTCTAACATTCGGAGCGTTTCAATGGACACGGACCAATGAGACCTCCGCCTCCAATGATCTCACCTGATTTCATCCGCCTGGATTGAGTACATCAATACGTAGTCACCCTTCTTGATAGTTCTTTGGGCACTGAAAGGTGGCAATATATATTACTATAAGGCTCAGGAACTAGTTTCCCCTTGTTTCTCTCTACCATTTACTGCAGTCAGAGTACCCCCTTTGTTCTCAACCACCTGGATATCATCATATCTGTTCTACCCACGCACTTAGTATCACCACTACTCTCCCTACTCTCCACCCAACATGGCCAGCCGTCGTGCGCAAGGTAAATCGTACGCGGAAGCGGTCGCTTCTCCAGTACCAGAGAAACAATCCGATTCCGATGTGACGCCAGCAGTTCCCACGTAAGATTTTTCTCCATCTGGTTTCCATTTTAATCTGCATTCATGCCACATGGCCGATGCGCGGTGTCCAGCCCGATGGACAGGGAGTGTCTGCTGCAAACCAGGCCATGCAACTTAAAAGGACCCACCTATGAACTGTCACGAATACTGACGGTTTGCTGTAGAAATGTCATCTTCAAACTGCTGGGGTTCTCCGCGGCGATGATCTCATTGCCGATTAGCATGTACTTTGTTGCAGGGAGGTTTGGCGGTAAGTTCCTTTACCTGTCCTTATCCCTATACTCTTTCTACCTATATACGTCTAGGATTTAGCTCTAACATCAAATAGCGAGTCCGACTGTCGCCGGCATTATAGCCGCTGCTACGGCCAATATTGTCTTGTTCACGTATGTCTATGTCGCATGGCAGGATGATCGGCTGGAGAGAGAAGCCCTATCAAAGAAGCAAGAAAAGAAGGCGCAATAAGGGATTCATTGTTTCTAACTAGATTATTGATCCATTTGTGTTTGGTGTCTTGGTCTTTGTACTTAATATGTGGCGTTCATGGGCGATTGTGTTGTAATAATACCTCGCGTTGATCCAAGGATGACAGCCTATGCCAGCTTTGAGAACCAAAATTGAGTATCTAAGTTTTCCTATATCATTTAACTATTTCCATAAATCAGAAATACGTCCACGGCAGTCCTGCAGGTCGTTTAGTAATCCTGTTTCAGGCTGTCGTAAGGTATGATAATTCCAGTAATACATCCAGCCCATGTTGAAAAGCCGCGCCTGGAAATGCAGTGACAAATTGCATATGAACAAGTGAACCCAAGAAGAAGAAAAAATCGAGACGAAAAATTAAAAGAGGCAGGGAACATAAGTTAACGGCAGGAAACTATGGCCTCCTCTTCACGAACTCCTCCAGGTCAGCCTTCGTCACAACCCCGAGCACGAATTTCCGCGATGCATCTGTCACCACGGCAAACTCTTGTTTCTCTCTCTTCTCTCCGTTAGGACCAGTTTCACTCTCAAAGAACTGTTCCAATTCCTCCAAAGGGGTCTCCATGCTAATAACCTGGTATAAGCCCCGCTTCCGGTTGAAACGTTGCATGGCGGCAGACACAGATTCTGATTCTTTCACGGCTCCTTCCTTCAGAAGTTGCTTAAGTCGTGGAATGCTAAGATATCCAAGTAGAGATCGTTTCGTCGATGAAATGACGGTCAAATGAGTGAAGTCACGTTCGTACGCTGCAAGCATGGCCGAAGAGATTGAATCACCGGGAGAGACCGACAGTGCTGGAGGAGGGTCCAGATCTTCAACGGTAGCCTAGAGGGTACTGTTAATGGATGTGGAATATAAATCGGCCTAGGCATGGAGTGCCGTAGTAAATTAATAACTAACCCCACGGTACTTGTCCGCCCATACGGACTGAGAAATGGATTTGTCCACATTGGGAACAAATTTTTCGCGGGTAAAAGCCTCACTTCCAGCCAGATACGAGGCCATATTCATCGAATGATTCATAGGAGGGGCGACAATGAGGGGTACGGTAAGAGGGGCCAACTATGATGTTCAGTTGCTAACAGCTTCAATTTTGAGACGCAAGAGAGCACAGAGTGTAAATTGAGAATCACAACCGTGCGAACACTAAGAACAGAGCATACGAGGAATAGAGACCGATTGTTGATAATAATATCTCAGGCGAGGTCTGTTCCAATACCGATAAATTTATCAATTGCGGCCCACGAGTCTTAGTCTCCGCCCTCTAAGCGGATCGGGGTTGGCGCCACGCAGTGGATGTCACGCTTCCATTCAACGTCATCGTCCGTGGCTACCACCATGTCAGAGTCAGACTTTCCCCCGGTTGTTCCCGTAAACGCTGGCTGCTGAAATTCCTTATTAGAGTGCCATACGGTCCATTTAACCTCTCAAGAAGAAAAGAAAAGTTTAGTGGTTCGATTGATTCGTGTACCTCCTTTTGCTGATCTAAACCCCATCCGCTGTAGAAGTGGGGACGATCTTCTATAGACATACAACCACCAGTACGTGCTATTTGGTCCTGTGGGGTCCCAACTTTCAATGAACCATTGTTTTGGCTTAACTTCAACAAGTAGAAAACCATCTTCCAAGATGTTTCCTTCCGAAGAAATCATCAGCAGTACCTTTTCCTCCCAGCATCCCCTGAGTCGAACCGGACAGCAGTCGCAACTTTCGGGGGCTCCGGGTATGGGAAGGCAAGATCCTTTTCCAGCATGGAGTGTGGTCGAAGATACCAAAAAGAAGGCTGATGCTTTCGCACGGGAGGCATCACGGGAGCTTAACATTGCAAGCCAAAAGGCCCAGGCCACGACTGGCAAAATTGAACCGTTTACTGTCAAGTATTATGCCGCTTGTACAGTCGGTGGACTTCTTGCTTGCGTGGGTTTCCCCTATCAATATTTGGAGTTGCCGCAACCGCTAGAATTAGCCTTCTAATCATGACTAGGGTCTCACCCACACGGCCGTGACGCCACTGGATCTTATCAAATGCCGACGCCAAGTTGACCCCCAGCTTTACAAGGGCAACCTTGAGGGTTTTCGTACGATTCGCGCCGCGGAGGGCTTTAGAGGGGTGTTTACTGGCTGGGGACCAACTTTCTTTGGATATAGTGTACGCTACTGATGCAACTGCTGACAACTTAACGCGGTGTTGACTAACTCAAAAAAGGCCCAAGGAGCATTCAAGTACGGAGGCTATGAATTCTTCAAGAAATTCTACAGTGATCTTGTTGGTGTGGAGAACGCGAATCGCTGGAAGACGTCCCTCTACCTCACAGCTAGTGCATCGGCAGAGCTTATTGCTGATGTCGCGCTCTGTCCATTTGAGGCTGTCAAGGTTCGTATGCAGACAACGATCCCACCTGATATCCGATCGACCTTTACTGGAATTTCCAACGTCGTGTCGAAGGAAGGGGTGGCTGGGTAAGCATTGGCCATGTATAATTATTGCTGATAGACCCTACTGACTTAAACCAGTCTTTACAAGGGTCTCTATCCGCTCTGGGGTCGACAGATCCCGTACACCATGATGAAGTTTGCTTCGTTCGAGACAATTGTGGAGATGATCTATAAAAACCTACCTGGCCAGAAATCCGATTACAACAAAGGTGCACAAACCTTGGTGGCCTTTACTGGTGGCTACTTGGCTGGTATTCTTTGCGCTGTCGTGTCCCATCCCGCCGATGTAATGGTGAGTAAACTGAATGCAAATCGGCAGGCTGGTGAGGCATTTGGCGCCGCGATGAGCAGGATCTACAAGGATATCGGTTTCGCTGGTCTATGGAATGGACTTCCTGTCAGGATTGTCATGATCGGAACCTTGGTAAGTTAATCACGGTAGTTGTTGAAGCCTCCGCTAACCAAATGGATCCATAGACTGGTTTGCAATGGATGATGTATGTATCAATTGTCGCCAATATATATGTTGTTGTGGAGGTTGGTCACTGACACTCGCCAGATACGATTCATTCAAGATCTTCATGGGCCTTCCCACAACCGGTGGAGGACCTGCCGCTGAACAGAAGAAGTAGAAGCGATTAGGTGGAACCTACCCTGTTCCTGGTCCCTGAGTATCTTACTGCTGTAGGAGCGTAGCATCGATGGTTTAAAATCCCACAGAATGGTAATGCGGAGGGAAATCGGTGTATAGTGTTCATCAGTGGATTTCTACTGAGTAGTAATCCCCCTATATCTTTTTCCAACTATCTTCCAATACTAGTCCTTTTTCCCTAGTCAAGATGGCGCCTTTTCCGCAGGATGGGTTATCAAGTATCGTTAGTCACGCACCGGACCAATGACTTGCATCGCCCGCCCGTTATCTTATCATTTACCCGATAGATGTCACTGGTTATATCATTATTCTGGATGGCTTGAAATCTAAACTTTAGGGTTCGTTCGGGACTATAAGGACCTTAGGCAGTCTGTCCCCTGAGTCTCAGCCCCTTGAGAAACCGCATGAGACCCTCGTGGTGCCTCGTGCCCAACGCTTCCCTTTTATCATTCATTACAAGCTCGAAGTATCACCGAGGACGCTGACAGCCACCGGCGCATATGTAAGCATCAAATCCCTAGTCCAACCTTTGCGCACAAGCCATCGTTCTTATACTCTTTCATCTCCGTGCGCGCATATTAACACGTCTCCCAACCAGACCCCTTCCCAATCCCAGCACCATGGGCGAACACGAACCCGTCGTATCGCACGGGCGAGGAGGTGCATTTTCCCTCAAAATACTTACCTTCCATCGCATCCTTTCCTTCTAACATATCATCTCTCCACCCTAGGCCAAGGAAACATCGGCGCCGACTCAACCCAGTACACCCCCGCCCATACAACCCCACCCCTCCTCATGTTCCCCATTAACGCAACACAGATACGTCGACGGCGGCATCGTCCGTGAAGGTCCCTACGGCGACCAAGGCGACGGCGCATACTCAGCCGGGGTAAGTATCAAATTCTCCAGTCAATCCAACTTCAATCGAACCCGTCACTAAATCCTTACCCCCAACAGCGCGGCGGCGCAGGCAACATCGGTTCTCCCCACGTGCGTCCCGCAACCGGAACTCCCCACGACGCGGAAATCATTCCTGAGTTGGCCATTCGCGGTTCCACCGACGGCGACTATCATACCGGGGTATGTTTTACCTTCCATCCATGGACGAGAGTCGGTTCTGATTCGTGTTGTGTTAGCGCGGCGGCCAAGGAAATGTCCATCTCGACGAGGCACATAAGAAACGGGAGGAGGAGAAGAAGCATCAGAAAGCACTGGCGCATGATGGGCTGGCGGATAAGTTGAAGTATAAGCTTTTTGGGAAGAGGTGATTGTTTCGGGATGCTTTTGCTTTTTGGTAAGACGGAGTGAGGGTGGGTGTCAGTCGGTCCTTACTGTGATTTATATGTGTTGGTTGGTTGATATTGATTCCCATTTTCTTTTTTTTTTCGTTTCGTTTATTAGTGCTTGTTATTGTTTGGTAGTTGGCATCAAAGTCTTCTAGAAGTTTGGTCCTTGCCATCATTGAGTCAAATATAAGTCATTGTTTCAGCCCTAGACATAATCAGTCAAAGTTTAAGAACGCCTCAGAATATTTTTCCAGTAGATAAAATAAATACCTAGGTACATAGTTAAGCCACTGCAACTCTAAGTCCCCACTTGCGCGATCTACAATATGATCTCTCACATTCGCATACCAATGGTACATATTGATCAACGGGTCAGCTTCTAGAACTGAAAGATGAATTTAAAACATACAACACTGATCTTCATTTCATAGTAACAAAAAGAATAAATTCACCCATATCACTAAACATCAAATGGATGATCTTTTTGACAAATATTATCCCATGAATGTAATAGGTAAATCCATCATTGCATCCTGTGTATCGTGATCTCGTGAAGCCCATCAACTGCATCAACGCAACAGAACAGGAGGTAAAAAACAGTGCCAACTAAAGGCTAATTAAAAATAAAAGCGGGAGAAAAGAGGAAATACAAGCACGTCCCTTCGCTGTCCCGATCCGAATATCCCTTTGCTATACTCGAGAGTTAAACGCCAAATGAGTTATTACATCCGTTATTTGAGGTGAGAAAACAGGCATTGAAAAACAAGAATCTGAGACGGGTAGAAAAGGAGAGAGGGTGAAAGTGGAGGAAATTGGGCGGACTAGTCCTTGCTGAATCTCCGCTTGAACCAGCTCTTTCGCTTCGTATCGCTCGCTTCGGACGCGTTCGTAGCTTTGCGTAGATGACGACGAGCGGTGGGCGCGCCGGCGGTTGGGGGTGGTCCACCCACAGGGCCTCCAGCAGTGGGATCGGTGACTGGAGCGGAATTGTTCAGGTTGATTCGCCCAGTTCCAGCTGCCCCAGAGGCTAATGCACCGCCGTTGTTGAGGTTTGGTTCAGGGCCGAATCCCGAGAACCCATACCTATCTGCCACTGCTTTCTCTTGCCGCTGCTGTTGCTGCTGCAATTGTTGTTGTTGCTGCTCTTGCTGTTGCCGCTGTAACTGGTCGATAGAGCTGTTCACAGAGCTTGGATCGGTTGAATTGGTCCAAGGTTCGGTATTGCTCCCCGATCCAGACGCTGCCGTTACGTTTTCGTAGGACTTGTGGTAGCCATTTGACCCATATCCATTTGGTGCATAGCCTCCATGATACTCGGATTCCATGCGATGGCGGGGACGCGGTCGTCTTCCGCCGCCTTGTTGGTTATATGGGTAGTAATTCTCAGGGGGCGGCCCGCCGCCATAGTTGCCTTCCATGTAACTCTCCGGTCGGGAATAATTTCCACGTCCATGGTAGTGGCCGTTTTGGTCGTTATAACCTCTAGAATAGCCGTTGTGTCCTGCATTCAAATCTTTAAGTCAGTAAAGCAAATAAATATAGATGGGATGCGACTTTATACGTAAAGCTTATCGGGTTCAAGGGTACGCACCTCCAAAATAGCTACTGCGCCGACTATAATCCGCTCCAGGCGTAGATTCATGATCTGATTATCAATTAACTGCGGGACCAAATAATCAATGGTGACCCAACCTACCTGTTCTTGCGTAGGATACTGGTCTGCTATTGTACGTTCCGTAGATGGCGGCTTCAAAAGACCGAATTGTATCCAACGGGCGCTCAAGTCGAGGACGAGTGGGATTCGAGAGATCAGGGTCAGCTATTTCAGGAAAACAAACGATTAGCCCAGCGTTCGCCCATAACAAGATTCCGAGTATTTAAAAAACCAGTTGAACGGACTTATGACATTCCCATACTGGTCCTTATGCTGCATCTCCCTTAAAGAGCCGAGAGTGGACTTTTCCAAAGCAACCAACACTAGATGTGACCTGTCAGTTCGGAAACATGTACAAAGCGATCGGAGAAAAAAAAATATTGTCAACAGGGCAGGTTCAAGAGACAAAAAAAAAGGGACAGGTTTCGGGGAAACCAATATGATGGAGAAACAGAGACCTGACCAAAACACGGGGACTAAATTTGGAAACATACTTGGTTGCGCCTCGCTCATAGCAACCATGGGGTCGGCTTTGGTATGTAGAGTACGTTTATGTTTCTCCTCAGCAGATTCGGAGAGACGGACTTTATGGCTGCCAGAATTGCTGGACTTGTCGGACCTGCCACTGAAACTGAAACCTCGACTGTGTCTAGGAGACGCGGGCTGTTGGGGGGACGCCATTTTTATTATACCCCGTCGTCCTTAGCGCCTGATAACTATCTCTGGAACTTGTTTTTCGTTGCAATCTATCTGCACTATAGCGGCTGTTGTGGAGCGCAACAGCGAGCGGAGTGGAAACCGCCAAGGAATGTATGATTCAATCGTAGCAGATAGGGATTGTCCCAGGCGCTTGATGTCCACGACCCTTGACAAGGCAACCAACGAAACGAGCGTGTGTCGGCGCGTGGGGGAAAATTTGGATCCGCTCCCCAACCTGACGTCTAGTTTGGCCTTTCTGGAATGGAGTATTTATACCCTCGACTAGGTCCCCAGAAAATTGAATGAACAAATTTGTTTGTCTCAGTCTGCCGTCCCAAAAGAAAAAGAACAAAGAACAAGGCAATAAATGTAAAACCCGGTGTTGTCAACGCAACAGGAAGAAAGCGAGGGCTGCAGGGTGCAAAACAAATCTATCAGACGATCGACAATGGGCCCTGCGAGATTATCAGACCAGCGAACAGGCAAGCGATCGAATGGGTCAGGGGAAACAAACGGTAAGCGATGAACGACGGTAGTTAGAGGAGTGAATTGTCGGCAAACGAAAGTCAACCGAGATTGAAACTAAGAGGAAGATACAACAATGAGGTTGAGATCTACTTTAAAAAGGAAGAGGACGGTTGAGACCTTTTTGACTTAAAACCTGGGTTTGGGTTGACGACAGACGCCACGCAATAAGAGGGGAAAGACCGTCACGCTGTATCGAATGGGTTGGAACGTCCCTATCAGCGTATTCGTTCCAACTTCCGCCGTAGTTTGGTTTTTGGGTCGGACGATGGCGTTAGTCAAAATCCTAAGTGGACCAGCTAGTTCACCTATTCTTAGGTATAGTAAGTAGATCTATATAGCAAAGGTGTGCCTTTAGTTAGACCACTTGACTTAATATTCCTTGTACTGTTATGTTTTCTGACGACTCTCAATTCCTCATTTTCAGTCTAAAGACTCGATCCAAAACTACCAATAGAATACTTCACTATTACTTTTTGTAATCCATGGGTTCTTTACTCTTTGGCTTTGGTACCTCGTGACCAACCAATTGGACGGCGGATAAGAAATTTACCTTTGGAAAAATCCACAAAAAAAAAAAGAGAATGAAGAACCATAATAATCAATTTATTTCTAAGAATAAAAACCTGCATTAGAGAAAAAAGGTTTGTCCACTGACAAACAAGAGCCAGTCTTCCTGTACGTTACGCAAGATTCTCCTCGCCGGACGCACAAGGCACCAATCAATCTCCCCAAGTCCACCAGCCACCCAAATCATTCAACAATGGTTTTCTGTCGCCTCCAGTAACCTGGGAGGTTATGTGATACGATAAGGTTGCAAGAATGTGTTGTCAAACTGTCTGATTGTCCCCGATCTTCTTTCTTGCGTAATTAATAATTCAGTAAAGGCATCATTCGTACTCAATATTCGACTTTTTTTCTTCTTTCCCCTCCCTTCCTTTCCAACCGGTGACTCTAGTTCTGACCGATGTCTCAGGATGGCGGTATTCGGATTACCTAAACACGTACATGGTCTAAAGTAAAGTCAATAAAGTCACGGAGGTTTAGCGGTAGAAGGACTCCTCCGTACGGAGTACACTAACCGGCCTTTTTCGCTCATCCGCCACCATCCCATTGGCCCCGCCTTGCAATTAGACCCTTGGACAGGTGAAGCTGATGTCTCGGTCGCTTCTACTTGACAAGTCGGAAATACTTCCGAGGCTCATTCATGGGTAGTAGGTATCCTTATTTTGTGCTTGCAGACTTCCTATGAAAGTTATGCGAGAAATATGCACCACATGATACTACTAGCTGATTTCCTCCTCCTTTTCCTATTTTTTTTCCTAATGCTGGCCAATGCTAAGTTTCGCCTGTGGACTCCCTGTCTGCTTCGAAACGTGTACCCCAGGAAATGCACACCTGTCATGGACCATCGGAGGGGCTGAACGGAGGGATCCATGATGATCTTCGGATTACATTATGCAGTGGGTCATCGCAGTGGGGGATGGCGCCTACTTTAATTCTGATTAACTCAGGTCAAAGAGAAATAACTCTCATGCAAGGAGGCTAGGTCTCAGGATTCTAGAATCATGTAACTCCCTCGATCCAAATTTGGCAGTATATTTTAGGCTTATTTGTCTGGAGTCTTTCTCCAATTGGGATTTGAATGGTATTTATGTACTTTTGTCAAATCATTTATATATATACCTTATTCTATATAGTGACGATATATATACAAGTTAATAAGTGCTAAGCCCAAGGTCATTGAATTTTCCCTCCCCCGGTTGACTCATACCAGTCGGTCGATGAAATATCAATGGTATTTTCTTTTTTGCAAGATATACGGAGTATGGGTTTATAGACAATGGTAACTTTAGGTAGATATCCCGTAATCTTGGTAGTAAACAGCCCAGAGGATTTAAAAACTCGTCCGAGTACGTCCTCGTCAAACGTTATCACCAGCCCAATTCTTAAATTGTGTCTACCCAGACGGCGATTTAACGCGGTCTCCCCTGCGTATTAAATCCCAACTCTCCAAGGCTTGAAACCGTCACGAAACACCAGTAGGGAAAACGATCTCCACTGTCAAGGTGCAGGCAGCTTTAATTGGCCTTCAGACAACCTACTATTGACCTTGTGCTCATTAATCATCAGACTTCCGCATATACACACTCCACTCATCATTTTATCGACATTGTAGAATACTGCTTATTGGGCCACAGTATATATTCCATCTAGTCTTCATTCCTCTCCAATACCATCACTCCCCTCTAGCATCGTTTGTCTCATCTGACTTGCGATACGTATCAGGTCCTATGCTGCCGTTGGCGCTCGCCAAACGCTTGGAATCTTTCTAAATTAAGCTAACGGCATAGCCGACAGCTTCCTGACATCTAACCTGTCTTTTTCTGGAGCGGCGCTAGCAATTTCATAATCTATACTAGCTTGTAGTATAGTGTACATCGTATTTTCCAAGGCTGGCAACCGCATCATCAGGTATAACAGACAAGGGAAACTGAATGAGCCCTTACCGGTAATTACTGACGCAGAGCAAGGCCCCTCCTCTACTTACTCATTGGACGAGATTGGGTACAATATTATGTATGTGTTTTTGGAGCGATCCGGAGGACACTGAAACAGTAGTGTATGGACTATTTAGAATGATACTATCTTAGCTGAGATGTCTTCGTATTTGATGGGTTTTTTACAGAAGTCTGTGAGCATAGTTGCAGCCGCTCTCAATATTCCTCCCTTTGGTGCATTTGAGTCTTGGGGATTTCTAAATCATCGCACTGATTACTCTAAGATAAGATCCCCAACTAACGCCTGTCTACTGTCATGAGTAGTATAGCTATGAACGGAGCCATTTGATAAAGAAGATGCCAGGTTCTCAGTACCTTTTCTAACATAATAGCTCCTCTCTCCGGGGGACTGTATATGTTTATATTGTAGTTTCCACAAAGTTATCTAGGCGCACATATCAGGAAATAGTGTTATGCTTTGACAACTCTAGTGTTTCTTGCCTGTTTATAGATACGGTCTAGACAGATCTGGTGTTACCCTCAATCGTCTTACAATTATGAAGCTGTATGAGCATATACTGGAAATGAATTATATTTTGTTCCATTCACGAGGTTCCACGACGGTATATTTACCTATACGGTAGAGCTGCAGGGGTGTCTGCGTTGAGTCCGTCTTGGAGAGATTCATGGAAACATATCAATGCCACATCATTTCTCCATACCCACGGCTCAAACTGACGAGTAACTTCAGGGTAGTTGGCCAAGTGTCACGTTACCTACGTATTTTGTATTTGCTAATCGAGAATGCGTGCCCTAAGGACTCTAGGTCCGACGGACAGGCTATGACATAATGAGCTTTAATCTACAAGGAATTTTGAGGGGAGAAGGCAGAAACGAGATTGAAAGATCGAAGATAAAGCTATAGCCATGAAAGCTATAGGGTTTTCAGGATGAATTGCCGCATACGGGTTTGTTGAGACTAGGCTCTGATTGTAACATCGCAATCGCGAGCACCGAACAGTCAGTCTATTGCTGCAAGTGGTTGCTACTTGCTCGTTATCTCATCGCTGTCTTAAACCTAGATTTATTAGAATGGGTCCGGCCTGAGGTTTGAATGCGAAATGAAATGATCATGCTGAAATGGTATATTGATTGGTGATGAGCGCCGGGTGGTGAAGCCATGGTGTCAGAAAAGACACATGATGCTCGCCGGTATTGAAAACGGGTCAAGCGTTTCTAATGCCTAATAATTGACAGATATCCATGCTGTAAGACATAAAAAGTTCTTTTATTTTAATTCGTAGGGCTTGTTCGGCCCTGCCTCTCCCACGAACATTACCAACCCGCCAACTCCATCTCAACATCGGCTCATACCGTCGACTCCTTGCCCGACTGTCTGCGCGAAGATTCCGGAGTGCCAACTAACACATAATAAAACCAAGTCGTTTAGATGTTGGAGGGGTAGAGCATGACGCGGACAGTAGCGCCGAAAGACTTGGGGGGGAGGTTGTGACGGAACTGAGCACGGACAACGCCAGAGTTACCTGTCGGATCATCTTGTCAGTCCCAGACTTCAATGCAGTTTTCACTAACATTGGTTCGATTTCATTGCACCATGGATTCCGATTGACATACCGTGAGGACGAGTAACCTTGCCCCAGATCACCCGGATGTTGGAACCGCGAACCTCGCGCTTAGCCCGGTAAACGAAAGCGACCTTCTTGCCCAGGTAGAAGCTGTGACCCGTCTTAGCTGGTTGTCCCGTGTATCCTTCCAAACCCGGACACTACTCACTTGGCGGACTCAGTGTTGTCAACACCGTCGATCTTGATCAGACTATATCACCGAATGTCAGATTCCAAGTCTCAAATTTCCTTCCGATATCAGCTGCGGATCTGTACCTGGTGTTGGGGTTGACCTGGCGCTTGGAGCGCTGGTAGCTCAGGTGACGTCCCCTATAGAACAATTCGTATTAACCCTTCTGTCCTGATCATCTGCTGCGATCCAACTTGTATCCCTTCTCCCGAGGCGATGTTTGCAAGATGTATATTATTTCCGGATATGCGCGACACGTAATGGCTGTGGCAACTTACTTGACGTAGACTATAATTCAAAAAATAATTCATGTTAGCATATCATCTCCATCCGAGCTTCACATAGTATCCTTCAAGCCGTAACCGTTGTCGCACACCCCCCCAACCATAACCGCAACCATAACATTCAATAACTCCAAAGGTGTACTCACGTCTGTGACCTTGTTCCGAAGGCATTTTGACGGCGGTTCTGAGCAACAGCGGGCAACGCAAACAAGTCGAGGAAATGACCCGCAAAAATGTCGTTCGGGTTGTCGTGGTTGTCGTCGCTTCGATAGGTATGGGACAATGTTCACAATTTGCGAGGGTGTGTTCGGTGCGAATCGCCCTAACCCGTTTCGGGACGCTTAGCGAGCTGACTGGTCACTTGTGGTGACCTCCATCCAGGGCTAGGCAAATCCCGTGATGGCGCATGGGCGCAAGCCGCTAAACTCATTTCATTATCCGCGGAGAAACTGATCTTCCTATTTCCGAGATAAGCATTTACTTTAAATTCCTGCTGCAGTCTCCACCGCAAGAATTACCTGTTTTGCCGTCGGCCTACTGTGGTCCGAGGCCTGACACCCCCGCTGACAAAACGCATTTGAGGGTAGTTAGAACTGACTCTTCAATGACGACAAAGGCCCCATCGCCGGTGTGGTGGGATCAGGTGTTGCTGTCATCTCCCGAGCTTTCGCTCTCAATTCATCTGGAATAGGGATCCTTCGTAAGGTGGTAAAAAAGTAGTTGCTGAAGATATTGATGATCAGGAAGTTTGATTCACCATTGCTGTGGTCCTCCTAACCTACGGTGATGTGTTATGTATGTGATATTCTCCGCTACGGAGTTTATAACTAAAAGATGGCTTCTTATAAAGTGATCAGACCGGGAGCACATATTTGGAAATGTAACGAGTCAAGCCCCACCGACAATCGGCAACAACCTTTGAAAATGATGTCTTATTCTGACAATACATGATCGTATTCTGAGTATGAGAAACAGAAAATTGAGATTAGAACCTCCATCTTCTGACTCTAAGCCCTGAAGACAACTGACTGAGTGCCAAATTCAATACCCGATTTGGTGTTAATCATGAAGGTTCGGCGTTAACGCAACCGAGTCGGGCTGATTACATTTTCATAGTTGTTGAATTTACGGGAAAATAGAATCCGTGACATTTAATAGGTACTAGAATTTATCAGCTCTCTGGATGACAAATCCGCCGATCTATCTCCACGAGTACAGTCACCGGGAGTGGCTCTAGGAGCACGCAGTTCCGGGTACCCTTAGCTTTCCTTACAGCTTCTGGCGCGCTCCTTGCCAAATCGCCCAGTATGTACCCTGTATTACAGTGGTGGAGTCCGAAGTCGCTCTCTGTGTATTGTAAGCGGATGGACTGTCTAGACTGATATATTAAATTATATTAGAGTCGGATTCAATTTTCAAGGTAAGGAGAAGAAGAAGTGATGAAGTCAATGTCAACAAGGGCTTGAGTGGCTAATTGTCAGGGGCCAACGTCATAGGCCCCGAATTCAGTATATACTCTCTCTATAAGCAATTCACAATTCAAAGATGCTTGACATTCTGGAATCAGCTCCTGACCCCTCTTTGTCCTCTTTAGACCAACGATATTCTATCAGGTGATATATACGTTACTTGAAAGTAATCATCAGTGGAACATAAGACTACTACGCAGCTAGTTGGCGCGGGGTCAGCAGCATCGAGCAAACGCTTTAAAAAAAAAAGGGACGACCAGTGTTCAGTGGACCTAGTGCTAGGTTTGACCTAGATGCGCAGCCATTGTTCGAATAATTTCAGGAATGCCTATTATTCTATGTTATGGTAGTATTACAAAAGTTACAGATCTGCTCTACTTACTCTACAGGGACAGAGTTTGTAGTTACTAGATGTATAGGTGTACATCGCCAAGTAGGTTCTGTCTCAAATAGAAGCTATGATAATGGAAGAGGGAGAAGAAGTATTGCCACAATAAGTGGGCGATGATCATGGGGGAAACGATAAGCCAAAAAGACAATTATCTTCTGGAAAGTTTAGAAGCACTGATATATTTGTAATACAGAAATTCAATGAGAGCGAATCTTCTATACATACAAAGGAGTCGGAAATGAGAAGAGCAAGAGACAAAAAAGTCAAAAAGGTAAAAATTAAATCGATAAAAATCAAAAATCAAGAATGATTATGATAATAGCATTAAATAATAATACCATAATACCAAAGGTAATACATGAATGACCCCCGCGGCAAATTATATGGACGGCGTGGAAAAGAAGGCCTCGTGCCCCACCATCGTAATGCAGCAGCAGCTCCAAGCCAGAGAGCCCTCTCACAGCGTTAAAAAAGTACACTGCTCCGCCGGAACTGTTGGGGAATTTTCCAACAAATCTCTCCTCCATCTCTGACTCCCCTTTATTTTTTCCCTCTCCTCTCGAATTTAGACCTCTCTCGCTCTCTTATAATTTCCCTACATTCCTTCCATTCTCCCTCATCCACCATCATGGCAAGCACAATAGCACGTACCGAGGAGCGCCAGAACGCCGGGTGAGTATCCTGTCTCTGACATCACACCCCTCTCTTCTCAACTATCTGCCCGTTTCGTCCACTTTCGACTCCTGCCCAGAACAATGCGCGTCCTTCCAACTTGGAATTGGTTATCATCAAATTATATACTATATTAGAATTTGATCTCTAGACTACATTCCTTCGACCCTATCCCCATTCCTTTAATTTATCCTCCTATCACACCCGAACCCGTGGATCGACATACATCATCACCCCTGTTCTGAAACTGCCTTTAATTCGCTACTAACATGGATATCTCGCTTAGCACGATCGAACTCAAAGATGACACCGCTATCGTAGTACTAGGTGCATCGGGAGATCTCGCGAAGAAGAAGACGGTAGGTGATTCGGGAAGCTTGTTTCAAGAAACCGACCGGAAGCTAACGTCTCGAATAGTTCCCGGCACTTTTCGGCCTTGTATGTTCCATCGGGTTAACCCCTCCAGAGAGGGGTTCTAGACCCTAATTTCACTGGCTGACCTCGCATCTAGTACCGTAACAAGTTCCTCCCCAAGGGAATCAAGATCGTCGGCTATGCCCGGACAAACATGGACCACGAAGAATATCTGAGACGTGTGCGGTCATATATCAAGACCCCTACTAAGGAAATTGAAGAGCAGCTGGACAGCTTCTGCCAACTGTGCTCCTACGTTTCGGGTCAGTACGACAAGGATGATTCCTTCAAAAACCTCACTAGGCACCTCGAGGAAGTAGAGAAGGGACAAAAGGAGCAAAACCGAGTCTTCTACATGGCACTTCCCCCCAGTGTCTTCACTACCGTGTCGGATCAACTGAAGAGAAACTGCTACCCTAAGAACGGCATCGCTCGAATCATTGTGAGTCGCTTCCTGCATCGTTGCAAGCCAAAACAAATACTTATATGCCTTCTTCATCTGATATAGGTCGAGAAGCCATTCGGCAAGGACCTTCAGAGCTCTCGTGATCTCCAGAAAGCCCTCGACCCCAACTGGAAGGAAGAGGAGATCTTCCGTATTGACCATTACCTGGGTAAGGAAATGGTCAAGAACATACTCATCATGCGCTTTGGCAATGAATTTTTCAACGCCACGTGGAACCGTCATCACATCGATAACGTGCAGGTATGGGTCGAATATTTCCTTAGTTGGGTTTGATTAATCGCTAAATATTTTGCTCCAACCAGATAACATTCAAGGAGCCCTTCGGCACTGAGGGCCGTGGAGGCTACTTCGACGAGTTCGGTATCATTCGCGACGTCATGCAGAACCGTATGTAGTGCATTGTTTGCCCAAGGGTGCCGGCAAGAAAGCTGATTTCTTTGCTACAGATCTGTTGCAGGTGTTGACTTTGCTCGCTATGGAGCGCCCGATCTCATTTTCTGCCGAAGACATCCGTGACGAGAAGGTAAGGCTTTTTAACGCAGCCACCCTCTGCTCCGATATTAATGCACAATTAGGTGCGTGTTCTGCGCGCAATGGACGCCATCGAACCCAAGAATGTCATCATCGGTCAGTACGGAAAGTCCTTGGATGGAAGCAAGCCCGCATACAAGGAGGACGACACCGTCCCTCAAGATTCCCGCTGCCCTACCTTCTGCGCATTGGTTGCATACATCAAGAATGAGCGGTGGGATGGTGTTCCTTTCATCATGAAGGCCGGCAAAGGTACACTCTATTTCATATATTCTCTCTGTTGATCGCAGGCTCACAATACCCAGCCTTGAACGAGCAAAAGACCGAGATCCGTATCCAGTTCCGCGATGTGACTTCGGGCATCTTCAAGGACATTCCTCGCAACGAGCTTGTCATCCGTGTCCAGCCCAACGAGTCGGTGTACATTAAGATGAACTCGAAGCTCCCTGGTCTGTCTATGCAGACTGTTGTGACTGAGCTCGACCTCACCTACCGCCGTCGCTTCTCCGACCTTAAGATCCCCGAGGCTTACGAGTCTCTGATCCTGGACGCCCTGAAGGGCGATCACTCGAACTTCGTTCGTGATGACGAGCTTGATGCCAGCTGGAGGATCTTCACCCCTCTCCTACACTACCTCGACGATAACAAGGAGATCATCCCTATGGAGTATCCCTACGGTATGTTATGTCTTCATGTCACGTATCATAGTGAAATTTGTGACTAACTTTATACTAGGTTCTCGTGGACCTGCTGTCCTCGACGACTTTACTGCTTCGTTCGGTTATAAGTTCAGCGATGCTGCTGGTTACCAGTGGCCTTTGACTTCCACGCCTAACAGGTTGTAGGTGGGGAAGGTTTATGAGGCTAATGAACGAGTGAAAAGAGGAACAAAAAGGGGAAAGATACTAATGCAGCATGATTTTCTGTTCATCTTTATTTTTTTATTTTTATTTTTTTTTTGGTGTGTTTGGGAAATTTGTGTTGATATGAGTAGGCGGCTTTTTCAACAATCGGTGGGCCAGCAAATGACGGAGTAACTCATTTTTACCACCCAACTCTAGAGACGAATGGAGTGAATATTACGAATATCACGAAAGATGACGTTTCCGCTGTCGTTCTTCCTGAAGATAGGCCAGGGTGGTTTTTTTTACAGCTGTAATGGTACAGTAGGAAGGGGGAAAGAAGAAGTACCCCTAAGTTTTTGATCCTGTGGTCTAGGTAGATATAGATAAAATTGATATACATGATAAAGTGATGGTGAAATGTTGATGTTCATTAGCGGAGTTCGTGGTTCGCTATTTATAACCACCCTTAGAGGTCCCTTGTGGGGCTGGTAAGATTAAATTTGCTGCCGATAAGATTTAATTGAATTTTGCCCTGACGTTCCCGGGGCCCGCATGCGTCTGTTGTTTGGTTCCCACCCGTGACTTTCTTCCCTTTTCCTCCCTGGAGATCCCTGCTTTGCTTTCCCTCTGACTACTACTTCTAATATCCGATTACTTGACCATACAGACTACGGATCCTCGCTTACTCCCGCCAGTCCGCCAAGTAACAACCGCATTGTTCTCCGCCATTGGATCCGCGCGCCACCATCCCCAGCTATTTTTATCACACCCAGACGGTGCGACAACCCCAACCCTCCGCCAACCTTTCCCCCCTGGTTGTTGACTACTCGTCGCATTTTACTCCTCAGTAACGTTCGGATTGCGCAATCCTCAGTCGAACTTCCATTCTCCTCGATTTAATTGAGAATCTATCAACTGTTCTAGAACGTGCGGTTGCCTGATTGCGAGTAGGAGACCAGGTAGATCAAGCTCATTTCATGGAAAGTTGAGGCTTTGGAGGAGCGTCCAGTGCATGCAATCATTTAGCGTCCAGATCCAGGATGCCACAAGCTGCAAGATGGGTGGGTTCTCCCTCCATCAAAGGACGAACAGAGGCAATGCGGATGGCACTGTTGACTTTCAGCCTGTTGGGGTTACAGTACGTTGACCACCCTTATCGCAATCCACCATGTCCATGATGAATAGATCTTGCTAACTAGCTTTCTCTGAAAAAGATTTACTTGGGGCATTGAAATGACCTGTAAGACCTTTCCTTCACCCCCACCGCCCAACCGTCCTCTAATCAGACACTCTCAACATAGACTGCACTCCATATCTTCTCCAACTTGGTCTTACCAAATCCCGAACATCGCTTGTCTGGATCGCTGGTCCTCTGTCGGGATTGATTATCCAACCGCTCATCGGTGTTATCGCCGACCGGTCGCGGTCAAAATGGGGAAGACGAAGGCCATTCATGATCGTGGGCTCGTTGATTGTTGCCATGTGCTTGCTAGTGCTGGGGTGGACAACAGAGATTGTTGGCCTTTTTGTCAAGGATGCAGAGAAGGTAAAACCAAGAAAAATACACTGAAGTTTAGGGAAAGAGCTCACGTGTGGATCATTTGCTAGGCCAACAAAGTGATCATTGCACTAGCAGTCCTTAGCATCTATGCTGTGGACTTTGCCATCAATATCGGTGAGTGAGGGATTACCAGGATACTCTGTAATTCTATCTAATAGTGTGCAGTCCAAGCGTGTTGCCGGAGCTTGATAGTTGATACCTTGCCTATTCCATCACAACAGGCTGGGTCAGCATGGGGTACGTCTTCTATTATCGTTAGGCACTAAATGCAGAGCTAACATCCTGAAGCGACTAGGATGTCGGCCATTGGCCAGCTCATTAGTTATGTCATTGGCTCGATTGACACAGTTAGCCTATTTGGAACTACAATTGGTGATACTCAATTTAAGCAAATGACAGTCATCGCTGCGCTATCCTTGATTATCGCCGTTTTGGTTACTTGCTATTCTGTGAAGGAGCGAGTATTAATCACTGCCAGGTGAGTGGTCAACTAATGAAATACTTCAAACTTGTGATTTACTGACCTCTGGCGGTGATAGGGATTCGGAAGGGAAAGCCGGAGCTTTCCAGGTCATGTCCCAACTTTTCAAAACTACGATGGACTTGCCTCCACGCATCCAAGCCGTCTGCTGGGCTCAATTTTGGGCATGGATTGGTAAAGGCACACTTACGAAAGCGTCGTCATCACCCTTCGCTAACCTACTCCAGGCTGGTTTCCATTCCTTTTCTATAGTACTACCTGGGTTGGAGAGACATATTTTCGGTATGAAGTTTCGAAGGATGCGACGCAACCGAGCGACATGCTTGGCGAAGTTGGTCGAGTTGGCAGTTTGTCGCTTGTCGTCTTTTCTTCCATAACATTTATCAGTTCTGTTCTGTTGCCATTCTGCGTACAACCGCCGGATGACAGGAGGCCCAGATTCACCCCAAGACCGCCTCCCGGAATCGCTGCGTTACTCAAAAAAGTAACTGTAGTACGTCCAGATCTGCAGACAACATGGTTGATCTCGCATGTGATGTTTGCAGCCACTATGATATTCGCACCATTAGCCCGATCCCGGGCCTTCGCAACCTTTTTAGTAGCTATATGTGGAATCCCGTGGGCCGTCAGCAGCTGGGCCCCGTTCGCATTCATGGGCGTGGAGATAAACAAGCTAGCACTAGGCCCAACTCAAGCGTCGCGCCTCGCCGGAGTCACTATGATCACGTCCTCCAGTATTCGTTCTGGAGCTTACCGAGATATGAACGGGGACACGGAGATGGATGTGTTGCGTATCAACCAGAACGACTCAGACAGCGATAGTGACGCCGAGGGCGGCGCCTCCAATTTGTCGTCCACAGGTGAGCTGGCTGGCATCTACCTCGGCGTGCTGAACGTGTACACGACTCTACCACAATTCGTCGGCACATTCATTAGCTGGATAGTGTTCAACGTTATCGAACCAGGCAGCACAAAGCGAGACGCTTCAGAGACGCAATGGATGAATCTCGATAAGGGCTCGCCAAATGCCATCTCGATCTGTCTGTTTATTGGCGCGCTTAGTGCGCTTGTGGCTATCGAAGCGACTCGACGATTACGTTATGTTTAATAGTAGCCGTGCCGGTTTATCTTTAACGGTACATCTTCTGTCACGATATAAAAAAAGGGGGGAAAGGTTTTTTTTGGGGGGGGGGGGGGGGGGGGGGGGGTAGGGTGATATATTCTAGACCCTCAGAAACCATGCTACCTGATACCCAGATCCATTCAGCGATGTATTATATGTGAGTATATTGGACTTGTCTAGGAGTGGAATCTTTTACACGCAGCAGGCTGAGCCTGTGTTAATGATCGGTCCTCTTGGTTGACGTTACATATTGGAGGGTTTGTTCGCCATATACATATTGGCATCTGGTGGTATATATTATTAATTAATGATAATCATAATGTATGACACAAGAAATTCACGGAGCCTGCTTCAGTAATGAACCACATTGGCTCGGGTATCCGACATTATAGCGTATATATATTTTCAACTAACCCTCTTGTGAATTTTTGATATGTTAGGTTGTATCCAATACAACAAACCCAGGTCATGCATGGTATGTAGGCAGGCTATATGATTGTATACATTTGTTACAAAAAGCTAGATCAACCGCCAACTTGCGTTCCTTTGTGTGAAGTGATAGGCAGAACATGCTCATAGGACACCGCAACCATGTAACAACATCAAACGACATATGAACGAGGTATATCAACCGCGATTGAAAACCTCTCTTCATGTTTGAGCTTGATGTGATCAACCTGTACCTTCATCGCCCTATAATAGTTGGCAAAGCTCTACGTGGCCGAGACCTAATCCAAGGAATAGGGTGGACCGATAGGGCATATCGTGCCAATAGAGGGTACATAGGTATGGGGTTGGAAAATACAATGAAGCATGCTTAAATGATTGAATAGCTAGAACTTATTTTATAGCGAGAGTCGGCTAAGGTATATTGATAATTCACAATCAAAAGGTCAAACCAAATGCAATCAATAAACACGAAGGGGAATAGAACGATAGGCTCAAAACAATCGAAATGAAGGGGAACCGCCACAGTATGTTTATCCATCCTTCGACGAACTAAGAAACTAGGGATGATATTACAATAAAATCGTCCGTTCAAGGCGTGTGTATCCGTTATCCATCGCTGTAAGAGCTTGGACTCCTGCCCTGGGGATAGAATCTTATATGGAGGCTAGGCCCAAACACGGGGAATCAAAAAGAGAAACGAAAAGAGCCTGGAACCAAAATAGGAGAAATGTGAAGGGCGTATAGAGATTAAACAAGAGGGTACAAGGTATATGAAACAAATGACGAGAATCAAGGACAGCACCGAAAAGAGAATTACTGGTACCGAGGACATGGCTAGTTCAGGTCATTTTGCCGGTCAATTCGGCCACCCTGGCCTTGATACGAGCAGCGCGAGCATCGAAACCTAGAGATTGCACGTCAGTACGATGGTTAAATATTTAGATAGAAACTTGCGTTACTTACTCTCCTCTTCGCTTGTGTTGCCACCATCGTCCGTTTCGTTCATCCGCGTTTGGTCAAACTGAGCGGCTCTCTCGGCGGCATTCTTACGAATCTGCGCCCATCGGTCATGTGAAGGATTGATTGGCAGCGAGTTGTCGACTTCTTTGGGCTCAGCAGGCACGTTATCGACAGTCTTCTTCTCCGAGGACGTGTCAGACACAGGCGAATCCTCTGGGATAAATGCGGGCTGCTCCATCAAAGGGCCCTGGTCAAACTTCGAGAATTCACGGTCCGCTGCGGTGCGTTCGCTGGTATCCACGCGTGAAAGAGCATCGTATTCGGCTTGCCGCTGGGCCTTATGGTAGTCGCTGTTTGACCCGGAAACCTGGGGCGGCGACTGAACCCTTGCCTCGGTCTGTTCAGGCTCTGATGTTTCCACAACAGTCTTGGGAGTAGCTGGCACTTCTTGGACAGGCTTGGGTGTCTCCGCAGCTGGTGTTCCCGGAACAGGCTTCTTCTTTAAGGTGGAGGGGCCATTAGGTGACGGCCGTGCAATCTGTTCATGGGATGCCTTTGCCTTGTCCTCTAGGGCAGCGCGTGCAGCAGCAACAGCAGAAGTACCAGCACCAGTAGGTTTCATTGGCGGCTTTGGCTCGGGTTCAGGCTTCCTTTTAGTTGTGCCGAACATGCTCTTGATTCCCGTGGTAGCGGGTTTTTTCTTCAATATTTTGGCCGTGTCTTCTACCGACTCCGCTGACTGGGGAATTGGTTGGGCCGTTGAGGGTTCCACTGGAGCACTAGCATCTTCACTAGTACTAACGCTGTCCTTCTGGGGCGTTGTGGGTGCTGGAGAGCTGGGAATATTGTCCTTTGGTAGAGGTGGGGGAGCCTGCCGGGTACTGGTGCTAAGTGCTGGAGACAAAGGTGGGCTAAGATCGTCTCTTGAGGCTTCCTTCAGTTCTTCTACCGGAGCACCAGTTCCCGCCCGGGTATTGCCCATATAAGCAGCTTTGTAGGAATTCTTGTCGTAGTTTCTGGCCCATTTCAAAGCCTGCGACGCCTCGTTCATAATGGACGGCTGCAGTGTCATGACAGAATTGGTCTTTGAGTACGTGCTATCCCGCACGTTCCTTCTAGAACCTCCGGCAGCCTCCTGTTCTTGTTCCCGGTGCTTTCTTTGAAGGGCAGCGGCAGCAGCTTGAATACGGGCATGCTGATCGGGGCCAATGCTGGTTTTACTCTGCGGTCCTTGGTTCTCAGGTCGCCTATAGGACTCCTCTACCGCGCTCACCTTCTTGCCCGAGGACTTGCGACGTCCGAGCCGCTTGCGCGTCGAAAATCCGAAAAATCTCTTTTTCTCAACTATATACGCACCAGGTTCGGGTTCCGGCGCTGCACCTTTGACCTGCTCCTCCAGGACGAGCCACTTCGTATTTTTTATGACAGTCTCGAGCAATGCACATCGCCCAAAGACCGCCTTCCGGGACGTTGGTTCTTCTCCTGCTAAGCTGCTAATCCATACCCACCAGAACGAGTCGTCCAGATCAAGCGTGGTGATACTAGCTAATTCACCTGGATCTATGGACGGTTCAGCATCCAGAGTGCGTTTGTGCGACTGCGAACTTTGGCCTCGGACGGTATTAATGGGGGGTAGGACCTTATCTGGCGGGAGCAGGACCGGCGCCACTGTAGCCTTGAAGGCATTCTCATCACTGAAACCGGATGACATAAAATCTGCCCAAGATGGGGTTGTCGGACGACCGAGATCACCCCCACCGGACTGGGGAGCGGACCTTATCCCGCCACCGAACTCTTTCGACACCATGTTTGACGTTCTGTCGTCATCAAGATCAGGGTCCAATGAAGCTCCAAATCCAATATCTTCAAACCTAGACCACGAAGCTTCCCGACTCGTAGAAGTTGGATCCGATTCGGCAGATTGATTTATGGATGAAATGCATTTCAATACACGCAGACATTCATCCGTGAGCGCTCGAAGGGGGTCCTCGAAGCTGGCGAATTCCTGCAGGTGCCTATCGCTGTCTCGATACTCAAAGTTCTTCGCACGGCGCAAAAGAGAAAAGGGAGTAGCAGAGACCGTGTCGACAATCATGACTACTTTAGTGGTCGAGACCTGAAGAAGGGCGGGTGTCTCTGGCGGGTATTCTGTGGCTTGGAGCAATGTTTGCAAGGCGATGGGTAGAGTGGAGATACTGCTCATACCACGCGGCGAGTCAGGAGACAATGAACGCAGGTAAGCGAAGAACAAATGGCTTGTCGCGTCCGCAGCGCTAAGAGAGGTCAGCTAGCCACTGGTTAACATTTGCCGTATATAACCACATACCTTGCCCAATTCTTGTAAGCAGCTTCAAACCCATTACCAGTGTCAGTGTGCTCAAAGGCCCACCACCCGGCATATCGAGAGAGCTTTCGTCCTCCCAGACCATTGGACTTTCCATTTGCCGCGATGGCGGTGAGAAGATCAAAGAAATCGAAGATAATTTTTGACCGAGCATCTGAGTCGACGCTTATGGGGATGAACGTCGAGAATGCATCACGGGCAAGCTGAGAATCTACCGTCCAATCAGTACATACGAAGACTACATATTCGACCGGAGACATCTCGGTACGGACCTTGTTCGCCAACTTTGAACAGCTCGTAGGCTTCCCATGTAACGACTCCTCCAGGTAGTCTGCTCCAGCACCATTTCAGCACACTACAAAGAACCTGAGAGATGCGTGTAAGCGAGGACAGTGGGCATGCAAGTGTATGAGCCAGTCGCGCGCTCGAAGGTGGCTTACAATAGGGTCCGTCAGCCGTAACTCTTGTGCTAAGTCATCTCCTTTAGGAGGGGAGCCTTTCTCCACCGCTTGATTGAAGTAATTCCGAATGAATGTACGTGCAGCGCTGGCGTCGGAGGCTGGCCGGAAGGGCAAGAGTAGAAAAGGTGTCTGAAGACCTATTCAGGAGAAAGGGTGGAAATGATCAGCAATCTGAAGAATGCGCTTATCGCTGATAGAGGGGTACTGAAAGGGGGGGAGGGGGAATAGAGGCGAAAATACATACCCCGTGCTTTTAATTGTTGAGTACACCCTCGCAGGAGATCCTGGACTTCCTCTGGAGCCACTTCCGTTCGCTGCCACGCGTCGGTCCATTTGGGCTTGGGAGGACCACTATCTTCTACCACAGGAGCTTTTGCCTTTTTTGGAGCATGGGAGTCCTTGATTCGAAAGACGCGGGCGAGAAACGGCATTTTCACCTTGCGCTTCTTGGACTCCTGGAGTTGAGAGGTGCGGCCAACAATGGGTTCGGAGGTAGAGGTCAACGTTCTCAGGCGCGGTCAAAAAAAAAAAAAAAGGAAAATTAAACCAAAACAAAATAAAACAAGAAAAGTGCCCACAGGTAGGACTCCACACGAGATGAGTCAAGGAGACTCAGATTCCACGCTCAACCGTGCGAGGGGAGAACCGGTCTAGATTAGGAGTAAAAAGCGGTATAAATAATCGACCAAGGGAAAAGAGGTGTCGAACCAAAAGGGAAAGACTTGGTTAGATGAATCAATAGATTGGAGTCTAAGAAAGGACCAAAAGAGAAAGAGTAGACCAGAAAAGACAAATAAAATGAGATAAAGTCGGATCAATCGAATTAGTAGTAGTCAAGAGAAGGACATCCAGGTGGCCAGAGAATGGCCTGCAGCCCAGACGGGGCAGCACGTCTAGCGTGCAGCGATACTACTGGCAATGGTGGATGGTAAGGCCACAATCCGAGAAATTACAAGGGTAACGAGAGCAATCTCCACGATTTTTTTTTTCCTTTTGATTTTGGATTTTGGGTTTTAAGCTCGGGATGTGGAGCTTGGAACAATGCGACGAAAATGAATTAGATATGTAAACGAGGTTAAGGAACTCATGCGAAAGGAGAAAAGAAAAGAGGAGAAAGGAAGAAGAAAAGGAAAAGAGAGAGAGAGAGAGAGAGAGAGAGAAAAAGAAGAAGAATTTGGGAGAGACACAGAAACCAATTGACTTGATTGGGGATGATGAGGATCTACTGTTGCCTCGTTTCAGGGGTGAAATAATAATACCCCCGTTCTATCCATGGTTCCTTCGCCCTCCATCGACGCCAACTAATTGGCTTGGAATCTAAGTAAAAAAAGAGAACGATGGTTCATTGTCTAACCATCAACCTTAAAAACCAGTTCGAGAGGGGAAGATGGAATTAGTAGTTCGACAACGGTTATTTCTTGAGAATCTTGAGGACTTCACAGGTTGACTGGAATACTTCAATAACTTCAAAAAAAGGTTAGGCAGAGACCGTATCATACCATGGCGGTTAGTACCCGACACAGAAGTTGTTCCAGTTAGGTCGAATTCATCATCGATACTACGAGTTAGTGGGTTAGGTGTGAAGTACTCGATACATAATCAATCCAGCAAGCTGGTAATCAAATGCAATCAGTGGAGGTACACTGCATGTAGGTTTAGAAAGCGCGCATGAAATTAAGTTGACTACTATATACTAGTAAGTTAGTATGAACAAGTTTTCCGTGCTTATCAACGCCGCCGACATACATCCGACGTATCTCGCGTACGTGGTCATTAATGAATGAGGAGAGGGGGAAAAGTCATAATAAATGAATAAATACCCCATAAATCGGTTCACTCCCTTTGGCTTTGACAGATGTACATTCGAGACGACAGATCAAATTCCTACCGTTGATCACCATTGACTGGTCATGGGGGAAATGGTCCAATCACCAGGCGTTAGGGATTCGAAAATCCACCATCCCGATCAAGCAGCTGGCCGAAATTCCGACCAGTCTGGACCCCGATCCTAACTTTGAATCCTTAAGTAATTAGTTGATCAACATAGTGGTTACATGCCTCCCGGTGCCCTGCCTCAGGCAACATTAACGCCTAACCGTCCTGGTGGGCGGTCAAGCTCTTCAAGTTGACTGGGGTCAATGCGAACCCATGGATAGTGGCAGCGGAGATCGATCGGAAGAAGAGATGCCACATAACAAAAGCCGTATATTCCATACCCACAACAAAAGCCTCAGTGGTGCGTGCTCACCCATTTAATTGTCAACAATAAGCCTGAGATCGATACGGTTAGAGAAATCTAGGATCGTAAGTTAGTAGGCCAGGAACCTCGTCGGGTGGTATGTATCAGGGAATTGATACGTTATAGAAAGGAAAAGAAAAAGTGCCCAAAGGGTAACTCAGGGTTTTATGTGTCCAGGAGAGAACCGATAAGCAGAGTTTTTGGAGGGGAAGGTTGATTGGTAAGTGATCGATTCTACATAAGAGAGCAGGCAGGATTCAAGTTCTACTAGGTAAGCAATGAAATCTATAAATAGCCGGGCGGCGGTTAGTAGCTCGCCAACGGCGGTTGTCCGTAGCCGCCGACAGGTCCAGTGATTTAGAAGTTTCCCACAGTCGATGTCTATCTTTAGAATCTTCTGCATCACCCGCGTGTCGCCGCTCCAACCATCCAGCCTTTCCCATCCATCTACCCTTCCTATCCCATCCCAGAATTGACTTTCGCCCATCATATCTGTTCGTTTCGTCTCTCTTTTTCATTTTGGTGATCTGAGGCTCCTCTGTCACTCGAGTCCTTACCTGCATAGGGGGGTCCCTGGTTCTTCTTCCCCGACCGGCAGGACGCCGTCGCCCTTTCTTACGCGCTCCGTTGGTTCATCCCTCCAAATAGCGCTGTGCCAATCTCACCCCTCCTGTCTATCTGTACCCTCGCATTCTTTCTCATCTTCTTTATCCCCACTCCTTTGGGAGAGATTAAAATATTTTATTTACAACCTTCGCTTTTACTTTTAAATTTTCTGTTATTTTTTCTGTTTTAAATTAAAAAAGAAAATTATTAAAGGGGGGAAGCCCAAGAAAGGAGCCTAGCAAACACAGTCGTTTATTCCATCGCGCTTTCGAATTTCTTTTTTCTTTCTTTCCTTTTTTTTTCTCGTCTCCCTCTCTTCTATTCGGCGGCGCTTCCCTGGGTTTCAACTCGCGCCACTAATAGACACAAAGACGAGTAACCCCACGTCTAATCGCTATTGATCCTGCCTTCGGTGTTTCATCTACGTTCTTAACCCTTGTGTGATACGCTCACACTGTATCCCTCATGGGTCGGAGAAAGATCGAGATCAAGGCGATCAAGGATGATCGCAACCGCTCAGTGTAGGTCCTATCTTTAGCTGTATTGCGAGGCACCACATGAAGAGCTAACTAACATCATGTCTTGCTCTTTAGTACGTTTCTGAAGCGGAAGGGTGGTCTTTTCAAGAAGGCTCATGAGCTAGCAGTACTATGCTCGGTAGATGTTGCGGTCATCATATTCGGTCACAACAAGAAGCTATATGAATTCTCATCATGTGACATGCGCGAGACTCTGGGTCGTTATCAATATGTTTGTTTTCACTCCCCGGCGGTGAGGTGTGGAACCGTATTTTGTTAACATAGCATGCTTTTGCGTTTAGTTCGGCCCTCCACATGAGCACAAAGGCCCCGAGGACTTTAACGGCCGGCGCGACGACGATGATGACGAAGATGAGACCACACCTGCCCCTGAAGAGATGCACCCAACACCACCACAAAACAACCCCCCGATAATCCATACCCATATCCCTAGTCATCCCGGTTTCCAACATGTTAATCATGCGCCTTCCGCGTCTCCTCCCATTCCAAATGGATTACCATTTGATCCGCGCCACGGTACCCCTCAACCTCAAGGGGTTTCCAGACCGTCATCAAGAAATCACATTCGCCGAGTCAGCTCCAATATCGGGACACAACATCATGCCACGCCTCCCCCGCCACCGCCGCCCCAGAATGGATTTGCCTATATGCCTAACCCTTCGGTGTATAATCCGAATGCCCATCACGCCTTAAGTCAACAATCTCGACCCGGTCAGTTCGCACACTTTGCCCCTCCGCATGGTGTGCATCATGCAGCCCCACCTCATCAACATCAGCCTATGCCACCCCAATCCATGCCACCTCACACGATGCCGCCTCAGGCAATTCCACCGCATATTCAACAGCATCCTCAGCATCCACATATCCTTGCGCAGCAATCACAAATGGGTCTTTCGCAACCGCATCATCCCCAAATGGCACAGGTCGCCCAAGCATATATACCGGAGCAGGGGAGAGGTTCAATGCCACCCGCATTCCCATCGGAGCAGCAGCAGCAACAGCAACAGCAACAGCAACAACAGCAGCAGCAGCCCCAGCGTACCGTATCGCTTCCTGAGGCTCCCGCAACGGATCAATTACCGGGTACGATGAAAACTGAAGACAGCCAGTCACCACCGCAGCAGAGGTCGATATCGTCGAAATCACGTAGTATATTTACGCCAATTGATGATCGTGGTTCGGTTTTGGCTCGTCACTTTGGATTTGGTCCCCCAACATCGCCGCACAATGAAAGCTTACAAGCAAAGCTGGAACATTCACATGACGAGCAAAAGGACAAGCCCGGCCAGCCAGTGGCACCTCCACCTCCGCCACGAGCTTCAACGGAAGCGCCTCGCTCACAGTCTGTGGCCGATATTAAACCGCCTACCCGAATTAACAGCGGACAATTGCCCTCAAAGCGTCCACAGTTAAAGGTGCAAATACCCAGTGAGAATTCGGATCGAGGCAGTGCGACGGCAGATTCATCTTCCCGCGATTCCGCAGGGAATAAGACACTCACACCTGCGAAAGCCAATGCCGACGGCAACCATTCCGGTGTAGTATTACCACCGCCTTCGCCTTCCGCTGGTGCTATTCTCAGTGCAGGTGCCCAGGGACCGCCGAATCCATTTGCTAGGCCGCCTCCCCCGGCCTCAGCCGCCCAGAACAACAATGCATACAACAGTAACAACAACAACATAGAAACGCCGATATCTGCGCTTCCAAGCCGCTTTGTGTCAGATGCGCTTCTTCCTTCTCCATCTAGCTTCTTCTCTGAATGGGGCTTTGGCAGGACTGGTCCGGACAGCAACATACTTCCCAGCCCTCTGGCCTTTCCTACTCCTGCCGTTCAAACAGGCCCCAGCTTTGCGCGAGAAGATGAACAAGATAAAAAGCGCAAGAGCCCCGATAGTGGACCGAGTACGGAAGGAGCACCGAAAAAGGCAAAGACATAAGCTCTCTTGTCATCTCGATTGATGATCGCCGTCTTGTTCTTTCTTTCACTGTCTCAACTATGGCATCTCGTGGCGTTAAGGAAGGCGTGGTTACCTAATCCTGGTGAGCGAGTTGGATATGTGTCTTCTATTCCTTGGATATTATTTCCCCTTTCCGAGTCCTCTCTACTTTCGCCTTGGCTTCCGCTTCCTTTCCAACCTTATACCCCTTCCTTTTGCCGTTCGATCTTATTGCAGAACTTGCCTCAAGCGCTTGTTTTCGAAAAGCTCTTTGCGCATGAGATTCCCAGCATCTCACGTCTTTTCCTTCTTTTGACCAGGACAGAATAACTTTGGATCACTTTCATTAAACATTGGCGGGGGGTGGGCGTTTCAATTTCAGCTTATCTTTTATATTCAGTAATGTATATAAGGATTTTCAATTAGGAATAAAATTTAGGATGGGATAATCCGGCGCCGTAGGTATCCTTGTGATATACTCCCTTGTTTACCTAAAATTGTTTTTTATATGAATTCATAAACCCAAAGTACAGCCAGTCCAGTTAGGGCACTGTCGAGGATTTCCCAAATTGGTATTCAATCACGTTACCCAAGATAGAATTCAGATAAGATAAAGTTTCTTTAAAGTTGCCATGCAAATGCATTGCATTCATTACCTGAAGCACCTACAGTAGTAGTATCCAGCATCTCATGGTAAGATGTACGTACATGCTTCAAACTAATCCTCGACGCATGAAATCTGGTCGTATCTTTCGTCCACCTGCGTCATTTGAACATTAGAGTTAAGAAAACTGTAAAGGTTGTATGCAGGAAGTATATTTATTTATCAAGGTTATCTATCGGGAAGTTTGTTTTGCGGGGATGTTCACTTTAAACTTATCGTCGTCAAATATATATCGAAATTTCAAATTACAAAAAAAGAACCCAGATATCCAGTAAGCGATGTCTTCTTTACAACCTCTTATTAAGAGATCTGTATGTAATGTACTATTTACTCATGATCTTATCTTAATATGCACGCGGTTTTGATAACTCCGTAGATCCTAGTGTGGGGGTGGGGGTATAGCGGGGCGATTAAAATATTTCAAAAAAGCAAAGCAAAAACAGGAACTTGAACTTTTACATGGCTCCGTGCTCATTATACCCACCAGTGAGTATTATTAATTTGATCATCAGGAGTATAGGTGGCGACGATCTTTTCCGGGGGGAATGCAAAAAGGGTCTATTATGCGTGTAGAATGTAGTGTGAATAGAATATAAGGGAATGAAGGGAGGGAGAGATGGGAAACGTAGTTATACTGTCTCCTTGGACCCGGGCTGGGCCTCGCCTCTCTGAGCGGCTAGGATTTCTTGTCTCGCGCGCTCTTGCTCTGCTAGACCAGTCTTGGTGAACTTGTGCGCCTTGCTGAGTACGACGGGCCGAATAAGAAGACTGATCAGCAGCCCAAAGCCGATGATGGCCGTGTAGAAGATCCACATGCGGCTCAGAGTGAAGGTGTACGATTTCAGGACGACGGTTTGCTGAGCATCGGACAGCGCTTTGATGAGTTTACCTTGTGAGCCGGAGAAGGACGACGAAAGCGCCGAGGCCTTTTCAGGTCCGATTGCGGCGGTGATCTGAGGCATTTGTTGTTTGAGGACATTTTGATACACAACAGTACCGAGGACGATGGACATGGCGGCAGAAGTCTGGCGAAGGAAGCCGAACGTCGAGGTTCCAGCGGCGACATCGGCAGGGTGGATGTTCGCTTGAAGGGCAACAAGGGGCGCTTGGAAGACGGGGCCGGAGCCGAAGCCGGCGATCAGCTGATAAATGATGATGCGAGGCCAGGATGCGTAATATTTCAGGTCAATAAGGAGCCCATAACCGAGAGCCATGAAGAATAGCCCTCCCATGATTAGCTCACGGTAGCGGCCAGTCTTTTTAATGATGAAGCCAGTACATGCGGACGTAAGGGAGAGACTGAGAACGTTGGGGAGGACATAGACACCGCTCATGATGGGATTTGCGAGGAGGACGGTTTGGAAATATAGCGGGAGGTAGTAAGAGCCGGCGATGAAGACGAAACTGTGGCAGAAGCAGACTAGAAGCACTAGGACATTGTGCCAGTTTGTGAAGAGACGGATCGGTATAACGGGATACTTGGCGACTTTCCATTCAACCACCATGGCAATAGCCCACGTCACTACTCCGAAGACGATGAGACAGATAACAGTAGCAGAGTCCCAAGGGTAAGTGATGCCACCGTATTCCAGGCCGAACAAAAACATGAGTGTTCCTCCCATAATTAGAATGATACCCGTCCAATCAATAGCTTTTAGACCGGCTAGAAGCGGTGTCTTCTCGGCCTCGATCTTCAGGAAAAGAAGGAGAATTACAAAGGAAGCCCCTCCGATAGGTACTACCATAAACGATTAGCATTATGATCCTGTCAGGCGCCGGTTTGGTTACCTTACAATTTATATAGAAACACCACCGCCAAGTGACATTAGTAGTGAAGGCGCCTCCGATGATGGGACCAAGAGCGCCTGCGATTGCCCATGTGGATCCAAAAAGACCATAATACATCGGCCGTTCGCTAGAGTGAAAATTCGTCAACGAAACCCCACCCAAAGAACACGAAGGATAGGAGGCGATAACTTACCGGACACTGAATAGATCGGAGACACTGATATTGACCAACACGATGATGCCGCCGCCACCGACACCTTGGATCGCTCTTCCCACCAGAATCATTGGTAGGTTGATAGCTAGAGCGCAGATCAAGCTACCTACGAGGAAAACGAAGTTGGCAAGCAACAAGATTCGCTTTCTACCCCAGATGTCACTAATCTTGCCCCAGAGGGGAACAGCGGCGGCATTGGCGAGCATATATGACGATGCCATCCATGAGTATCCACTTTCCGAGGCCTTGAAATGAGAAGCCATGGTTGGTAAGGCGGTGGAGATGATTGTCTATATCAGTCAGTTATATACATCCAAACTACGATGACATATGTGAGTGACCTGCCATATCCAAAGCTGCCAAGAACAGGACCAACTATATGATCAGCTTTGTTAGCCGCTAGTTCACCAAGACTGTTTTCCAAAGGAAAAAAAAGAATAGTTTGGCCTTACACAAAGTGCCGCCATGACAACAACAATTTTTTTCTTTCCCAGCTTCTGCGCCTGGGAAGACACCCGACCCAGCGAAGTGCCAGTTGTGACTTTTTCCACTCCATCACCGTTCGGCTCAACTGAATGCTGTTCTTCTGCGGATTGATGAGGATGATTTGGGGTATCGGAGTTGGCCGAGCTAGAATCCAACTCTCCCGAAGCTATTTTATCTCCCGTCACAATCTGACCATTACTGGGCGCATGGGGATCGAGTTGATCCCGGCTGTCTGGGGCATATTGATGCGCCATCATTCTTGGAAAGCACAAGAATGCAGGGCCTGTATGAGATGAAATTTGACACAGGCAAGAATTTGACCGTAATGAGGGATCAAGAATGTTTCCTGTCTGTCTCGGCGGGCAGAGCCGACATTAAAGACTTAAAGACCGAGTGACTCAGGCAGAGTAAGAAACGATCGACATTGAAGAACGAGTGGAAGAAAACGCCACAGAACACAGATGGAAAAAAGAAAAATTCTCCGACGGTTTTCCACTCGAAGACCGTTTGGCATGAATCAGCCAACCAAAGAAAGAGGGTGTGGTCGAGACTCTGTTCCTATAAAGGAGAGATATATTGTATTTATCTAAAATAAGTTAAACGGTCGGCCGTTCGGACTTAAAAAAGACTGCAAGCGCCGACCCCCGAGGGTTTCAATCCTCGATCAACATGTGGATAACTTGATAATTTTTTGCTCTTTTGCCTTTCCTTTTTGGGGATGCGGAGAATATTTTCCATGTCATCTTTGGATTCTTTTCTCCGTACCGCTTTTTATCATACGAGGTCACTGGACCATTCTCAATATCTATTACCAAATAATTTGCATCCCAATAATTCCTTCCTCCCAATATAGTACAATCAATGCAAATGCAACCTTCTAAAATAAAACAATACAGAATACTCTTTTCCTTTCTTTTTCCTTTTGGCTGGATCGTCGGTTCTGGAATTATGATGCTCCATAAACAGGGTATATTGTACGAGGTAGCAGAACATTAAAACAAAAAAGTCAACCACAGAGATGCACAAGAACTCCTCATCCAACCGTCTAGTCCTGTAGTTGCAGAATTTCTGCATGTCATTGTGTCAGTAGTTGACTGGTCTCGGAAAGAAACAAAGAGAGAGAAATGACCTTACCAGTTAAAAACTCCTCAAAGCTCACAGTGATGTAACCATCACGGTCATCGTCATAACGCTTAAACACGTCTGTCATGCGCCTTAGACTGATACACGCCTGCACGAACAGGTCGAAGCTCATTCCCATCTTAGCCGGGTTAACAGGTCCATTTCCATTCATCCGCCGTCCCTTGCTCTCGAACGTGGTGAAGAGCACCGTCACAAACGGCTGGCTTAGACGGTATCCGAACGCCAGGAGTGCGTTCTCGAACTCTTGCAGACTGATGCGCCCGCTACGATCCACATCGAACCGGTCGAAAAGCTCCCGCCATGCAGCAAGGTACTTCCAGAGTGACACAAATTCGTCGAACGAGATCGTCCCACTGCTGTTCCGGTCAAACATGCGGATCATCATCTTCACCGTCTTCGGGTGAAACGAGGTGAAATCGCCATTCACCAGAGCGGAGCCCAGCTCCAGCTCGGTCAGTGAGCCGGTGTGGGACGAGTTGGCGGCGCGAAACAAAGGAAAGAGCTGTTGCGGATCGTCGTCAGGGACAGACAACGGAGGTTGGTTCGGGGATCGCGGGGGACGCGACAAGGGTTGGGGGCGATTGTGCATCGGCTGGGAAGGGGGGGGCCCGAATCCATAATTTTGTGGTGGTGGTGATGGATGTAGCGTATGAGTCCGATGTTGAGTGGCAGCCGGTGCGGGCAACGGCTTGTTCATGTGTGCACTGGTAACGGGAACTCGAGGGGGCACTCCGCTGGGCGATGGGTTGGGAGATGGCCGAGATGGTTTACTTTGGTGATGATGAGAGGGGCCGGTTTGCATGGCACCGATCATCTGAGCTACCTGGGTGTAGTTTCGTCAGCCATGGAGGGGCTGATCAGGGAAGCTAAAAAGCACTCTCGGTCGGTACCTGTTCGGGCTCTGCATGTCTGATTTATGTTATGCATCATTAGCGACATACGGAACAGTGTGAAAACCACTTTCAGGCAGTATCGACTTACGCTGGCAAGGCATCTGGATTGTACGATTGGTTGTACGCCATGGTGTTCACCCAGCTGACGTAACGGATGATGAAAGAACAATGATGAGGTTTGGGAGACTGTCGCGGGGAACGCGTTTTTTAATAGTGGACTGATCAACCCACAGAACAGAAAGGAACGAGAAAATCAGGCAGAGATAAGAAAGAAGGATTTTGGTCAGGAGTTTCAGGAGGGAGTTAGTGTTTGCGTTAGCATATGCTTCTTCGCAAGTCAAAAGCGGAGCGCGTGGGGCACTCGTTCACCAAAAACTTATTGCCAAGAGACTTAATATGTTGAATCAATAAGGGGGCGAAGTTCGAATAAGATACGAATACGCCCGAGAAATTAGAGGGCTGCTATCGGGGTGGAGAAAGTACGGAGATGAGGGTTTTCTGGGAGAGAAAAGACACGATTCAGCCCTATCCCACTGATTCATTTGATTGTCCTGATTGAGTATGGCTCATTCGGCTTCTCCTCAATCCCCGGTGGAGCTAATGTGAGTCTGTATCTATATTTATCTCTCCGGGCTTTTTTATGGTTCATTGACACTTGATTTTATAAATGCTATTATTTTAATCTTTCTTTAACCGGTGAGCATATCAATGTCCGTCGACTGCTGTCTGAGGACCTCCATGATCTCTCTCCAAGCCTTATCTTGAAATTGCCTTCCTTCCGTCCCCGTCGTCAGCGCTGTGGATTCACTGGAGAATGTTAGAAAATTTCTATGAAATCGCATAAGCAACTTACTCCAAATATCCATCACTCCTCCAGCATTTCCCGTGCGATTCCGCTCCCTGATATGTGGCACTGACCAGCGACCGGCTCCCTTGCTCTGCCGTGCGAGCAAAGAGCTTATATAGTAACCAGATAAACCATCGCTCATAAAATCGGTCATACTGCCGTCCAAGCGATGACACACACAGCCCCGGGCTTACTGTATTAACAACAACAGGGAGAGTCCCATTCTCATTCCGTACCCGATCGGCCACCGTCTTCAGAACATACTCCAACAGCAGCTTCGAGATACCGTACTGCTTTGGGCCGCTAAAGCGCCGTGGATCATTCAAATGCTCTAATAACGCCCCTTCCGTCCGGAGGCGGGCGGCCTTGACTCGGACGAACTGCTGGCTGGAAACAACAGTAAGATGCGCCGGCGTTGAGTCAGATGCGCCGTCTCTCAGCTTCGGGAGGAGCAGAATCGCCAATAGCGAGGTGGACAGCGTGTTCACCTGTAATGTCTCTTCCCATTCTTCGGGCGATGATGTGTATTCTTTATTCCACAGGCCTGCGTTTAGTAGTGCGATGTCCAACTGCTTGATTTCTGTCTGAACGCGACTCGCAAAGGTTTTGACGCTTTGGAAGTTGTTCATGTCTAGCTCCCAGATCTGGATCACATCTTGTCTAGTGGTACGCTTTTCTAGCTCGGTTTTGGTCGCCTGGCCTCGTTCCAAGTTGCGACTGCCGATGATAAGCGACCCCACCCCGAGATTTAGAAGCTTGATGGCAGCTTCGAAGCCTAGTCCGGACGTGGCTCCAGTTAGGACAACGGTCTTGCCGACGAAGGAGACTGTTGGGTCGACTGGGACGCTATACTGTGCCCGGAGCAGGCGAAGTAAGCCAGCCATAGTATAGTTGGGTTCACAGTCACGTAGAAATGCGACAGATTTAGACTAAATTCAGGGTTGTTAGTTTGTTGATTTGCTGAGTAGTAGTTGAATGAGGGTGAAGCCAATTGATTAACAAGCAGTAAAGGCCTTTGGGCCGTATAAGAAGTTATCTCAAGCAATATAGGTTATTTAACATGCCTTGCATCAATTGCGGCAGTTGCTGTAGTGTTCATCTAACTAATTTAGGTGGAAAGGAGTGCCCATAGCGACCAGTGCCTGAGGCAGAGGGAGTGGGTAGATAATGAAGACTGTGGAACTCGGAATTGATTGGTTCAATGTGGCATCAATTTCCGTCATCCCACATTGATTCCGAGCAAACAAGACAAACACATGGTCGTATTTGTACAGCACATTTCTTTGCAATGCTCATAAAGAACATTTGCCTCTAGAGATAGCTGTTCTCTTATATTATTGACGATAGATTTGAGGGAATATAGAGGCTTTCGATTTCCTTTCTATTACCGCTACAGGGGAAGCCTTATACCAGGTTTTTGTTGTCTGCACACAAATTCTTTCCAATCCGAAATCCTATATACATTATAGAGACGGACAGATATTGTAACTTTAAAGCGGACACCTAAGACCTGGCCCTATTAGGCGCCTCCGGCATGGCTTCAAGTAAAGAGAACAGCCACCCTTCCCCAGATGGTCGAACATGGCGCAGTTACTTCCCAGATGGGGATCTTTGGGTATTTGGATACGGGTGAGTCACCAATAGTCCTGAATGAGAATAAGATCTTCAGGGTGTCACAAGTATCCTCAGTGGACAAAGGCTGATGTCACCAAGGAGCTTAATTTGGAAGCCACCACCACATTATGGTACGTCAGCTCGGGCCTTAAACGACGTACTGCAGTCCTTAGTCCAGGACAAAAAGCCATATTACCACTGCCGACCTGGAGTTGACTTCGGCTGATCTGTGAACCTCGTACAGACCAAAGAGTCCCAGGTTATGTTAATGGCTGTGTGCGACGATTCTGGCAGGTTCGTCATTCCTTGAACTATAGAAGTCATTGCCGTGACAATTGAAGTTGCGGTATCCCCTCTCCTTCCCAGTCTTTTCACCTTCAAACCTGGCTAAATCCGTACTTACACTGTATAGGCTAGGTAAATTATAGACTCAAGAATCGGACATTGGGTTATCTTTCACCGATCTAAGAAGCTAACTATATCAAGTTCGGACCATCGAGGAACGGTGGAAAACCCCGGACGAGTGGTAACTGTAATAGACCGTGGATTTTGGGAAACTTTGGACGATCCGGTATGTGGCTTTTTCTATATTGGTATTATATGCCAGTAACTAGGCCTATCATCTCATATATGAACCGCATAGCTCGCCCACCTTGAATCGGCGTCATCGGTATCTCGAGTCTGGGGCGCAGCATACCACATTCCCGCCTCTCATGCCGAAGAAGTTCATGATTACCTCGACGAGCGCGAAATTAATGGGTATACTGTGCATTACACGCCCTTCCACCCTTTCTCGGAATCTAAGGCTCCGGGTTCAGACTCTGAACCGATAACTTGCATGGTGTATATCGGTCAGCCCACTAATTCGCAATTCCTGCGCGATCCGGCTCGTCGCGAGCCGCAAGATGTCGCGGAGGTGATTAGTCGCAGTCGAGGTAAAAGTGGAAAGAATACCGAGTATCTTTATCTTTTGGAAAAGGCGCTCGAGGGTCTCGGGCTTGGGAGTGCTGATGAGTATGTTACCGATCTGGTTCGACGGGTGAAGGCCATTGAGAAGGAGGACGAAGCTTCAAGAGATGAAGAAGCAGCCGAGAGGGATTTGAAGAAATCGCTTAGTCGGTCGGAGGAGGAAGCGCATCAGACAATTCAAGACGAGGAGGGAGCGTAACTCTTAACGTATCCTTCTTGGCAAGTGGTGAGAGCTCGGGTAGGATTCCGTGATCGGCAGCCAAGTGGAAGGCTTATTACATAGACAGCGTGAGCCCAACCCCATAGAGTGTTCTCTTCTATATTACCGGTTTCGGCGAATGTCGCATAGTACCTGATTACAGATTGAAATGATTCCCGGCGTCATGAAATTCAATATAAAACGAGCACTGGAGGTCTGATCTTCAAAATAGAGACAAAGCATCCGTTATTCATAAAAACCATGCATCCGCCATCATACTGCGTTTCAATTCCTCTGCGATCGTGTCTCATGAAATATTTATCGGGATAGAACCCCATCTGAGAGATGAAATCCCTCTTGAACAAAGCATGACAAAGATCGATTCAATAGCATCGTAATTCCATCCAAGCTTGGTTGGAGAAAAGGGGCTGCAAGCTGCTAGTTGCTTCTGCGCCAGTCTGTATACTGTCAGCTAATCATGATCGTAGAGGTACATCGAGAAAGAGGACTGCGGCACCCTTAGAGAAAGGGGACAGGGAAAATGGATCGCTTACCACCGCCACCGTACGCTCCACCTTCTGTAACATAGTCAGCATAGGATGCATCACAGTCAGCACGATTCTAGTAGAGAGACATACCATTTCTTCCACGGTAACCGCCCCCATTACTATATCCGTTTCCTTCGCGCTGGTTGTATCCGCCACGGCCATGGTAGCCGCCGCCATTGTTGCGAGGAGCAGACCGCTCAGAGGCCTTGTCGACGCGGATAGTACGGCCGTCAAATCTAGATTTGTAAACCTTCCATCTACGTGGAGAGACTGTAATGACACTGTAAGACAAAAGGGATGATGGATGCTCACTCTTGGTTGTTCATGGCATCCATCGCGGCATTCGCTTCATCATCCGTGCTGAAGCGGACGAATCCGAATCCGCGACTGCGGTGGGTGTCATGGTCTTTGACGACGACCTGGGGATGGTTAATATAAGGATGACAGCGACAAGAAATTGATCTCGGTCATTTGATTTACTGACAGCTTCCTCGACCGTGCCATACTTGGAGAAACCATCACTAAGAGTCTGGTCGGTGGTGTGCCATGCCAGGCCGCTGTTTGAAGGAGTCAGAGAAATCAACGATTGCGCGAAGGAACTGATCCGGAGGGGAATAAACAGACCCAATGAATAGTTTAGACATTCTGGAATCCTTTGAAGAGATGAATCGAGACTAAGGAGGGAGTCAGTACTGGAAAAAGAATGATAGAGATGATGATGAGACTAGATTTGTGCGATAAAATCAGGATTCGGCTGAAAGAGGATGACAATGGAAAAAGAGGGCTGTGGAAAAATGAATGTGAAGGAGGCTACTAAGGTCCTAAAGAGCCGACTTGCAGAATCACCCTTCTTATCACGTACATTCAAGTGGAACCGCTAAAACTGCCTGTCAATCATGCACTTTCACTGTAACTTGCAATGATCTGGCCAAAGATGATCAGTTTCAACTGCACGCCGTGTGCCACGGTAATCAATCCTTTTTACACAGGAAACAATAGGGGGGAAAAGAAAAAAAAAGGCTGGAAATCGCTGACTGAGGAGGAAACAAAGCGGGGAGAGTCACCCAAAACGGGGAAGAATAAAAAAAAAAAGAAAAGAAAAGAGTGTCTAGTACTAGAACATTTTCCCTCTTGCTCGAACAAACAAACGGTAACAATACTCAAATACCCTACTGGGCTGGACTGAGAGGGGGCGCCGGTTGAATTGCATTGGATTGGACTGATTTAAAGGCGCTAGCCAAAGTGTTGCGGAACACCTCCTGTTCCCCTCATTGGTAATCCAATTGGGTTGCATTTAGACCTGACAAATGGCTAATGGATTGAGTTATGTATATAACTTCATGTTGTAACTACACTTCTTGGATCTACCTACCTACACTAGGTACCTACCACTACATGTATATGTATACAGCACTTACCGTATACATATATAAATTAAAGAATTTATATGATTATCTGTATTGCATTCAACGCACTTGCTTTATTTCTAATATAAATACCTATCAGATGGATAAATCTGTTGGAGAGTGTTATAGCTTAACTTAAATCCTATAGGCTCTCTCATATATACTTAGTGCTAGTAGTGCAGGACTCTAATTACTAGTACCAGACTAGAAGGTATAAATAGGGCTTCTGAATCTACCATAGAAGTCACTCAACATTTAGTTGAGTGGTCACCTCTCTTTGATGTTCATCTCTTCACAGTAATAACTTAAGATGTCACTGGCTAGACAGGCAGGAACATTGCTTGCCTTGTTAATCGTACGCTGACACTAACCAGTCAATTCCCCGGCCTTAGACGTCTTTCCCTTTTCAGACATTGCGAAACACTCTCACTTTCCTATGCCTCAACCAGCCCCTTTGACTCCATCTTCTAAAAAGTGTTTGCCTCTCAAACTCACTATGGATGAATCTACCAAAGAACTAGTGTTACGCCTTATGCAAGAAGATGTGAAAGACACACTGGAACTATATAAGGGCAAGCGGCGTATTAGTCAAATGACTGACCGCGAACTGGCACTTACCGAATGGACACAAGAGCTACACCATTATGCATCGGACTTGCAGGACTGCAGAATGGCCAGGAGCGTAGCGAGAGCAGTTTTAAATGATGGCGTTGCTATCGAGGCTGCAATAGCTGAAGAAAACAGAGACTTTGGGGATCGAATGATAGCATTACAACTAGATGGACTTGACCAATCAACTCCTGCTCAACTATTGGGACAGGCAAACGCTACTATGGCTGGCCTAACAGGTTTGATGGGGGGTCCTAGTACAGTGTCGAAAGATTTGGGCCCTGCAGGTTTACCGAAAGTTCCGACTTCAGAACTGGTGGAGAACAAGTTCCCAACGGCCGAGAGCTCGAGGCATGCTGCTACCCGCAAGTCCGAAAGCCAGCCGCACTTCGAATGTGTAGCGTGCCTGGAAGTTAAGCCTTTCTTTGACATACTCACGGCACCATGCTCCCATCACTACTGCAAGGCCTGTACCGACCGGCTGGTGCGAGACTCCTTCGTCGACGAGTCGCTTTTCCCTCCAAGATGTTGTCGCATGCCAATCCCTTTACCTACGCTGCAGGCATTTCTCACCAAGGTATCAATTCGACGATTTAAGGAGAAGGAGATGGAGCACAATGACTTTAATAGGACATATTGTGCAAACCCGTTGTGTTCGCGATACATCCTCCCTAATCCTGTGTTACTCGCTATCCGGACATGCCCTTCTTGTAACATGGCCACTTGTACGACGTGTAAGCGGCAAGCTCACACGGGTGTATGTATTAAAGAGGAAATTGAGGTTCTGGAGTTAGCGAAAAGAGAAGGGTGGCAGCGCTGCGCGAGATGTCGTAACATCGTTGAGTTAAAAAATGGCTGTAATCACATCACGTAAGTGCTAGTCTCGCTCTTCGTCAAACTGAAGGCTTGATTCTGACAGAGAATGCAACTCTTTTGTAGGTGTCGTTGTGGATTCGAATTTTGCTACCTCTGTGGTTTGAAGTGGAAAATTTGTGAGTGTGATGTATGGGACGAAATGCGGCTCATCAACAGAGCACAACAGGTTGCAGCTCAAGATGGAGGAAATCAGCGACCCGCACAGCAAGAGGTTCAGAGGGCAGTACTCCAGATTCATGAGCAGCGCGGCTGTCAGCATGATGGCCGTTGGAGAAGACGTCAGGGAGAGCATTTGTGCGATTTATGCCACGACTTGCTTCCCGCATTCATTCTACAATGCCAGTATTGCCGGATTGAGGTATGCGTACGCTGCAGATATAATCGTCTCTGATTTGTATTCAACAAAAAAGTACTTCAGAACGAGACAGGTTCCAATGTGCGATTTGATACGGATTGAACAGACAGATGTAGAGAGTGGGTAGACAGTTACCCGACAGCTAACACCCACTGTATAAGCGGAGTTGGAATGATGACATGACATCCAACCAAGGAAGACGTGAGTTGGTAGATAGTACCCATGTATTTATTACCTACAGTCGCGTGATGATAGGTGGATACACTACTATTAGGTTGAAATGAAAGTCACGGGGATGATTCTGAATGTGGAAACCTCGATCGTGGACTCGAACCAACAGGTACTCGGATTTATAGTTACCCAGGTTGAATTATGTCACGATTAAAGATCAGACCCATAGTGGTCTGTCTTTTACTCCCCCTACCATCCTCTAACGCCCTGCTCTACACTTCCGCCTCCAAGTTCCCCGATCCACACAATCCAACTTAAAACGTATGTTATATTGTTTTCAATGGGTTCGCTATCACGGTCTCGTATCCATGAGTGGTTGCACAAGATCGATGACGGGCTTGCATCATCCAACGACCCGAAATGGTCGTTACCAAGTCGCAAATCCTTCAAGTCTCAAGGTACGTCCTTTTAACTTGTTCAATGCAGAAGAATATCTACTAAAGAGAGCTACATCAGTAACCCGCATCGAGAGCCCGACGGGCGAAGGCAATACTGACAACAAATACACTGGCTTTTTACCCCAACAGATCGGATATGTACCATATGTACCACGAATCCAGAATCACCTACCGGAAGCAGGTGAGACACCACGCCATATCCAGTCAGAAGGTCTTAAGCGACAGCCCATGCCTTCCCACAAAGTTACTAGCATGGGAAAGAAAGGGAAATATGGATATGAACGCCGACCACGCCACAAGACCAAGGACGATCGTTATGAGTACAAGGGAAAGACCACTCTTGAAAAAGACGAGAGAGCTACACACGAAAAGGTAAAAAGTCCTCAAAAGGGCGCAGAAAGCATATCCTGAATGATTATTTGCATGCCTCTTAACGTGGCTCGTGACCCTTTAACTGTGGGTTTTGACGGTACGAGCGAGTTACGCGAAAACATGTTAATTGCAAACTTAGCTTCAATCCAACATGAATTTAGGTCTATCCCAGATGGGCAAGACATCATCCCCCATCAAGGCTTGTCAAGGTAAGATGCTCCCTATCTCCCCGACTTCTAGGTCGGAAGCTCACAGACTGCCTAGAGGCCGATCTGAGTTTTGCAGAAATGAAGTGCGAAAAACCCGCGATCTAACGTATGCCCAGCGAGACAAGGAGGAAAATAGAGGCATACCTGGAACTACCGACGCCGAATACGAAATTCTCCTCATACCTGTTTCATTCTATCGGTGAACGAGTCGATCATCAAGCATAAACATGTTCCGTTGTGAATCACCGTATACAGACTTGATCAGAAGAGTACCATGTTTCCCGCTGATACCAACGCAAGCAATCAACACCAGGACGAAGGAAGCAGAGGTCCATCGCAAATCACCTTACCATATACATTGTCTGAGACCGTACGCAGTAGTTCAGCATCGGAACATCCATGCGAGTTGTATACAAGAAAGCTTCTCGATGTCAACTTGGGCGCCCAAGACAACTATGAAGGATCAACCACGACCAACTTAACAAAGAAATACTGGAGCCTAGAAGAGCTGAAACTGTTTATGAGCAACGAAGAGCATTGTGGGATTTAGAAGCGAGTGGCCCTGTTGTGTCAACAACCAGATCCCGAAAGCGCAAGCGATCCCAGCCTATTGAGCAGGAAATATCTTCGCCGGCTCCCAAAAAGATTAAAAGCCATGGCAACAACAGCAGTACAGGTCAGCATGGGGCTATTGGTGCTCTGGCGGCAAATCATTATGACTCGGGGTCTGGACTAGCTGCACATCTTAGAGGCCGTGGAGACATAAGTGGTGTGTCCATGCAAACGACGCATGAGCAACCTGCACCAGCATCGCCCCAGGTTGTTGAACAGGCAGACATCATTAAACCGCCTACAAGCGACTTTGGGCTTTTCACTGGAGAGTCAAGCCTCACTAGTTCGTCACTGAAAATTCAAAAAACGAAAAGTGGGTTGCAATACCCCAATTCCTGCGAGTTGAAAGAAGCAAAAAACGTCTACGGCATCCGCAATGGATTGGGATAACGATAAGCCACTGACACACTGTGCAAATGAAATGAGCCCCTGGCTTGAAGAGAATGATGCTTTGGTCGCGCAGATTGCGGTATACAATGTGATTATGCACCCAGAACATGACCCTTTGTACAAAATTAAGGGGTAACCATTGATAGACACCACATTGAAGAGCAATCCCTCTGGTGTAGGTAGCAATGAGATTCTCTTTCAAGTACCCAGTTCATACCGGCCCCCTGGGGTTGCATCGAAATCAGGGATATTCTCGCATAATTCATATGAACCGAGTCAATATCTGAGCTTCATACAACCCAATCATGCGGTCCCTCCGCAACACTGGGCCGGACAATTTCCGGAAGCGAGACGTCATGCAGGAGAGACCCCGGATGTGAAGATTCTAGAGGCAGAGAAGCCTAGGCTAACCGCAGCCATAGTGCCGGGTCTGCAGGATGACGTCCATGGTGGGCTCAAAGGATTTTGGCGGCAGCAGAAGTTGTATTAATGGCTTGGGGGTTTTGACTATGGAATCTACATCTATACTTGGGATTTGTGTTGAATACCAATTTGAGTGTGTGTATGTACCCTACGAACGATACATTTGGCTCTAAATGTACCTCTACTATGTATGAACCAGCTCATTTTCAATCTATACTTCTTTCTCCAAGGTATTGACGGAGGCATCGAGAGGAAGACCCCTTCATATCTGAAAAAAAAAAATAAGCCAACCCAGGACCCAACGGACTGGAAAATAGTTCCACTGCTACGCCACCAAGCATCCTTCCGGCCGGAGCGAACCCAACGATTCGCATGGTGGAGGTTTGCCATTTGGACAGCTAGCAGTTCCCATCAGTTGCCTTCAGCCAAAGTCGGACTGATCGACGACGGGTTAATTTCCTTCGTCTCTCTTTGCTTTTTCTTCGCCCGCTCATTTGGTTCGGAGACAGTTCCCAGTTAAGAACGGTGTAAAAAGAAAGAAAATAAAATTACATGATTAGAACACAGATCGTGGGAAACTTGGTTCTATGAGGTGGTTTTCTGAGTCTAGTTCCCTCGTTCGATAATCACGATTCCAAAACCCTAAACGCCACCATTCTAGGAAACCCTATCTATCGTTTAGGATATTATAACCCAGAAGAAGAGAAAAAAATAGAAAACTAAGGAGCCTGAAAGAGAAAGCAAAAGACACACCGAGAGAAAGAAAGGAAAATAGGCGGGGGAGAAAATAAACCCGGTTTACTTCGTCCTACAAGGATATTGTGGTAGTGTGTGTGTGATCTTACTGCATGAAATGAAATTGATTTTCCTTCGGTTCAAATTTATAACAAAGGACGAGAAGTCTTTACAACCATGGATTTAAAACTAGGGAATGGGGGGAAAAAAGAAAAAGAAAAGAAATGCACGAGTAATGATATCTCTCTCCTTTTTTTTTTTTTTTTTTGAGAAAATAAATCGATCTTTCTTCTAATGCTTCGGATAATACCAGACTACCCTTGTCCTTAACCATGCGTAAGCCCTAAAACGGAGATGGTGAAAGAATGCAAAGTGATCCGGTGAACCACTTCCTTGGGATAAATCCATTGCACAACGCCTTCTTTGTTCCTTAAGGACGGGAATATTCACGGAAAGCATGGATCGGTCATAGAATTCTTGACTGGTCACTTTGAAAAGTACAAACAAAGTACCGTACATTTGTAAATTTGGAATTGAACCTGGCGGATGCAGTAGGGGACCTTGCAAGACTATGCCTAGCCTATACTAATTGACTAGCATGGTACGGAGTAGTGCTTTTCGGTCCTGTCCTCTGAATTAATTATCTAGAGCAACACCAGCGGTCACCGCTGATTCGAACCCCAAGGTCTGGCGCTCTACGGAAGCCCGGAGTACTTACTAGTCAACGATCGACTACTTTAGCATGAACTTTAGGTGAGAAGAACGCCCGCACGGGCCTGTGTGGGAACCCAAGTTGCCGGTACAGTGCTAAAAAGGATGCCGCTGCTCATACGACGGTTTCAGCCTTTGCGAGTTGGTCTAGTTTTTCCCTTTTCGAGCTTTGGCTTATTTAGTCATTTCGTACATCTGTGGAACTGGCTAGTGGAGAGTTAGTGGGCCTTTTCTTTTCTTTTTGTTCCCTCTGTATGGCTCGTTTGAGGTGAGCCATGCTTGTTTCCTTTTGGTATGCCAACTCATCAAGGGAGACAGAGATCGGATGGACGAAACATTCTCCTAGGAAAGTCTCCGTCTTACTGCAAACCCGAACGTTTCAAAACCTGCGGCTAATCCTGCATGGCTGACCAGAAGGCCGGAATCAAAAAAGTACTAAATTCTCCCAGACCAGGTAGCGGAAGCAGGGACTGCTTTCCCCGGACAGAGCCTCGAGCAGGAGAAATCATGGGACATACACCGTCGCCGTTAGTGAGCACCCAAATCCCGGGATTTGGGGATCTCTGACTCGTTGGGTTCGGGAGGTCAGGCTATCATTGGGAAAGGAGGACGAGCGTGGATACCTTGTCCTCCTCAGAGACCCGGGGGTGTGGTTTCGTGTTGTGTCTAAGTCTTTAATCATGCATAAGGCGTGAGTGGAGGTTCCTGATAGCTGGGTTGACACTATCCATTGGGTTGATTTTTTGACTGACCGACTGATTGATCTAACGTTGACGGTGGTTTTTGTGGTCTTAAGGCCCAGGTGCTATAGATAAGCATGTTTGCCTTGTACATGTGCTTGGCTTCTCCTATGCGGATATTGCATGTGCACTGCACATAAAGAGCTGGTTAACCTCCCTGGTGAGTGTAGTTTAGATTTTTGTTGTGGTTGCCATAGCGCCTGATCTCGGTGCCTGATCAGCTTTATCTCTCTCATTATCACCTACTTCACTTTAACAACACTCTTCACGGCGACCAAATCAAAATGGCCCCTAGAACTGGTACTGAAGGTGAGCCCCGGGGCAGCTTGACTGAGAGGAACATCGCTTTGCACAATGCCCTCGAAGAATCTGTAAGTTCGGCAAACTCCCTTGTATTCGTGAACTCTCCTGATGTTGTCTTAGAAGGAGTCGGGTGACAATGTGATGTCGTGGATGGAGAAAGTCATCGCCGAAGAGCGAATCCATAAATATTACTCTCAACTTGGAGCCGAACGCTTCAACCTCCATAACCAAGGCCTTGTCGACATCGAGCATGCCATGGGCCGGCTCAGTCACGTTGCATTTGGTTCGAATACGCAAGGAAGTAATGATCAAATGAGCGAAAGCCTGAAGCTCTTCGAGCAACACCAGCAAGGAGTGTACCGCGAGACCCCTCTTGAACGCTTTCTGACCCCGGACGGATGTAGCGACCTCAGTTACTACGCTCGGGGAGCCCTGGCAGAGATGGAAACTGAGTTTGGTGATATGGAAGGACAAGAGAAGCGCAGAGAGAAAGCGAAGAACAACGTGGAACTAGTTATCCGCAACAAGCACAGAAAGGAATGAGTCGGGTCAGTTGATGGGGACTAGGGATCCGACATAGGGTCTGAAACACCGACAAAATGAGCAAGTGGGAAAGAAGATATCAAACATTAAAGATAAACTAAGTTGTTAACTAAGCTGCCATGAGTTTCAGCTCTCGGACTGTTCTCCCAAATTCATACTAACGTAGGCCAGTACCACGGTCCGAATAATTCTATGTATATGCAGTAAGTTTTGATTGGGTATATCTGTGTCTCAAATCATGCTTGGTGTGCTGTTCAGCTGGAACCTTCTCTTGAAATGTCTCGCCAACTGATCCGCTGCTGGTTCCAAGAAGCGTACCAGTCCCTAAGCGCCATTAACCAACCAAAGAACGACACGAAGGACTTGAAGTGGTTATATTAGCAGAGCTGTATCTTCCAAATCCGAATAACCATAGCAGGTGCAAGCACGGGCTTGTTTCAATCTGACGCAAGAGTAAGAGTGAAGACCGGCGGGACGTAAGAGTTCAGCTATATCTGTCTATTGACATCAATGGGCTCTAGCTTGGGATCAATTATATGGTTTGGCCCAAATCACAATGAAGCGAGAGCTTCCACAGCTCCGGCTCCCTTGAAGGCTGCCTGGTTCCGGACGACAACCTCAACGGGGTATTTCCATTCCATGAACCTGGTCCAACCTGCAGAACAAGTCAGTACGTAGCCCCAGGATCAATGCAATCCCACACATGATAAACATACTCCAATAGGCACACTTTCTCCCCAAGAACTTGCCCACGAAGGGTACGACGACCATAGTCAAGAGGAGCTCCAACTGCTCAATGCTTTCCTGCCATTCCTCCTCGGCGTCAGAATAATCCGAGAGGGTCTCTAGGTCTGAGGAAGAGTCCGATTCAGAGGGAAGAGATGCAAAGTCATCATCCGAGGTGTTTTCTATAGAGGGGACCATATAAGCCGACGTCGCGAGTGATGGGCTGGAGGCGGAGGGTGATGGGTACGACATGGTGAACGGCTCTGAGACAAGATAATAGTAGGAAAGGAAGGCACGGACAAATAGATTGTAAAGTGTCAATCAAGCAGTGGCCCGCCTACCGCTTGAAAGAGGATAGCGGCATGAGTAGGACCAAGTAGTGTCCCTTGAGATTCTGTTGATTGATTGGAGTTGGGAAGTTGATAGTCAAGGTCGTCTGATGTAATCCAGGGGAAGGTCCTCTCACGTGCCGACTCGTACCGTATTGGCTGTAAAATTACACGCTTACCAAAATTGTTTGACTCATGGGATCACGTGAACACGACCCGCGATAACAGATTCGCCATCAGACTCGTCGCAGATACGGTTCTCAGCGGAAAGTTCATAGCGACCTCGTCGTCTTACTCAAGAGCTTCATTATCACAGCCAGAAGTGGATTATTTGGTGTTTCCTGGTGGAGTGTGAACCCTTGCCTGCGCTCTAGCCCAACATGGCGGATACAACTGTACGTCACACGCGGTTTTCCCTTACCGATCGTCCTCCCACATTTTCTGCACCTTTCAATCTTCTCTAGCCCAAACCCATTACCTTGCCACTCCGCTTTAGTTTGCGACCGTGGTGCTGTACTGCATTGCGAAAATTAACTATCTGCCTTTATTTGACGTCTGGAAATATTTGATTCCAGAACCCCTTGTCCGCTAACGTTATCTGGCGGGGCCGAACAGATTGAACAAGCTCCTCAAAAACAACGCAAGTCAGTCGCATTCAGTGAGGGCTCTGTCATCATGGATACAAACGGTGAAGTCACAGAGGTGCCTCAGGTGGAGAAGCCCACCGAGAATGAAGGTATGATCACCCGAGTTCTGTCTATGTATTGTTCACTGCATTTCGTGAGGGATCTATGTCCGGTTGTCTAATTAAAGAAATAGCCCCCGCAGACAAGTCAGTCGACGAAGTTACCGAACTGTTCAAGGGACTTTCGAAGAAGAAGAAGACAAAGAAGCCCAAGGATGCAGAGGCCGACGAAGGCGACGAAGCTTCTCCAGCAGCTGACAGCGAATTCGACCCCACCGCTTTGAAAAAGAAGAAGAAGAAGACCAAGAAGGTCGACGCTGGCGATTTCGAGGCTAAGCTTGCCGAAGCTGGTGCGACAGAGAAGGGTCCCGAGGAAACAGAGGAGGTCCCTGAGGGTGATCTCGAGGCCGGAACTGGTATCTGGGCCCACGACGCTACGCAAGCCATCCCCTACTCGCTGCTTGTCTCCCGATTCTTCTCCCTCATTCAGAGCCATCATCCCGATCTTTTGTCTAGCGGCGCCAAGTCGTATAAGATTCCTCCTCCCCAGTGTCTGCGTGAAGGTAACCGTCGTACTATCTTCGCCAACATCGCCGATATCTGCAAGCGTATGAAGCGTTCCGACGACCACGTCATGCAGTTCTTGTTCGCAGAATTGGGTACCAGTGGCAGTGTTGACGGCAGTCGTCGTCTGGTCATTAAGGGTCGTTTCCAACAGAAGCAGCTTGAGAACGTCCTCAGAAGATATATCGGTATGTTCTTCCTCCATTCATCATCTGTATGATACCTCTCTAACATATCATTAGTCGAATACGTCACCTGCAAGACCTGCCGCAGTCCCGACACCGAACTCAACAAGGGTGAGAACCGTCTGTACTTCGTCACCTGCAACTCGTGCGGATCTCGTCGTTCCGTCGCCGCTATCAAGACCGGTTTCCGTGGCCAAGTCGGCCGCAGAAAGAGACAGGGTTAAATGTGATGTGGTGTCTTTGGGGGAGCCATGGTGGCGGTGGTTGTATTTCCTTGCGACTATCTTTTGGCGATTTATGATTTTCTTTCCCCCTTTCGTATAAAGATTTCTTTTTTCTCTCTCCTTTGTGGATGATGACGATGACGTTGAGAGTAGTGCTTTACGGAAAAAGGAACTCAAAAGTAACTAAGAAGAGACGAAGTGAAGACAATATGGCATGGCATGATAGGCACATGGATTGGTATGACTTTCTTTGGGTATAATCTGTTCCCTTAACTTGACGGTTGAACGTAAATTGTATGTATTAGGAAACTGTGCTGGTACGGATGCCTTTTGTATACTAGTACTTAGTTTTTTAATAGGCCCAGCCAGTAGCCCTCAATTCAAAGTAGGCACAATGACAAAACAGGCACATGCATCGCCTACCCAGAAATACAGATGCAATATTCGAGACGGAAAGAATGGTTGTATTGCAAGACCTGAAAACACGCTCATAAACAACACAGCGGCCAATTTGAGATAAAGGGGGATATATATATAAAAAAAAAAGAAAAAAAAAAGAGTTGAAACACAAAGGAAAGTATGTGCAAGATAGTCAAACAAAAAACCCAGCTCTTTGGAGTATCCATGGCCAGATCAACAGAGCCCTATTACTATTTAGTACTGAGATGCGCCGCAAAGGCACTAGCGTTCCTCGTCTGTAGGTAGACAGTGCCGGGGCCCTCGAATTTACACGCAAGACCTTCGGCGGAGCTATAAGTCGAGAACATGCCTCCGGAGGCAGCCCGCGTCATAGTGTACTTGCAGTTCCAGGCGACAAGATAGCCATTGTCGACGAGGTAGGTCTCGCCCTCGGGGATCTGCATTGAGTTCATTAGAAAAGCCCTCGCTCAGGTGAAGACCGAGACGGTTGATTAGTGGGGATAGAAGCCTCACATCTTTCCTGATGATCGCACCGAAACTCTGAAGCCACACAAGGCCGATTCCAGACATATGATAGATAATAAAACCCTCACCCGAAAAGACGGCCTTGGTCAGTCCTTGAGCTTTGTAGTCCTTCACGACTCCACTGGTCGCAGCCAGGAATCCATCCTTGCCAACCTTCCATGACTCTGAGCCGCTGAGGCGGAGAACAATGATATCTCCCAGCGTTGGTGGAGCAAGCAGGATCTCTCCAGGGCCGGTATATGTGGAGAAGGTCATTGACCCGGCGAGCATTTTCATCATGCTGAACTTGGCGCTTCCTCTGAGTGAGATCTTTCCGGACATTGCAACCATCACACCTAAGTGACTGGTTAGTATACAAAGCTGCGTCCCGAGATATAGATGGACATGGAGCCTACCGGGCTTTGCTTCTATTGGGCATCCCATGGCCAACTGCATTGTTAGGACCGAATTAGTGTCCCGGTGGCTGATTCTGTAACTTCCCCCGTTGAATGTTCCAACCTCATCCTGGTTAGTAGCGGACAGGGCCTGAGTGGGTTGTGATTGCAAATCTGCTGGGATCGAGGGAGGCGTTGATGATTGGGGAGGTTGCACCGCATAGGGATTGTTGAAATTGCCATTTGCAGCAAACGATGCGAAATTGACATCGTTCGGGGGAGGAGTTATTGATGGCACTGTTTGTTGCCTTTGCGGAGGAGGAAAATCGAAATCTGGTGCTGAGACATCGGAGACTCTTGCGGGGTTCACCTGGAAAGCTATATCATGGGTGAGACGGGCTTGTATCTATATACAAAGGTAATACCGTACTTGCGGATTTTTGAGGGTCTGGGGCCATGGAAACCGTTAGCATCAATTGCAAAAGAAAACCAAAAGGCCGCAAGGGGCGATCTGGATAATAGCAAAGGCTGAGCTTGCTCACGAGGAAATTGAGGTTCTTGACCTGGTGGCGGAGGGAAATAAGGAGTCGCCATTTTTCCCTTTTGGATCTTTAGTTGTATGTGTGCTTTGCTACAGAAGGAACCTTTCTTCCTATGCTGTTACTTTGCAAGAGAAGAATAAATGCCGAGTACGGTTGTGGAAGCGGTTCGAATACTTAAGTTGTCTGGAGCTCAATGTGTACAACGGGAACTTTCAAGTGAGAAAGATAGATAGATACGTGAGAAAAGAACAGTCCTCCGAAGCAGCTCCTTCGCTGTAAATATACCTTCCATAGTCCGTCAAGTGGCAGAGCCAGTATCATGCATGGGAAGCCACTGGTTTCTGTAAGCGCTGAGGATATTCCATACGTGCGATCTGATTGATCTAGAGGATGGAAGCCGGCGCTTAGAGAGAGTGGTCTGTGATACAACCTGCAGCAACGCATAGCCGATCATTTGGAATTTCAACCTTTGATGGACGCCATCCGGCCAATAAAATATGACTCTCCCATCATTGCATGATTCTTAATGGTCCAGCCAGTAGCCTTGGATGTCAAGGCTCGAGTCGAATCAGAGGAGAGTCCTGCGGGGGATAAAGAGGGTGGGGTAGGGCTATGGAAATCATTCCTGACCTTACTTGGCACCGCCTGGAGTTGTGTCCTTGGTAGTATTCGAGATAAGTCGAGTTGCAAACCACAACAAATTCTTGATATACCTCGTACATGAAAAACGAAGGAGGGCTTTGCTACGCGAAGACTCTAGTCTAGAAAATCCGCAATCATGCAAGACCATGCGTAGTGAGCGGATGGGTAATCACCTCGGACGCTAGATGAAATTGCCCTCTCCTTAAGAATGTTGCCTCCTTTTGTTGACAAATACACCCATTTAAATAGAGTAAGTGCTAGGTGGACTTCTGTTCGGGTCGGAAACGTTGTGCATTAAGTCCAGTCAACGTAATAAAGAATGACCAGAATGATAGGGTAGTTAATTGAGATGATACCTACGTGACCTGGGAAGAGTGTGATCACCAGCCTCGCCAATCGAGTAGAGAAAAAGACATATATCCTGTCGCTGTTCAGGTTTTTGAATAGCCGTGAAAGAGAAGAGGAGATCAGGTGAAACAAAATGTTTGTGTGAGCAAATATATGAGCAAATATATGAGCAACTCCATTATGCCCAGAAACTAGTTCTCAGTGGCCCATATTTATACTTAGATCGGACGTATTGTTTAGAGAGTCGACCTTGGAAGACGGTGGAGGTGAGGAAGGCTTCTTCAAATCAACACGCCTGGCTTGTCAACAATGCTAAACCGGAAGCCCGAGATTGTAGATATGGTTTAAAGTTCTTCAAAAGTTGTCAGAGGAATATGGTAATCCCTTATTTAGTGGATGTAACGAAGGGGATGTTTCAATGATTGCTTGGCAAGGGTAGGCAGAGACATTTATAGGCAATTTCATCGGTTGCCCCGACCGATCCGACAGGAACATTATCCGCATTATTCCATCCATTCATTCACATTAGTTGATTGTTGAACCCATCCTTCCTTTTTATTTTAAATTTATTTTTTACTCATCCATCTTTTTTTTTAAGAGAAAAAACCCCTTTCCGCTTGTCCCTAACAGACTACACATCTCTCTTTTTCCGGTCCCGGTCACTCTCTTCTTTCTCTCAGCCATGGCGTCCCAGGGCGACTTCAAGACCGCCATCACCAACCGGTCGCTGCGGACTGTCCGATTGGTATAACATCCTTGTTACGGAATAGCCTCCGTGGTTTATTCTCATCTATACTATCCTGTGATAGATCGCTAATTCTACTATTCCAGGAGCTCGAATTCCTTGCAGATGCGTCGGTCATTACTCCGCAACAACTGTCCTCGATTCTGTCCCAACTACCCACGGAGAATACGGAACGCTCAGTCTCCTCTGTACCCCCATCGCAGCCATCTGTTCAGCGGCATCAACCCCCTGTTGCAGCCCCGGCCCCAACTCAGCCTTCTCCAGCCCCGTACTCTCCCCCAATTCAACAATTCGCCAATACCTCGTTGAACGAGAAAGCCGCCTATCACCAACCGGCCCCGCAGCATTATCCAACTCCCCCACCTCCTGCGTATCCCCAAACTCCTCCAGTGCTGTCCGTCGCCTCTGCGCTCTACGCTTATACCCCTACGGATCCCGGTGATCTGGCCCTGCAGCCACATGACCGCGTTCAAGTGTTAGAGCATATGAACGCCGATTGTAGGGAACCCGATGCCATTTGAAACAACTGGCACTTTGGCTAATATTTACCTACAGGGTGGCGTGGTCGTAATGAGCGGACTAATTTGGAGGGTATCTTCCCTCGTAGTTATGTCAACGTGATTGAAAATAAGGCAGCGCCAGCTCCTCCTTCGAGTTACGGAAACATGCCCCTCGAAGTCAGTCAGAGTGGCTCCGGGGAAAATCCCGACGAGAAGAAAGGAAAGTTTGAGGAGCATGGCAAGAAGTTTGGCAAGAAGCTGGGCAATGCTGGTACGTTTTCCCAGATAAAATATGCTCCTACAAGGTCTACTTTGTGAGCTTCTGTGGTGTTAATGTTTCCTGATATCCACATATTCCATGACACATCTGTGAGTACTGACTGTCGTGTGTTTAGCTATCTTCGGTGCTGGTGCTACGGTTGGCTCCAACATTGTGAATAGCATCTTCTAGTGTATTAGTCTCTACCAAACCCCTGATTTTATGAGGAGCCTAGAGTTGAATATCGTGCGGATTGATTCCGGTTTTGCTCCTCTGGTCCCTTCTTTTTCGTCCCCGGAAATGGCGTTGGTGGTGTTCTTTCTTTTGCTCCTCGGGAGCCTCTTGCGGTTGGCCTGTTGGCGATTCATTGGGAAGCGTGTGTTACGGATTACTTATAACATGATCCATAGCCACTACGTTAATAGTATTATCAGAATACAACTTTCCACGCTATGATCTATGGGCTCCCGGTTAGAGGATATTAAGAGATAATTAGTGGGAAGATATTGATGTCGAGTCAGCCACAAAAGGAAACAAAAACAATGCCTGGTTTGAACTCCAGACACAACTTCTTAACCTCCATGCCACTCTGACTTTTCCTTTTTCACGGGTCTTTTGAGTTTTCTATTTGAAACCACTCTCCCCCCACTAAGAGAATCTCTCTAATTCCTATGCGCCCGCGTTGGACGTTTAAGCGCCGGCGATCATGTATGGTCACATAATTAGAAAAACTAGACCCAGCAAGCTGGCGTAAGGCTATAACAATACATTACTCGAGCAAGTATTGGGTTTATACAATCAACGAAGCGCCACTACTATGCTATGGTGAGTTTCAGCACATATCAACGTCAAGGTACGATTACGCGATCTGCAAGGCTGATGTGGCCAGCCGGGATCACGGTTTCTATGTAAGTAAGTATGTATATAAGAGCGCGTAGAATTCAAACCCAACATTGTACAGGTATGATGCTTCGGTTTTAAAACTTTGCTCAATCTTGGATCTCTTCATATGTTATATATACCGGGTCCTTCGCCATGCTTCACTATCTGATATATGTTATATGTTTCATATCGTCTACTGTAAAGGCTAGTGGTTGGGATGAATTTTCGGACAATCTTGCTACAGACTTGGTAAGTTGCTCCCCCCCCTGCCTCAATACGTATTATATGAGTTTAATGCTAAGACCGCGTCCACCAGGCACCGTTGATCTCTCTCTTTGGGGGACGGCTTACAACACAGTTCCTTTCGGAGTCGGTTAGCCTTCTAGATACCTTTATCTTTGCTCTAGCTCCACTGGGGATCCTAACGGCCACGGTCTCTGCCATCCGAGTCTGCGGAAACTCCTCCCTTCGAGCATTCATCGGGAGAGCCCAGGAGGATCCTGGGGAGGCAGAACATGAGCTATTGTCGTGTGTTTCGGAGACCACAGCGGAGTTATTCAACAATGGTGGCATTTCCCGAGTTTTCGGAAGGCCCCGACTACTTGAGGTAGTGGCGTGGAAAGACAAAGACCCGGTAAGCAAAGAGGATAGCTGGAAGACCGGGACTCTGCGTGATGCTCTGCAGCAGGGCGCCTGGACCGCGAGGGATGGAACCTGGAATTTTCACGAGAAGGACTACTCGTTGCCGGAGCTTGATATACCGAATCTGTCCCTGAATAAGGGTACTGCGAGGAGGAGCCAGGGTTGGTTATACTGTGCTGCTGTGTTGGGCTTTGTATTGCAGATAGGTAGGTTTCTGGACGATAGTTCCACCCTGGTTACCTGGTACTGTGGAAAGACGGAGATGGCTGACGGTATTTTCAGGGGTGCTTGCGTATTCTGCAGTAACTGTGCTTATCTTTCCAGACGAGTTTAAAAAGGACGGACAGCCGGTGAAGGACTATGCATTGCCACTTTTTCTGATTGGGACTGTTTCGCTCTGTACTGGGATGTTCCTCTGTGCCTTCATTGTTGAGCGCTCGTCGAGGGAATTCTATTTCCACCCTGTCAAGCCTAGCAAGATTTACTGGCTGCAGCCCGGGGGGCAGAACATTGGAGACCAATTATTCAGCTCTTTTCTCGGCGTCAACGAGGGACCTGGTTCTCAGCCGACCGAGGATCTTATATATATCAAGTCGGTACGGGGCGACGCACTTGAGGGCAAATGGAATCTACTCTCCATCACCGTATCAATTACATTGGCAGGATTTGTGGCCCAGTTCGTTGGTCTTCGAGGACTCCATTCATCTGTGACCCTAGCACAGATGGGGTCCACGCTCATGATGGCTATTGTTCGAACATGCCTTCGCACCAAACGAATCAGTTCAGAAGAGAATCGTCTCTCCAAACAAGAACAGCAGCTTACCTCTCACAAGCACCAGGAGCTAGACTGCTTCGCATTTCATCTCGAGGATGTTAAATCGTTCAGTTTGGTTTCTGGCATGGTAAGGGGATCGTCGTCTTACCAGCCCAGCCTCTTATCAGTTGCGTCTGGGAACTCGGGTCATGTCACCAGGCTGGGAACCAGGCTTATTCAAACGAGGGCTCAGCTCGCGAAACTTACTGCCGAAGCTGATGGCATTCAACGCGTGGCGTGGAGTGATCTGCCTATCAGACAGGTTGCTCACAATTTGGCACGAGCGATTGAGGCGACGATGGACTTGATATCAACTTGGCAGCATGTGTCAAAAGACGTGGACAGCTTTGACCTTGAATTCGTGTGCCAGTCTCATCATAAATTCATTGCTCCAAACATTGAAAGCTACGCAATCAACCTTGAAAGAACAGACGATACACCGCAGTGGCGAGTTCAGGAAAACGAGCTGGAGGCGGTATTGGGGCTATGGACGTGGTCCCTACTGACTTCTAATCCAGATTGGCTGCAAGGCGGACTTGGTAGACTTGCTGGCCTAAGCGAGTCCGAGGCCAAAGAAGAAGACACTGATCTTTACTTTCATAAATGGATTTTCCGCCAGAAGGAAGCAAGGATGGTTTCCTCCAAGATGATCTGTCTACCTCAACGCATGTTCGGTTATTATGCAGATGAATATCTCGAGGAGAAAGAGATCCTGGTTGTGAAGACTGATAACCGCCTAGAAACCATGGCTGCTCAGGATATTTACGTTCAATTTATAAAGAGTGTCGTGGGCGGCGTGACGGAGCTTGGTGGTGACACTACCATACTCCCCTGTTCCCAGAACGGGTACGTTGCGCATAACAGTCGTCTCGATGACCTTGTGAGCTGTTTCGAATCAAGCAACTTGGGCTCTAGAGAAGATGCACTGTTGTGTATAGTACCCGTTTTGAAACATAGAGATCTTTTACCAAGACTTTCTGGAAATTCAAGCGTCGTTAGGGCTCGCCTAGAAGAGCTTATAGCCAGCGGAAGCTGGAGGGAGGCATTTGGGGTTCTATGGTGGCTCTGTGAGCGGAGTGAGGGAGCCGAATTCGATCATTCTATGTTTGCGCTCGGTTACCTTTGCCGTCGGGCAATGTTAGATACCGATCCGGATGTGCAAACAGAAGGATGCAATTACGCATACCGCGCCATAGAGACTGATCCAAGAACAAGGTTTATCAAAAACCTCAGGAATAACCGTCCAGCAGGCTGGATGGACGCAAATAAAAGACCGGAAAATTGGAATGCGTTTTCCCTTCAGCTTGGATGGATTATGTGGCACACTGCACAGAGACATAGCGATCGAGGCACCATTCAACAAACACTCGAGTCACTGGGCATCAATGAAAACTCAGTAACAGCAGCTAAGGCAAACAATGATGAGGATCAGGGAAGGATGGGTGAGCAGGCAGTCCTTCAGTGGTTGACAAAGGGCGAAGAAGCATTTCTTGGTTACGAGTTACATCGAATAGAGGGCCATCTAGCACTGGATTGGGTGTGTCAAAATGGCCACCATGCACTTCTCAACTGGCTTATCGTGAGATGGGCCGAATATGACCGACAGTGCCCAGGGTTCATCTACAACATCCTCTCATGGGCCGCTAAAGGAGGATATGGATCGGCGATTGCTTTATTACGCCAACACGGGGTGGACCTCGACATGCAAGAACTGTCGGAAGAGAGTTTGGCCCCATTGATCCGTGAATGTGCACTGGTAAATTCAAAAACAGCCAAGGAGTTACGTTGGTGTTGATGGAAGGAGCGCAGTTGAGAGAAACACCATTGATGACCGCCAGCCATGTGGGAGACTTGGTTTCTCTGCTTCTACGCAGGGGTGCGAATGTGAATGCTCGGAGTAACGGCGGACAAACGCCTTTCTTATTTGCTACAGCCGGGAATCATGTTGCTGTAGCCCAGATACTTTTGGACCATGGTGCTAAAATCAACTTAAGCAACAACGAGGGAGTTACCGCTGCGGTGTGTGCAGTATCAGAAAACCATATCGAAATGGTAAAATATTTACTCTCCGAAGGAGCTCACGTCAATCTGCAAACAAAGGATGGGTGCACCGCCCTTATGCAGCTCGAAACAAATATACTCAGGTCACGAAACTTCTACTAACCTCTGGAGCTGGAACCGATATCCACGAAAGGATGTTGAGCGGAATGACAGCTTTTGAATGGGCGCGAAAGTCTTATCAAACAGAATGTGTCCAACTTCTTAAGGCGGCGTTTTCAAGGAGTTTAAAAAATACATTTCTTTTTTTTTCTTCAATGGACATAGATCTTTCTCCCTGAACAGTTCTAAATTTGTATCTATTCTCCGTGTAATATGGAGGACGTTGTAACTAAACTTTTAAGCTTTGATAATCGTGGCAAAAAGGCTGGAGTACAAACAGGCCATACACAGTACAAAAAAAGAGCGAATGAGCGAATGATGTCAGTGGGGCTTGTCCCGAATAGGAGTCCGAAATAGGACTAGGGCATAACCTCCCCTCTGACTCCGCCATGGTGGCTCGAGAAGCTTCTGTGTCATTGATATAAATTCGGCGCGCCTGCGATATTCCTTCTTTTTAGCCACAACCTCACGCGATCCAAATATTACCGCCTTCGCCACTCTCCCAGTCTCCCAACAACCAACTCCACCACTTCCTCTCTTAAACGTCCTTCTAAACACCTTCCAAAATGAGCGACTGGGATTCTGTTACCCGCATTGGAACCAAGCACCGTGCGGGTGCCGCTCCTCGTGAGACCGTCGTCAAGGGCAAGAGCGCTCTAAATGCCGCTCAGCGTCAGGGATTGGTCATTGGAACGGAGAAAAAATATGCCACTGGTAACACTGTAAGTATTCTATCCAAATTTTTTTTTTAACTGCCCGCGAATTTCCCGCTCTTTGTGTTCTTGGCCACCATGCTGACTCTCAATCGTAGGCTGGACGTTCTGGTGCCCCCGAAGGCCAACACTTGACAAAGGTCGATCGCAGTGACGATATCATCAAGCCCAAGACTGTGGGGGTGCAAGTTGGAGATGCTATCAAGAGGCGCCGTGCCGAGGAGGGCTACAAGATGACCCAGAAGGAACTCGCCACCAAGTGCAACACCACCGTCACTGTCGTTCAGGACTTCGAGAAGGGTACCGCCACCCCTGACCAGAAGGTCCTTAGTGCTATGGAGCGTGTGCTCAACGTTAAGCTGAGAGGTGCAGACATCGGAAAGGAGAAATTCCCCAAGAAAAAGTAAATTGACCGGGGGTGAGCCCGCGGCTTTTTCCTTGATGGGATAGGATATCTTTTCATGAAATCCTTTTCTTCTTTTCTCTTCACGATGTCCCTGGATGTCCCTTTTCGGTTTTCACGTTAATGCATTTTATTGTGCGATGAGATCCCCATTACTTTCTGCTGGTCGGAAGAGCGCTGGCCTGGCATTGAGATGAATTTCCTTTTTCTCTTATATAAACGTCCCGTCTGAATAAATCGTTATGCTTTTGCGGTGCGAGTCGGGGTGTTTCAGTTTATATATATGTGAGATAGAATGCTACCCAGCAGTTTGCCAACGAAGAGATATATTTATGACGAAGTATGAGCTTGGGAAGCAAAAATTGTAAGAAGTAAATACTGGGTTTCTTTAATGAGGACACAGAAAGCGACCAGAAAAAGGGAAATGGTACCAACTCCGACTGTATCATGGAATCAATGAAATGAGAATTTATGCCCTAAATCGCCCCGAGAACTTCTCGTCCCGCCGTGCCTGCTTTTGCCTCATTCTACGCTTTTCGTTTGGTGAAAAATGACTTTGCCTCATGACACATGCGTAATTAGGAAAAAAAAAGTTCTTTAAACGCCAATCACTTTATTTGCGCAGCTGCTCCCGCTCCACTTCGTACATGAAATCGAAGTAGGGCTTGTCGAAGTGGTGGACACGGACGTAACCGTCCTCACCACCAGAGGCGTAGGCGGAACCGGAGGGGTGAACGGCAACAGTGTTAAGAGGGCCGAAGTGGCCACGGACACGGCCAATCTCGTCTTCGAAAACCTTGTGGTAGAAACGGGCCTCGAATTTACCCTGGCGAGCAGACGTTGTGGTGACATCCATAGCAGCTTGACCACCTCCCAGGATCACGTATTCCTTCTTAGGTGTAATTGTGGCGCTGTTAAGGGGAGTGTCGGCAACATAGGTCTTCATAATGGCGAGGTTACGGCTGGAGATAAGCTAGATCTAAGTTAGTATGCTGTTGCGCTGCCCGTTCTCCTAGGAAAGTGACACACCTTGGAGGACTTATCTTTGGAAGCGGTGATGAAATATGTGCGGTCTGCGGAGAATTGGATGTCGTTGATCTGGTGGTCGAACTCGTGGGCCTGAACGTTCTCCAACTGCTCACCGGTCTGTAGTAACGGTATATTAGCAGAGCCTCCTATTCCCTTGATCGAGATTTCCGCACCTTCGCATCGTACTGGCTGACGCTACCGTCCTCGTGACCAGCAATGATGTACTTGCCCAAGTAACTCCAACCCGCAACCGTTGCTTTGCTCTCCGTGCAGGTAATCTTCAAGCTGGGCTCCTCAGCCTGAGATGTCAAGTCCTCTCCATAGTTGATATCAAGCACGGCGATAGTACCCAAAAAGCCCATACGCTTCTCCGTGACGGCCAAAAGTCTGCTTCCATCCGGAGTGAATTCGACCCGCTTGACGGCCGTAGGGAAATCCCACACCTTAACACACTCGCCCGTCTTCACGTTCCATAGTCGCACGGTGTTGTCTGCCGACCCAGTGGCAAGAAGCTGGGTGTTGGGGCTCACGTCGACTGTCCAGATAGCACCCTGATGTCCGTTATAGGTACCGAGTCTCTCGCCGTTAGCCGACCACCAAGCGCACACAATCTTATCCTTCGCTACGGAAAACAGAAGGTCACCATCGCGGTTGAATTTGATCTGGTTGAGGGACCGTTCCTATGCGCAAAGTATCTGTCAGTGACCTATCCCGTTTTTTCTTCATTATCGTGAAAAAAGAATCTTCGGATCGTTGAAAGGTAAAACGCACATGGCCCGAAAGCAAAATAGGTCTCATGTTGGGCCGACCAAGCTATGAATTTCGGGAAAGTGACGAAAAACAAAGGTACTCGATCACAGATGGAACCTGTGACTGACTGTATCGTCTCTGAGGCGGAACTGCTGGCGGGGTGCTGGCGGCTCTCTTCGTCGGCGATGTCAAGACTAGTGAATTTCATCGCACAGTTCGGGCTCGCGCGCCAAGACTTTCCTGTTCGAGACTGTTCCTGTGCTGAAAGCTTGCCGTAACGGTGGATAGATAATCCGGTATGGTAATAATCTCACATGACTGCGTTCAGCCCTAACTTTGACTAGCTGCTTATGTCCGTACCGGGTATAGTTTGGCTTGATGGAGGATTATGGTTCAGAGCCCAACTTCATGACAGGCGTAACCAGGGATCTGCGTGATGAAGGTATTGGGAATAGGATCCCTGAAATGAATAGATTGGACATTTGGGGACCTGCAGGGTTTTGCTAATTGGGCTGTTTAATCCCTGAAATCGTATATCATCTTGAACACTTGGTTGTTCATCGCGGTTAGGTAATCCCGTGGTTTTCTATTATTTTGTGTTATTATTTTTTCCCTATCTCCAATTCGACTCCCTACGTTTCCCGAGGGTTTGCAGCTGGTTAAGGCCAGTCAAGTCCCCCATCAGCGCAAATCAATGCCATTTAGCTCCCCCGCCCGTTCGGCGGCACTACCCCGCTGCCCTTACTACCATTACCACCACCGCGGCCTCGAAACAAAATGTTTCCTTCTCAACTCTCGTCACTTGCATTCCTCCTCCTCACGCCTCCCCCTTTCCTTTCCCCGAATCTCACCCTCCTTTCTCCTCAACCTACGAGGATACTCCGCCGCGCGCGGGGTTGGCGCACTTAGTCATTGCATTCTACGGGCGCTCCAGAACAACCCCACAAGTTATAAGGAATTTACTTCGACACTCTCCTCCTTCCGCCGTTCATTTTCCAGCACCGGAACCACCATGGCTGCTACTAAGATCGATGGCACGCAGATCGCCAAGAATATTCGGGCGGGTCTGAAGAATGAGATCCAGCAGATCCAGGAGTCTAACCCCAGATTCAAGCCCAATTTGGTTATCTTCCAAGGTGCGCCTCTTAGTGTCTCATCACCCCACACTGAACCATTTAGAATTGCTGACCATATATTGTTATAGTGGGCAGTAGATCGGATTCGAGTGAGTTCTTTGTCTAGCGCACCTAGACTGCGGAATGTTAACTAATCCTGTCCCAAGGCACATATGTGCGCATGAAGTTGAGGGCTGCCGAAGAGGTAGGCTCCAGCCGCTTTTGCTGGGGTAGTACTTCTTGTCTGACTGACCAATTTATTTCCATCTAGGCGGGCATCATCTGCAAAATCATCAATTTCCCGGAGTCTACCATTGAATCCGAGCTCCTTCAGGAAATCACCAAGGCCAACAATGACCCCGCCGTGCACGGCATTCTCGTCCAATTACCCCTTCCACAACACATGTCCGAACATACCGTTACTTCTGCGGTGGCAGACGAAAAGGATGTTGACGGGTTTGGAGCGGTCAATATCGGTGAATTGGCTAAGAGAGGTGGCAACCCCCTCTTTGTTCCTTGCACACCACAGGCCGTGATGGAGCTCCTGCGAGTAAGCGGAGTCGACCCAGCGGGTAAGAAGGCAGTGGTGCTTGGCCGGAGTGACATTGTCGGAAGTCCTGTTAGCTACCTGCTGAACAAAGCGGATGCAACTGTGACCCTGTGCCATCGCAAAACCCCTGATGTTGAGAGCATTGTCAAGTCGGCAGACATTCTTGTTGCCGCCGTTGGCAAAGCGGAATATGTTAAGGGCGATTGGCTGAAGCCTGGTGCTGTTGTCATTGACGTTGGTATCAACTATAAGCCGGATCCTTCAAAGAAGTCTGGCGAGCGACTCGTTGGTGACGTTGAGTTTGAGTCCGCCGCTCAGGTGGTTTCTCAAATAACTCCCGTTCCTGGTGGCGTTGGCCCCATGACGGTGGCCATGCTGATGCGGAATGTGGTTAACTCTGCTAAGGCTTACTTCGAGAAGCAGAAGGATAGACACATCACCCCATTGCCGCTCAAGTTGGTCCGCCCGGTGCCTTCAGATATCGCCATCTCTCGCGCACAGTATCCTAAGGCAATTACACAAATCGCTTCGGAAATCGGCATTGCGCCCAATGAGCTCGAGCCTTTCGGTCATACAAAAGCTAAAGTGAGTCTCGATACCCTTGATCGCTTGGCTCACCGCCGTAATGGAAGATATATCTTGGTGTGTGGTATTACTCCAACTCCGCTTGGCGAGGGTAAGTCGACGACTACTTTGGGACTTACCCAGGCCATTGGTGCGCACTTGAATCGCATTGTGTTTGCCAATGTCCGCCAGCCAAGCCAGGGTCCTACATTCGGTATCAAGGGTGGGGCTGCCGGTGGTGGATACAGTCAGGTCATCCCTATGGATGAGTTCAATTTGCATTTGACTGGTGATATCCATGCGATCACTGCTGCGAACAATCTTCTTGCCGCCGCCATCGAAACTCGTATGTTCCATGAAGCAACTCAGAAGGATGCCGCCCTCTATAAGCGATTGGTCCCTGCCAAGAAAGGCAAGCGCGAGTTCCAGCCCATCATGTTCAAGAGATTGAATAAGTTGGGTATTACCAAGACCAACCCAGACGAACTGACCGACGAGGAAATCCGTCGGTTTGCGCGCCTTGATATCGACCCAAAGACCATTACCTGGCGCCGTGTCTTAGATGTTAACGATAGACATCTTCGTGGCATCACTGTCGGACAGGCGCCTACTGAGAAGGGTCTGACCCGTGAAACGGGCTTCGATATCTCCGTCGCTAGTGAGTGTATGGCTATCCTTGCACTGAGCAATAGCCTGGAGGACATGCGTGAGAGGTTGGGAAGGATGGTTGTTGCCACGTCGAAGAGTGGTGAACCAGTCACCTGTGATGACATCGGCGCGGGTGGTGCCCTTGCTGCACTTATGAAGGACGCTATCAAGCCTAACCTCATGCAAAGCTTGGAGGGAACTCCGGTTTTGGTGCACGCTGGCCCATTTGCCAATATTAGTATCGGGGCTAGCTCCGTAATTGCGGATAAGTTGGCCCTGAAACTCGCCGGCACGGAGCCCGATGAGGACCATGATGCCAAGACTGGTTTTGTTGTGACGGAGGCTGGGTTCGACTTCACCATGGGTGGCGAGCGGTTCTTCAACATCAAGTGCCGTTCTTCCGGTTTGTCTCCAGACACTGTGGTCATCGTGGCCACCGTTCGTGCTCTGAAGGTCCATGGTGGCGGTCCGGAGATTAGCCCCGGAGCTCCATTGAACGAAGTTTACCGTACCGAGAACGTCGATATTCTACGCAAGGGTTGCATCAACCTGAAGAAGCATATCGAGAATGCCCGTCAGTATGGAGTACCCGTGGTGGTAGCCATCAACCGCATGGAAACGGATACTGAAGCGGAAATCAATGTCATTCGGGAAGAAGCCATTGCCGCTGGAGCCGAAGACGCGATTGCCGCTAACCATTGGGCCGAGGGTGGAGCTGGAGCTGTGGACTTGGCCAAGGGTGTCCTGGCAGCTAGCTCCAAACCGAAAGAATTCAAGCTCTTGTATGAACTGGAAGGGAGCATCCAGGAGCGCATCGAGCGCATCGGCAAGGCTATGTACGGCGCGGAGAAGGTCGAGTTCAGCGAACTCGCGCAGAAGAAGGTCGACACCTACACAGCTCAAGGATTTGGTCATCTCCCGATCTGTATTGCGAAGACTCAGTACTCGCTCAGTCACGATCCGGCATTGAAGGGCGCCCCAACCGGGTTCACAGTCCCTATCCGGGATGTTCGACTGGCCGTGGGTGCTGGATATCTGTAGGACAGTCCCTATGGACCTTGATCATATAACGTGTGCACTAACTCGAATGCAGGTACGCCCTTGCTGCCGATATTCAAACCATTCCTGGTTTGCCGACCGCCCCGGGTTACTTAAACGTCGATATTGACACCGAGACCGGGGAAATAGACGGTTTGTTTTAGATGAGCCATGTGGTCGACTGGATCGATCTTAGGACTCCACTCCCGATGTAGAGGCTCATGTTTGATAGACATGTTACTCTCCCCTGTTTAGCGGATCTCAACTCTTTTTACATTAATCCGATATATATTGTTTGCACTGCGTGGTTAAGAGAAGACGGGAGTCTTTGGCTCAATTCAACATCTACAAGCATGATGATACACCGACCTCAGGGACAGGACTAGGTGCTTTTCAACAAGTTAAAAGGGGAAAGGATTTGATGAGATAAAACTGTTACACAAGATCACTGGACTATCTCCAGCCCTAGTTACGAGTGAATGGAGATAAACAATCATTGTTAATTTTTTTTTTTTTGTTCTATTGTAAAATTAGCGGGTCAATGGGATTGGAGGGGTGTTTCCGTATATCGCTAGTTTCCTCGCAGAAAGGCGACTTCGGTGCAGCTCGATCCCGGCGGAGATTGTTGATCCGTTACCGCGGGAAACGGCGGTTAATGTAGGCTATTTGCGCCTTATGGAGTAGTGATCCATGCCCATCAATGAGGACGAGCGGGTAAAAGTTTTAAATGGCATGTGGAAAATTAGAAAAAGAAAAAGGAAAAGAACCTAGTGAAGCATAAATCACGGGTAGAAGCAAAATATGGTAGCAAAAATACTGTAGTTTCTCTCGTGGCGATGGGTCTGGCGGAAGGTAGTAGTAGTTCTGTGAGGGTAGTACGGAGTATGGAGTATATTCATTCCTGAGGCCGAGGATGCAACACATTCTTTACGGGGAGCAATGGGAAATCTCCAGGCCGGCTTCGGCGGAGTTGTCTTCACGGTGGGCGGAAAAGGAAGTTGCGACCAAAACAATTGAGTCAAAGGCTCCGGGGGATAAAGGCTTCTGGGTTTGGCATCTTTTTTCTCCTCTTCGTAAATTCACTCTTGTACTCTTTTCCCCCTTTTCTCTCCTCTCCCCATAACTTTGGATACTCACGACTAATCAACGTTCCACAACATATTTTCCGGAGCTCCGATCTCCCCCGTAAGTCCCAGTTATTCTAATCCATCTTGCAAGCTTCTCCGGCGTGACGGGAGCTTCCGACTCCACCGCCCACTCTCTCCTTCCAGCCGAAAGCTTCAAGCGATTCCCTCGGGTATACGTTAATCGCCTGTGTACCCCAGACCTGAACCGGTAGGCAGGAATACCTGGAAGTCGTGATTACCGATGGCTAATCCATTTGGGTGTCCAATGCATCAGGCCTGACCAAAATGATGAATCCTCTTCGGCTCCATTCCGCGTCGGTTCGCCGCAGTGTCGCATCCCCTCTGACTGCCCCTCTCTCTTCCTCCGCTTATCGCTCGATCTCCCGTTCTTCTTCTTCCATTATTTCTTCCTCTTTCTCAACCGCCACTACCACTCGCTCTCAGAGGACTTTCGCTTCGTCTCAGCTCCCTCGTATTGTTCCCCCCCGCCGGACTCCTCTGCACTGGACACAAGCCCGCACCATGGCGACCGAAGGTACCAAGATCAAGGTTAAGAACCCAGTTGTGGAACTGGATGGAGATGAGGTAGGTTTCGACATTCTAGATCTGTCTGGGCGGTGCTTTCTTATATGCCTCGATACCCTCCATTTCATTTTCGTCGTGACCTTGCGCAAACGCGGGGAAACACGGCGAGACCTGTCCATGTTCCCTGGCCGCGCAGCGCCAATCATCCGAGGATCACGAGCCCTCGGCCAACCACAAACCGTCTATGCTTTTTTCCATTTCACATGTGGCTGACTATTTTTGCTTTCCCTAGATGACTCGTATCATCTGGAAGGAGATCAGAGAGAAGGTGCGTTAACCGCGGTTCCTTGCCTTGCATTACTGCGGGCCCGTTCATCCCCGAACCCTGAAACTGACGTTGTTTTGCATGACAGTTGATCCTGCCGTAAGCCACACTCTCCTCTCCGGTAGCACAATCTAGCTAACTTCCGACTACAGTTACCTCGACATTGATCTTAAGTACTACGATCTGGTATGTTTTGAGATCTCGCAGAGGCTTTTCGTGGATCTAACGCCTTCGCAGGGCCTCGAATACCGTGACCAGACCGATGACCAGGTCACCGTTGAGGCCGCTGAGGCCATCAAGAAGTATGGTGTCGGTGTCAAGTGTGCCACCATCACTCCCGATGAGGCCCGTGTGGAGGAGTTCAAGTTAAAGAAGAGTACGTACTAGGCTGGACAATCGTATCGTATATGCTCGTTAACCTCGACTTCTTCTAGTGTGGCTTTCCCCCAACGGAACCATCAGAAACATCCTGTACGTAGTGGCAAATCTAGGCTACGTTTGCTTTGGTGCATGATCACTAACACCTCTCGCAGCGGCGGAACTGTCTTCCGTGAACCCATCGTCATCCCCCGCATCCCTCGTCTCGTACCCGGATGGACCAAGCCTATCATCATTGGTCGTCACGCATTCGGCGACCAGTACCGTGCCACTGACCGTGTGATTCCCGGTCCTGGCAAGCTTGAGCTGGTCTACACCCCCGTCGGAGGCGAGCCCGAGACCGTCAAGGTCTACGACTTCCAGGGCGGTGGTGTTACCCAGACTCAGTACAACACCGATGAGTCCATCGAAGGCTTTGCTCACGCCAGTTTCAAGATGGCATTGCTCAAGGGTCTGCCTCTTTACATGAGCACCAAGAACACCATCCTGAAGAGGTACGATGGTCGCTTCAAGGATATCTTCCAGGAGCTCTACGAGACCACCTACAAGAAGGACTTCGATGCCAAGAACATTTGGTACGAGCACCGTCTGATCGATGATATGGTCGCTCAGATGATCAAGAGCGACGGCGGCTTCGTCATGGCTCTCAAAAGTAAGTGGCTTCTCGCGAATCGCACCGTTGAATAAGGACGGCGTACTAACGGAGGATAAAAATTAGACTATGATGGCGATGTTCAGTCGGATATCGTTGCCCAGGGCTTCGGCTCTCTGGGACTGATGACCTCTACTCTGACCACTCCCAGCGGTGAAGCCTTCGAGTCCGAGGCTGCCCACGGTACAGTGACCCGCCACTACCGTGAGCACCAGAAGGGCCGTGAGACCTCGACCAACCCTATTGCTTCTATCTTCGCCTGGACCCGTGGTCTGGTTCAGCGCGGACAGCTCGACGAGACTCCCGACGTGGTTTCCTTCGCCGAGGAGTTGGAGCGTGCCTGTATCGAAGTTGTGAACGATGAGGGCATCATGACCAAGGACCTGGCTCTCGCTTGCGGTCGTAAGGATCGTGAGGCGTGGGTCACCACCCGCGAGTACATGGCCGCCGTTGAGCGGAGGTTGAAGTCCAACCTCAAGGCTAGACTTTGAGTATCTTGCAGGTTCAATGATTTTCAAGTCAAACATAAATTCTAGCGTGCAGCCTTTCGGGCTGCAGTCATGATGAAGCTAAAAAAAGATAGTATATTACAGACGACTACAATGTATATTTTTCTCAGTACCTCACCCCTGTGATGGCAATTTTGTATTCCCCCGTTGGATTGTGTTGGATCGTGTTACTTGCATGCTTCAAGAATGCATCCTATATAGAAAGCAATTTAGATTTACTCCCGAGGGCCCATGCCGAGGCTCATAGAATTCGAGTCAGCGACTTGCTTAGGGAGTGGCCGCGTGAATCATGCATGTCTCAGGGAACCATGGATGCAGTTTCCGGTCCTGCCCAATCGGGTAGTAGACCATGGGATTCTTGACGCAATTGATTACTACTACTACTATTATTTCTTTTTATATTTTAATTTTTTTTTACTTTTCGTTTCATTTGATATGCATCCCCTTTCGTAGGTGGGTCAACAATTTGGCCACGAGTTCTTGGAAGGCTTTCTTTTCCTGCCTCGCCAGAAGGAAATGTAAAAAGGCATTTCTACAGAGTCAAACCGTGCCGTTGTAACCACCATCAGAATGTACGTGGTGCCCGTTGCGAGTACCTTTCTCGCGGTATCAGTAGTGATTGTCGCCCTACGTCTGTACATTCGACTCTATTTCATCCGGACCCCGGGCTGGGATGATTTGGTGATTGCCCTTGCCCTGGTATGTCTGTACCCGCCAACACAGACCTTCTACGAGGCTAATTGAAATCGTATCAGCTGTCAGATATTGGGTGTTTTGTCTTTGTTATGCTTGGTAGGTATCAGTCAATTTCTCCCCTTTTCTATGCAGTACTGACACCGGACTTCAAGAGGCCCACAATGGATTGGGGCAAAGGATGGATACACTCAGCCAAGAGACACTAGACGCTCAACTTAAGGTAGCTGTGCTGTGTGATCACCTTGCATATTCATGTCTAACATGTCTAAACCAGGCATTATGGGCCAGCATCCCGTTATATAATCTGAGCCTCAACTTGACGAAGACCTCTATGGTCCTCTTGTACCTACGCCTTTTCCCACTGAGAGCCTATCAGATCGTTCTCGTCGTCGTTTTGATATCTGTCATTATCAGCGGACTATGGATGGTTTTCGGCTCCTTCTTCATGTGTATTCCTGTCCGCAGTGCTTGGGATCCGTCCATTCCGCACAAGTGTATTCCTCGGAAAGTTCTCTGGGGCCTTAATGCTGCCCTTCAAATCACCTCCGATATCATCATAGTCACCTTACCCATGCCACTCCTAGCCAAGCTCCAGCTACCCAGAAGGCAGAAGATTGCCCTGATCCTGGTCTTTGCCTTGGGCACATTGTACGTTCAACATCCCCTACAATATCCACCAAAGCTAACATCGTTCCGTCTTAGCGGTTGTGCCGTAAGCATAGTCCGTCTAACAGCATTGGTCCGGATGATCGAGAGCACTGATCGAACAAGTACTTCCCCCCATCCGTTCCCTAGCTTTTCTCCCCTAATCTAACACATTCCTGTAGAGTACAACGCCGCCGCCGCAAACTGGTCCTTCATCGAAAGCAGCATCGCTATCATCTGCGCATGTCTCCCTCCCCTTCGCCCCATCATAGTCCACATCTGCCCCCGCCATTTCCACTCCCAGGACCGTAGTCAATACGACAAGCCCCGCCTATCCGCCTATAACACCACAAACCCCTTCTGTTTCGGCAGTCACAGCTACTCAGCCAGCGTAACCGGCAACTGCTCCACTAACAATGACGGAAGAAAATCGGGCAACCATTGTCATCCCGATGCGGAGGGAATTCAAGTCGTGAGCGAGGTCCATTGGGATTTGAATCCGGTTGATAGTGCGGAGGGCACTCACTCCCAGCGCGGATTACAACCTTCAGATCGGAAATCCTCCGTGGGCAATGTATGACGGGGCGTGTAGCGTGTACTTTAGATAGATCGTTCGGGTCATTGCGAATACAGATAAGGTATAGAGTTAAGAGTTACATAGATACCCTTTTCCAAAGCTTTATGATCTCGATAGATTAAAGTTTTTACTGATATATACTTACTGTATACACATTCCAGATCATATCATTCGTTGTTATTAGCTAATACTACAATAATATCGAAAAGATGGGAGGGAAGTAAATCAACCACGCTAGCATATGAGTCCACACAAGGTACCATACATTAATATCCCAGATATACCACAACAGATCTCTACGCACACCATAAGTGAGTCCTAGTATTATTTACTTAGCTATTCCCCTTTCTTTTCTTCAAAATAACCTCCCTCGACTAATACTATTGTGTCAGCCTTTCATGTATGTACTAACCAGTCTCTTATCAACGCAACATGTATCAAAGATCTTCACTCTTAGGCCTAAGTCTATAGAAAGAAGTGTCTATCCAAACGCAACAGAAGACTACGCTTGAGACTGATATCGCTGATCTCGACGGTTCGCATCTCATTTACACGGTATGGGGCAGGGTAGATTGGACATATTATGCATGTGTCTGATGGGTATGAGCGTCCTTTTCGGGGCGTGAAAGCGAGTAATATGAACCCATGCCGATAGAGAAGGTGGAATTGTTATTAGTTGTTGTTGGGATTTTCTGCTAGCACTTGCAGAATCAGGATAAGTCATTCATAGTATTGAATGAAGTAGTACTAGTAGTGGCTACATGTATATCGTCTATTGAATGGACAATGTTGCGGAGGTATACTACATGAGATTAGAATTGGTAGGGATATGGAGCGTGAATCTGACTATATAGTGGACTTTCTTTGCGTACTAGCAAGGGGAACGATAACCACGACATATAGTCTACCAATGCGTAGACCTTGTCCTACGCTAGATGAAGGGAGCCTTGAGTGACGAGGGCTCAGTGTGTCCCTAAGTTATGACTGCCGGTGAGAATCACTACAGAACGTGCCAAATGGCCTGCGAACAACTATAGTTCTGTACGAAAGACAGGAGTATCTATTCAATATCACGAATCAATAAGGCCTACCTAAACTAACATGGAACGGCGAAGAGAAAAGCTAGTAATGGGAGAACCAATAGTAGGGAGAAGTAGTAGCACCCGACGCCCACAAGAAGGTTGCTTAGACTCGCCCGACAGCGACGAAGGGCGTCGAGGGCGAACGTAGGGCCGATCAAACGCGCAGACGCCCTCGACTGCATTACGGAGGAGAGCACGATGAAGATCTGCTACCCAAGACCGGGGCTTTACTTTGGGCCCCAGTGCACACACGAGCTTCTGTCTGCACATGTTTGCGCCGATATCGAATCCGATTTCCTCCGTGACCGTTGTAAAGGCTCAGAAGGTTCCACGTCGAATAAAGTTTCTCCTGTAGGTCTGCAATCTATACTAACACTTCTAGGTGATGCTTGGTGGATGAATCCCGACTCAACTTCAAAATTGCGCAATGGCTGTCCTGGACCTGAGGCTAAAGGCCATGACTGCCCTAAAGTGGGTCGTAGTGATCCAGAACTCGAGGAAGGCTCTGGAAGTCCCCCTTGAATGATCTCGATTTGTTCATCCAGTGACATTTGAATACCTCGCTTGGAACTAGAGGAAGGCCCTAGAATCTCCCTTCGAATGCTCAGGAGTCGTGGCCTTTTATTACCTGTACCGGCGGCATTGGTATTATTCTGATTGACTCCAAGAATCCTCCGGAGTCGGTCCTCCAGTGACATATGATTATCTGTAGCAGCAGCACTATTATTCTGATTGGCTCCACCATCTGCTCCTTGCCCGTGATTGATACCCTGACTAGCCACGTAAGGTGGAGGTGAAGATGATAGTGGAGATGGAGGAGGATGGGTTGGGGGATTTGGGAGAGTTATTAGAGGTAGGTGCGGAGCTCGATTCTCATCTTGCGTTTTACAGAGGGGGGCCCATAGCTTTTGGCAACAGTCTTTTAAACGACGGCTGTCTTTCAAATGACTCCAGTCTCCTAAAAGACACATCCCAATAAACGGGCTTTGTAGATTCTCGTAGTAAGGCGGTTTCGTGAGTGATAAAGGATACCCCGGTGCATAAAAGAGCGGCTGTTTCAAGGACATTAGATAGCTTGAAGCCAGTGGTGAAAGATGTCCCTGTGATGATTGTGAGAGAAATGCACCGGAAGGAAACTTGTTTGGCTTGGCAACAGGTATGGAGAAGTGCTGGAAGCTGTTTCCACTTTGTTCCGAGACGCTTCGATGTAGACTATCAACGTTGGAGTTGCAATTCTTGCAAATGACGTCGTATTCGCCGATGCGTGGGCTGGAGCTAAAGCTAACAGGAACCATGGCAGTGAACAGTGACATATCATTCCAGTCCCAGTTTCCGACTTGAAGCCACGATGGTAACTCGTCGACCGGGATCAACGGCACAAATGAACCCTGGGGTCTAATGATGTAGTATCCGGGAAATGGTTGTAGCATGGAGTAAGTAATATGACTAGAAGGAAGGAATGGTTAAACGAATGATGGGTTTGATGGACTTGATCGCTAGAGAGAAGTAAATACTACAATAAGACGAAAGAGATTGTGAAGAGAAAGAGAAGAGAAAGAGAAAGAGAATCGAGAGAACATTATCTGTGCCTGGCTCGGTGCAAGCCATTTAAGGAAGCCAGGGTTGCATTCAGCCAAATGGGAAAGTACAACTGGCCAAAGTCACTCTCACATTGCGCAGCCCCTTAACGGATGATTGCTAGATCTGGTAAACTATGTACCAGAGGTTTCTCGGCGGTTTCGACCTCGGCGAGGCTATGATGAAGTGAATGTTCCATTGCTACAGCCGAACCCGAGGCTTGGGTTCAGCGCTGCTGTAGCATTCATGCAGATGACGCTCGCCGGCTCCAGAACTTGTGGATAGAGCTGGATGTTTTTTGTAACAAAATTTTTGCAGGACTTCTCCGTGTTGCACCCAATTATAATTGCTTCCGTGTGTTTCAGGTTCGGAAGCCCTGCGTTATACCAGCAAGGGTTGGTGGCGCAAGATCCATCTCCAGGTTGATATGAATTGATTGAGCCGGAAAAGTCGGCCCAAGTAAAGTCTTCCATCATCACTGACGACTCAGCATCAACTCCATCCCGCGAAACACTTTGGTCATAGTAACTCTGGGTCACAAAGATTGGGAACGTTACATTATACACTCGGATGTTTTTCCAGGTCACATTCTTGACAAGCCCCTGACCGCCGGTCCAGGACTTGAAGCGAGCAGCGTATAGAGCGTCGATAACGGTCACGTCCTCGAATCTCAGATTGGTAATGTTGGCAAAGTCTGAGGGGTCCTTTCCTAGTGATCCGATGCTCATACCATGGGATTGGTAGCCGATCGTATTCCTCTCAAACACGATGTTATGAGATTCGGATCCAACCGCGATTGCATCGTCACCGTTATACATAATGCTGTCCGAGATTCGGATATCGGTACCCTTAACATCAAAAGCATCAGTATTGAAAGGGAAGCTACCAGTGGACGAAGCGTCAACAATAGCATGGCTGACAGTAATATCCTCCCCATGAAGCTTCATGTTCCAAGCAATTGGCTTCCGGGACCTGAAATATTTGATCGACGCCTGGCTTGTCTTGTAACTCATGAGATGCGGCCGACCAGCAATTCCCGTGCCGTTGGGAGGGTTTGCATCCCACCAAGCCTGACCGTATGAGTTGATCCAACCATTATTCACGTCCTCAGGCCCGATCCAATCCACACGGGGCCCTTCAAAAGTAAACCAAGTAGATGTGCCCCCGTTAACTATATCTCGCACTGCTGAGATGCTTTGTGGAAGATGTAGGTTTCCATACATCTGGATCTCCACGTTGCTCAAATTTGTGGCTTGGATCGGATGAAAAATGTTATAGTCAACGCCCTCCTGAAAAACGATGACTGAGTTTGTCGCGCATCGCGCGAACACTCTAGATACTTCAAGAGAGTCGTCTACCGTGCCATTGGAGGAGCGTACTACACAACGGCGGCCTCGAGCGTCTGGTGTAGAGCTATTTCCTTCTGCGCCGTATGCCGAAGGCACAGAATATAGAAGAAAAGCGAGAAAGGCTGTCTTGGAGATTAGCATAGTTTATGCCGGAAAGAGAAACAATACTAATCACTGACAGAGGAAACAATATGCTAATCCTGCTAGAGCCGTAGCCTTTATATCTTGAGCTAGATAGAGGTAAACCGCTATCCGAGAGATCAATGATGTTTTTGTTTGATATAGCTAATACCAGCCACGATGACCCACTGTTCGGAGAAACTTGCGCTTGGTCGTCCAAGAATCCTGCCACGGAGGTGCTTCCGTCTCCACAGGCCGGTCTCGAATTGGTGGAGAAATTATGCCGTAGATGTCTATTAAATATAGGTGCGGCACAATACATCAGTAACTTGACTGTTATGGTAATCATAACGATATAAAAGCTCCTCAACGGAGAAGTCAAAGTGAACGAGAAGAGAAGGTGCCCCGAATCATACTCTATTCCATCGTGAGCATCATTCTTACTAGTAGCTCCATTTAGGTAGGTATCAGGTGACTAGGTCTACCCTAGCCTTAGTCTCTTGCCTAGCTCTACTAGCTATTTCTCTTTAAACCATCCGTAGCTAGATAAAAAAAATAAAGGATTTAGTATCATGGGTATTTGTTCGATATACACCCAGCGCGAAGTCTATCGGCGAAGCTGGCAAGGGGTAGCAATATGCCGGCGACGATCCCGGCAGTGTTTCAGTAGAAAAGTAACCATAATACCTATGAAAGAGGTCCAATACCAAACGAAATACCTAACAGTACTGAAACAATCCTATAACCAGCTACTTTAGAGAACTATGATAGCCAGAATAGAGATATAGCATCAGATGATCCCCCAGACAGACAAGATGAAAATTTATGCTTCTCGATTCTGACGCGCACTTGTACTTAAGGGACTCCGTATTAGCACATAGTATCGTACCTGAGTTATCTTCGAATGACAGGAGATGGAATGCATTCAGTGACTAAATTATCGTGTTAGATCAAGACATTAACGTACCTATAGGAAATACCGGGCCACGTTTTCTGGTAGAAAACCCATACATCCCTTATTTTCCTTGGTGTAAATTTGAGGAAAGAACAGTTCCTGGACATAGGGCTGCCTACAGGCCTTGAAACATAATTAGAGGAAAGGCAAATGACAAAATATATCAACAAATTTGCCGCATACAGGAGAACAACCAATCGATTTTGAGTAGGCCTTTCGAATAGGGTATGTCGGCAACTATATCGGAAGATTATATACAATAGCATAGCTCGAATCTTCATGCTGGAGGCGACTGTTTCAGGAAAAACATGGATACTGCTCCCTCACAAAATTGTAGGGATGTAGGATCCTATAGAGCATTCGATAAATTGGTTTGTCGAATCTCTGGAGGGTAATGGAGCTTGTCTTCCTGGGAGAAGTGTAAGCAAAGGCAACGGCATCAGCGATGATTGATACGACCCTGAGCATCCAGCCCCGACTGCCATTAGATATATAATTATATATGAGACTCCTTAATATGGGTCTGGAATTTGCAGCCTATTCTAGTGAGTCTGTAGATCCCCAATCGGACGTGTAAGTCTAAGGGTATTGTCAGCAACTATCATTAGCAATGAGAAGGATTTTAATTTTTTCGAGACCAATAGGCACCCTACAAGCCTTATTACCTATTTCTCTATGAAATGAAATGGAAACTTGCAGCAGACCAATAGTATAGTTTAAATTCTAGATATCTCTCGGCAAGTGTTGCAGAATGCTCAAGACATGATTCTATCTGCTCTGATGAGACATTGTAGGCATGCACTAATAAAGCAAGAAGACTATTCAATTTCTTCGGTTGAGAAGAACAACTGGGTGCATACCGGAGTCAAGGGCACATAAAGAAGGGCAATAGAGTCAACGTTGCATAGGGCTAGCACCTGGCCCGATATCGGGGGGCATTCATTCTGATCCACAGCCATTCCATACTCCTCCTTTGTTGTTCCTATATGCCACTTTGTTGCAGTCAACCTGGGGTTAGCAACGGCCCGCCATTTTATACAGGGATAAATAGTCCTGTCGATGCTTACACCCTCCGATGTCGGTGTTGGTCTCTGATGTGACCCCGACCATTGCCTTATAACTGCTATAAAAGCCAGCTATAGTGAGTAGAATAACATCTTTTAACTAAATTCGGCACCGAAACTGGCTACACAAAATGATAAGAGCGACATCTGGTCAGCCGAGGCATACGGCAACAAAGTGGCCCCATTTGTTGCAATATTAACAGAGAAGATTGTTTCCTGGCTTGACCCTAATCTACCGGTAAGTCTTTCAGCATAATAAGTACCTGGCCCTCGTCATCTTCATCGCCATCATCATCATCATCTTCTTCTTCTTCTTCTTTTTCTTTTGCTTGTATATCGCTAATAATCAACAGATGAAGTACTTGACGTCGGCTCCGGGGAAGGCGTCTTAACAGCCAAGCTTGCCCGCTATGTTAAACATATTGTTGGCATAGATGTCTCGCCGAACACAATCGTGCATTTCCAGAAGACGTACCTACATCCTGAGTCACGCGTTGTGAACTGCCGTCTTCTAGATCAAGTCTCAGATCTAACTGACGGAAAGTTCGAAAAGGTCTTCTCAAATGCTCTATGCACTGGATTATGCGAGACCCTGAGACCCGCCTCAACACGATCAATGGTTGCTTCAACGCAATGAAGCCAGGTGGGCTTCTTGTGAGTGAATCAGGCGCGCTCGGAAACGTAGCCGAGGTGCATGCGTCAATTATCAGTGCTTTAATCCACCAGGGAATTCCCATGGAAGAGGCTCGAGCAGCTTCGCCCTGGTGATTCCCTTCACAGCAAGCTATGAAACAGCTTCTTGAGGAAGCAGGCTTCCGATGGATCAAGGGTGAGGCAGAGCTTAGACAAACAAAAGTGACGGATAACGAGGGCGGTGGAATTGAAGGATGGTACGTATTTCGAATGACTCAAGGTCTTACTGACTCAGTGGCTCACAGGTTGTTAGGATACGTCCCTTTGAAAAGCCCTTCCTCCAGATTCTGCCGACTGTGGAGGCGCGCGATGCCGCTGTCAAACATACTATCGATGTCCTCGAGGCCGATGGAAGACATCAGCATGATAGGTCCTTCACAGTTAATTATATTCGACTTCGGTTCGTTGCACAGAAACCATCCCTGGGAACGGGGGTATATCTAGAGGCTATTCCCTTGCTCATTAGACTTGACTGGAGTACCAACAGTAAGCTTCTGACAGCGGTGTCCTGGTGATTGTTATCGGCTAATTCTGCGAGACCACATCAAGATCTAGATGGGTATTTCAATTAGTTCATATCACGCCCTATGTTTGAATAGTCCAGATTCATGATGTGAATTCATCCATCTCGTACGCAATTTCTTTATACTTGGTATTGTTGCGAAAGGACCCACATAAACATGTCAGATGAGGTCACTGGAACTCGGCAACTCTGCCGACGGAGTTTAAAGCTTGGCCGAAATAAATTACGACCAGTCGTTCCCTTCGATCCCCATCACACTACTACCCCTCTATGATAACAATTTAATAATACAACGCACCACAACCAATAAATGGCAACCCCTTCACCATCACCAGACGCCACACTCGCGTCCAAACCCACCCCAAACATCCCCGCCGCAGACGCAGTCCTGCACATCGAAAGCGCCACGTCCATCGCGGCCCCCTGCCAAGATGTCTGGGATATCCTAACTGATACCTCCACCTGGCCCTCATGGAATACTTTCGTGCCCCGGGTCACGATTCGCGAACAGCCGGGGTCCGAGTCTCAGTCATATGAAGAAGCTCTTTCGCCTATTCTACGAATCGGCACGAAAATGACCTTTCATGTCCATATGGATCCTTCGTCTCCGGGTGAACGGGACGTGCCTCTGATCGTGACTGAATTTGATCCTCCGACTGTTAGCCCCCCGAGGCCTGGTCGGATAGTGTGGACTGGGGATGTGACGGCTAAGTGGAGCATTCCTGCAGGTCTTTTGACGGCGGAGAGGGTTCATGAGGTGGAGGAGGTTGAGGTCCAGGAGGGTAGACGGGTGAAGCGTGTCACTGAGGTGCGGAACTGGGAGGCGCAGGTTGGGTACCTTGTGTATGTGGTTCGGTGGATGTATGGGGCTCAGTTGGAAAAGAACTTTGAGACTTGGGTCCAGGATTTGAAGGAGTACGTTGAGGAGAAGAAAACGGAAAATTAGCTGGTGATTTTGTCTTGATACCCCCCAGTGTTGATACCCCCCAGTATTGATAATCGTTGGATCATTTCTCGGTTTTGTTGGATTTTGTAACTTCTTAAATTTAGCTATCTCAGTGCCAAACGTATCTAAGGATTCTATCCTCCGGTCTACTCCTATCCGTCCATTAGTTGTAGAATACTGCCACTAGACTAAGAAGTGTATACAGGTTAGTCTTGCACGCCATAGCGAATGCGGTATAAATATATGCTGACACCCTACGATTCAGGGACTCTTAGAAGGTCTCTGAGAAAACTCTCTCGAAAGGTAACAGTAGCATGCGTTCCCTCAGAACCTGGATCACTGGAGATTGGGCATGCATACATAGGGCTTGAGAAGCAATTGCCTTGTAAAGCTTGAATAGGCCTGCCTCTAATGGACGTCGATTCGCAGCGAAATCACCACAAGGTTAGCTCCTTCTACACACCAACAGATGGGCTAAATGAAACCCCGAGCTCCAAAGAAAGCATACCTATGCGCCTGGTTTAACCTGTAAAAGAATATAGAAACGGGCGGAGGGGAGTTATTGTGAAAGAAATACAGCAGGACCCGCTAGCAGGGCTAACTTGTTTCTCTGAGCAGAGGTGCCCAATAGCTTAGGATATGTACATACGCCTTTTCGAGCTAGCTGCAGCTTGCCCACGGTAGCTTAGGCCAAGTGGGGACGAAGTTGCTTAGCTGCATTGAAGATCGAAGTCGTCGCTTCAGCTCCTGGATTCATTATACCCCTCCTTACCGCTTCGGGATTCGTGTCTAGAACACTGCTCTAAGAGGACTTTCGAATAACTGGGGAGAAAGCTGCGGCAAACATTTCTGCGCCTTAGCTGTGTTTGAAATAATCATGAACCGCCACTAAAAGTTTCGATCAGTACCTGACTACGTAAGATACGAAAGTTATTATGTATGTGGTTGGCAGTTAGGAGGGGAGTACGATAGAGTCAGTTGTACAGTTCTATCGCTACTAGTAGGTATTAAATAAATCCATTTCCGGAGGTCTAGAGTAGATTAGTGCGATCTTTGGTTAAGCGGGCATAACTAATGGTACGACGGTGATTGGTTTGTAATTTGCCTTTGAATAAATAATGTACTTTGTAGGCTAGTCAGGTAGATGAGGTACATACCGTATAATAAAAGATCAAAAGATACAGTAAGAGTACTACAAAGAAGGTGCAAAAGAATATAAATAATATTACAAGACATAAAAGGATATATATCATCAATGACGGATAAACATATGTGAGTCATCACAAACGATGGTTGTTCGTATCAAACATAAATATTGGACAGCCTAAGGCCTTCCTGTGTTTACTAAATGGACAAAGACATGACGCATGAGGCTATAATACTCAACATGTGATGTATGTTACGTCACGGCATCAAACCTCCGTGGGTGCCGAAGAAACCCCAAGCTCTTGATACCCCAGAAATAGAACTAAATGACGGCGAGTGCGTTCCTTAGGCCCAACCTTGGCTCCCTTACCTAAAGATTGCCTCAACAAAACCCCGCTGTTCCGTCGACTCTGTACTCGGGGTACCATAGATCTATACTGTATATCCAAACTTGAAAAGGTAAATAAAAAACAAGTTGGAAGATGAGCGAAAGCTGTGGGTCCTAAGGGTATAAATTACAAAAGACTAATCAATTAATTTCCCTGGCAGATGAAGAGACCCACGTGGGGGTGGAGATTGGCTCAGAACACCTGCCGGTGTTACCGTTTCATACAACTTATTCTTTTTCTTCTACGACTCCAAGTGTGGCCGTCCATCCATGAAATAATGGGTATTGTTCCGGAGTAAGAATGCACCCCCTCGCCAAGAATAAGGCCTAGACTAGAAGATGAATTGATGAATAGGGTGCAAGTTCAACCGGGAAGGGTGTAGATATTGGGGCCGAAATTAATCGCGCGCACGACATGAAGTCAGGGAATTTCCGGCATGCATGGACCAGGGTGTACATCAAGTATCGAGATAAGATCAAATTAAAGAGGACCCTCAGACAAGAGCCCATTTTCTGATGGGTCACCTGACAGCATGCCACGTAATCGGGCCCTTCTTGTCCGCAATTCCCCCACGGAACTCTGAACTTGATCAATTTCTGACTTGCGTCTTTTCTTCACCGAACAGGGAAAGGGAAGTACTGTGTAAGGGGAGAAGGGGAAAAAATGAGTGGAATTCTGCGTCATTAGTATTCAATGAGGGCGGAGATGAAATGCAAGAGATCCCATAGGATGAGATCCAACGGCTTACTAAATCCGGGCAGCCGAACAATTTCTTGCAGGAGACTAACGCTTGATCCGGCATAGTGTCCGTGATGGAAGCTGCAGGACTTCCTGGAACGGTTTGGTGCCACGCTCGGGGGCCGTTACACTGATGTATGGATGTATAGTATGTAAGTAATTCAGCATACAGGCAAAACAGAACCAGGTTCCAAGACACAGAGGATCAGGCATCTCTTAGCTGTTAAAACGGATCCAAATAATAATCACTAATCATCTTTCCTCCGGTATCATGCGATCTGGATGTAGTCCCATTCCCCCTTAATGAGGGAAAAGAAATGACCGTAAGACGGGGTCACGGACAAGAATCAGTAGCGCTGTCAAAGAAAGTGAAGAACCATGTGGGGATGGGAGTGGGAAAGGATCCGCAGGCTGTATGTCACTGTAACCTACAACAGTCGCAGTTGAGTTGATACCCTGTTTCTGTTTCATCCATGGTTTGGTTCTTCCGTGGACAATTTAAGCTATCCGTCGATCTTCGTCTTCTTTTTTTTTTTTTTTTTCCCTCTTTTTTCTAATCTTTCTCGCTTTTAAAAATTCCCTCTAGACCAAGGCCCTACTCCCCTCTTTCAAGACATGTCATTGTTTTCTTTTTCTTATCGTTAATTCCTAATCCGCCATGCTATCGTTTTGTTATCTTCTCTATCTTCTTACCTTATACACGTCCTCTATCATTTGACTCATCACCCTCCGATACAATCCTTGGTTCCCAACGATACTGTACGCAGTGTTGCCACCATCCGCTATTTAACTATATACCAGGCGCTGCCCACTTCTTCATCTGATTTCTATATTGCCTCGCGAGAAGAAAACCATTCAATCCATCTCGAACCTTATCACTAACTTATACACTTATTCATATACATCCAATACTCAACTCGGCATATCTTAAAGAGTTGGAAAGACGTGACTTGATCACGCTCATCTATACTTCTTCTTACGCTTCACCTCCCGCGTTTCCTAGCGAACCTGGATAGTTTCACCATGGCGGGACATTTACGACTATCGATCCGCACCGGGAATCACAGTGACAAGTCTGCACCTGTGCCACCGCTGACCGTCGTGCCCGGACTGACCCCTCCGGTCACACCCACTATAGCGGACGACTGTCATTCATGTGGTACAAGGACAGCGGGATCAAGTCGTTCAAGTTCCTTCATCTCCCAAGATGGAGAAAAACCACAAGACCTTTATCAGGACGGCATCCGCCTCTCGAGTCCGCTCCAATATACCGATGAACTAGAATTTCAACATGATCCAAAAGGCCGCCCAATCGAATTCGGTCGTGGTGTTTGGAGTGTCGTCTATAAAGCTTCATCTAGCCCTTCGTCGAAATCGCCTTTGATGACCCCTCCTAGTTCACCAGCAGGGGGAGGTCGGGTGGTAGCAGTCAAATACCCCGTCCGACGAGATGCACATGCCGTCCTTGACGCTGAAGCTCTGGCGTTAACCCGTCTTAGTCAGGTACAGGGCTCGCAGCGTCATATTATCCCTTTCCATGGCTACATTCCTGAGACCCATTCCATTGTCATGTCCGCTGTGCCCCTCTCACTTTCAACGTACATCGAAGAAAAGGCCGACCTTGCTCAAAAACACAAGACTACTCGGACCATGTTTGATCCCGTTGAAGGCATGGCTCAGTGGCAAGATCTTGTGAAAAAACTTGTCACCGGTCTGCGTTGGCTTCATACGGAGTGCCTGATAGTGCATGGGGATATCAAACCTCATAACATCTTATTAAAATCACGACCAGTCGAAAACGACACAAATTCCAACGGCGTCCCGTTTGACCCGCTGTTCGCCGACTTCTCTTCCGCACATAACATCTCCGGCTCCTCGTTGTCTGCCGAGAAAGAGACTGGGACCTCACTCACGGCTTTAACACCACCTTTCGCCGCCCCCGAGTTGTTATCCGTATCATCGTTGACGTCTCCGGGCACGGGTCCCACTCCCGCATCCGATGTGTTCTCTCTGGCAGTTACCCTTCTCGCGGCGGCGACGGGTGATTTGCTACTATATCCTGGTACCAGCAATATGCAACGCCTGGCTATGGCCCGAGAAGGCCACCGGGTGATTGACTTTGCTCGCTCGGGTCCCAACGGCTCCCGGGTCCCCCGCAATGGATCTGTCGAGCAGGTACTTAAACCTGCCGTTGTCAAGGACCCATCTCAGCGCATCCAACCCAATGAATGGGCGGACTTGGTTGCTGCCGTGGCTTAAAGTCAAGGTAGCAACGTGCATCGCCCTTCCATTCAACAATCTTCCAAAAAACACATTACCATCGAATTTTCCGCTCTTATATAATTTTGCATTACCCCATCTTTTGTGAACCAGCTCCACTTGGGTCTTCATTTTTTTTCTACTGAACTCGAACGTATTCTCCCTTCTCCTCTTCTTATCTTTCATCATTTTTCTTTTATCCCTCTTTCTCTTTTCCTACAACATAATATTAAATGATACCCTGTTGATTCCCATGTGAATCTTCACCACATGTCTCCTAGACCATTTCAAAACATCAAAGAGAGTGTCTTACTAGAATACTGACTCCTTACCTTCTTGCATGTATTTCAGTATTCAATTCAACTGTTTGATCGGGCGCGGAATGCAACAAGGAATATTCCTTGACCCGTACATAAATGTACGAAGATGCCTGAAAGAGGTCCTGTGGAATTGTAGAATTTTCCAAGTGGGGTAGACTTTCAAAATGAGGTTAGATTGGAGGGTATGCTTTTAGATCATCATAACTAGTCTTATATAGTATAATACAAGATACGCTGCTCATAATACATGGTAAATGTCCCCAGGATTAGGGGTATAAAGGATCCCCCTGCACGAAACCGCAAGGGAGGGGGGGGGTGTACAGTAAGGGTGAGGGACCAAGAAACGAAGACTCCTTGCGCCGATACAAGATGAGACCATGCTAATGATATCTCTTCTCGGGCATGTTATGTTCGCCGGACCGGAAGGACGTTAGCGTCGCGCCCAGTGCTCGACTCAGCTGCACCGCCGAGAGATCTGTGTCGCCCTTCTGGTATTCGACGAATATATCCCACAATATACTGCATGTCAGCGTGCGAGCTCGTACATCGCTTAAGTCGTAGTCAAGGTTCTCCTGGTAGCATGTGGCTGGGTCGAGGTTTTTGCCGCTGTTTGCAGCGTCAGGCGGACCGTGTAGGGTTTTGGGTAGATTGTCAAAATCTGGTTTGGGTGATTTATTTGCCACGGCTGCTAGGCTTGGGATCGCCTTCAGGATGTCGTCTGTTGATCGCCCGGGGAAGATGATTTCCAGAAACTCGGGTACTGTCATTTGGTTGCGGGTATGTAGGGTCAGAGAGTAGGCTTCGAAGAGCCGGAAAGGATCGTTTCTTTGCGACGGGGCCAGCTGCTTAATTTTTCGCAAGGGTATAGGGTTCGGATCAGGTTCAAAGTATATAATGCTCCGGTCATATTCTCGGGGATAGGTCTCTTCTGGCTTGATGAACAATGGTTCAAAAGGGCGCCGGTCCCACAAAAGCACCGCATCATCGAAGCTTCCGGTAGACAACGCCGCTCGTCTGTTATCAAATACAGAGTTAAGCTCCTTTATCACTCCGTAGTGTGTATCCGATTTAATCTGAGCGACAAGAGACCTGGAGGTCTCAATCTGGTCCAAAATGGGTTTCAGGGCGGTTGAATCCATGTTTGGATCTGCGGCTGACCGTGACAGGGACTTCGTTAGCTCATCGATTTCATAGAGCTTGTCAGCCAGTTCTCGGCGAACTTGGATATCGCGGTTATCTTTGTTTAGTTGAGTTAAGGCTCGCATTCGCACTGGGTCAGCCTTTCCAAGCTTATTAGAGGCCTTGATCTTCTTATCAAGCTTCTCATGTAATTGTGTAAATACGCGCGGCTCGTAGGGAACCGGTATTTTCCCCTGATAAGGACTTTCTGGGGCCATGGCAAGGGGTGGTACCTCTCTGCCTGGAGGCGTTGAAATATTCTGCTCTGCTGCTCTCTGTGCAACCCGCGAAGCAATATCAGCCGCGAACTTCCACCCCTTGATGTTTACCCAAACGCTGGGATCCTTTGGAGCTGCAACTTCAAAGGCATGCAACGCGACGTTCTCCGTCAAAAGCGCCGGTCGTTTGCGCTCTATTATGGTCCGCGGGATGACCTGTTGTGCATCTGATACGGGGAGTGATGCAATCAGACGCACGCTTCCATAGGTATGAAAGCCCGTCTGGCGCATACAAGCCTCCAAGAAAGTTGAGCACCACCGTGCTGGGGTATAATGGTCCCTTTTAGAGAAGTTTGAAGAAGGGTTGGCTAAGATAAGCAGCGTATCGTTCTTGGGCAAAAGCCCGCTGTTGTCACGATTCGACGGGCCCTGCTCCGGGAAATGGGCAGCCAGCAAGCTTTCCCAGTCATTGAAACCTTGGATATTCATAGACAGCAGTTTATAACAGGACCGACTCTCCGCCAACGGCTGGAGCAATGGTTTGTATGTCGCTAGCTCAGGTTCAATCAGGACATGTCGTCGGGGGTTGAGGAGTTGATTGACCTTCGACGACCACAATCCAGCGCCAGGCCACAGATCAAGAATATCGACAGCGGGCTTGCGGAGGAGGAACGGTGATAGACGGTTAAGGATATCATCTGTATAGAGAACCTTGTGCATTAGAGTCTGTTCCTGCCAAGTATCGGATTTGTCGAACAACTCACCGCACAACTTCTCACTTACTAGATCTGACCGTATATGAGACTGCTTCTTCGAAGACTTCGGAAAGCACTTATGCAAGGCATCCGTTAGAGGAAAGCGAGGTATGGGCGACCACCGAGAAAGTTTTGCTTTTGACATGATCGCATTGCTCAAGCCCGTGAAAAGGCTCGAAGAAGGGACCGGATTGATACGTAGGTGTAGTATGGTACCCACACAGACCGTCCATAATTGGTCTGGATGGAAGTATTAGTAGAGTTGCAAGTCTCCGATTAGACTGAGTTGTTGCCAAGTCATTGGAAGTTCTCCGAATTTTATATTTATTTTTTTTGAAGTTAAAAAACCCGCGGCGGCGGGAACGGAAGACCCAAAAGGGAAAAGACCCGCATTTCTCGACTTTATTTTATTTGAATTAAATCAATCAATCATTCATTCATTGAATCTGTTCTTCAACGCCTCCCAGTCACGGCCTTCTTACATCATGCTGTTGTCCCTAGAATCCGCTGTTCTAACGGCACCTACTCTTAATTAATTCAATTCATGGCCCTCTTGCTCTGTTGTATCTCTCCAAATCTAAATTCCACCAAGGCTTTCGCAAAGTCCGGGTGCCTGCTCGGAACGTCCCCACACTGTTGGGCTCTGGCGCCAGAACCTCGATGATCCCTCATTTCACCTTACGATTTAACAACCGTCCATATCATATCGTGTTGCTAGAAAATATCATTATCCAAATCTCTTACGCATCCCCAGTTCGTATGTGCAGCCATGGCATCCCAGCTGCCTCCGGCCGCAGGCGCGGGGGCCTCGGCCCCTCGAAAAGTCGAGGAAATCACTCGAATGGCGCAAAACTATGACTACAACCCTTCGATTCCTTTACGATATTGGCTGAGGACGGCGGCAACTCTACTTAGAGAGGTTAGTTATTTACGCCGACAACTTTGAACCTGCGAGGGCTAACCGACAGTCTTCTTACAGGCTCGTATCTACGAACGAGAGGGACACGACGAACAAGCGTACTTCCTATTGTTTCGCCATGCTCAGCTGGTGCTGGTAAACCTGGCAAGGCATCCCGAGGCTAAGGACGAGAAGAACCGGAAAAGTCTTACGGAGGCAGAGAAAGAAGTCAGCAGAAACCTTGAAACTCTAGAGGTTCTCAAACCTCGGATCAATAAACGACATAAACGCTATACAGAGTTGATGAATGATCGTCAAGCCCGAAGCCCATCTCTAGGAACGAGCCATACCACACCGGGCCAACAGCAACCTCAAGATCCAGCATTAGTAGGCGTCGCCGAGCCTCTGGAAGCTGGTGAGAATAAAGACTTAGCTGTCCAGCTAGCGAGGACGGAGATAAACCGCAGGGCCACAGCAAGGAAAGCAATACGTCAAGTTGGAATACCAACCGAAGAGGAGCAGCATCGGCGCACGGCAGGTGTCTGGGGCAATTGGGAGAGCGCCCTAAACAAACACGGCCAAGACACGGATAATGATTTGAGTCGACGTATACAGGATGTGAGGATTAACATGGACCATGCGCACGATGCGGACCGTCAAGCGAAAATGGTAAAGACCACGGCGCATCCACTGACCGCAGTGCCCTCTACGTCTACGTACAAGTACCCGACAGTGCCTCGCCGGAAAGTGCTGGACATTACGCCCCCTGCCATCGCCGATATCAGGGATGACTCCCCAGTGGCTCCAATCCGTCCACCAAAGGAACAGCTCGAGACTATCCGGCCAGTGGTATCATATGGGCCGTCGCCGCCACCCAGACCGGACAAGGTCTCTTCGATGCCTCTGACATCCGCCGCTCAAACAGAGGCTCCAGTTGCTCCAGCGAAAGTTAAGCCAGTCGCGGAAAGTGGAGATGCTCGTTCAAACCTAGACCCATCCAGCTTCACATTTAAACCATCAGCCTATCTCGAGAACGGAACCCCCCTGCGGACGGTTTTCCTCCCCCCGGACCTACGATCAACTTTCCTATCGCTAGCCGCTCCAAATACACGACACAATCTAGAGACATGTGGCATTCTCTGCGGTACCCTAATTTCTAACGCTCTGTTCATTTCTCGACTTCTCATACCGGAGCAAACGTCCACATCGGACACGTGTGAGACTGTAAACGAGAATGCGATTTTTGAATATTGTGACTCGGAGGACTTAATGATCCTTGGCTGGATCCATACCCACCCTACCCAGACCTGCTTCATGAGCTCGAGAGACTTACACACTCACTCCGGATACCAAGTCATGATGCCAGAGAGCATCGCGATCGTCTGCGCTCCAAGCAAAACACCAGACTGGGGCGTTTTCCGGCTGACTGACCCCCCCGGCCTCAAGACGGTCCTTAACTGTACCCAGACCGGTTTGTTTCATCCTCATCCCGAGACCAACATCTACACCGAAGCGCTACGACCCGGGCATGTGTTCGAAGCCAAGGGACTCGAATTCGAGACCGTGGATCTACGCCCTAACGGAACCAAATTCTAGTTATGGCTACCCATATTTCATGATTTATGAGAGCGTATTCCATTAGACCCGTCCCTCCAATTTTGTGTTATTCTATCAGATATCCCATATCTTGGCACCTTTTTCAAGTATCTGGGTTCTATTTGTTTTTATATTCAGGAGTAGATAGCTGCCGGTGTATGTATCACGAATAACAAGTATGGAAGTATCAAGACCGATCTCTGTCGGGATGAAGTCATAGTTATTGGTTTTCGAATTAGTGATTATGGTGGTTGTGCAATTCTCCAGTAAGGTGTTAGTAACATACGAAGAATTGACTCTTAGGAGGGAAGGTCACCCTATAGGGCATGAAGAGCCGGTTGATCCACCGGTGACAAGGCACTGAACTTAAAGATAATTCGCTACCCTATCGTTCGATAAATGTCCCAAGTTCCACTTCTTCTCTTCTCATCGACTCTTGCGCCTTGGTTAAGTTCGCTCATCCCACCCTACCTAATTGAATTGAATCAAATTGAATTGAATGACTCGGCGATTCCATTCTCCGGGTTCTTAAGCTCCCCTCCTCTTCACCCCGCCGTACACATGTCGTCAACGGAGCTTCCTTCCTCCACCCCCAGTTCGAGATCCACATCTCGTTCTCGACAATCCATTCATCAATCAACAGCATCGTACTTTTCTTATCCCGTCACACATGTCGTTTCAGGTCTCTACCGCCGTTTGACTGACCCTCCCGCCTCCAAATCAAAGAACAACATGAAGCGCAACCAAGACTCCTCCATGACCGCCCCAGACGACTCCGCCTCGTCATCCCAGGTCTTCACCCCCGTTCGAACCGCATCGCCCTTCCAACCCCCACCGCTCACCCCTCTCACTCTCACGGGTGACCCCTCCAACCTCCAACAACAGCTTCTAACCCGCGCCCTGGCAGAGGAGATCCGACTGCTTGTCCCAGCCCGCCTCCAACTCGTCGACACCTGGCGTCTAGCCTACAGCCTTGATCGGGACGGCGCCTCGCTCGCTACCCTGTATGAGAACTGTCGAGAAATGTCTCACCGCAGCCCGCGGGCGGGCTACGTCCTCATCATCCGCGACTCCTCCCCCTCCGGCGCTGTCTTTGGCGCTTACATGACCGACCCCCCGCACCCAAATTCCCACTACTACGGAACAGGCGAATGCTTTCTCTGGCGCGCGAGCATTCTCCCACCCCCCACGAACCTGAACCTTGTTCGCGATAGCCCCCCGTCCGAGGACTTGCTCGAACTCGCCGGCCTGCCACCACCACCTAGCGCGGATACTACACATGCTGGGCGATCCACGACTCTGCGCGGCGATAAGAAATTGGGTGGAGATACCAAGTTGGCGCCTCCACAGCTTAATGGACTTGCTAGTGGTACTAGTACCCCCGAAAGGATTCGGTTTAAAGCGTTCCCCTACAGTGGTGTGAATGATTATATGATGTTTTGTGAGACGGGATTCCTTAGTTTGGGTGGAGGGTAAGCTCTTTTCTCCATAGGCTAGAATGCTTTATCCGACCATAGTTTTAGTGAAAAAATGATCACTAACATCGAAACAGAGATGGCCATTATGGTCTTTGGGTGGACTCAAGTCTTGAGAAAGGCGTCAGTGCTGGGTGCCAGACATTCGGCAATGAGCCTTTGTCAGACGAAGGTGTTAAGTTCGATGTCCTTGGCATAGAAGTGTGGTACGTTGGTGCGTGAAACATAATCGGTTGGCTATCCCTGGATTTAAATCGCAAGTGGAGTATCTTCCTAGATTGTGGTATGTGTTGGACGTTTGGTGCATTGCTTAGTACGCCAGTTAGCCGGTCTTGCTTTGGGCATATCTCTACCCTACTTTTAATACCCGTACACGATGTGGCTGGGCTCATCGTGTCATGCACCGTTGGTGAATCTTACATAGTTCCGAAAATGGAGAAACCAACTTTATTACTTCTCCATAAAATCGTATAGACTACACCGGGATATAAAGTATATAATCTTGACAGGAATGCCATCCGAGACTCATAATTCGTATTCAAGTATTACTAGTGATTTTATCTTGAACGCTCGACACCGTCATTCAAATCCGCTGGCCTATCCCATCTCAGTCGTAAGCTGCCATGTCACCGTTGGAGAATCTTCACACATGGCCTATCGTACCGAAAATTGCAAGAAAGAGCAGCAGCGGTGCGAGAAGATAAGGGTCTTGGGATTAGAAGAAAAAACCAGGAAAGGGAAAAAGAAGACTAAAGGGGGTATGCAGTGTACATGAAGAGAAGCTGAAGAAATAAAACGAGGCAATGCCACCCACAAGGGGGTGAGCTAAACCGTCTAGTACGGCGAATTGACAATATCTTCTCGTCCCAACCGGCTACCCCATCGGGTACCCCGACGACTGGGGGTAACGGGAGGACCTGCGATACTTTCGCGAGTGGGCTTCTGGAGAGCTCTCTTTGCAACCATGTTGACCTCATTCGGCAGCGCCACAATGACGTTCTTGTCCGAACCGAACCGGAAGTTATCGGCCATAACCTCCTCAGAGTATCGCTTAATCGTGTAAGGATCCTTACGTCCAGCAAGCAGCTTTTTCATGCTCCATGTGATGATGAAAGGACCCGTTGCCGTGATAATCGACGTCTCTTGTGATTCAACGCCCGTATTGAAACGTGCGGGTGTGAAAGCTAGAGGCTTCTTGGTTTCGTGCTGGAACTGTGCGACATGCGCTGGCTGAAGACCCAGGCGACGAGGTTGAGGTTTAGAATCCTTGGCGAACGAACGCTCGAAACCAAGTTTCCCTTCATTTTTGCCCTCCTTCTGCAACGAGTCGATGAGAAGAAGGTAGGTGCGACATGTAGCCAGAACCCAGCGACCATCAGCGGACACATCCAGACCAATGATAGGTTCCCCCAGTGCAGGAATATGAGTCTTAGCGTTGATACCCAGGCGGTCGAACATGCGAATATCTCCCTTGTTCGAAGCGACAGCGAGGTATCCTTTCTCTGTCGTGGCCACGGCAGAGAAGTCGTTCTTGCTGGCATACTGCTTCAGGTCCGCATCGACAAGCTTGTTACCTGTGACACGGGGATCAATCCGATACAGAGCATTGTTGGACGCTCCGACGAAGGTCTGAGCACTGGTCATTTGGGAGAATTTCTGCACCAGTCAGTAAAGCTTGACATTGGTAGCAACAGATGACTGTTAGACTCACGGTTTCCGGTGCAAATGTGGTCACAGGGATATCGTCATGGACCTTCCACTCGTCGACAATCTTACCATACTCCAAATCCATGCGGTAGAGAGAGTTGGGGTCGTCTCCATTTTGCAGAATCATGTTGGAATCCTCAGCATGCAACATAACCTTCTTGGGGCTAAATAGCTTGCCCTTTGGTGTCTCGACCTTGGATATATTGGTGGAGAACTCAAGATTGTTGTCTGGAGTGTGTTTGAAAACACCAATTTTGGAACCACGGACAACAAAGGACCGATCGTGCTTGTAGCCAACGGCAAGTTGCGAGTTGACGTTTCCATCGTCATCGCGTGTGACGACGTCATCCTGCTCCTCATCACTGTCGTAGTGTTCGCTGCGCTGGCCGTCATGCTGGTCTTCTTCCACTTCCTCCTCCTCCTCCTCCTCCTCCTCTTCCTGATTCTCGGCTGAGTCCTCCATAGTGAGGTCTTGGAACGCGTCTAGAACATACTCCCGATCATCCTCCTTGACCTTGACCCATTTCATTTCGTTTAATTGTTCCCATAGAGCTTGCATCAGACCCTCTTGGAAGCGTTCTTCAGTTATTTGGTCCTTGAAACGTAGTAGCCAGGAGTATGCCGAGCCATCCTCAGCATAGTGGTTAAAGATGAAGGAGAGATATTCAAAATTAAAGACAGGGTTGATATCCGCAACAACAGCTTGTCCTAGCCACTCCTTCTCTTGACCCGTGATTTGGAGCCAATACTGCCAGTTACCGATCTCAGACACGGTGGCAGTCACATCGGAATCTTGAAGAACAAAGGTTCCAGTGGGGAAGTCAAACATGTGCAATTCAGCCTTCTCCTTCGTGAGAATTTCCTTAGCTTCAGGCTGTGCTGCGGATGGTGGAGCGACTGTCGACTCTTCTCCATTGTCGGCTGGCTTGATTTGTCCTTTAGACTTCTGATATTCCACGTCCTTAGCCATCGCAGCAGTCGAATCCAGGGAGTAGGTGCGAGACTTGGTAGGTGAGGCGATAGGGCTTGCGGAAGGAATGGGCTTTTCCTCTTGGTACGAGAACTGCTGAAGATCTCCTTCAGTTGCTTTTTGAGCGCTCTGTCGGTATTTCCGTTCGTACTGGCACTGGAAGGCCGCCAACTCAAATGTGGGGATTTTATCCGATGGAACAGACGGGTCGCAAACGAATTCGTAGAGATCGCCGAGATCACCACTCAGGTCTCTCCAGGCCAAGACCTTCGCGCCCCCTTCACGGACTTCCGTGCGGAAGTGCAAAGCTTGGTCAAGAAGGAAAATCTTCTCGTCCTTGTCAAAATTATCACTCGCGCCTTGTTCGTCCTCGTCGGTATTCAGTTCTTCCTCGCCCTCTTCGTAGGCTCGTTGGATGACAAGCTGATACTGGTACTCCTGTCCAGTACGCCTGATTGATGCGGCAGCGTCCTTGAATATAAGTTCTGAGTACCCTTTGGGTGATAGAGGCCGGACCAGGTAAAGCTCGCCCTGAGGGATCTCGATGATAGTCTCTTTGGAAGTATCCCCAAAGAGGAACTTGCTCACTTTAAGGCAAGAGATAAGTGTCAGTGTGAGGCAATCACATCAACGGGAAGGAAATAAGAGAGAGGTAATAAAGAGAAGGAGGGGAAATGGTGGGGTAATGAAGATCAACGATAGAAAGAGGGGCGAATAAAGGGAAAGTGGAGGAAGTAGAGGTGGGTTCATACCATTGCGGATCATAAACATGGCGGCGATTCCTGGCTGTCAGAGCAACAGGGACTGTTTACTCCGGGGGTGGAAAAGAACAGGGGTTTAGAAAGGAAAGTCAGATGGGAGACGGGAAAGTAGTGGGGGAGAAAGAGGATAAAAGTAGTAAGGAAGTGAAAAAGGGAAACCGAGACAAAGAATGGAACCAGATTATGAAAAAGGAGATCATCACCCAGCTGATGAGAATAGGGATGATGGTGAATAGTATGAATGATATTCACAGAATCTCCTTGTTTGGGAGAAAGTGAAGGAAAAAGTGTTTGTGTTGATCTTCCGTCATCGATCGTCAGTGGCAACCGCTGTGGCGCACTGGCCATGTGGCTGAATAATCACGTGATCCATATCACCATGCTACAATACTTTGAATGAATAGCACACGGAAAGACTATAATATTTACATTGTTTATACGTATGTATTTGATTTAATCTGATGTTTAAGGATCGGCACTAGAAGTAGCCGTTGCATCTTCTCCCACAGCAGGCTCTGGTTCTTCGTCCGAACTAGCTTCTTCGGCATCGCCGCCTTGAGATAGATCTTGAGAGCCTCGTTCAGAGTCTCTCAGCGTGCCGCCCTTTCTCCTAGGTATCACTTTCATGAATGCTTCACCCCAATCTCCGAGTTCCAGCCATCGGATCATAATCTCCGCAACATGATTGGTGGCCAATACTTGGCGCGAGGCCATTTGAATATACTCCCCAATAGGCAATTTAGCGGTCTTGATTCCCTTCTCCACCGCTGCCTTGTAGCAAATTGCTTTATGACGGTTCTTGTCCACCAGGCCTCCAATGATATATGTGCTGTACGGCTTCAGCTCCGTCAGCGTGTTTGGGCTGTCGCTACTAAGGTACACAATCTCTCCATCTTCAGGTGTTGCGTCAGTCTTGTTAGCCAACACGCCCGCCAATTGACCTCCCTTAGGCTGGGTCATCCATTCCTTCGCCTGATCCGCAGCATGCACAAAATCCTCTTCCATGAAGCGGATCCCCTTCCAATTATGATGCGTTTTTGCTAGCGTTGTGTCGAAGCGCTCCTTGAGCAGTTTATTGAAGGAGGAGAACACCATATGAGCACGGTAAGGTGCGCCTCTATTATCCGAGTACGACCGCGTAAGCTGTGACGACAGGGAAATCCGCTCCTTCTCGAGCATCAGGTCATCGTAGCCACAGTCAAAAATCAGGGTAAGTGGGAGCAGAGTCGATTGCTTTGACTTTTTCCGATTGGTCGCCCATGTCTGCCGAAGCTCTTCTACTGCTGCCTTGTCACCCTCCTTCTTTGCTTTATCCATAAGTTCCCGTCTTCGTTGCTTCTTCGCGACAGTCTTTTCTTTCCGGAGGATCCTGCGCTGCTCGCGTTGGGCATCCCAGTTTTCTCTGCGACGAAGTTTCTTCAATTGATTCTTCGATAATTTGGGCGCATCGTCTTTGCTTTCATCTCCATCCTGCCGCGTGCCTGTTGACTTAGGCTCTTCACCATTGGCTGTCGTTGCGACATCGTCATGCGTAGCAGACTGCGCGGCATCCTCGTCGGGAACAAATCCCACAGCTCCAGTCATTGTAGGCTCCGAATCCTTCTGTGCCTCATCATTACTTAATTTTGGGAACTTCCTAGGTCTCTCTTCGTCTTCCATTGCCCTATAATGTATCAATTTCCAGCAAAGAAATACTTCGTTGTGAGTAAAAAGCCGTGAACCTCTTTAATCTAAAATCTCCCGGACGAAGAAATTCCCCAGCAACCAATAAGCGGCACCGCAGCCCGCATTACCAAACCAAAGCCGTCTCACGTGACCACCACTCCAACTTCGTCCAGCATCAACGGCGGATCTTCCCTACGGATAATCCCAAGACTGCAATTGAAGGCTGCTGTGTCCGTCAGTCGCCAAAATGCCTCAGGATATGCCCCCCGTTGGGGGCTACGGGCCAGTCCAGTACAAGGTATGCGCATATAGCCAAAGCCCCTGTACAAATTTCGCTCAATTGCCCTGGAATCGTATCATCTCGACCTATGCCTCACCTACCGGCTTGATCACGGCTCATTCGGAGTTCAAAGAAGAAGAAAAAGGAGAAAAACCGCCATTGCTAACATGCTCGGTAGCGTAACATCCCCGCCCGTGGATTCCGCCCAATCACCTACCTCGTCGGTATGCACCTTTTCATGGCCTACGGCTACTACAAGCTATTCTACGGTATCCGCGAACAAAAGTATGTTACTTGTCCGGAAATACTTTCCCCAGCTTCCCTCGGATCGACGTTTCAGGCGAGAATGGTGATGGCTGACCGCAATTGTGCGAATTAGTGAACTTGCCCGCGAAAAGGTCTGGGGTCGTCTCCACATCCTCCCTCTCCTCCAGGCCGAAGAGGACCGTGACCAGGTCCGTCGTCACTTTGCCGACAAGGCCCGCGAGAAGGATCTTCTGGGTGCGGAGGCCAAGGTTTACAACAGCGAGCGGTATGTTTATTCCCCCTATTCTTGCTCGGGGTAGCAGGTGCTGACTGTCCTATAGCTTCGTCCGCCCTACCTTCGTATACACACCCTCTAAGGTCTCTCAATAAGCGATTACAATTGACATGTTGATTTATGATTGCAATTAATCGGAGTCTTTTGTGCGGGGCCTGTTAGATCAATAGCAAAGATAGGGAGGTTGGAGGAGACAATGTATATGATGTAGGTATACCGTTTAAAGGAGAGCGGCTAGTTTGCAATATGTGCTTTTTTAATGGGTTAAAATTATTCCAATATCTATTCGGTACTGAATGTATGGCCTGCTAGAAGTGACCATGGGCAACCCCATTATTGCATGTAGTTTGGTTGTCCAAATGATGTACTCTATAATGAAAGGCTTCAGAGGGGTTCTCTCTCTTTTATGCCTATAAAAGCCAGAATGAGAGATATAAAAGGATCGGAGAACAAGGGGAATGAGTGCGCACCATTGTACTATACAGGAGTGGGTGAAGGAGGAAGTCATTATCCAGTATATACGCAGAAAGCCTTCTAACCAAACATGTCCGCCACACCCGTAAGATCTGGTCCGTCATTAATATCAACCTTATTGTTTTGCTGGCCTTCCATTTCGGAAGTCATATATCTTTCTTGTAAAGCGCTGCGGGCCTTGCGGCGTTCTTCTCGCGAGCCCAGGATCTTTCCCTGCTCAGCGATGCTCACGCCTCTCAGCCCTTCCAAGAGATCCAATATGAGAGCTCGCTGTTGGCGAGCAGCGGTTGACCTCACCAAAGACGCTTCCGTCATTGCTACTCGCTGTTCATCCATGCCAGGGAGGCTGAGAATCACGGAGCGCGGTGTGGGCGTGCTGGATCCATAGAGAACCCAGATTGAGGAGATAAGCTGGGCAAGGTCTTTTTGCATATCGACGAAATAAGGCTCATGCACGGATGTAATGCATGCTTTGAGAACTTCTGAGCATATAAATTCACGGATGGTGACTGTTGTTGGAGTGTTGTTGGGAGGCGCAAAGTCCTGCAAGATGGATCGGATAACACGTGTAATTATGCTGCAGCATCTGGTATCGCGCATACGAAGCGCGTGGGTACAGAACAGCATCAGAGGCTCAAAGATCTCCGGCGACGAGAGAACGAAGTGGCGTATGGAGTCGGAGAGGGCAGGTTGGGGATGGGGTGCGCTTGGGTCTGCTGGTTCCTCGTCTGGGTCTGTTATCGGATTGTTAGCTGAAGAAGTAGAATATGAGAATGTAGTGGCTTACCCCCTCTTTGTGGATCCAAAAGGCTTGCTACCATAATCACGGCAGAATAGGTCAACTGTCGAAGAATACTCTCGGATTTCATCTCGTCAGTCAGATCTGCATCGGCACCTCCTTCTCTCTGCTGTTCAATCATATCCCATTCCGATGTAACCTTCTTATCAATGTTTGTAAATAAGGTTGCTAGCATTGGAGGCAAAAAGTGACCACGGAAGCGAACAGGGCAATCATCAATTAAGCACCTCGCAATATTGAGAAGCACAGAGAATTGATGGGAAGAAAGACAAGATGAGTCTTTGAATAGAGCTTCAGATAAGGGTCCTGGAAGTTCCGCGAACCCATAAAAGTGCTCTCGTAGCCTACTCATGCTGTAGAGCATCGAGTAGCAGGATTCCCGAACTGCCCGAATCTTACCTCTGACCGAGGACGCAAATCCTTCGAGGGTTGCCCGCGACGCGGTGATTTTAGCGTAAAACTCATCACGGCTACCAGTTGATATACCCGCTTGCCAAAACCTATCAGTCAAGATGCGCTCAACGACCGTTCGCATTTCACCGGGCAGGCCGCCCCAGTTGGCGGGATTGTGGAAGGCATGAGCATGACTGAGTAGGTTAGCTTTTAGGCCTGGGATATGACGATTGAGCTATTTTACCTGACAAGCTGTAGCAAAGTCGGCAATACGATAGGGATGGTCTCATGCCAAACGCTGCACGCAAGCTCATATGCTGGCTCATTCTTTTTTAGCTTATCCGTGGAGACAGCTAGCATTGTCTTTGTGCCTCTCAAGGGTAGATTCTAACCAAGGTGTTTAGTATCTATCTGTATCTCTGAGGTTTATTTGGCAAATACCTGGAACTTTCTGGTCATCTCTTCCTGGATCTGTTTACCCTCATTGTTCAGAGGCACTGACGCCCAGTCTTCCAACTTCTGAGCTTGCTGAGCCTGCATGAATGGCCCAACGCTTTGCAGCCCAAGCATGGAGCAAAATCCCTCAAAAGAAGAGCTCATCTGCCGGAACTCTTCATCTTGCCAGGCCTGCCTGATGGGCTCCACGAATGATGCCAGCCGGGATTGACGTAAGAATGGATCCACGTTGTTCGCGCGTTGCCTAGATGGGTCAGCACAAACGAAGCCCAAGGGTAGAGGATAAGACCGTGGCTTAATACATGATAATAAGAAGAATTGAAGTAAGCTCCATTTGGAGTTTGTCATCCACCCTGTTGGCGAGGCTAATCTCCTTGACCTTCGGTTCGAGCACGTCATAAAATGTCTCCACGCACTCATTAGTATGGTCTTCCGAGAATGCACTTGATTTAAACCTACAGAGAAATAGTCTGAATAGCGCATTGCGAGGCGCCTGAGTTCATGGCTGGACAATCCATGCAACTCTTTCACGGCTTCAGAATAGGCAGGGTATTCAGGTTCGTCAGGCAGTCGAGTCATGAGGATATACTCGAGGGCCTTAAGCGCAAAGCTGGGAGTCTTGTCAAGGGCCCTAGATGAGATATCGACAATGAGTTTGATGACTCTCTGCTTGAGAATCGGATCCTGGATTATCAGATTAGCTATGCGGTATCGGGGTGACTCTGCTAGTGGTCTAAGCAAACCTCAAAGCTCCGCTGCATCAACGAGAAGGCCCAATTTTCCAAGATATCCTCCAAGTCCCTTCGTTTTTGCTCCTGCCAATTATCAGCGGTCTGTAGTTAGACAAGGTTGGCAGTGCTCACATCTTGCTGTGGCATCCTTCCATGGGCTGACACCCATTTATTATATCCCTTAAGAGTCGCTTCTACGACCGCAAATTGCGTATCGGCGCGCATTAACGGAACAGAGCTTTTCGAGAACGATTTTACTAATTTACGTTAGTCTCCAAGTTTTACTGATCCTAGAGCTAAACACACCGTTGAATGGCTCGACTCCGTTGTAGAGATTGCTTAGATTAGCATCAACACCTGACAGGATATGGGGAATAGCTTCTTGTGGCCGCTTCTGAACGATCGTTTCGATAATTGACGAGCAGTATCGGCGGTAGTTGCCCACAAACGCATGTCTTTCGGGGACGGTATCAATATCGTCAACGAGAAAGGTGACTGTAGGGTCATCGGAGTCCGTGGGTAGGGCCTCCCAACGGACCAGCCGCTGGGTACAGATCTCTAATAGCGAAGGAATGAGGCCGGTTACCAGGTCAGTGTTTCCTATCCTTTCAGAAGCTAACAATTTGGACCACACGTGAAGGACGGGTATCGAAACCATCAAGCTCTGATGCTGAATAACGCTTATTGTCAAATGGAAAAAGAAAGGGAGGTTCATGCCATGCGCGCTCTCCAAGGAAAAGCTCTTCTCCTCCAAGAATCCTGCGACGTACGATAACATCTCGGAAAGCTTTTTGGAAATCATGTACCGGGTATCGTCAATGTCATCAGGCCCCACGATAGACCACTGGTACAATTTCTGTAGGATATCCAAGCACTCTGTCTCGTACATCAGATGCACGAGAGGTTGGAAGCCTTCCATATCATAGTTGGATCTGCTGTACAACGAATGCACAGCTTCGACTGCAGCCAATAATACCTGTTCATCGGAACATGTGAACGCCCTAGCGATGGAGGGGACACAGTTTGAAGAGATGATGGCTTTTGGTATTGCCCATAGCAAGACAGATTTTAGAGTCGCAAGTGCCTTGAGCGCTGCATCTTTAGCTTGCTTTGAGTTTTGCAAGTTCTCGATGCAATACTGAAGGAATTCACAAATTCGAGGCAGCCAGCCTTCAGATCCGTACCGCAGCTCAACGTGATTATCCCTCTTAGGATAGACCTCTTCAAAAACAGATAGTGGCGTAAAGATCTCAACCAGAGCTCGGTTGAGGTCTGTGCCTCGTAGGGACGAAACGGTATCCTCCCGGTAGAAGATGTCCTCCGACAAGGTTTCTAAAGTGGAGAGAACCAGTTCCTTGTGCACAAGACTGGCTCCCCAGAATTGAGCAAGGGCCTGGTCCATTTCAATCCAGTCCAGGCCCCAGCTCCTTTTGGCGATTTCTGCCCATAGCTGCGGGATTTTGTTGCGTAGATAAGCAGGGTCCTCTGGTCGGATAGCCTCCGCGAGCTTGAGAACGAACTCCCTCAGCTCGAACACCTTCCCCGAGGCCGTGAAGGAGGTGTGACGGAGGACATGATCCAGGAGCGTCAAACCGAAGTAGCGAACCAGGGGATCATTCTGCTCCCGTGAGGCTAGCAAAAAGCCGTTGCGCGCCGCGGATTTGCTTTCCTTCTGCGACTCAACAAACGTCAAGGCCTCCCTTCGAAGATCATTTGTGGAAGAAGGATTGTGGATGAGCTCCAGAGCGCGAACGATGTCTGCGATGCGGCTCTCCGACAAATCTTCTTCGGCAGTCATTTTCGACTAGTCCCGTCCCTGAAATTGACCGGGGGGGTTGTGTCCAGTGAGGGATCAGGTGACGATGGGTTCAAATCCTTTTTAAGCTGATGTCAGGAACAGATTGTTCATGATCTAGGCTTCTAGACAAAGCCGTAGCGGTATTTTTAGTACTTTTTTTGCTTTCTTTTTTTAGAGACTGTCTTTTAACTTTTGCGTGACAGGGAGAGAAGAGTTGCAGCCGATCAACAAGTACCCGTGATCAATTAGTTCCAGCGGGCGGACAACCCAACCTGCGGTTTGGTGTTCCTTGCCCTGTCCAAATTCCCGCCAGGATCTCTGTCTATATTGAACTTTTTTGTTTAAAGAGAATATGTGGCGCTGAGAAAGAGCACTGGTTGATCCACCACGTTTTCCTTAAAAAGGGGGAGAGTGTGATTAGTACTTCTATGATTTGACGCGGGTTGTTGTGATTGGGAAAGAGGGAACCAAAAGTTAGTAAAGGGAACAATCATCAGGCAAACGCCCGCCCACCTTCAACTTCCAACCTCTTGGGAGAGAATTTTCCACGCGCTACCGCTCCAATCACCACACCGACTGTAGGAGGGGTTCCGCCCACACACCGCCTCCGATTTACACTCATTTCTTATATCCACGGCAATGTTATTTATGTACTAGTACCTTCAGATATCTCCCGCTCGTCAAACTGATTCCCCAGTCTGATTCACTCATTATCACTGATTATTATGAAAGTTTTCACATATTTTGTTGTTGTCCTTTATCAAAAAAAGAAAAAGCAAAAAAATAAAGCTAAAACGTTGAGTGTCCTTGCTTCAACCCATATAATTAAGAGACAAAACCTTCCTAGTGCGCCAAACCGTACCGAATGGAATATTAGACAGAACCCTAACCTAATTATCCCTACATCACAGTACATGCGGCACGCTGGCACTGCTCCAAATAAGTCAAATCGTCTCCGGAGACCTTGGTCAGGTCGCCTGGTTTGCGTTTGATCCCTTGGATCTTTATGTCCTGGTTCCCTTCCGGATGCCACCACCGAAGCCGTTGGATCTTCACAGAGTCGATCTCAGCATAATCAAGGGTCCACTGACCACCGCTGACAGCTACCACAGTATGCGTATCGGGAAAGTGGAAGTCCGGCAGGTAGATTTCTGTCGGCCGCTCTCCTCGGACGGCCTTCTCTTGAGCCACTAATGACATGGTGAATATGCAATTCCGTAAATCAAAGCCATATTGTGTGAGAGAGCCGTTGGTGAAAATCGGACTTGGCCGAATGTAAGCCTCCGCTGCGCGAAAGCCTGCATGATCTTTCGACGCTTGGGAAGAGACTTCGGAAGTGATAGAGACCGGTCGCAAAGCGTCCTTCAGATTCGATGGCCCCACGTGTTGATCTTCTATGTTGCTCTGACTCTCAGAGTAGGCTGGAGAATGAGAGTCAGACCGCGATCGTGATGCGCTTTTAATCGCTAATAGCTTACCGCTCGGCAGCTCGGGGTCGTCCAGGGAGAAGATCGAGAGGTCCTCGCCGTTCCAATTATCGCCCCATTCATGATTGTTCTGAGGCATCGATTAGCCATTAGATGCACAACAAAGAGCCTTGGATGAGGACTGGTGTGCTCCCTTACCTGTGTTGTATAGAGCCATAATGTAAAGCCATTGGCAGCGCTGCCTTCCAGGGCGAAATGGTTGGCATCCATTGCACTAATTTGACTGCCGTAATCACCTGTTTTGTACGCGTACTTATCATCCATGTCATAGGGGATTCCAATTTCCGTGAAGATCATAGGATGGTTCCCCATAAAACGTAGGCTCTCATCTCTCAGATACTTAAGCTGATCGCGCAAGCAGTTTCGGATAGCCGTCTCCCCTATCTTGACAGCGAACGCCGGCGCCAAATATTTTCCACGGAGCACACCAATCACATCAACATTGTATAGTCGATTCCTACAGAACCATTAGTTGTACACTGTTGAATTTTAGGCTAACACAACTCACCAGTGCTTTGTCAATAGGGTAAGTCCGTCGTAATAGTGTACGGCATGAACCATGTTAGGGTCGTCATCAAAAGAACCCTTGAGATCAGGGGGTACTTCCATAACAGGAGGCTGGCAAAGCATGATGGATTCAGGCCATACACTTCTGATGGCATCTTTATAGGCTCTGTAATGCTCCATGAAATATGTGTTTGTGAAGACGTCGTAATTCAATGGTTCGCCGCTTTGAGGCTTCTTAGCAAAATAGTCTTTCCTGAGTAATCGGTCCGTTGACGGATCCCAGACGCCATGTTGTGCCCATAGACACTCTCCTAGTTTCCATCCTGGATCTCTCTTCCAACCGTACTTATGGTCATCATAACTTGCGGGTAGCCATGCGGATTCGCCCTCAGGATCCACAAGTACCCGGCCAGTCTGGTGAGGTCCAAAACCGCCGAACGCCCATGTTGTCTCCTCGCACGCCCGTCCAGATCCCGTCAGCATTGCCTGAAAGGCGGTCGGAGATGTTCCTAATTGGAGTTGTTGTTCAGGTGGAATCATGGATATGTCTTGGACACCAATAAGTCCTCTATGGGGCTCGTTCATGCTTTCCCATCCAATAACAACTTCATTTTCCAGGTCGCCAGCCTCATGGATCTTCTGGGCGAAATATTTGCACGCAGCGATGAAGTGGCCCTGAAGGTAATCTTGGATGTTCACACCATTTATGATTGCCTTGGGTGCAAAGTCTCGGCCAGCCCAAAACAATGTGAATATGGTCTGACAGACGAGCCGGGTGTAATTGGTACTCCAAATCATTTTTGGGAACTCTGCCGGACCGTCATACGTATTCTGAACAAGAGCAGCCTCGGTCTTCTTGAAAGTTCTTGGATTCAGCCCTGCTGCGTAAAGAGTCCACCCTGGGGCACCGGATCCTCCTGAAAGTCTGGACCACTGGACCCTGTCAGCAACTGTGCATCGGCGTCGAGCATGACGGAGAGTAACTATACCACATCCTGGTGAGGATCCATGAACACGTAGAATTGATACTGCTTAGCAACCCGAAGGACTTCGATGGTGAATGCGATCCATTCATCATCATATTTCCCCGGACCTGCGTGCTCGATGGCCTCCCAGGTGAACAGATACCGTATGGTATTATAGCCCCATTTCCGTAGCCTCGCGAAGTGTGTATGTGCGTCATCAAGGGAAAATGGCCGACCAATGAATGAAACGTCGTCGGTCTCAAAGAACTTGTCAGGTACATGCGAAGGAATATCCGGGATTTTGGGATATTTGGATTCTCCAGCAACATTGATCCCCCTAAGTGTAATTTCTCGATTATCCGGGTCTTTGAAGGTCGTTCCTTCGATTCGAAGACGAGGAGAACCCATGATTATTCGGAATTAACGAATAATTTGCAATTCGATGACAAGTAATGGACGGTGAGGTAGTCTGGGGGCTATGGAACGAGCTGATAGGTTAGTACGGGAATAGCTACTCGTTGCTAGGCAATATGATTAACACCTACCTTCCTGCAACGTGAGAAGGAAATATAGATGTATAGGAACCCGGGAGGTATTAAAGGGCCCAGATCAGCCCTCACCGCTCCCTAAGTGTCGTGTCAAGCGTAAGGGGGGTGTATTGTAAGTACTAAGGAAGTGGATGTAGATGGTCGGCGCTTACGGGTCTGGGGGAGAGATAAGCGGCCACGAGATCGGCCCTCTGACGTATCACTACTTCGCTCGGCTTCCCCACTATCCCGAACATTTGTCTTTAACTTGGCTTTCTTCAAATGTTTGTTTCTTTCGCGAATCTACCAATTCAATCATTACTTTCTTCTCCTTTCTCTACCTGCGAGCGCAGAGCTATGCAGCCATTGGGTCTAGTATGTCAAGCAAAGCAGCCTTAAAGTCTGTGCGAACTGCACTGGACTCGAAAGATTTCGAGCTTGCAGCCGAGAAAGCCAAGGCTCTTGTGCAACAGGAACCCAAAAACTACCACGCGTATGCAACCCACTTTCTACTTACAGTTTTACTTCTTACTAATATACCGTGAGAATCTAGAAATGTCTTCTTAGGCCTTGCGTTGGATAAACTCGACAAGACTCAAGAGGCTGAGAATGCTTACCTCGCAGCAACCCGTGCGAAAGGGAACGATAAAACTGCATGGCAAGGGTTAATCAGTCTATATGAGAAGCAAGGAAGCAATAGTCTAGACACCTATCGTGAGGCGGCCATAAAACTGTGCCAGATACTGGCTGAAGCGTAGGTTGGCCATTTACTCGTCTTGAATTGTGCGATAAATCGTAAACCCCATATTGACCCTCGCAGAAATGATCCTCGTCGCTGCCAGGAGGTCGTTGAGAGATACATTAGATTCACGAAGAAGCATGGCACTCGTACGCAATACCGAAAGGCCATCGAACTTCATCTCCCGTCGAGTCCCCTCTACGATATCCTCGAGGGTCTCATCCCACATCCTTCTCAAACCTATCTTCGCCTCATTGAAATGACTGAAGCGGAAGAAAAAGAATTTATAAACAGAGAAATAGGGGAAAGACGTACGCGTCTGGGTGCGCGAATTGATCAAGTCACCCTGGAAGTAAAGAGGGAGGCCTTCAAGCGGAGTGAACTTGAACAGCTATATCGCGGAATAGTGGACTGGACCCACGATGATGAGGTTCGGCGTACTTATGAAGAAAAATTACTAGAGCGGGGCTGCGATGTACTCGCCGTTCTTCCGATAAACGAAAAGAGTGCGAAACGAGAGGAGGTGTGGGTCGCTGCTCGCGATATGGTCATTATCAAACACCCCTTTGAGCTTGCCTGGAGGATTTTTCTTGAATGGCAGGATGTCCAAAGCTTTTCTGAGTGGGATCTGAACTTTCTTCTAGATTTCATTGAGTTTTTCCCTGAGTCAGGGCTATCGAGACTGCTAAAAGGTTTCTTAGCCAGCAACATTTCACCGTTCCCAAAAGAGACCAAAGACCCCAAGACAAAAGAGCAGGCAAATGAACAAGCAAGAGAACAGGAGGCTGAGAATGCCAATGGCGATGCCAGTGAGCTGGCCGCTCAAGACAGTGTTCTACTTATGGTGGAAGGACTTGAGATGTCCGCATCCTCAATCGTTGCACATCGCATCTTGGGTGAACTCTACTTATCACTGGAGGAGTATGAAAGCGTTGTGGAAGTATCTCGCAAGGGGCTTGGAAATATTCAAGACCTGGCCAAGATGTCCGGCATGAGACTTAGGAAAACAGCTGACTGTATGAATATCGCACTTGCAAACGCCCTGATCTATTATCAATCACCCCGGAATCACTCTGAGGCCAAGACCATATTTGAAGAGATCCTACAGAGAGATCCCAAATCGACAAGTTGCTTGCTAGGGATTGGGCTTATCCTCAAAGTGGATGAAGATTATATTGAAGCTGTCAACTTCTTGGAGCGTGCTTTGAATCGGGACCCATCGAATATCAAGGTCCGTGGCGAGCTTTTTTGGTGTAGGGCACTGACTGGTGATCTCACTTCCGGACTTCATGGGCTCCAAGAAGTGCTTGAAGAACTACAAAACACGCATTCCGAAAATAAAGATTTCAAGGCCGAAATTCTTTACCGTATAGGTTATTGTCAGTGGGAGATGGACCCATCACCTACCGCACGCAAAGACCGCAATGGTGCCTACGCTAATTTCCTCGCGTCGATCCAGACCAGCATAAACTACGCGCCTGCCTATACCAGTCTAGGCCTTTTCTACGCTGATTACAAGAAGGATAAAGCCAGAGCACGGCGATGCTTTCACAAAGCCTTTGAGCTTTCACCGTCAGAAATCGAAGCGGCTGAGAGGCTGGCAAAAGCATTCGCAGATCAAAAAGAGTGGGATCTAGTTGAGGCCGTGTCGCAGCGTGTTGTTGACTCCGGGAAAGCTAAACCTGCACCGGGCTCGAAACGAAAGGGCTATAGCTGGCCATATGCTGCTTTGGGCACTGTCCAGATCAACAAGCAACAATATTCCAAGAGTATTGTCTCATTCCAGGCAGCTTTAAGGCTCTCTCCAGGCGACTATCATTCATGGGTTGGCCTGGGAGAGAGTTATCACCATTCAGGGAGATACATTGCAGCAACAAAAGCGTTTGAGCATGCACAACAGCTAGAGGTCTCACTCACTAGTTCAGATAAGGAACAAGTCTGGTTTGCACGGTACATGTTGGCGAATGTGAAGCGAGAACTCGGGGAATATGAAGACGCGATTTCGCGATACGAGAATGTCCTGAGCATTCGTCCGAATGAATTCGGCGTATCTATTGCACTCCTTCATACACTTACGGAAAGTTCTTGGAAGAGTCTGAACCAAGGACTTTTCAATGACTGCATTGAGCTGGCCCGTAAGGCGGTCCTGGTAGCGACATCTCTTGCCTTGGAAAGAGTCGATATCTTCAATCTATGGAAGGGCGTGGGAGATGCCTGTTCAATCTTCTCCCATGTCAAGTCGAAGGCCGCAAGAGCCCCAATGAACGAAGTGCATACCTTATTAACTACCCAACTCGAGTCTGCAATTTTCGACACACTAACTGACGTTGATGAGGTCGGGCAAGATCATCTGTTGCTGTTGAAGAATGTAGATGATGAGACATGTAGCCCATCGGATAAATGCATATACGCCTCGATTTTAGCATATAAGCGCGCCATCCATGTGTCAGCGCAGGATATTCATGCCCAGGCAGTTGCTTGGTACAATCTTGGATGGTCAGAATACAGAGCTTTCAGGTGCATGCAAGTGACCGCAAACAATCAAAGCAAGAAACAGTCGCGCAAATTTTTGAAGGCGGCCATACGATGCTTCAAAAGAGCGATTGAGCTGGAAGCTGGAAATCCTGAATTTTGGAACGCCTTGGGCGTGGTGACGACAAGCTTAAGTCCAAAGGTTGCACAGCATGCTTTCGTGAGAAGCCTCCATCTCAACGATAGGACCGCACAGGTGTGGACCAATTTGGGAGCGCTTTACCTGATGCATAATGATATTCAGCTGGCAAACGAAGCATTTACACGTGCACAATCAACCGATCCAGACAACTCCCAAGCCTGGATTGGCCAAGGCTTCCTGGCCCTTCTATTCGGTGATCCACGAGAAGCCAGGGGCCTCTTTGAGCATGCTTTTGATATCTCTAATTCGTCGTCTCAATTGCCTAAGAAGCAGTACACTCTGAGCTTATTCGACCATCTCATGTCAGACCCTTCGGTTTCGAATGAGGTATCGCAGCTGATCCAACCCTTCTTTGCACTCCACCAGCTTACCTCACAAAACCCATCGGATTTGCCTTTCCTACATTTATCCTCTCTGTTGGCTGAAAGGATTGGCGAACTCTCGGATGCAGAAACCAGTCTACGGGCTCTCTGTTCCGCCGTAGAGGTAGAATACGAGGAATCCGAATCGGCGTCGTCCCTCTCGAAATTCGCCCAGGCGAACGCAGATATTGCTCGCGTTCTCCTTGCGCGTCAGGAATTTGGGGAAGCCGCAGAAAAGGCAGAAACAGCGCTCATGCTGTCCGGGGAAGAGGACGCCGAGAAATTCGATCCTGATATGAACAGCAGGCTGCGTTTATCGGCTCACTTGACGGCCGGTCTAGCACATTATTACATGCGGAACATGGACAATGCCATTGATATGTTCCGTGACGCGCTCCAGGAAGCGGATAATGCGCCTGAAGTGGTATGCCTTCTCGCACAAGTGCTATGGGCTAAAGGCGGCGAGGAGGAACGGGGTGTAGCTCGCCAGCAGTTATTTGACTGCGTGGAAAATAACCCCGAACATGTTGGCGCCGTCACGCTTCTGGGTGCTATTGCAGTCCTCGATGCTGACAAAGACATGATCGAGGCTGTCGAGTCTGACTTGCAGAACATGATTACGAGGGACGACATTGACATCCACGAGCAGGCTAAGCTGGCCAAGCTTTTGACCGCTATGTCTGCCTTAGGGCTCACTGATAGTTCTGGAGTTCCCGAGGAGACTAGGCGTGTGGGAGAGGCTGCGGCAGCAGTGATGAGATCACCTCATCAGCCCCAGGGCTGGATGGAGTTGTCGGCAGCCTCCGGTGAACCCTATCCTGCGGAGATGGGTGTCAAGAGAGCTTTGCGTAGCGTCCCACCCCGAGGCAATCTGGACGCTGTTGATCTGTCTACTGCATATGCACAAACCGGAAAGGCGAGTGACGCACTCAGGGCGATTATGATTGCGCCATGGAAACAGCATGGGTGGGAAGAGCTAAATCACGCGGTGTCTGCAACGAACTAGTGTGGAAACTTTCTTCTAGGAAGACATTGCGCTTGTAGATAGTCGTGACATGTCATCCTGCAGCTGGCCTACTATAGGTAGTGGATGAATGATGAAATAGAAACATTTGAACACACCTTAGTATCTATGCAAGGACGAGCTTGATGACCATGTGGTACTCTTCCTTATGAGTCCTGCTCCCTTTGCATCTCGGCAATTCTTGCCAACAGTCTTTCCTTCCTTCCCTCTCTCCACACCTGGTCCAGCGAGTCAATCTTGCCCCCAAGAAGCGTAACACAATCAGGCGTCAACAACACCATGCCACGAGCAACTGCAGTATTCCGTAACAGTATCTTAGACCCAATGGGTAATTTCCCCAACGCAACGCCACTGACACGCTTCAACTCAATTACCACCGCTTTCGTGCCCGCCGCATCTTGAACGATCAATCGGTGCGGGCCACTGCTGTCCGACTGAGTAGAAGCAGGACCGCTACCCTCCGCGCCCTGCTCGGGATCTTCGTCCACACTGACGGTGCGCACAATTTCCCTGCCCCGAATCGCCTCCCCGCGTTCCACGCGCTCGATCGCTTCCACCTGACTCCACAAACTCGAGCCGATGTCTTCGATATCCAGGACTTGAACGGGGACCGGGCCCTGGAGCCGTCTTTCTTGTACCGCGGGATCGGAGATGTCGACGGGAAGGAGTGATGAAGTTGATCGTGTGGAAAGGGATTCTCTAATGTCGGAGGCAAGGATGCGGAATAGAGCAGTCTGGATCAAGGCCGAGAGGGGAACGTTGCGCTGGAGAGTGGTCGAGGAGACAAAGTGATTGAGCCATGTTGAAGAGACCGAGAGCGATTTACTGCTCAGTAGCTGGGCGGCGATTTGGCTCTCCATTGTGTGGTTCAGGAGGGGTCGTACAGATACATTAAGCGTTGTTGCTGCTAATTAAATTTATTTATAAACAATTTCCGCCGCGGAGGAAAATCCGGGGAACGGGCCACCGCCTCCTGACCTGCTGTCATCGGACTCGCCTCTTTTAACCTTCAAGCAAAACCTCACTATTCTCCTCTCTTTTAGAGAATACCCAATTCATACAGAATATATACCCTCACCAGACATCATATACAATCAATCCGCCCCAAAAATGTCCACCATCTCGTCCCCCCGCCCATCAATCGCCTCCTCACGCGCCCACTCACCCACCCCAACATCCTCCCGCCGACCCTCCCTCGACATCAACACAAACCTCGGCGGCCTCAGCGCCAGCTCAACCCCCTCAACCGCCCGAGCCCTCTCCCCCTCCTTACATCCCCGCCGCAATCGCGCCGCCCTCCGCGACTACTACAACTTGAAACCCTCCGCCGCCGAAGCCCCCGGAACCAGACGGTCCCGCAGCATCCCCCGGCCCACCGACGCAGCCGACACCTCCAATCCCTCAGTCATCCAGACCGGGACGGAGCTGGACAGCCCGGACTTCGATGCCCAGCGCTACGTCAATCATCTTCTTGCGACGTCGTCGCTGTCGACGGTGCTGAAGGCGGAGAATACGCTCGTCGGGGATATCAAGACGCTGGATAGTGAGCGCAAGGCGCTTGTTTATGATAATTATTCGAAGCTGATTCGGGCGGTCGAGACCATTGGGAAAATGCGGCAGAGCATGGATGATCGGGGGGCGCCGTTGACCATGACCAAGACCTTGGGGCCGGCTATTGCGTTTGTGGCTGAGACGGCAGGGGGGTTGATTCAGGAGGGGGAGGAGCAGAGGCGGCGGATGAAGGAGGCTAGGGCATCAGATGGGTTCGAGCGCAAGACGGCAGAGAAGGATACGGTGAGGTGGGCGCTTGGGACGCCGGCTCGGTTGGAGAAGCTTGTTGCGGATGGTAGCCGGGAGGAGGCTGAGAGGGATTGGGAGGAGGTACGGGAGTTACTTGGGAAGTGGGAGGGTGTGAAAGGCGTGAAGGAGCTCCGGGAGGCTTGCGAGGAAATTATGGAGAAGAATGATGAAGCTTCTTGAATGCATAGCTCATTTCATGCATTCTATTCTTGCGGTTGAGCTACATTCAGATGCTCACCGGCTGGCCGACAGACGGACGCTTTCAGAGATCACGCAGCCAACTACAGTTCACGCTGTTCGGCCCGGTTGGCAGGTCGGGAGAGCCTGTCACAATCTTTCAGGGTCACATTGATCGATCAAACGTGGAAGATCCCTTCAGGAACGTCTATAAACTGCACGACACGACATCCGTCCACGTTTCCTCGTTGATACCACCACGATATAAAGGTGGAATGTATCACAGGGAGAAGAACCAGGCTTGGGAGCACCAATCAATCTCCAAGAGTGTTCATATCACATTAGATACAGGTAGTGAGCAGAGTCATCACGAAACTCATCATGATCGTCAATCATTACATATCATCAGACCCATAAATGTACATCAATCTAAGTCCATCCAACTCAATCCGATCCCCTCTTCCCCTCCAAAACATCCCGACTGGAAAACAGGCTCGCCCTCAAGCCATACGAATTATTGCTCATAATCTCCAAATAAGTGTACGCATCACACTTATAATAAACTGGGCGTCCTCCCTTCTCCACCAAACCCAACTCCACCAGCCTCTCCAAAACCCTCTTGACATCCGCCCCATCCCCAAAATCCCGAGTATAAACCGCCAATAATCTCGCCCTCCCCTCACCATCATCCGTCGCAACCTTCGCCGCAACCCCCAACCGCCCCTCCACCGTCTCCTCCACCACAACGCCCCAAACCCGATCCACCACCTCCCCCGTCAAAAACAACATCCACTTCCCCGACACAACCCCCGTCTCCCTCGCCAAGGCAAAGATCCCTCCTTCCAACCTCCGCCTTAAAGGCACCAACTTCCTCGCCTTCTGCAACGTCCCCGCCCGATCCATGCTCACCTCCAACTCTGCCCTCTCATCCTCAAACCCTCGCAGCAACCTCGTCCCCCCGGCGACGAAACTCGCAATATCCTGCTCCGTCCGGCAAGCCCCTGGATCCGAAACATAGATCCACGGACCCACATTCTCGGCCTTGGTTGTGGAAGGCGGCAGCCGGGCTAAGAAGCTCTGCACTGACTCGTCCGTCCTCGGCGCGTTGTGCGAGTCCATAGATGCCGGTGTTTCGGCTTCTACGTGGACCCCAGTATTTGGGTTTGGTTGCGGGGGTGGAGGGGACATTGGATCCGTTGGTTTGGCGACGGAGGCTGAGACTAGCGCGTTGTGTTTGATTGTGGTGTAGAGATTTGGATGGATCTTTTCCCAGTAGGGACCTGGGTCATAGGTGTTCGCTTGGTGTTCGAGGTGGGATTTTGTTTCTTCGTCGCCTTTTGTTTATTGTTAGTTAGGGAGGTGATGTCATTCGGAGGATGGAGAAGTCTGAAGAAAGAAACTGTATTGGTATTAACAAATATAGTACGAACCGTAGAAGCTTGACCCGTCTGAGAAGAGGTCGTTGAGATCGGGGTCGGTGGGCATTACTGCGGTGTTGCGCTTGGAGGGTCTTGTTTGGGGCATGGATAGGGATGGGAATTGGAAATTCGGAAGCTGGTGAGGGGTGGGTTCGAAGGATTTATATAGGTGGGGGATAGTGCTGGATTTCTCGGCGCTGAAATGGTGTCGCGATGAAGATGTGAAGATTGTCATGCTTGGTTGCTTGTTTGGAGGCGTTCCCACCTGTCACAAATCATGGTTTGGAGCTAGTTGGAGCTTAGTGGGTTTGGTTTGAGTGTGGGGACTAGATTAATTTAGACATTATTATTTATATTTAGAGAGTTATGATTTGTTGCTATTTAAGTTAATATAACGCCTTGTTTGACCTCTTTATCAAACTGAGAAATATACTGTTTGAAGAGATCTTGCGCCGAGCTGCTGGGTAATCAAAGTACAGCACATATTTGTGACATGACAGTCTACCATAGCTATATAAGATATATGTTTAATCCCTCATGGATGGGTGCTTCTTCCACCTCTATTTGTGGTGCCAAACCTGCTCCACAAACTCCATCAAGTCAGCTTTCAGCTCCCTTGGCTTCTCAAGAGCTGCGAAGTGCCCTCCCTAAATCACACTGTGAGTAGACGAACTCTCTCCGCTCGACGTCGAATACACCTACCTTTTGGTGCTCCCTCCAAAAGACCAAGTTCCCCGTGGTCTCTACCCAGGCCTTGGGAACGGGAAACAGTTCGTAGGGGAAATAGGAATATCCAAATGGTTTCTGGATGTACTTCAGAGCGTTCCGCTCGGGGGACAGGGGAAACTCCTATAGATGATAACCAAGCGTTAGCACTGAACAGGCCTTACAGAAACGCTAGGTGATATTCGCATATACCTCGCGGTAAGGGTAAATTGCCCGTGGAAATGTCTCGGTCAGCCAATACAACGAGACGAGCTCCAAAATGGTCTCGGAGGGGAGGGGCTCTTCCACCCAGGTAAGGAGTTTCTCTCCGCACCTATTTCTTTGGTGAGATTATGCTTTCCTTCCCTCTGTCCTTTCTCGAGTAGACTATGAGCTTGACCTACCATGCGAGCAAGGCAAGTGGGCTTGAAGACAGGACATGGCCAATGGTACTTGTCTTAGTACCATGTTCGAAGGCATACGCGACGCCCAGGGTCATGAACTCCTCTTTCCGAGCCAATCCTTTCTTCTCAAAATCCGTGAGGTTCTCAGTTGAAACTCCCTTGGGCGGCGTAACTATCGGGCAGAAGTTCACTGGGCCAGTTGGTTTTACTTCCATACAAACGTCGGGCGTGATGCTGGATTATCTTACAGTGTACCGCTGTGAAATGGGTTAGCGCCGGAAAGGAGTAAAAAGAGTAGGCATGACCAACCTTTGCAGCTATCATAGTTCACTGCCAAGTGTCTGGACACTCGGGCTCCAATGTCGCCTCCTTGAGCGACGTACCCGCTTTCGAACCCGAGGTTCTTCATCAAGGTATCTATGACTCGAGCGACATCATGAGTGGTAAAATTTTTATCCACTGGCGGGCTGGAGGAGAAGCCATAGCCCGGTAGGGAAGGGACTATGAGGTGATAGGGCAAGGTGCTCGGTGTGAACTCGTCCCGGAACAACTGTAGCAGCGGGAGAAATTCCAGAAAGCTTCCTGTGTGACAATACACTGTGAGTGCGATGCACGGCGAAGGATATGGAAAGAGGTCATAGTACCAGGCCATCCATGAAGTAGGACAATGGGCACTGCATCAGTCTTCTCAGAAAAGAGAGCAGCAAAATGTAGCTCAATGTCTTCGATCTTGGCTGTGAATTGAGGGAAGCTATTGATCCGTGCTTCACATTTCTTCCTAACTGGAGTTAGGTTTTCTGATAAACAGCGATTGAGTATTAATAAGATACCAGTCAAAGTCATTGATCCATTTTTCTCGGATCGCAGTCAGCCAGTTGGAGGTGATGCCGAAGCCCGGCTGCGAATTCTCGTAAGTCGGAGGGGCTATCTTCCCCACTTTCACCAACGTCTGGAGCTCGGCAAGCTGTTCTTGGGAGATAGAAGCTGTGAAGACGGACGGGGTCACCCTCGCAGTGGGCGGGATATGGCTAAAAAGTGCCGACATGGTTCAAGTATATTTCTCTACAGCTGTAGGAAATAATATATAAATGTAGATAGTAGTCGTGAAGGAACAGAAAGGGAAAATGATCCTTAGACATCATGAATGGCGGGTTACTTTTAAGCTTAAGTACTACAAGAAGTATAGGAGAGAAGGGCGGGGAAGATGAGTAATTGGATGATCCATGGAACCCTAATATGAGCAATACGACCATGATATCGACTCATATCACAGACTAACAACGATCCTTCTAGGCAGAAATCGGCTGCCTTCTCGTAGGATTCATATCAAGCTATCTAACCGGGTCTCGGTTCGCTATCAATCTGGGGTTATTTCAGACGCCTCAGATTTAGATGCAATCTCTTTTTCCCAAATCGTTGAACATACTGACTGGCTGTAGATTTGGCGGAGTCAAGCATTCTGGACTGGGTCGTAAAGGAAGCAAATATGACTACATGACCATCAAGATGATCACCACTGGAGCTCTGCATCAAGAAGTGAAATATACATCCCAGCGGGGAAGATTTGTAGGAAATTTTATATTCACCGCCCTCCACGCCTTTTGATAAAACACAAGATATCCAATCCAGCCCATGTCACCAGACATAACCATACGCATAAAATCAATGATTAGATTGATTAGATGTATCCAAGCATACATACATAAATCCCACCTATAAATACATAATGACCCTCCAAGCCCCCCAATCCGCCACCACCATCTACCTCGACCAACCCCCAAGCTGCCTCCAATCCTGCCCCTCATCCCCCAACCACTTCCTCATAGGCACCTACCTCCTTACCGAAACAAAAGATGAAGCCGGCACTATCCAACAAACCAAAACCGGCAGCCTGCAACTCTGGCACCTGACCCCAGAAACCAACTCCTTGTGAAACACCCCGATATAAGAAAAACCAAACCATGCCAAACTAACATCCCCCCAGATCCCTAATCCAAAAACTTCCCCTACAATATGCAGTCTTTGACCTCCACTTCCACCCCAGGGACCCCAATCTGCTCGCCATTGCCACAAGCGCAGCATCAGTTGCCCTCTTCCGCCTCTCAGGCCCAACACCAACCCCCGAAATCCACCCGGTATGGACGAAACCCGTCCACGAGGACCCGACCATTCCGGCCCTCTTCCTCGCCTGGACGCCGCAGAACTGGCTAAACGAGACCGAGACCGAGACCCAGGCCGACGGGTTCGCGGTGACCTTTTCCGACGGCCGGACCAGCATTTTCGGTTGCTCCCAGGGTACTACGGGACTTGTCGAGGAAGATGCGATCTCGGAATGGGGCTCCTTTGCTGCGCGGGAGACGATCGAGGTGTGGTTTGTTGCGCTGGAGATATTCTCCGACAACGACGGGAGTCAGGTCCCGTTTTTGTTTACCGGGGATGATTTTGGGTCGTTGCAGACGCGGCGGTTTGGGGGTGAGAGGGAAGGGGAACTTTTATCGGGGGTTTTGGGGGATTGGGATGATCGGGGGAGGAATCATGGGGCTGGGGTTACGGCGATTTTGCCACTTCCGGTGGGATTGGAGGACGGGGCGCCGGTGGTGCTTACGGGGAGTTATGATGAGAGTTTAAGGGTTTATCGGGCTACGCGGAGGGGGGAGGTTTTGGCAGAGGTGGGTTTGGGGGGTGGAGTTTGGCGGTTGCAGTTGGTGAGGACGGAGAGGCGTGGGTTGGAGGATGGGGGGAAGGAGTGGGTGTTTCTTGTTCTGGCGAGTTGTATGCATGCTGGGACGAGGGTGGTGAGGGTTACGCGGACACTGGGGCAGTGGGATATTGAGGTTTTGGCGGAGTTTACGGAGCATGAGAGTATGAATTATGCGTCTGATGTGTGGAAGCCCGAGGAGGGATATGACTTGCAAGGGAAGGAGATGTCTGAGCTGCTCTGCGTATCGAGTAGTTTCTACGATCGGAGACTTTGCGTGTGGCGGGTCAATGTATGAGGGAAAAGTCCCTCAAAAATGAGAGATGGTTTTATTGTTCATGAAGTGATTCGCTCGATAAATTCATCATGCGGTATACAAGTTATAACCCACCGGGGACCCAGACGAAAAGGCAAAGAAAAATGCGTGACTAGATAGATCTATTAGATTAAACGATCGTCTCTAGCTCGCGAGCGTAACCGATCGCGTTCTCAATAATGGTGGTGCTGGCCACAAGGATATCCTTTTCGGACCGTGCGGTAGCCTCCGGCTCAATAGGGAAGTATATCCGTCCATCACGAAGCACCCATCCGCGCTGCTGAGCGAACTCGATGACCGCCCCTTCCGACTCAAGGAACAGAAGGTTCTTCGCATTGGAGATGGGGAGGGAGGGGTACGCCTTCTCGGAGCAGTCGGCGATCTCACTGCGGATGGTTCCAACCAGGACCTGATCAACCCAGAACTGTCAGCATGCGCTCTTACCCAAGAAAACAACGAAACGGGGGCACGTACGTTAGAGAACAGGCCGAAATCCTCTGAGGGTACCCTCTCTGATTTCGTCTCTCTCCACACCTTATCATAACTGCCCTCCATCAAGTTCCGCTCCAGCTCAACTGGGTACTTGATGTATGCGTCATCCTCAACACTCTTGCCCTTTAAGCTTGCCTCCTCAACGAGACCCTCCAGTACTGTGTGGAAACTAGTGCTATCGCCCATACTCAGCAACAGGAGCAGATACAGGCCTGTAATCTTGCTACGTTGGCTGTTCTTAAAGTCCACCTTTCCGGCATTCGAGCTGTCCCTCTCCAGATCATAGAAAGGCTGCAGCTGCTGATAGTATCGTGTGAAAGAAGTTGCGTCGGTTTGCCGGATGGAGGACAGAGCGCCGAGCTCCAGAACATCGCGTGCAAGAGCAATCAGCTCAGGCGATGTCGAGGACGTTGGAATCAAGGCATTCTGTAGCAGGAGAGTCCGCTTAGCGCGACCAAGAAGATCGTTGGCGGCATCGAACTGTTTGCGATTGAGGGCGTTGTGAAGCTCTGAGACGAGGGTCCGGAGGTCGGCACCGTTCGCCATAATGAGTGGAAGCTGAGATGTGGACGGGAGGGTGTGCGGTGCGGTCAAGAAGACGTTGGATGACTGAGAAAGGAATGCCGGCGAGATCGGAGAGTATGGGGGAAGGTAAAGAGTGGTTTGTGATTGATGATTGATGGTTGAAGTGGACGATGACAACAGCACTTCCAAGAGCTTCTCCAGCGCATGTCTTGGCAATGAGGTCACGTGTGGGCGGGCGGTGTTTTAACGGCGTCGCACAGTTCTTCCTTTTAAGGACTATGGAGTAGAAAAGTGTGAATAAAAATACGCACGGTGAGAGAGGGAGGCGAGGTGAGCGAGTGCTTGTGTATGTGTGTGGCATGGAAGAAGAAAATTACCCCAGAACATATGAAACCTAATGAATATATCTTCTGAAAGCGAAGATCTATATATATATATGTGGTCTACTTTGAACAAAATACAGGGATGAGACCAGGACTATGCGCCTCAATGTAGCTAACACCGGCTTATGGCTATTGAATGATCCTCCCCTCACACTTTATATAGACTTCGCTAGCCTAAGGAGTGTGTCGTAGGAGGGTGTCCCAAGATCTGTGACGGGATCTCGCCCAGGCGTTGCGTTCCAGCTTGCATGCGGAACCTCCATCCCAACGTCATTAAAACATCCTACTGAGCCCCATTCGAGGACATCTGTAAAGCCGGTCTGATCGGGAGAATAAAGTCAGTGGCTGAGAACCCTTAATATTGGTTTGTCCGCCTCCGACTGGGCTGTATTAAGTCAGGAGATGATAGGAGCAACCACAGGCGCCGCAGTACTAGACGACAAAGTTAGCATTCTGTATGGAAATCTTCATGATTCGACGACGAATCTAGTACCTCCCGTCTTTAGAAGTTGTTCATGGTCCGAGATAATAAAGTGGTCGGCCTGGGCGGAAACATCAGGAATGGCCCTGCTATTCGGATTATAGAGCCCTTCCGATTGGGACCCTAGTTGACTTAAATATTGGTTGACACTCCCATCCTGGTACGAGTGACGCGCGAAGTACTTTGAAAAGCCCCCTGAAGAATAGCCGATAGCCTTTTCAGGCTTCTTATCGTAGGTACCGCCCGCAGATGTAACGAATGGGCAAGACGCAGGCCATCGTTTGTTTTACGAGTCACCGCTGCTGAAGATAACGGAGACCCCCCCACCCGGCGCTCCAAGCTGAGCAAACATGTTACAGGTGGTTTTGGCATATGTTTCTGGAACTCTCTGCCCCACTTCGCCGTAGGATGTAGATAGAACAGCAGGAAGCTCGTCATCTGGGAGATCCAAAAGATAACGAAATTGCCCGAGGTATGGCTCATGATCTGACTCCCCTGAACCATCATCTCCTACTCCAAATATGGTAGGGCCGCGTCCGGCAGAGCTGTAGAACGTGGTCAAGGGGTTATCGGCCAAAGCAGCAGCGTATTGGATGTCCAAACTTGCTTCAGTACTGATCTCTAGAGGATTTTGCAGGTTAAGTCCCCCATTGATCAGCACCACGCTAAAGTTCGTGTCCGGTATACTCGATGCATAGAGGTCTAGGGACCGATGAAAACCGCTGTAGCGCTCATAATGGTCCAGAAAACCGGATATCCCCAGTCGTTTCCGGCTGTCTGGCCTGGTCCTGGAAAGGCTACGGAGACGGTGGGGTGTGATGGTTACCGAGCAATCTGCAACTAGATCTGCGAGCGTAGCAGGCACAACCCCCAGGAGTGGTGGCTCAGTGTGCGACAGAAGCTGCCCGAACCGGGTTGTTGGTTGAAATCATTTGAACGTAAAATCGATTTTCTTTGGGTACTGAATATTTGAGAGTTCTGACTACAATTGCTTTCGATTTCTTGTGCTCAAAGGTATAAAACCGGGTCTTATATATCTTCTCCGCTTTCGAGACAGGAGCCGTGAAGGTGATCCAGCTTGCATGACTTCCAAAAGATGTAGTAGAAACTTGCGCAGTTTTAAGCCAAGAAAGAACCTCCCGCGATGCGACATTAGATGGATGTAAAAATCCACTTATATAGTCGCGACTCATCTGATGTCCGTGTTCAGGATTACTTGAAGTAGACATATTATGACCATGTGCTCAAACTCAGACGCTTTTTCTTGGTGTATCGCTGGAATTGCATCAGTTTAGACCGGGAAGGAACCCCAACATCTGCCCAGCCATCTGGGATCGTGTCAAAACGCTCAACAGGAGACTACCTGGGTTCTGTGGGTATCGCAGAGACCAAGAGAAATAGAACCAGGGACTAGGTTTCTATCATGCATGCAGCACCAATGAACAAGAGACATGTCATGTTTATAATCATTAGAGAAACATCGGAATGGATACCTACTAATTCGTCTCCAGCCGCGGCCACATCTCTTCAGGGGACTATGCCGCATAGGCTTTAAGTGCGCTTAAAGACAGATCACCGTTGCGATTTTCCACGGCCACAGATGGAGACGCCGTTAGCATGACCGTAACCAGTAGCATTTACTCGAAGCTGTCTATTTTTCTGTTGCTAAGATCTAAGAATCGCTCGTATTAGCGGCGTTTGGCCACTCTCTTGAGGTGCCATGGTTGGAGTGATGGGGTTTGGCTTTTCAGAGTTGTGTAGTCTTTTCCTTTTTACTACCGAGACACGCCCACAAAGAGATAGTCTTTGGATCATAAACGGGAGTCCAGCCAAGAACGACAAGAGTCTCGACAGTTGTCGGTAGTTGGAAGTTGGTAGTATATACTCCGTAGTTAGGATATAATTATGTTCTTTGTTTCCATTGAACTTTCCTATTGATACCGGAAGAGGTAGAATTTTAGGAAACTCTTTCCCCACCAATCACAAGAGACCTTTACACAATGCCTGGGGCTTGTTTCATTTAATTTATTTTGCTTATTTGTTTTTGAAAATGTACCGTGATTTATACCTCCGGGGCACTGTTTTGGTGTGAGTCTGGAAGCTCAACGGTGCCCTGTTGGGGAGGGTAAGCATCAATACAGCTTAGAACTCGTAAGTGGCTGGTAATAAGATAATTAGCAGCCTATAGCCTCCTACTTCTATATACACTGAGCCGTGCCCGCGACATAGTTCGGCTATCCTACGGCTAAGCTGGCGGCAAGGTGAGGGAGAAATCCGTATTGATACTACAAGCTGGAAGGCTTACATAACAGATATACGGCATGAGGCGAATCCTCAGTAAAATTTGAACATGGCATAAAGTAACGGTCATGCATGATAAATCTAGAAATGCCCCTAGAAGTGCGTCTCTTTAGGGTTACTCTTGACATCAATCAATGGTGGCAGCTCGGTCCCCGGAAATTCAACAACAGCCTTTTACTCCTTATTGAGCTTTTTGATTCTACAAAAAGCATTAAGAAATGTGGGAAAGCACTTGAAGGTTTATCATGATACCCCTAGTAGCGTTGTGTGTAGTGTATATAAGAAGCGTAGACGAAGCCCTGGGAGCCAAGACCAGTCAGCTTCTGGTCTATGTAGTACATCCAAGCCATAAAGCCATACCGCCAACAAAGTTCCATACGATCAGCTTATAGATTCCTTCGAGACAGCCCTCCAAGACTATTACAGCCCTAGTTCTCCACGGTTGTCAGCTCGGGCTGAACAACTACTCTCGGAAGCCAAGTCTCCATCATACGAGGACCAAAGTGAAGCGGACTTCTGAACTCTCCCAAAAGTGCGCATTATACTGTTGCAAATAAAATAAAGTGAAACTGTATCGACGGCGACTTCGTATGTTTCCCTGGTTCAGTAGAGATGTGGAAACCTCGGCGATATTGCCGGCTATTTTTAGCCGGCGCGTCTAGTAGCTCCACAGTCATGATTTTGGGGAAGGATCAGGTCCCTAGGGCGCCATGAATGGTGACGTCGCTTGTTGCTCCTTGTTAGAAGTTCCTCTTGCCGATGCATCTCCGATAGACCCATGGTGGCCGAGACTGGCCGCCATAGTAAGCAGGATATCAATGATTATCGCTACTGCAATTGATCGGTGTAGGGGAATCCTCGGTGCTGGCGCTCGGCTCAAGCGTACATCCTGAGCAGCAACATGGAATCGTAGAAGCGAGAAAAAGAATATATATACACTTCTAAAGTCTCTTGATCTCGTCGGTATACAAACTACAACACTTCCTTGACATACAAGTTCTCCAGAACCTACGAACCCTCTGCAACAATGCGTTTCATCTTCATCGCTGCTCTCGCCCTCGTTGGCTCTGCTTTTGCCTCCCCTCAGGCCAAGGTAAGATTCACAATCACTTGCTAGCCGGGTTCTCTTTTGCACATATACTGATTGACCTGTAGCTTCCTGCCGGCCAGCCCTGCAAGCAAGACGGAAGTCTGGGAGTCTGCGACAGTGGTCTCTGTGTTGTATGTTATACGATTCCCAACACTAACTGGGATGAATCTTTTGGACTGAAAACTAACTAATGTCACTAGCAACTTCCTGGCCAGCCCCAGGGTGTGTGCAAATAAGCCCTGGTAGAGAAATTACGGGGAGAAATGCAGCACGTGCGGCTCCAGCCCCGTTGCATTTCGAATTCGTTCGGACAAGTTTAAACATGGCCCTCTTCAGTGTATCTAGATCTTCTATGGTCATTCACGGTGGTGATCTGGCCGAGTCGCTCGTTAGATAAAGAGTCAGTTCTTCAACGCTCATCCGCATACAAAATGTAGCTTTGACACCCTAGACCCAATGGTGGTAGGATTCTTTCCGGGGATTTGAAACGTGAGGTAGAAAGCTGTACTGCGGAGCATGGGGACTGATTCAATAGCACCGGTAACGATGTAAAGCTTTGTTTAGAAAAAGCCTTTCATAAAGAGCAAACAATGCAGGTTCATACGATTTATTCACTTCACTTTGGTACAAATGGAACGGAAAAAAAATGTGGTATCTGAGATTACAATCTACGCAGTCGAAAATAAAAGGGAAGCGTATACTTCCACCCTGGGTTGAGTAAAGCCCGTTCTCATGCCGAGCTAAACGGATGGGAGTCACCGGGGCCGCCTAGGAAAAAAGCTGAATCCCCGTAAGAGAGTTCTAACATGGGAAATGCTGGGTCGAAAGGATGACTGTCCAAGCCAGCCAAAATCCCTGGAGCCCAAGCAGAGCTGGTAGTTAACCAGTGCGGCGAGGTAGGATTGTGGACCATATCTTGAGAAGTGGCTCCTTGAGAAGTGGCTCCTTGAGCAGGAGATAGGCTTCCCTGGGAAGTACCTTGCTGGACGAGAACAGCAGAGCTTTCGTCATTGAGGAAGCGCTGAGAGAGTGAAACAAATTCCTGGAAGAGTTTCTGCAACTTGGCAATACTCTGGCTGGCTGTTCCACTCTGGGTCAAGCAATCCGCAACTGTTTTCAGAAGGTTGAAGTCGCCCATATGGGAGGTGACAACGGCATTGCAAAAAAGGACAAAGACGGCTGTTAAGGGATAATAAAGAAGGGTCCTAAGAATAATTAGTATCTCGTCTTTTGGATTTATTTAGAGGGTGTGCTGACCAATGTAGAAATGCGACCGTACTTTGCTTGTTACTTGATAGACATATTGATACTAAGGCCGATAGCTCCTGACGTGCTGAATCAAGATAAAGGTCTTTGGCACTAAGGGTCTGACCAGGGGTAAGTTGAACTAGATGGAGAATGGTTGTCATAACCGAATGATAAGCAAAATCTAAGGCTGCGATTTCACTGCGGCTATCTAAGCCTTTCCAGCGGTCAGAAGGAGATGTGATCTGTGAGAACTTTGTTGTTAGCGTCGGATTGATTTGAATAGAAACGAAACGGCAACCTACCTGGTCTATGCAGCTGCGGATATCTTCCATTTTTGGAAGCAATCGCTCTCTGATGTTAGTTAATGGTGGGGCGGCATGCTCGCTTCCTGCTGAGGAAGGATCACTTGTGAATGGTAATATTCCGTCTTGTATTTGGGCGAGGTCCAGATATATCAAGAGAAGCTCGGAGATTGGGGGATTCACCCTGGAAGAAGCGTGCAAGATCCCCGCAGGAATGATTTCAAGAAAACATTTGGATCGCCCGAGCTTCCAAGCATAATTCCTGTCCAGCATATAACACCATATAAAGCAATAAAACTCCTCCTCACTAACACCTCGACCATTGGTGGCGGTGGTGTTAAGGCCAATACCGGTGCAAATCCTGCAGGCAGTTCTTGTCAACTCCCAGCAGAAATTGGTGTCACCCGATCCCTGAAATAGAAAGATCTAGATAATGAGTTAGTTACTCTTGAGCATTCGACGGCATTTTTACTACTCACCCCACAAAGTACTGCCTGTAGGAGTGTAAAAGATGGTGTAATCACGAGTGGGATCTTTCTCAATGCTGCTTGGGCTGTGGCTCGGTACTGCAATGCGTTCTGCCATAGCCTTTGAGTCAATTCACTGTGCTCTTCGATTACAAGCGTCGTAGTAAGAAATTTGTAAGCGATAGAATTGACGCAAACAGTATAGAGAATTGTATCAGTTGGCGAGGCATCTTTGCGGAGCAGACACATCCCCATTCTCTCAAGAGTCTGCTTAGATATATGTCGGAAGTAGTCTTGAACATATAGGCCAAAGTGATCGGTGCCAATATCTATTTTGGATTGCACAAACCAGAAGTCAGTTGTCATTACACGACAAGGGGCCACTGCCGAGGGGGTGTAGTACCTTTGAGCATCCATGTTAGAAACTCAGGGGCTGGGATTTTGTACTGATCTTCACCCTGGTCGACATTATTGGATTGTTTCCCTATACTTTCTGTAACTTGTTTTGCAGCGAACAAGGCTGACTCAAGAGCTTGCAGCCTATTCCAAGCCAGGCCTTGAACTTGACTTAACCGGTGCCGGCTTGCCATGTGCGCATCGGTGAGGGGGATGATTGAGATCCAACTGTGGAACTCGTATGTCATTTGTGGAGGATTGTTTAACATGGGCACAATCTCTGGCATTTCCAGGGTTAAACTATCATTATCCATTTCCGATGGGAGTGAATAGGTATCAAAACCGCGTAGCGAACCCAAGTCCGACAACGGCTGGGCGGAAGTCCGACCAGGTTGAATTGCAGTGTTTCCTCGATCATTTTGATGAGAGACTTTCCTCAGGCCACGTCTCACACTGCGGTGACGAGTGCATACCTTCCCTTGATCCTGGCAATTTCCGCAAGGATTCTTCCTATCACATCGAACCTGGGCAGAAGATTAGCCAACGAGGAATGCAAATGTAAAATTAAAGCGAATTGGCCGGCTGATACCTTCCGAGAATGACAGATGTCGCACTATTCGAGGGTATTAGCCTGTTACAATGTCCAAAGTAGTAGTAATAGTCACTTGGGGATATTTCATACCACCTGAAGTGACAGCGACCGTCGTTTGTCAGTGGACTGGGCCTCCATACTAAGATTGGATAAGAATCATAAAAAGCGAGTGTGCAACGGTGTGATGGTAGGGTTCTGTTGGCGCATATATACTGCCCTCATGTATGTATGAGATTCGTCTACATTTTCAACAACGTCGCGGACCAAAAAAGTTAAGTTGATAGCGCCAGCTATAGCGTGCCAAGTCTTTGGTTTGTATGAGGTAGTCTAGAAGCGACAAATGACATTGACTATACGAATTGACCGAGACTTGGCGATTTACTAAGTAACAAAATATTAATAGCATGAGGAGCAGTTGTGCTGTGCTGCCTAGTAGGGCTTTGGAACACCAGCCGATTCCTCCTTTCTTTTTTGGGAAATCCCCGGTTTTCTGCGCCACATGAACGTGGCTATGTGCAAAGTTCACTGGCCAATAGGGTTGTTCAGAGTTGTATGAATTAAGGCTCTGTTGCTTTTCGGTACAATTAAAACGTTGAATCTATTTTTACTTTCACGGAGCATAAAAGAATTATTTAGCATGTAGGAATCATTGAAGAACAGGAATAAGAATAAGAATAAAAATAAGAATAAAAATAAGAATAAAAATAAGAATAAAAATAAGAA